TCCCTCCTTTTAATTCCTATATTCCCTCTCCTCTATCCTCTCGTAACGGATTTACGACGTCGGAGTCTGAAATACTATATTTTCGTCTTCCTTTACTTCCTCTCTAGGAGTCGGAAGCTCCCGATTCGAATCCTCCTCGTAGCTAGGAAGCTCTTCTACTACCTCTATACGATCGAGCGCTCGCTTACGCTAACGATATAGTTCCGCGACGAACCTCCTACCGAGCCTAATACTAGAGGACCGCCGACGTAGAACAGAGGTTTGTAAGCGTCGTACAAGACGGCCGACTATAGTAGAAGAAGATCTAGATTCCTCTCTAGTACTCTCCGTTAAGCCGGACTATATCGGGGAGTAGGATATTAAGGCTAACTACTAGCTATAGAGGTTTAAGTATAAGGAGAACTTTAAGAAGTAGTACGAGGTACGCTAGTAGAACTATACTAGGAAGCGGCTCAAAAAGCGGAACGGTCGTACTATATTTAATCGGTCCCTAATTACCTAGAGGAGTAAGTCTCGGATATCTTAGGTATAGGATTTCCTAGAGGAGGGAATGCTTTAAGAAGATACGACACCTAAAGTCGTATATAGGTACTATAACGCTATACTAAAACATCCTATACTAAATACCGGTATAACGTCTGTCGAGAAGTATCTAGACTCCTCGAACTACTAGAAGAAACAAGATAAGCAAGGGTTTACGAAGGAGATGTTTGTAACCGCAAAGCATCGATAAGTAAGTACTAACTACCGACGACCAGACCTGCTGACTATACCTACCGACTATATCTACCGACTACGTCTAAGTAACTATACTAAAACTTTATCTCTAGACTATAAGCAATCCGCGATAGACAAGGGACCTAGGCTATATACCGGACGATTTCCTATACTTATCCTTCGAGATAATTATTGACAATAGTCTACTATTCTAGTTCTTTAAACGACCGTTAGTAAAACAGACTTATATAGCCCTACTCCTAGGATAGGTCAAGACAATTTAGTTCAAATCCGCCTCGATATACTATAGGATACTCGGTACTAAGGTTCAAGAGTCTACTAAATCCCTTAAGACCTATCTTACTAGTAGATTCAAGATAGCTATTACGTATAATAGCTAGTAATCCAGAGGTATAAAAACCTTATTCCTTACTATCCGGGTCTACTAGATTGACGACTACTAGGTCTAGTACGAAGGGATGCTTAACTTTCTATATATTACTAGCCGTTATACTAGTAATTACCTTACGGAGATACTATTCGAAATCTTACAAGAGTTCGAGATTAAGTACCGATTAACTGTAATTACGTACGACAATACCTCGAACAATAAGACCCTATACAATACGATATAAGACTACTTGCTTTACTCTTCCTACTTCCTTCTAATATTCTATAGTGTTTTAGCGATTAATACTTATTAAGAGAGGTATAGTATAACGGCTAGGAGGCTAGTAACGAGCTTAGAGGAAGGTACGGAGAGTAGTCCCGACTCGGAGATAGGAGAGGATAAGGAGAAGGCAATCGCGGAGTATAATCGAGCTAGCCGTCCCGAGCGATTTCCCTACTTTGTATATACTGCCTAGCTTCCCTTAAAGGCCTTTTTCGACCGCCTAGGGCTCTGTCCGACTAACGACCTTTCCGAATACTAGAATTACGAGAAAGATCGGCAGATATTATAGAGGAGGAGAAAACAGAGTAAGCAGATTAGCCGCCCTTAAGCTAATAGTATACCTTACCTCCTTCTAAAGGTAAGATTAGTCTCTACGGCCTATCGCCTATTAACCTTCCTATTTTCAAAGTGTAGTCGGCTCTCGTAGTCGGCAATTATAGTCGGCACTCGAGATTCCCTTCGCTAATTTCGATCCCTAGATCCGGAAACTTTGCGTCTTTATTAACTCGAGCTCTTAAAGGTTCGAGCAGTTTATCGACCTATAGAAAGAGATACTTTAAAAGAAGGAGCTATTTGTAAAGTACCGTCGGTAGAATAGCGTTCAAGATCGGATCCTAAGGGTCGTTTAAGACGTAAAGACAAGGTAGTCCTTAATAACGTTAATACTCGATCGCTTTAGCAGACTATAAAGAGTTATCGAATCTTATATCGATCGACTCGACCTAAGTAAAGATATAGGTATCGATTCCGAAGAGTAGTAAAGGGTTAAGTACCTTATCGACCTTACGAAACTATTCGTAGCGGCGATAGCAACGATCGGAACAACGAAAGGTCCGACTATCTACCTTGTCCTCGTATACTACAACTAGCTTTTCGATATTCTAGAGGAGGCGATAAAGCGACTTAAGAATAAGAGGATACCTTAGAAGAAGGATGTATATTAGGTATACGAGGCTACTTAGGCTAAGCTTAAGAAATATTATCGAGATACCTAGGATCGATTTAGCAATTACTACGGCATTAGTATCCTCCTTACCCCCTACCTTAAGCGGAAGTTCTAGGTACGCGATAACTTCGGGGATAAAAGCTACTACGAGTATTATAAGGGTAAGCTAAGAACAGAGTAGGAGAAGAGCTATCGTCTATTATCGAATACTTCTACCTACGAGTTACGTAGTAGAAGTAGTCGGTATAAGGGCTAGATCGACTTTACTCTTAGTAGGAGTATAGAGTCTTCTTAAACTTAACGACGTAGCACTCGTAAGGGTAACGAGCTTGCCGACTATCTAGACGCTAATATAGATAAAGGGGATCTATTCGAGGTACTAAAGATATAGTCTTCGCTTAAGCTTAAGTACCCTACTCTCGTACTAATAGTACGGGATATTCTCTGTATTCCTACGGCCGGAGTTAGATATAAGCGCGATTTCAGTATCGCTCGACACTAAAGTCGTTTTAATCGCTAATACTCCGTATTAATATTCTCTAAACTAATAGTATCCTGTTTCCGCTACCGCGACGATAAGTACAATACTAGAGTTCTTATCGCCTATAAGGCTATAGAGGCTACTTAAGCGCTTATTAGTACTCTAACTTTATAGGAGATTCTAAGTAAAGACCGAGAGTAGACAAAAGATCTTATAGAACGGATTAGTAACTTAGATACAATTAGCGATAATAAGGGAGATAGGGTAGAGGAGCTAAGGCGATCGGTACGCCTAAGCTTCAAGCTTGCGTAAGAGTACCTCTAGGATACTATAAGACGATTATAGCGAGCTTGGTTTAAGCTTATATAAAGTTTACCTACTGACTATATTTACCGACTATAGTACTTAAGTTTCAAAATATTACAAGCTGTAATCTAGCGTATATATTCTTCTATATTTATTCATTCAATCTAACTACTCTCTTTCTCCTCTTATCTATATCGGGCTTATATACAGTTTCTTTTCTAATACCTAGTTCAAATAACTTGCTCTTAGGGTACTCGGTTTCTAGGCTTTTTCTTTCTGTTTACGAAAAATCAATACCGAATAGGTACGCAATACCTACTAGGTATCGTAATACCTACTAGGTTTGTACCTAACCCGATAGGTTGGGTTTACCTAGCTAAATACCTATACCTATTAGGTATTGCCAATACCTAACCTACCCTATATACCTACTAGGGTAGGTTGTACCTATAATGAGGCCTAAAGTCTAAACGCGTAATCCTATAGCCTAGCCTTATAATAGTCCGGATTTCGGAATATCTTACTAGTATATAGATACTTATAATAGTATAGATCTATAGTATCGATAAACTCGCGGATAGCCGGTATACGGCTCTCGGCAAGCAGTGAATATAGAATCTACGTTAGATAGGACCGTAGTACCGGCAGTTCTATATAGAAGACAGATAGTAAGTAAAACTTAACCTTCTTGCCGCTACGTCCTTTGTCGACGGTTACTTCTATAGCGGCCGGCTCCGGCTGCTACTATAAGGTAGGGTGTTTAGGTAGCAATAACTTAGCGCCGGCGTTACCGGCGTTACCGGCGTTACTAGCGTTACCGGCGTTGCCGGCGTTGTTGTCGACTATAGTATCGTCGATTGTAATAGTATTAGAGGTATACTTACCTTAGTATAGCTATATCTATAGACTAATCGGATCGTCCGGCGCGTCTAGTATAGGTAACTTATTAAGTATACTAGTATTATTCTACGCTAGATCGTAACTGTCCTCCTCTTAATTAGTAGGTCGATTAGAGAATAGCTCTTCTAATGTCTTAATACGGCGGAAGCCGCTCGGTAGTATAGTAAATAGTAAAGATAGATCTAGTAGCTAGAAGCTCGTATTAGTATCGTCGTCGTCGTCGACAAATAAGGTATTATTTAGGCCGTTCGGGTCGTTCGTAGCTATTATTTCGTAGTTCGTTATAGTACTTATAAGCTAAGAGCCGTATCTTGCGCATTTGTAGGCCGAATCTAGTAATTTTCGCAGTATAGTGTTAGTGTAAGTATATAGAAGCAATTAGAGAGGTATATATATACATGTCGGTACGTCGAAGTAAAGATATTCGGTATTATAGGTATCGTAGGTATTGTAGGAAAAGTCTATATAGCAAGTAAGGTCAACCGGAACTACGTTACTCCGCGCCGAGCTATAACTCACACGCTGCGCTGTGACTCATACGTGCTTAGTCATCCGGATGCCTACCACATATGCTTAGTCATTCCGAATCGTCCTTTGAGATCGTCCTGTCCCTTGACTCTCGCGTGTCCACTGACACTCCTCTGCGCTTTTTTGCCTTGGCACTTGAATTTGATTCTGTGCGTGCACGTGTCTGATGTCAGGCATTGAGGTCGGGCTGCTGGTTGCTGGCAGCGGCAGTGGCAGTGGCAGTTTGCAGTTGGGTGCTTCGCTCCTGCCAGCGATTTGTCCACAGATCAGGCTCCAAGGCCTCCATAACGCGCGAGTCGCGCGACCACCTCCCAACCAGGTTTAGCCCGGTCAAATATCAAATTCACCGGCACATCAAACCTGGTACCACCTCACTCTCACGCCTGCTCGAGCGATCATCAACATACATCTACGCAAGCCACCAGCATCTGTCTCGGTGATGCGTCATCATGCCTCCGAGAGCCAAGAAGACTACTGGACCGACAGTGGTCAGTAGCAGTAGTGCCCCAAAAGTATCGACGCCACCACCCATCCTCCACCACTGGAAATGAAAGAGAAGAAAAAAAAAATATACACAAAATAGAAAAAGAGCCCAGCTGACCTCATACGTGAAGGCCACTGCGCCCAAAGCACCACCCAAGAAGAAGGCCACGACGGCACCAGTGAAGGAGCCAGCGCAAGATGATGGACCACCAGCATCCACGACCGCTGCTGCTGCGGCACCGACCGCGAAAGCTGCTTCCAGTCATGCTAGTAGTCGTCCCGCGAAGAAATCTGCCAGCGGGCACGACATCGATGCGTTGCTGCGGCCATTCTACTACAACAAGTCCTTGACCGACCCCATCAACACCGCTCGCGACAAATGGAACCTTCTACCGGCCTTTTTGCAAGTCAAAGGACTCATCAAGCAACACACAGACTCCTTCGATTATTTCATCGACGTGGAGATGAAAAAGATTGTCCAGGCAAACTCCATGATCCACTCCCAAGTCAAGGCCGAAAAATGGATCAGGTTCACCGACATCCGCATTGGCAAGCCCTCGCGTATTGAGGATGCCCGTGCCGGCTACGTGCAGACGGAAGTCACGCCTAACGAGTGCCGATTGCGAGACATGACTTACTCGGCCCCAATATACGTGGATTTTGTGTATCCAAGGCAATCGGGAAACGTCAGGAAAACCGACGTTCTTATCGGACGTGTGCCTATGATGCTCCGGAGTTCGAAATGTGTGCTGCATGGCCGCTCAGAGTCAGAAATGTCCTTTTTGAACGAATGCGCCGTGGATCCCGGAGGCTACTTTATCGTTCGTGGCCAAGAGAAGGTTATTCTCGTTCAAGAGCAACTGAGCAAGAACCGTGTCATTGTGGAATCTTTCAAGGGCGTCATTCAGGCTTCGGTCACTAGCCATACGGCCAACATCAAGACGAAGACCTATGTGCTGGTCAAAAAGGGTCATCTTTACCTCAAGCACAACTCTCTGGTCGAGGACGTCCCGGTCGCGATCATTATGCGCGCCATGGGAGTGCAGTCCGATCACGAGATTCTACTACTGGCCGCTGGAAACGATGCTCAGTACCAGGACGAGTTTGCCCCCAATCTCGAGTTGGCAGCGCTGGAAGGTGTCTTCACTCAAGAACAGGCCCTTGATTTCATTGCCGCTCGGCTCAAGCCCGATAGATTCATTAACAAGCACAAGGAGTTCAAGACACCCAAGCAGCAGGCGCTGGAGAAGCTTGCAGGTACCATCATTCCGCATGTCGAAGTAGAGGGCCTCAACTTCCGCCCGAAAGCGCTCTACATTGCGCACATGACAAGACGAGTGCTCATGGCCATCAACGATCCCAAATTGGTCGACGATCGCGACTACGTGGGCAATAAGCGTCTGGAGCTGGCCGGGCAAATGTTATCCTTGCTGTTTGAAGACCTGTTCAAGGATTCTATTCGACAGATTCAGATGACGATGGACAAGATGCTTCAAAAGCACAATCCCACGTCCGAGTTCGATCCTGTCCGTATTGTGGAGCAAATTGAGTCTCGAATCACCAGTGGCATGGAGCGTGCAATATCAACCGGTAATTGGACACTAAAGCGTTTCCGTATGGATCGCGCTGGCGTGACGCATGTACTCAGCAGACTGAGTTACATCAGCGCTCTCGGCATGATGACTCGAATCTCTTCACAATTCGAGAAAACTAGAAAGGTTTCTGGACCTCGTGCTCTACAGCCATCCCAGTTCGGCATGTTATGCACATCAGATACGCCGGAAGGAGAAGCATGCGGTCTTGTCAAGAACCTGGCGCTCATGACACACATTACTACTGCCGACGACGAAGGCCCAGTACGGAAAATGATGTACGTGCTGGGAGCTGAGGATGTTACTTCAGCATCTGGCACGGAGATATACGGTGCTGGTGCATACATCATCTTCATCAATGGTACGCCAGCGGCACTGACCAGGCAGCCCAAGCAATTTCTGCTTGGATTCCGAAAATTCCGACGCATGGGCAGAATCTCCGAGTTCGTCAGCATCTTCATCAACCATCACCATAATGGTGTGCACATTGCCACTGATGAAGGTCGCGTTTGTCGGCCGATGATAGTCGTGGAGAAAGCCAAATCCAAGGTGACAGCACGCTTTCTTGAATCACTGCGAAAAGGAACAATGACCTTCGACGATGCCCTGTCCCGCGGTATTGTTGAATATCTCGACGTCAATGAGGAGAATGACTCGAATATAGCAGTCTACGAGAAAGACATCAACGATAGTCACACACATCTGGAAATTGAGCCTTTTACTATATTAGGTGCAGTCGCCGGCTTGATCCCATATCCTCACCACAACCAGTCGCCTCGTAACACATATCAGGTATGGATTGACCGAACATTACCCCCACGACGTGTCTTGAGACAGCTGCTGACTTGTGTCCCATTAGTGCGCCATGGGTAAGCAAGCCATCGGCGCTATTGCTTACAACCAGTTTACTCGCATCGACACGCTGTTGTACCTCATGGTATATCCACAGAAGCCCATGGTCACGACGCGGACCATCGAGTTGGTTAAATATGACAAGCTGCCTGCTGGACAGAACGCCGTCGTTGCAGTCATGTCATACTCCGGGTACGATATCGAGGATGCTCTCGTTCTCAACAAGGCGTCCTGCGACCGCGGCTTTGGCCGCTGCCAGGTCTTTAAGAAAGTTAGCATGCCACTGAAGAGCTACCAAAACGGCTACACCGATCGTCTGGCCGACCGTGATCCGAATAATGCTCGACATCGCAAGATTGGCAAAGACGGTTTGGTCGAAGTCGGATCCGAACTCGATAACGGCGACACGTACATGCTCAAAGAAGCACCCATTAATCAAGTTCAAACCATCCCCAATAGTCAGCAGCGCTGGTCTCCAGCACATATGTCCTATAAAACACCCGATCCTTGCTACGCCGACAAAGTCGTCATCACCGCCAACGACCGCAACGACACCATCCTCAAAATCCAAACCCGTCAAACGCGGCGCCCAGAAATCGGCGACAAATTCTCTTCGCGCCACGGCCAAAAGGGTGTCGTCGGTCTCCTCGCCGAACAAGCAGACATGCCCTTTTCGGATCAAGGCGTCGTACCCGACATCATCATGAACCCCCACGGTTTTCCCTCCCGCATGACAGTCGGCAAAATGCTCGAGCTCGTCTCTGGAAAAGCAGGCGTGCTCGCAGGGAAACAAGAATACGGAACCGCCTTTGGCGGCAGCAAAGTCGAAGACATGGGCGCAGTCCTCATCAAACACGGCTTCTCCTATTCCGGAAAAGACTGTCTCACATCCGGCATCACCGGCGAGAGTCTCCCATTTTACGTCTTCTTCGGCCCCATCTACTACCAAAAACTCAAACACATGGTCCAAGACAAAATGCACGCTCGAGCAACAGGACCTCGCGCCATCCTCACCCGTCAACCCACCGAAGGTCGATCCCGACAAGGTGGACTTCGCCTGGGAGAAATGGAACGTGATTGTTTGATTGCCTACGGAGCCAGTCAATTGCTCCTCGAGAGACTCATGATTTCCTCGGACGCGCACGACGTGGACGTCTGCCAAACGTGTGGCATGATGGGTTACAACAATTGGTGTCAGAGCTGCTCGAGTAGTCGATCCGTCGTGAGGATGACGATGCCATATGCTGCGAAATTGCTCATTCAGGAATTGATGAGTATGAATGTCAAAGCGAGCTTGCAGCTTGCTGATGAATTCCCGAGAGAGGAGTAAAAACAGAAAAGAAAAGAAAAAACAACAGAAAAGAAATCAAAGAAATCGTAATAGTGGTAGCTGTAGTGGTGGTAGTAGTTGTAGTAACTTAACTAGTACCTACTATGCAGAAACCTCTGATCTCTTCATTTTTGAATACCACATCATCACCTCCCAAGACTCTTTTCCTCGGCAGGACCTACTTACTAATTTACTCAAGCTGTAAGTAGGTAGTAGAATCTGCATAGCCGAAAGAATGCACCACGACGACACCATCTGCCCTTTCCATTAGTCACTTTTGCATTTTGCCACCAGCATATGCATCGCAGTGTTTCTGCCCAGCCCACCCTCTGTCCTTCAGGCAATCTTGAGAGAGTCGACGAATGACGGCAAGGTACGAGCAAGCTGCCTACTAGAAAGCTGCCTGACCCTCCGCCTCCCCATTCAATGCCCTGAGAGCCTCCTCGGCCAACTCGCTTCTCAGGCCAGCAACTTCCATCTCTCGTTGTCCTCGGTCCCAGTCTCGCATGCTTTTCCTGTTACGCGTCTCCTTTTCTTCCACTTGTCTCCTCAGTCTCTCTGCGTCCTCTTCCAGCTTCTTGAGCTTGGATCTATCAACGGCAGGCTCAGCTCTCTGGCCACCTTCAATGACCTTTGGCAACTCTGCGATAGCTGGATGAACTCTATTCGCAGCGGGGGTAACAGCCACAGCGTCAGTCAGACGACGTGCACCCTTAGGTCCTGTGGGAATATCTGTCATGGCAGTGTCATTGTTGCTGCCATTGGTATTGGTCATACTGCCAAAGCGTTGAGTGCGCTGGTATGGGTTGATAGCGCTCGCGCTTGCTTGGCGAGGAAACGCAGGTGGCTGAGCTCCAGAGAAGGAATTTCTGGGTCCAGAAGGGGGCTGGCCAATTGCTGCAGATGGCCCGGTTGGGGGACTGAAGACCTGCTCACTCACGCTGCGAGACGCGCCATATCCGTTTTCGGTGCCACTCCGACCGAATCCCGCGTCTCCTCCGCCGCGCCCAAACCCTGCGTCCAGTCCACCTCGCCCAAATCCACCGCCCCGGCCTCCTCGAAAGCCAGTGCCAAAGCCGCCCCGGCCCCTAGGCGTAAATTCCGTACTGAATCCACCTCTCACACGAGAGGCGAAATCTCCTCTTATAGCCGGTGCTCCGCGTGGACCAGATGGTGGGGCAGCTGTACCACGAGGTCCAGACGGAGCGCTAACAGTCGCAGCAGGGCCAGTGGGAGGCGCCATTGCAGTTTGTGGAGCGCGCTGGCTACTCGGGCCTGTGGGCGGTACTCGCGCCGGAACTGGCCCGTCATCATCCCGGCGTGGTTCGCGCGGTGGCGGAACTTCTCGCTCTCTCTCGTACTCACTATCACCATAGCCTACATCTCTCGTCTGCGGCGTATTACGCGCAGGCTCTGGGTCGGAAGCACGGTATGGCTCTCTGGGATCGTAGGAATCGCGAGGAGAGCCTCTGCCCAGGGGAGCTCTCTCATCTGCTGGAAGGTGACTGAGCCTACTGGGATGGATCGGAGGAGGTGACGATCTGCGCGAAGTGGTGCCAGAATTGACGGCAGACTCATGGTATTCGGGACGCGGTGCTGGCGAAGGCTGCGGTCGTCTCCAGTTGTCGACAGTCCTGGGATCAACTCCTCTTTCGTTTCTAGCAAGAGGCGAGCGCGAGCGCAGTCTATAGTCTCTCGTAGCACCCCGTACACTGGGAGAGTAGCCGCGGTGGTCTCGTGGTTCGGGTGAGAATCTCCTTCGAGGCGGACTGGCAGCTCTGGACGGAGGATAGTCGTCGTACCGTGGCCGAACAGGACTCGCCAACCTTTCTCGCTTGGCGGGTGGAGGAGAGCGCCTGCCTCTGCTTGAGATTGGCGACTGTTCTCGTGCCCTCTTCAACGGTATCGGACTGCGATCTCTGTATCGCGGCATTGGAGAGCGGGCTGGCGGCGCCACATAGGCTCTGGTGTCTCTTTCATCCCTGTAGCCACGCGAATCTCGAAAGTCTCTATCATCTCTTACAGGCTCTCTTCGAAAAAGATCGTCTCTGGGGAGGTCCTCTCTTCTTGCGAGCGGCGGCGGCGACCGTGGCCGACCCCTGTAGCTGTCTCCGCCTCTTGGAACTCGATCATCGCGAAAGCGTGCTGGCGAGGGCGAGCGGCGGCGGTACGTATCATCGCGGCGAGGGGGATGGCGATCGTCGTCTCTTCGTAGGGGCAGTCGGTCGTCGTCCCTTCGCAATGGGAGGCGGTCATCGTCCCGACGAGGTGGCGGAGAGCGGCTGGCTCGACGAGGTACGCGATAGGTATCTGCAGTCTTGTACGAGTCGGCGTAGTCGCTGCGTCTAGGAGGAGATCTTGCGCGATAACTGTCGCCGCCGCCAAGTCGAGCTGGAGGACTCCGTTCGCGGGCGTTGCCCGGCCGGTAGGACTGCCCTCGACCGGTGCCAAATTGGTCCTCTGGCGGAAAGTCTAGGCGTCTGCGCATATTCGGTCAGTCGATTGCACGCCGGTAGGTCTATCCGTCGCTGTGTTGGGCGTTGTAATCTCGATTGCTGACAGCAGCCCGAAGGGCTACCTCTGCTGGGAAAACAGTCATGTCGCGTCGCATTGCGCGTAGTCCAGTGAAGCTGCACTGACGTGATACACTTACCTTCCTCTGTCGCGGTCCATGGCGACAACGATATTCGAGCCTTCCTGGCGGTATGCTGAGTGGAATGTTGTGATGAGGCCTGATATTCCAGAATTTGACTGGAGTATGGAGGTTCCGCGAGCAAACAAAGCCCTAGCGCCGCCAAGTCCTCAAGCTCGCGAGAGTCACGGGTCGCAGAGACAACATCGATCGAGATAGGAGTTCGGAAGCACCTCGACAATCGGAATGAATGGGGGAATTGCCATCCTCGAAATGGTTCGTTTGTAAGCCTGTACTCATGTGCATCCTGTCCATGCACCATAACAGCCCAACTATGCAACGCCTCCACAGCACCGAGCTGTCTACGATGCCCGGGTCGCACTATAACGATCCTTATGCTGCCTCTCTTTGCTCACATCATACATGCCAGGCGGATCACTCATCTCAGTCTGGCCTTCGTATCCTTCTTACCATTAAACCACCCCCTCCAGCCTCATCTCCGACTTCTTGAAAACAACTTCCTGTTCCCTGCGTCTCTTACCGGCCTCCTTTGCCTTTCTGTGCTCGTTCGCGATCCCGCTTCTGCCTCTTCGCACTTTCTTCTGCGACGAGTCCACTCAGGTCCTCTCCAGCAGCTCCGCCTTGCCAACCACTTTGCTCTGCTCGCTGTGCCTCATACATCTGCTGCAACTCCTCTTTGCCCAGCTTGCCATCTCTAACCAATGCCTCTACATCCATCGAGACGTCGACATCACCGGCCTTCCTCTTGCTACCGCGCTGCTCCTGTCCAAGCACCGGAACATTCGAAGGTGGACCAGACTTGCCTGCAGAAAGATCATATGCACGTTCTCCGCCAAAGAACCCCTCCGCACGGATCGAGCGCTCATTCAGCACAGTCCCAGCAGATCTTGGGTGGTTTGATGATTCTGTCTCAGTGCCGTGTCGTTGTTTACGCAGAGTGACATCGTTGTGTCCACGGGGAATATCGGTCGGAACGGTAGTAGCAAACCCACCAGGTGTTTCCGTGCCACCGAACGGTACACTGACGCCGGTCTTTGTACCAGACTCGCCATCGTCTTCTTCGTCATCCTCGTCATCTTCCTCCTCGTCCTCTTCCTCCTCCACAGGTGGTTGCAGCTCACCCCACAAAGACTTGTCCACTGCTTCGGGTGCAGCAGCTCCGTCCTTGCTCTTGTCCACCTTCATATCACCCATTCCGAAGACGTCACCGCCGAACAAAGGTCTATTTTGGTCGTCCACTGGCGGCTTGCCATATCCACCGGGATGAAAACCCCATGCGGCTCCTGGAGGCGGTGGTGCGTTCAAGCCTGGTAGCTTGAGTGCAGGGTACGAAGGTGGAGGTCCAATCTTCTGCTGATTGATGAGCCACGGCGGTGGTGCACCAGGTGGCATGTTGAGTGCCTCTTTGAGCTCTTCGCTCAGCTCGCCGGGTCGCAAATGTCGTAAGTTAGTTTCAAACTCCTTGCCTTCGTAATAGACCTCGCCATATCGTGTGAGGGATGGCTTCGTCTGTCGCCGGAAAAACGCTTCGTACAGTTTCTGGTAATCGATATCGAGCTTTCCAGTCTTTCCTGACACACGTTCGCGCGCGCGCTGTTTCAACGATGCTTCTGCCTGCTTTTCGAGGACTGCATCACGCATCTCTGCAATGCCGGTCTCCGCGATGAACTTTGGGAGCGCAAAACCAGGCTTTTCTATACCCCGCTTACTGCTCAGATATTCTCTCTTCAGACACCAGTGGGTCGGCACCGGAACCACATTGCGCGCGCTCTTGATGTTCACCAGTAGTCGCGGGTCCTGGGCTGATGTGTCCGTCCATTCGACAATTTCTGGCTTGCGCACAATGGCCTTCAGTTCAGCAATGCTCAATTTGTTGGCGGCCTTTCGCGCTTTTTTGGAGAGCTTCTTCTTCGTTTCTTCCTCCTCGTCCTCATCTTGAATGTTGTCATCGTCACCGTAGAAAACCTCTGGTTTCTCGGGCTCTTTCACCTCGACTTCTTCCTTCTCGTCCTCCTTGAATTTGGCGAAGATGCCCGCAAACTGCGAGTACAGAGGGTCGTCGATAGGCAAATCGTCCTGGATTTCGACGGTCGGAACATCTTGAATCGGGTCGTTGGCAGCGGGCGCTACCGGTTGTGCTGGCTCGGTGGTCTCTGAGCGACCGACATTCTCTGTGTCTGCTGATGGTGCGGGTGTCTCTGAAACCTGCACTCCTGTCAATATGCCGGATGCGGTGTCGCGTACAAGATCACTGACCTCTCGCTTCTGTTGCTTCTTCTTCGCTCGTCGCTGCTCATTTTTGGTTGGCTTGCGCGCCTTTGGTTGGCTTTCGACTATCACGCCGGGCATGGCCGCGTACCTTGACTGTTTCCTGTGCGCACGCGCAGTCAATACGGCCTCGTGACCTTTGGACGGTATGCGTTCAGTGCACTCAAGAGATATGATGAACAAACAATGCGTCAAGTAAATGCAGTATCCGCAGTGATGAAGCGCGGTGATGAAGCTGTGGTGTTTGAGTTGTGGAGGAAGGCAACACGGCTCAGATGGTCTCGAAGCCAAGCGTTTTGTGGAGTTGCGCTCATGCATGCCGGGGGGAAACCCGCCCCGCCCGCCCACTACTTTCCATGTACTTCTACCTCCTACCGTAGATAGTTGATCCCTTAGGCATTCATGAGGCCTCACAACGCTCACTCACTTATGACATTGACCGTGACGAGTTACTTGAACGTGATTGTGCGAAGACCATGAACGGATTCGAAACTACTCTATAGATTCTGTAGATTGCAAATGATTCCCCTCCGATTGACGATGCTGATGATCAGTGCTAGGTCCCAAGACCAATAATGCACCATCTAACGCCAGTATCTCCGGAAATCACGACCTGAAGAGTCATTATCTCAAGACTCGATGTATCCTCCTCTAGCCCAAGGTAACTTGGAAAGCCTACAAGCGTACTACGCAACGTAATTGCTTGTGTTAACAAGAGACTAAGGTAGGTACTCTCTTGCAACCGCAGTCTGCTCGTACGCTTCACCTTTATTAATGCAGCTCATCAACTCGCTATTGAGGGTGTCGAGTACCAGTTCAACGGCCCCTTGACTCTGCTCGACTGCCATCGAGTCCTTTCCATCCCGCTCTCTCTCCTCGTTTCCATGAGCCTACCGAGGTATTGCTGATAGCGCTCGTCGAAATCTTGAATAGCCTTCTCACAGCCATGGGCAATGACCCCATGTAGCCACTTTATCAATCCTCTAGTCGACGGCTACGGTCGCTCCCTACTTTCTTGGACATAATCACAAAGACACGGGCCTATCTTCGCTATTAGCACGGTCTTGAGAACCGTTGAATCGTGACGTCTAAGATGAAACGTGCTTGGCGCAGTGTAGGGGCCCTCGTTGCTTAATCTGACACCGTGCTGTCGCGTGGCCTCGAGTGCCGTATGATACTGTGTGTTGTCAACGAGAGAGTGGCAGTGATGTGCACAGCTTTGTCAAAGCAGATAAATTCTTTGGTACTGCAAGTCGAAGCGCATACAGTAGGTTCTGACGCAGACGTGATTTTCGTCGAAGAGGACGAAGAAGCAGCACAACTGCGATCGATTCACTGCACGACTGAGAGCGATGAGCGAGGGCCAGTGCCTCTTTCGAGTATATCAGGCTCTGTGCGTACAAGATTCCTGGTACAATTCGCCTTGTCCAGTGACCATACCTATGCTTCCTACCCGTACGTAGGTATTTTATGGGTATAGCTCCTGGTAGTCCAGAGATGCCGCAGCCATTGCGAATCCGCATGACAGTGTGTTCACGGCTGCGTATACGGATAGATCAGCCACGAGTGTATCTCACTAGCTCGCCTTATTTCAGTGGAAGATTCGTGGCAGACTGATAGCTTTGCCCGCATGAGTCTGTAATCGCAAGAGATGCGATCTTTCTCATGCAGTCGGGAGGGGCAAGGCGCGTGCATCTTGCACTTGTATATCGGACCGGCAAGTAGCTTTCTCACTCCTTTGAGCTGGGGGCTGCGCGTGATCAAGCCTGATGTATCGCTGCTCGTACAGAGCATGGCAGCTCATCTTGCTCTTGTTGCAGCAATTGGCAGCCTTGCGATAGGCTAGAAGGCTTGGATGTAGCGTTGTGTAGTCCCCAAAGCGCAGACCATTTGACGCAAGTTGAGTAACAGCACGATACAGATCGGAGGTTGAGTGAAAAAGTGCAGCAGAGTCGTGGTGAAGAGGTGAAGAGGTGAAGGGGTGAAGGGGCGATTCGGGAAAACTTGGCGAGGTCGAAAGTGCTGCACTTGAGGTGAACAAGGTTTAAGGCACTGGACATGGGGAGAATATCGGCACGGGTGGCAAAACATCATAACTTATCTCGTGACGATAGAGTAACCATGATGGACCACAGTCAAATTGCACTCGACTACTGCGCTGCGTCGACGTTCCTTTTGCATTCTTCGACGAATATGCTACTTTCTGGCTGGTGTATCCAGCGCCTGCAACTGAGATTGTTACATACGCCAAATCGTCCCGCGGCATGCTCATGCAACGCCAGTGTTTCGAGACCGCTCGCGGCCTGCTTCCTCATATTCGTTGAAGACCCTCCGGATGACCTAAGGACCTACCGCACACCGTTTCACATCCTCAGCTTTGCTTTGGCTGCTGCACCAACTTCGGTTGCCGGCTGCCGGTCAAGGTCGTCAATCCAGTATGGCCATGCTGTCGTTAATGGTACGTTATGCAAGAAAGGTTTCTCAAGGCCAAAGCCTCGATTTCTCGCTTAGTTTGGGCACGCAGATTGGACGTGGCCTGGCTGCTTGCAGCGGTAGCAAGTTCGCTCGCCGCTAGACTGCTCGGATGGGCAGTCGCGCGAAAGGTGACCGACCTCGCCGCCTGAATTTCGTTAGCTGATGATTTGCCTCAAATGGATCGAGTTTCGACGCACAGTTGTAGCACTTCTGGCCCTGAACGCAGTCTCTGCTCAAGTGACCGTAGCCGCCACATGTGTAGCAAGTCTGGCCGCCCTGGCCGCCGCCCTGGCCACCGAAACCGCCACGGCCACCGCCGTACCCGCCGCGTCCGCCACCGTATCCACCGCTGTAGTCGCCTTGGCCGCCTTCAGTGCAGTTGCGAGCGATGTGACCAACCTGGCCGCACTGTTAAGGATTGTTAGCTCCTGATGCAGGCATAAGTCATTTGTTTTGGCAGACTTGCCTTGTAGCACTCCTGGTTACCTCCAGCACCGCCACCGTAACCACCTTGACGTGGAGCAGCAGTTGGGCAGTCACGGCTCATGTGTCCAGTCTCGCCGCATGAGTAGCAAGCCTTAATGATATCAGCACAGCTCCGCAGTTTACTCGAAACGCACACACCTTGTCCTTAGCTGGCTCGGTGCAATCGCGCGAAAGATGGCCTTGGCCGCCGCAGTTGTAGCAGGTCTGCGTCGATATGTGAGCTATGAGCGTGTTTATCTGCACGAAGGTACTTCAACTTACTGGGTTGCCCTTGTTTGGGCATTCGCGGGCTTGGTGGGTGGCATCACCGCCTTTGCACAGTCAGCATTTCAGGCCTTGGCATTTCGAGGCGAAGGAAAATCGATTTTGGAGAGTGGTTGCGCCGCAGAGTGGTAGCGAATGGATCAGGCGCGAGACTCTGCCAATCGAGCTGTGGCATCGATATCGATGTGCTGGTGCGGCAGTCGAGCAAAGGCAGGATCGAGGATGAGGCGCACTCACAGTTGTAGCATGCGCGGCCACCGCCTGGTGCAGCTCCGAATTGTTGGTTCATGGTAGCGACGTGTGTTGCTGTGAGTAAGGAGTCGGTGCTTCGTGATTGAGAAGTCGCTGAGATGGTGTTGTCGGTAGACGTAAGTAAGGTACCTAGTAAAGACGGTTGTTGTGTGGTGGTGAGGAGATTGAAGAGGTTCAAATTCAGAACCCACCCACTTCAGTTTTCGTTTTCGTCGGTGCACGACCCGCCCACCTCACGCGAGGAGCAGCAATACGCGGCAGTGGCCAAATTACCTATTCACACATAGGGTCGTATGACTAATGGAGAAATTTTCTACAGACATGTTCAATCTAGTCCATATTCACTTCTGGATCTATCTTTTCGGTGTGAATATGATGCTGTACAAGGAGGAAATCAAATCGTCAATTAATGTACATCTTTTCCAACTTTTCTCACCTCGTCGAACGCCACGCGATGTGACGTGACCGGAAGTGTCGGGCCGTTCAGCGATCGACGGCAAGCACGTTCGCAGCTCACCAAATCTGGTAAATTGCAACACTACAGTCTACATGTACCTTTACCTGAAAGTCGCCAGGTGATAGCAACACAATGAGGTGTATACCAGAGTTACAGAGTAATGAATAACATCTATCACGTGAAATCGTAGACTACCAAGGCCTGTTTCCCTTGGCTGTGCTCTTTCAACACCACCACACTCTCGTCGTCAAATCCAATCCATCCTCGGGTGAGCGTGAGCTCACTGGTCTCATCTGGCGGCGTACCAGTATCACGCACGACATTGTTGTTCTCAACTTCAAGACCGCTCTGGGATCTTCGGTCAGGCGAGCAGCTGCTTTCGGCCTTGACCTTGACACTGAGATCTCCACTTGCAAGCCGCTTTCGAGCAGAAGAAGAGCTGAATCCTCCTTCCAGTTCCCACAACCGCAGTTCGTCGCCGTGTCTGCTGATTGACACTGCTTTCCCACGAGCCTGGACATGTGCTCCCGATACTGCTGATGTATGGCCCCATAGCCTTGAGCCCGCGCCAATCGAAAGAGAGTCTTCGGTTGACGTAACAAGATAGAGTGTTAGTGTATTGTCCGGATGAGACACGAGCAGGTATGGGTGTGTATACGATAAGGTGGTCGGCTTCGAGTGTATATGCCTCAGCTCTGATATTGAGGGTCCAGGTACTGAATCGATGGCCGGTAGGTTCAGATGAGACATCGTAGGTCGGCTGGAGAAGGCCAAAGGGCGGTAGTGTGGGTCTATGGCTTGAGCTACGCGGGAACGAAGCAGTGTGCCTTGTGTGTTGACGCTCACTTCCTGCAGTCCAACAGTCCAGCCTGAAAGGTATGTTGGCAAAGCGTAAGCTACGCAGACAGTAACAGCTGCAGGCGTGGTCCTCAGCTGTATGGACATAGGCGGCCATACAGATTGCGATTTCAACGAGTGCAGCAATCGCGGCGGATTCAACAGCTCGGCTTGCTTTCGGCGTGATGTAGGCACAGATCTGTGTTCATGATCTACGCCCGGAAAGCGGTAGAGTGATAGCACCTGGGTTGCAGTCATTGTGACCACATGTGGCCAACGCATTGCTGTAGCGGCGATCACGCCGTTTGATGATGGCTCGTGTTCGTATCGCAAGCTGAATTGGCGCCTCTCGTGGTTCAAGACATATATGCTGAATGACCCATCTTGATATCCGAGCAATATACGCGTAGTGCCCTCGTTGACGCTCTCATCGTCTATTGCTAGCGACGTCGGCGGTCTTGGTATCCTAGCCGAAGGCAACGGTATTTGCGCAAAGACCTGTCTCGAACGGGCACTTGCGTTCCACGCCCGTAGTCCTTCGTCTTGATCTGCCATGTATACCATTCCCTCGAACATCTGCACAAGCACGGGCGGTATAGAATGGCGCTCAGCGATCGGAATCTCGTGAATAGCACTATTTCCCTCTGACCAGTTGTGGCGGAGCTTATATTGCCGCTTCCAGTCTGTGGTGCCCCCGCGTTTGACCAGATAATCTTCATTCAGCCATCTGGATGACTTGGAGGCAAAGTGCAGACTATCGTTGAATGATCCATGCTCTTTCAATCCAGGCAGTCTGCTCGCTCGCGGTCGTACGAATCGGTTGTAGAATTGTGCTTTCCATAACTGCCCATCTCCAGCAAGTTTGCGGAACTTGTGCGATATCCTGAATTTTCAGCGCATTTTCGTGGACACGAAGTTCCATCCAGGATAACTCACCTCTGGCACACTACGAGCTGTGAGACTGAGAACAAGGCGAGCACCTTCAGAAGCAGCTCGTCACTCAGTGACGACAAACGATCTGTTGAAGATGTTCGCGGCCGCTTTGGTACAGGCTCTTCACTCCCGGCGTCCTCATCGTGTGCCCGCTTCGCCATATGTGTATTGTAACGACACTGGCAGGACGCACATAATGTGTTGGCTTTCCAGGTTCCGGTTGCGGCATGTGGCGGGTGAGCGTGTGGCACTCGGTTCTCTTGGCGCGACATGGAGGAAAGCTTAAGCCACTAGCTAGGTATCTCGCGTTGCTCTTTTAGGCATAGACGCACATGTGAAGCGAGAGCAAGACTCAGCTTAAGTTCCAAGTCTGCTTCGTGCCACATCAGGTCATTCATTCACTTCACTTGTTGATACCTGAGCTTTCCAATTGCGGATCCTCTGGCTTAGATGACGCCCACCGCGTCTTCCCAAGAGACTGACGATGACCGAGACAGGTGGTCATGTCTCGAATCTACCACATCGTGCGGAGGCGGCGGCAGTACGATATGAATGCCACAGACCACGAGCAATAGCAATAGCAACAGCAACAGCAACAGCTACTGTGTTGCGCGCTATCGTTCTTGATCTATGTGAACTATCAATCTCCTGCTCTTCTCCCTTGATGCATTTCGCATGGTGCAAGAGCACCTGTTGCCATGCGATGCTGCCATGGAGACATTCACTGCTGCACAACCTTCCGACCATGTTGTTCTCGTGCTTCATCAGCGGCATTGATTGACAAAGTACCAAATCACACCACTGATACTTCGCATTATCACCCCAAAGCATAAAGCTACCGTGTATAATCTTGTCCTGAGAACATGGCGCCAACACCAGGAAAGTAAGCATACCTCCTTCGAGATTCGATACCACGGAATCAAAACTTGCCTGCTGACCACGACCCAAGAACTGGTCGCGGCCATCGCATTAAAATACCCACACAGAAAAAGGCTGCGAGCGACGGAAATCTACTGTTCGATTCATCGTCCTCTTCGCGACCTGTGTCCGTCGAACAGATACCCGCCTCTTCTTCGTCCGTCAACAGCAGCACCATGGCGAGTAAGGCTTCGAGTAAGGCTTCGAAGCGACCGACGAAACGCCCTCATGCAGAATTAGAAGACAAAGGGCCATTCTATGCGACGAACGGGATGCTGATCCCAGATCTTTCCGCCGACAATTATCAAATCTACAGATTCGCGCCACCAAGGATCACCAACTTTCCGGACATTTCTGCATCTCGTCGCGCCGAAAAGGCACGTCTGGACAAAGCAGAAGCGGCTGAGTATGTCGATGATGGGCAAGACGACTGGGATGAGTTTGCGGGGAGCCCCGAGGATTACAAAACGGCGGGCGAAGGTCGAATGGCGAGGTGTATCGCTTCGGTATTCATGCAACGCGCCAAGCGGGCATACCGCGCCGGCAGAACGTGGAGGTCTTTCGAAGACGAGGAACTCGCGATCGACACGCAAGCAGCGGCACGAGCAGAATCAGACGCCAGGAAGCGCAAAGTACTACTTGCAGAAGCTCTCTGTGGAAAGTCCCGGCTCGAGGTCTTCGATCAAATCAAGGAGCGTTTGTGCACTGAAATATTTCTGGAACACTACGATGAAACACGTCTCATCGGCAGAGAAGACAGCATCATGGCCCTACCACCTCCGGTAGTGGACGAGATTTCCGAAAAGGAAAAGGAAAAATCCGTGGCGGGTTGGTCTCGACCTGTGAACACAGGTCGCTATCAGATTGTTGATGGGCGGCATGGGGCCAAGCCAAGGCTGGAAGGCCACTGTCTTCCCTTGTCGAGACCACAGTTTAATGATGATGACGATGAAACTATGCCGGCCACATGGGCCAAGCCGCAGGTGTGTAGCAATTGCGGCACTGACCGCCCCAATTATTTGGAGGATCCAAGATGCCCGCAGTGCAAGACTGTGGAGGAAGATGTTGACGGAAGTCGTGACGGGATCGATTAGTTGCCTGATCTTTGACACGTGGAGAGGTCTTTCAACATAGATTATTCGCTTGGGCGGCTTGAATCAGCACATTCCGTGCTTGGAGAGCGACACTCACTATCGCAGTATCGATCGTGATATGGCAATTGCGAGCAGCTTGCAGCCATTCGACTCTCGGCTGGACTAAGCTAATGGACGAACGTACTGCCTGATTTGGAGCCGGCAGACTGAGCGAACGGTCGATGTAGCACACAGCAGTCACCCCCAACGGTGAAACCAGCGAGGTTGGAATACCCAACCACCACTCCACGGCCTATATAGTACACTCTGATAGCCGCTCAATTGACAAGATCATGGATTTCATCTCTCCACTTCAACACGAAAAGTATGGCTTAGATGACAGGCAAGGTTGAAAATACGTGCATCATACTACTCAGCACGTGGGTGATGCAGGCCGAGCTGGAAATGTCTCTCCAATCATTTCGTATAATGGTCACTGTGGTATAGTACCACTGTACCTGTATTGCAGTGACATGGTATAGAGGTGAAGTGCAGGGAGGAGTCAGGGACAATTCCCCGGGCTGGCTTCCTTCGTTCGATTTCAGCCGAGATGTTCCATTTTCCGTGCGGAGAAGTGAAAGTTGGGGTTGCATCCCGTCGGCTGAGCAGCCAGCCTGTCCAGGTTTGCCAGGAACACCCGATCTCCACCAAACACTACCTGACTTAATTTTGCATCCCACGTGTCCATTGTTTGCGTTTATCCATGTTTCTGCTACACATGGCGAGCAGCGTCTGGCAGACACATCAGGCGATGGATGGCACAGGTAGGGCAAAGAGCGAGAATTGCTGTAGCAGAACTGGCGACCATATGTGTTGTGAAATAGGAGGTACAGTAAATGATGGGAACTTGTTCATTGAAATGAGAAGATCACAGACATGGACATGTCGACATGGGACACCCATCCATCCAACTTTCCCACCCGGCGCTGCGACTCTGCAGGCCCGCAGGCTCCGTGATACGATACTTTGTCGATCTTGCGCCCAAAATGACCAGAGCCGATGGTTAGTTATTATACACGCGTAGACTGCTCATGCTGGTAGCCACGAGCAGACATCTCTCCTCGACCTGCCCTGCCTTTGGATCATCATGGCATTCCGACATCTGCTTTTCGCTACTGCCTGCCTGGCGCTATCCGTCGTAGCAGCCGAGAACGTTAGCTGTCCAGACTATGCGAAATACTCTAAAGAGCAACATGGACCGTTCAGCGCAGGGAAATTCAACCTGTCCTACCAGCGTCCTGAGTCCAGATGCCGAACTTTCAACTCTTCCGTGGTCGAGAGCGCCATCGACCGCGTCAAGCAAGAGATCGCAGACCCGGATCTGAGCAGGCTGTTCGAGAATGCCTTTCCCAACACACTGGACACGGCAGTAAAGTGGAAAGGCACTGCACAAGATTCAGACGAGGAGTTGACGTTCTTGATCACGGGAGACATCAACGCCATGTGGCTGCGAGACTCTGCCAATCAAGTCCAATCCTACCGGTCGCTGCTCAAGCCTTCAAGTGACAGTGACTCTCTGGCTTCGCTGTACAGAGGCGTGATCAATTTGCAAGCACGCTATGTGCTCACGAGTCCGTACTGCAACTCGTTTCAACCCCCTGTCGAATCTGGTCTCAAGCCTTCTGTGAACTCATATGGGGCCCAAGACGTGGTGCTACCTGCATACAGTAACCATTCTGTATTCGAATGCAAGTACGAGCTTGACTCGCTGGCAGCTTTCCTGGAAGTGAGCGAGGACTACTACAATGCAACGGGGGATATCGACTTCTTCGGCAAGTACCAATGGGTATCAGCTGTCGAAACCATCCTCAAGACTGCGGAAGATCAAATCATCGGAACGTACGCGACGTCCGGCATGGTGAACAACTTGACATATCAATTCTCTCGTCAGACCGACACCGCCACCGAGACAATGGCAAACCATGGCTTCGGCAACCCTTTCAACAACGGCAGTGGTCTTGTGCGCTCCTTCTTCCGACCCAGTGACGACGCCACCATCTACCAAGGACTGATCCCAAGCAACATGATGTTCTCGCGCTACCTCGTCGCAGCCTCCAAAATCGCCGCCCAACTTAGCGGGCAAGAAGCACTCGCCCAACGCATGCAAGACATGGCCGCAAGCATCCAATCCGCCATTGAAAAATACGCCATCATCAACACCCCCGACTGCGGCAAAATCTACGCCTTCGAAGTCGACGGCTACTTCGGACAAAACATCATGGACGACGCCAACATCCCCTCTCTCCTCGCCGCTCCCTTTTTCGGCTATCTCGACGTCAACGACCCCATCTACCAAAACACCCGAAAACTCATTCTCAGCTCTGGCAACCCGTACTTCATGCGCGGACCCGTCATCAATGCCATCGGAGGCCCGCATAATGGTCCGGGGTACGCGTGGCCCATGGCAAGCATTGTAAGGATTTTAACGAGCAACGACGATTTCGAAATCACGGAACAGTTGAGGGAGATTGTGAGCAGTACGGCGGGATTGGGTTTGATACATGAGAGTATTAATACTTTTAATGTGACGGATTGGACGAGACAGTGGTAAGTGAGAATCTACCCATGGAAGATCCCTCTCTGAGATATTCTCTTCCTTCTTCTTCTTCTGATGATGATGATGATGAATGATGAATGATATTCCGTGAACGAAACGATTGGCTAACTCACTTCTGATGCTACCATGTAGGTTTTCGTGGGCGAATGGCTTGTTCGGGCAGGCGATTTTGGATCTGAACGAGAGGAAGCCTGAGTTGTTGAAACAGAGCTTTCAAGATTAAGGTACCTACATGTACCTAGGTCTAGGTACGGTACCTAGCTACCTGATTATTGAGCGTGCAGACGGGAAGAACGAATTCCCCGAATCACATTCAATCAAGGTACAGTACGTACATGTACTTATCTTCATGTCGACAGACTTGGAAATCATCTATCAATGATATGCTTGTTCTGGTCGGATCTTCGAAAAAATGCTATCTGCTACTCGATACACTTGCTGCAATCCGATATGACCGATTTCTCCGTAGAGCTGGGCCAGCCCACGGCTGGCGGGCGCGCGCGCAACACACTCAAGTGCATGCATGGGGGTATCATGGCCATATGCCTCTCATCTCATTCATTCATCCGCAATCACTTTCTCGCTGCTTCGCTGCTGGGGCGGGTTCAGTACACCTGCTGTCTGCAATGAATCTGCACGACTTCTCACTCTATCCAGGAGCTTGTTCTGTGGTATGGTTGCCATGAGCACCTCATTCGCCAATTCATCCACACTCTTGTTGTCTTCTTCCTTCTTCTGCAAAGCTCGACGGAAGTCCTTCGTAGAATCGCTTGTGTTGCCTCCTCCTGGTGACGAGGACAATTCCTAATCGTCACTGTCTCCGAGCGGGCTATTGAGTGTGTAGTCTAGTATGTCACTCAGCGATAAAAGTCCCTTCAATTGGTTCTCTTCGTCGATAACCACGAGTCGATGGACGCGAGACTTGCGGATCGTATCGTATATCGTATCCATGCGATCGCTGAGCGTGCAAGTGTAAATGCCAGGAAAGTCGTCTGATCTCTTGTCCAGTGCTTGTCCCACAGTCAAATTCAAATTTTCGTAATCTCCTCCCTTGATTAATGTGATCACATCCACCGACTCAAACACGTTGAGAACTGTCCCGTCTTTGTCGAGGATCGGTACACTCGATATGCTCTTCTTCACAAGCATTTGTATGCAGTCCATCACGGGCGTGTCCATTGTAGCCGTGGCCAAGTCCGTATAGCTGCCCACGTTCAGCTCCCGCAGCGGTTTCCTCAACATCTGCGTCTCTTTCACATTGACTGAAATGAATTTCAGGATGCGGTACTGTGTGATGACGCTCACCACCATTTCCTGACCTGTCTCGTCGTCCTTGTCGATCAACGGTATACGTCGGGCACGAGACCCAAGCATTCGGCGGCAAGCTTCGTAGAGTGGCTGTAACGGGTGGATTGAGACTGTCTCGATAGGAGTGACTCCAATGGCTCGCTCGATGTCGCGGAGGCTGCTCAGCTTAAACTTATCAATTCGACCCAGCTCTTCCTGGTTCTGCCAGTAGTACTGAACGACATTAATGTAATCGGATACAGTGAGTAAGCCCGCGAATGCAGATGTCTTCGAGTCCCATAACGGCGCAGAGACGATGGCTGTAGCCGGACGAGTGTCAGCAGGCGCACTTCTGGGAGCACGTTCATGGAAGCGATATACGTACCGCACTGCGTGAGAATGTTCAGACTCTTCTTGACCAACAGGCTCGTATCGAAGACAATCAAGCGGTAGCTGAGCGGCAGCACATCGTAGCTGGTGCGGACCTTGAGAAAGGCTCGAATGGCGCGCAGACCCTCAATCTGCTCCCGATCCTGATAAGGCATTGGTTTGCTGGCGCGCGCAGTGGTGTCAGCACTGCTGGCGGTGCCGGGGCGGCTGCGCACACTGGCACTGGCACTGCTGGCCCTGCTCGCTGGGCGGAACTGTGACACGCGGAGCAGATCGCTGGGGGCTACGAAGGGCAAATGTGAAGCGGCGCCTGCAGCTGCAGCGGGGGCATGGCCGGCAGGGTTGTGCGCGGCGGCGAAGTTCGCATGCTGCTGGTGATGGTCTGGCGGAGCAAGAGGTGCTTTCGAGTTGTCCTCGTGACCATCCGCGACTTCGTCACCAGCCGCCGCCGCCGATGCTACGACCTGGCTGGCGGGGCCGTGTCCTTCGCGGGGCACGTCGGTATTTCCAGCTGCTTCATCGGCCAATGCGGTCTCCAGGTTGCGTTCATCCTCCATCGGAACGGTCAGGGAGCGCTGCTGGCAGGCTGCGCATTGAAGTGGTGGTATAGGTTATTGCAAAGTGATGCGGAGGCAGAAAGACCGCCAGCGATTGTCGTTGATTGATTTGATTAGAACTAGTGAATTGCTAGGCCCACACTTCCAAACGCATCAGTGGCCGACCCCACACGTGCGTTCCCTGCAACTCGACTTTTTGCGCGGGGCATCCAATGGATTTGACCTCCGCATTGATCTGAAAAGTGCACGTGCTTCAGCGCCTATTCCGAGTGAATAATGGGGAAAAGCACTTCGAAGTTCGGGGTGCTGAGGGGGAGGGGGAGGGGGAGGGACGCTGTGTTGTGGCAATGTGAGGTGTGCTGGACCTGAATGTGAATATGAATCGCCGACGCGTAGTACCTCCTAGTGTCTGCCGTCTATAATTCCAATTTCAGCTATGTTATTACATACACTGCGCGCGGAATCATCGATGCGCCGTGATACTCCTTGTAGACTGACTGGTTCATCTCCCTCATGACACCTTCCGATCCCAGCCATTCGTTATCGTATGTGCAGCATTTCCCCAAGAATCTCATACCCGCCATCGTATAAGTCATTACCTCTGTTGACTGCCGTAATCCTGTTGTGCCTGACTGCCACCTTGATATCCCGATAGCCCGTCGCCGGTCTGAACTTGATGCTCGGCCATTGCGTTGGCCATGTTTGCGCCATTCGCCGGGTTTTCGGTCGCCGGAGTAGGGGGACCATCATGCATGAGTGGCGGCTTGCTATCGTTCCTTGCATGCTCAAGTGCCGCAGGATTGAGTTCGGGCCCTCCTTCCTGGTTCTGCTCCACATCCGCCATCATCTCGTTGGTGGTTGGCTTGTTGATGACTGCCAATGGATCGCCACCGGCCTCGATGAAACTTTTGCTTTCGCTGACAATGGCATCGGCTTCTGTCACACCACCTCTGCTAGACGCGTCACCTTCGACACCGATATCGCTCTGTTGTTGCGTGGCTTGGAGCTTGCTGTTGTCGAAGCGGACCACCATGCACGACAGGTTGTCGGTCGAGAAGCGGGCAAGCGCGTGGTCAACCAGTGCTTTGGAGGCAGCTTGGGGATCTTGAAGGTTGCGAACCAGATCCACAGCTTCCTGATCGGAGCAGACATCCCAAAGCTATCACAATTAGCAGAGTCATCGTCATGGGTGCAGACCAAGAACTTACGCCATCACACGCCAGTATCAAGAATTCATCCATATCGGGCTGGATTACTGTCTCTGTGGTGTACGGGTGTCCGGTGACCAGATCTTTCATATACGCATCGCCCAGAGCACGTGTAACGGCAAGCACTCCATTGACGCGATTATTAAGGATGAGCCCGCCAGCACCTGCGATACGCTTCCCTTCGTTCTCGTCACTGCCCTTGTGGTCATAGGACAGCCGAAGGGCTTTACCGTTGCGGCAAAGAACGATTCGAGCATCGCCGACATTGGCGGTATAGAGAACTCTCTGACGGGATGCTGCGGTTGTGAGCTTACATTCATCCCAAGCAGAATTTAATTCTGTCGACTTACCCTGTTGCACCGTGCGTTCCACATTCTGCGACTCGGCTGTTGCGGGTGCAAGAGCAGTCGAACCTGTCGCGGATTGCGAGTTTGGTATCCTGTCTTCCCAACGAAGCACAGCGAGCACAGCTGTGCAACCGCTGTTCTTAAGAGGAAGCTTCTCCAGCTGTTGGTCGACCGTCGTGAAGGTCATGTCCAGGAGCTCAGGAATCGCCGTATTGGGATTTTTGCGTATAATCTCCTCCAATAACAAATGCACCTTTTTCCCGCACCACTCGGCTGCAAAAGTGCCTGCGTGCCCATCGAAGATTGCAAAGTACCCATTATCTGTCTCCACAACTTCTCTAGTGCTATTCTGCGTACCTTCTGACACAGCCGAATCTCGAGACTGCGACTGAGAAAGAGGCTTGTTGGAACCGCCGTCCGGGCCCAAGGCTGGGGCGGGTGTACTCAGAAAGTTGTAGAGGTAGGCGTGAGTATCTTCCATAGTACGTCTGCATTTCTTGTTCTTATCCTCGGTCACGCCAACACGGAACGTAGATCGTGGGCCAGGCGCAGACTCTCCAGCAGAGTTGTTCAATGACCCAGCAGGCACGCTCAGTGCAGGATCTGTGCGGCCCAGCTTCTGCATTGGAGTCTGGTGCGAGGACGACTTATTGTCCGGTGAGCCGCCCAATGCTTGCTTCGCGCGGTTGAAGAGGTCGCCAGCGCGTCCAACGCCGCTGCTACGACGTTTCGAGTTGCCCTGCTCCTGCGACTCCTTACGTGTCGGACTGCGCATCTCATTGCTAACAGCATCTTGGCCCTCCTCTCGAATGGGCTGAGTCTGGTTGCCGTTGTGCATGTTGGGAGTTCGGGGTGAGTCGTTGCTATTGCCGCTGCCATCGGCGCCCTGATTGATGTTGCTGTTGGCGGCATTGATGTCGAGCGGTTCCCGACTGCCGGAGCCGGCGCTGCTGCTGCCGCCGCCGCTGCTGTTGTTGTTGTTACTGCTGTTGTTGTTGCTGTTGTTCTCCTTGGAGCCGAACATCCTGCCCAACAGTCCTCCTTGACCAGAGAGACTGCGCCGTTTACTACCAGCCACGTTGTCCGTGGTCTGCGTGTTGTTGCTGCCACTCATGTAGCCGAAATCCTCGATCGGTCAAGCGCTGTCACAAATGGACGTGCAGGGTGAGGGGGCGGGGCTCTCAGGCAAGCAGGCAGCCAGCTAGTAGGTCGCCTCGAGAACCAGGAGGTGGGTACGTTCCTCGGGACTACTACTGTAGTGCAAGACGGTAAGGTAGAACAATAGCCTAGGTAGGTAGGTAGGTCGGTCGGTAGGTAGGCAAGGTGGTCAGGTCGGTCGTGTGTGTGTGTGTTTGCCGGGTGAATCTGCTGGATCTGTTGGTGCATGCCGTCAGCGCTGCTTCTCCCTCTGATCGGCTGTCTCCACGAGACAAGGTAGAATGAGCTAGTTCTAGATGAGGGAGGCTGCGGAATTCGGAATACCGGTGATGAACTGAGACAATGAAGTAGTCGTCCCTCTGCCGCAAACAAAACAGAGACCGGCTTTGAGTCTCTATTGCTGGCACTTGTTGCTGAGCCACGATGTAAGGTGCACGAAGGTTGGTAAAGGTACATGTAGGTAAGGTACTAGGTAGGTTTCGATGAGGAGCGACAGCGCTGTGATGACGCTTGATTCCTTGGACCGAACCAGAAACGGATCAAAGGTCCAGCAACTTCAACTACTAACCTGTACCGCTGCGATGATGAGACCTTGCCCCCCGAGTGACATACATCTATGCTACAGCGAGATCATGGCCAGAGAGTGCAGAATATCATCATCAGTCTTTGGTGGTCTATCGCTGCGTACCTAATGCCACCTTACAGGTATCAACCCACTTATACCCTACAATGTCCCTGTATTCATGCAAGCACAAAGAAGCTTTCTGCCCTTCAAGCAGCTACTAGGTGTCACGAGACCAACACTGATCATTCGAAGGGAACTTGCTCCTGCGAAATGCGTGGACATGGCAGGAAATTTTCGTGGTCATGGCATCGCAAACACAGCTCCACTATGCGCCTTGCTTATCACCACGTCAAAGGTACATATACGTATCATGGGTATCAGAATAACCTGCGTTGGCCAGCCACGCCACGTTGTGAGTTCCACCACAAGCTGCTCAAACACTGTAATGGCGGTGTGCAAACAGTGCCTCGTGGAAGCACATACGGACACTCCGGAGTTACCAACCAGACGTTGATGTATTCAGGTATCGGAGGCCTCATATTCGTCATGCATATCGTTATCGTCGTAAACTGTCGAGTCGAGCCTGGAGGTCATCATCACCCGGGTCACCGCCGCCAATGGCTTCTGCAACTCTGCCTTCGGCCGCCGCATTCTTCTGCAGGCCCGTAGGCGTTTCCCCAAGCTAGAACGAAACATTAGCTGCGTGGTGAAGATCTTCAGGTAGTGAATACATACCTGCTGACCCAAATCAACTCCCAGCTCGTCCAGTACCTGCCCGACGACTTCTTCGCTCTCCTCCTCGTCCTCGAGGCCCGTGACGTCGTCGATGGCATCGTCCATCATCTCTTGCCGCTGGTCCATGATATCGTTTTCCTTTTCGAACTCCATAGCTATGCGTTGTAGTGCTGGAAGGTTCATTTGCCGATTCATGCTACCGAGCAATTGCGTGGCACCTTTCATGCTTTGCATCATCTGCTCATTGCTTCGGACAGTCTGCGAGGTGTCAGAGGCGAATGCGAGCAACGTTTATGGAGTGGTATACTTGTATTCGTAGCGATATGGCCTGCAGCTGTGTTCGCATCTGGTAGAATTTCTGGATATATCTCCTCGTTCGCACGAGATCCTTTGCTTGCACCTTGACGGCTCCCATCTGTCCATTCTTTGCGTTCTTCTTGATCTCTTGCACCAGCTTCTTCTCTTGATTCTCGAGCTTCGTGCGTTCGCGGTCGAGTTCTCGCTGTGTCTTCTCGAGCGCTCGTTGATGCTTGCGCAGACGTTCTGCTGGCGTCATGCGCTTGCCAAAGGCCCATTCAATGACCTTTAGAGCGACACTCAGTCATGGCCATCGTAGACAAGCGACCACATCTACTCACGTTCATCTCTGCTGTCTATTGCTGCGCAGGTATCCAGCTAGCCAGCTTCGGTTATCCACGCGCTATTTGGAGCGATTTTATATCAGCCGCAGTTTGGCGTTGCTAGGTATGTGTCTGTGTGAGCAGACCAGGTGCATTACATGTAGGTAGGTCGAAGGTAGTGCCTTGATCACCTCACTGATCGCTTTGTTGCTGGGTATGTTGATGCCTTCCCTCCACGTGCTACCGGAGCGAGATTTAGCCGATGCACGGTCGCTACATCATCGACGAGGGCAAAAACATCCTATTAATGTCCCTCCTACAAGTTTGCCATACATGTCTACCTATGTCACCATCTGGACTCACCATGACCTGAGGAATGCGCAATATTCACGATGAGCTCGAACAACCCTTCCGGAGATGGAGGTGCTGGGCCTTCGAGCAGCAGAGGTGGCGATGCTTCGAGTAGTCGGCGCGGTCCTGGCAGTCGACCTCAGTACATGACCGTCGGCAGTGGATCTACGTCGGAGGCAGCGTCGAGGCTGCAGGCGCTGCTGGACGAAGATTCTGGGTACGGAGGAAGCAATACGGGCGACGACACGATGGAGAACGCATGGCATCCGGGGCCCGCGGTGGATCGATACACACCTGCGCATACACCGGCGCGGCCTGGCGAGAGTAACCCGGACTCAGAGAACGAGTCGCGCGCTCTGGCGGCACACGTACACCAGATGTTTTACAATAAGAACCGTACGGCGCTCGGCAGGGCGATCAATCAGACGGTCGAGACGTTGAAGAAGTTGCAGGAGATGAATACGAAATGGCCGGCGCATTACCCTACTGTGCAACGACCGCCCACGCCACCACCTGCGAGACCTGCACCACGCCCTGGTCTCGCCCACACACAAACCACCTTCGATCTGGACAGCATAGAATCTGCGCCTCTTCGACCACATCTGCCGAGGCGAGCGGGCACGACACTGGGGATGGATCCTGAATCGAGCACAAATGCTGAGCGCCGTGGATCTGCTCCGACTACAGAACCACGGCTTGTCACACCTCAACTGGCACAGGACTTCTCTGTGTTGAAGATTGAGTTGAAGATGGAGGGCTTAGCACAATCAGACATCGTTCACTCGTTGGAAAAACAGTCGGTGGCCGCGCTATTGGACAATCAAATCAACAAAAGTGTACGGCATTTGTTTGCATTACGGGAACGAATCGAAGATACATCAAGCAAAGTTCTCATTACTGGAGATTTGAATGCAGGAAAGTCAACATTCTGCAATGCCCTGCTGCGCCGTAAGGTGCTCCCAGAAGATCAGCAGCCCTGCACCGCCATCTTTTGCGAAGTGCTTGACTGCAGAGAAAATGGCAATCTCGAGGAAGTCCACGCAATACCGCATGGAGCCGTTTACGATCGCAACGACGAAAGCACGTATCACGTGTATCAATTAAAGCAGCTCGATGATATTGTTATTGACAGTGATCGGTATCAGATGTGCAAGATTTATATCAGGGATGCACGCCCGGTAGACCAATCACTTCTAAACAATGGCGTCGTAGACATTGCGCTCATTGACGCCCCTGGATTAAATAACGATTCCTTGAAGACGACAGCGGTATTCGCCAGACAAGAAGAGATTGATGTTGTAGTGTTCGTGGTCTCTGCGGCCAACCACTTCACTTTATCCGCAAAGGAGTTCATATTCAATGCTGCACGAGAAAAGGCTTACATGTTCATGGTTGTCAATGGCTATGACCAGATTCGCGATAAGAAGCGTTGTCAAGAAATGATCCTCAAGCAGGTGGCGCATCTCAGTCCAGCTACATTCAAGGAGTCGTCCGAGCTTGTTCACTTCGTATCAAGCAATGCGATCCCTGTCGGCCCGGGGCCTGGCGGACCACCCGGTGGTGGTTCGTCGGGTGGCTCGCACTTTGACAGTGGCGATAGCAGTTCGGATAAGGGCGCTGAAGACGATGACGGGATCAATGGCAAGCACGGCGAGCCAGGCTCGCCGCCAGATAAGAAGAAAGGCAAAGGCAAGGAGAAGGAGGCATTGGATGACTTCAGCGAGCTCGAAGCTTCTTTGCGTCGATTTGTGCTTGAGAAACGAGCGCGATCTAAGCTCGCACCTGCAAAGACATACCTGATGAATGTCCTTGGCGATCTCGGCACGCTAGCAGGTGTCAACAAGGACGTGGCACAGAGCGAACTTGATCGCGTGACAGAAGAGCTTCGCAAGCTGGAGCCAGAATACGAAGCATCGAAGAAATCTCGGTCAGAAGCTGATGAGCACGTGGCGAGTAACATTGAAGAGACCACCAACGACGTATACAGACTGACCAGGCATACCATTACTGACTCTATCAACAAGGTCGCGGAGAGCGACCTTGGAGTGGACTATCCTGGCGTTCTTGGAGCATATGGTTATGCCGAAGACTTGAAGACTGCAATGCTGCAGCAAATCACCGAGACAGTACGCTGGTGTGAAGAACGTGCTCGCGAGAAGACGGTCACTGGAGTGAGCAGCATCAAGTCGCTGGGCATATTGCATCTCGGCGACAACTATGTGGATCTACAGTTCCGTTCGGAGAAGATGTTCAAGAGCAGAAGAGATGCGCTTGCAAGACAAGTAGACTTTGAGCCCGAGCTATGGGATTTCTTTGATTTCGCCAGCATCTGGGAGCGACAGGAAAAAGTCGCCGGCACAAGCATGGCAGTCACAGTCGCTGGAGTCGTTGGCACTCGCCTGATAGGCGGCTTTGGCTGGGTGGACGGCGCTCTCACCGCGACGAAGATTGTGGGCGCGAACAATCTTCGCCGAGCGCTCATTCCCAGCGTCATCCTGGCGTTTGCGTTGGGTGTCTCCTACGCCGTCTCCCAAATTCCACACTCGCTACCCCGGCGCCTCAGCACCAAGCTCGCCGCACAGCTGGCAGCACTCGATTACACGCATTCGAATTCCTTGCGCATCAGCTCCGAAGTCCGCCGCGCGTTGAAGTTCCCTGCGGATAAACTTCGCGAGGGTCTCCAACGCAACATGGAACAACTGCAAGAACGCAAAAAGGAAACCGACAAGATTCGAACCGAGAATGAGGTCGCGAGAAAGTACTTTGGCAACTTGGTACGCGACAGTAACGATATCAGGAGTAGAGTTGACAGAGTCGATTTGGAAGGTCCTGCTCCTGGTATTGCTGCTGCTTATGATATGTAATTTCCTGCATCGCAGGTACTTTCTTCATTTTCTTTCCTCTACAGTTTGGTTGGGAGCATTGGGTCAGCATCTTATTTGCGTAAAATGGCGTTGGGAATACCGAGTACAGACGCAAAGAATGGCGAAGAAGATCAACCCATATTCCCCCCCTTTGGCCGAAAGACAGCAGCACCCTAGTTGGTTTATAGTTTAGTTGTAGATGCTTAAGGTCTCTCTTCTCAGAAGGAAAATTTCTCAATCACTCGATTTCGTCCTATCTGCCGCTGTTGCCGTAATCAGGTATGTAAAGTGTCTGTCCTCTTCTTCTCCTTCTTTTCAGTCTTCTCCTGTAACAGCGAGTTATAGTGATCACCCAAAACACACACAAAAAGAAAACCGGCCATCATCATGTAGCTACTAGCGGCCTGCCAATAACACCAACGCTTTCCATACCACATACCGCATCACAATCGTAATCAATCACTCTCCGCGTTTCTCGCATGGTGTTCCTCGATGGCCTCTTTATGCTTCGCGGCAATGTCTGAACTGGACTTATTGCGACGATGTCTGAATTCTTTGACTGTTTCCACAGACGCGAGAGAGCGTGGTACCTAGACACGCGGACTGAGACTGTTTGCAGATTCTCCTGCAGGCTGTGTAACACTGACTTCTGGGCCGAAAGAGGATACTGGAGTGGCTGCGCCGGCCGGAGTACTGAGTCCCATGGGACTGGCGACGCCGGATTGCGGCACGGGTATCTGAATGTCTTGGGGACTGCCGGGGATGATGCTCGAGGGAAGATCGGAGATGTGGATACGTCTGGCACTATTGTTGTAAGAGGCTGTTGGGCGTTAGCGTGAGGATCGATATATCATGACCACTGAAAGGAAGCTTACCAGGGATGACTTCGATGATTTCGTCGCGCGGAAACTCCAGAGTAGGGATGTCGTGTGCGGAGCAGGCCATGAGGTATCCGTAGAGGACACGAAGGACAGACTCGTGCGCAATGATCAGTAAGTCGTTTTGTTCGCGCTCGAGCTCGAGAATGATAGGCTCGAGCCGGACTGCAAGATCGTGGTATGACTGGCAAATGGTCAGCTTCTGTGTGTCATTGAGACTAGTGACGATCAGGAGATGCCTCTATACCTCTGCTCGTGGATACCGATGGTGATAAGGATCTTGCTCGTGCTTGGCTACTTCCTCGGGAAACAGCTCACGGATTCTGCGCTCACTCAACTTCTCGCATACACCAGGATTCAGCTGGCTCATTTGGCTGCGCTGCCGCACTCTGTATCCCTTTTGTTCGAGGTACGAAGCAGTCTCGACGGTTCGCTTCCGCGTTGATGTCCAGATCTGGAGTGGTTTCGACGCGGTGGATTCGGGGGCCCCATTCTTGATGAGGGTCTCCCTCTCCATCTCCCGATGAGCAACGATGGCATCCGTCATTTTGCGTGCGTAATCCTGCCCTTCGGCACTCAGACTGGCATCGCCCTTGAATGTTTCTTCCTCTCTCGTTGTGCCAGCGCGGACAAAGTACATCTGCCGACTCTTGATGTGCAGATTGAGAAGATAGAATACAATCCGCTGGGACAAGTAGCCGAAGGCACAGCTGTTCACGATGACACGCTCCCCAGCATTGATCATCTTCACATAGTGCAAGTCACGCTCCTCGACACCTTCGTAGTGCGGTATCCGGGCGTTGATCCGTCGAAGATAGTCCTGGACGGCATCTTCGGGTTTCCAGCCAACGTAGTCGGGCGAGCTAATCTTCACAGCACGGACATTTTCCTCAATAATACGCTCGTCTGAGCACGTACACTCGATGAACATGGTCTGTACGCCCTGTTTTTCGAACTCTCTGGCGAGCGCTCGTCGACCAGTAGCCTGGGCATAGTCAGCGAAAACTCGTACACATCAGGCATCTGCGTGTGTGTAGTCATGTCAGCAGATGGCTGTTATCCTCTCGCACTCACCAAAGGGTTCACAGCATCGTATATGGCAATTTGACCATTCTCGTGATTGAGAAAATGAAAAATGTCTTCTCTACACTTCTTGAGGATCTTATTCCGCAAAAGGACGGAGGACGTGCTGGCGTTGATGTGGAAGTAGTCTTCAGGCACTTCTCCCTTGGCGCCGACGAAGGCTCTTCGATAGTCGCCGAGATGGAAGATGTGAGTCTTGACACCTAACCACCGCAGGTATCGTGCCAGGGCGACACTGATATGTGTCTTGCCTCGAGCAGGAAGGCCCACGGTGGCAATCACGATTCGGCCAGAGTGGAAGAGTCGACCAGACTCGGTCGAGTACAGCTGCGCAGGGGCCATGGATGCTTTCTCTGGAAGATCATGTATTGCATCGACATAGGTGCTTGAGCGGCGCCGGAAATTGGGCGCGGAGCCTGCCACATCGGCGGTACTATCCATGAAATGTTAATGCTTGGTTGGTGTGGTCGTAACTTGAGTAGCGATGGTAGGCAAAGTCTGTGAAAGCTTCCAGTCCCACGCAACAGACTTACAGTAGGGTGTCCATGTTGGACTGTCGCTGGCCGGTGGTACAGGCAGTTGCCACCACTACGACTACCACCACCACCACCACCACTACCACTCGCGTCCTGGCTGCACTTTCACCTCACTCTCACTCGAGCTAGTGCGGAATACGGGGCAGCGTCCCAGTCCGGCGGGAAGTGCACGAGCGGAGCACTGCAGTGAGGTGCAAACTGCGAAAAGCCGGTCGTTGCGCGCTCTCGCCTTCTCCCTTATTGCTCGCTCTCTTCCTCTCTCTCTCCAGCTCTCCGGGCCGGGACGACGGTGTAACAAGTGGTCAGAGGGTTGCAAGCTGGCGGAAGGAAGCCGGGAGGTCTGATCCAGATAGTACGGTATAGTGTACTTCGTAGTCGGAGATAGAACTAAAAGCAACGGGCCAACAGAAGATCGGCCTCGGGCTGTGACTGGTCAGATTCCGATAGCTGTAATCAGATTACTGACACCTTCACGTCAGGGCCAATAAGGGCAGACCCCATTCTTGTCTAGGGGCAGACCACGCTTCTGAGTCATCAACGTCAATAACGTTTCGGGACGAATCTATTATTTACAGATTGACCTCAGACTCAGAGGATTGTTCGCCTGTCTGCGGAGCTACCTCCTACACCTCCTACCTCCTAGAGCGGTTGCCTCTATACCTAGATGGTGACGGGATGCACCGGTGCCGTGCGTATTCTACGAATTTGGCCTCACTGTGAGCCATGGTACTCTAGGGAGCTCCGCTGACTTCCGGAAACTCTTACCAACGTCATCCTCAACATCGGATATGTGGGAGCGGAATATCGCGATGGAGTGCTAAGGCGTGACGACCGCTCGAAACAAGGTACATACATGTACGCACTCCCAAACTCACGTCACATTCCAATCGGTTGTCACATTAACTCTACCTCCTACGACTTTTGTATCCTATCATGTCTGGTCCAATCAAACAACTTGTCCTGGTTCGCCGCCGGGCAGGCCAGAGCGTCCAACAATTCCTTGACTATCATTATCAGCAACATGGTCGTCGTTCCCAGGCTCCCACACCAGAAGAAACTCCTCTGGTCTATTTCCAAACCCACTTTTTCGACTCTATCTATTCGAGTGCGACGCCTGCACAGCCTCTGTGGTCGGGTCACAATGATGCTGCAGAGCTCTATTTCAGCGACATGGCGCATCTGGGCCGTGTGTTTGGGAGCAAGCACGTCCGAGAGGTTGTTGGACCGGATGGCAAGAACTTCAACGACTTCGCTGCCACCATTGCTATGTTCACTTACGAAGAACTCATCTCAGGCTCCGAGCCACTGGAGCAAGGCGATGAGCAAGTCTTAGTAGCGAGCTGGTGGGTCCAGTCTCGCGATCCCAAGAAAGATCTAAAGGATTTTGCAACAGAGTTGAAACCCCTCGTGGTAGGCGCTTTTGGCGACCTCAGCCGCAAGGTTGTAGTCAACGTTGCGTTGCCAGACGAAGCGGGCATGTTGAAATACTTCACGGGCGATATCGCGCCAAGCTATTCCGCATGCTACCAAGTCTATCTGACGGACAAGGCCCAGGTTGCCGATTTTCTGGACAAAAAGGCGACTTTGGAGGAACGGGCAGCCGAGTTGGTTGTGCAGGAGACGACGTTCGCGACATTTGGTATTAGATCTGTCGTTTTGGACCAAACCCGAGGCGTGCGTTTCGATGCGTCGAGGCAACCACGGCTGTCATGAGTGCACGAAATTGAAACCATGTGTCGAGGCACCAGCTGGAAGGGGAATATCTTTTGCCATTTGCCCGTGCGGAAAAGCCATTGGCACGGTTGGTTCTCGACCCATGATCGACTCTGATCGGTGTCGTCCTTGCGTCGTCCTTTTTTACGGGGATTGGTATCCGTAATAGTAAATTGAAATATATACACTCGAGTACTCAACTATATAATAAAGAGGTATTCTACTAACAAGAAACCCTGAAAGTATAGGAGGTAGTATACTGAAGAAGAAAGTAAGTAAGTTATATAACAAGGTATCACTAGGAGGTAGGTATAATAGCAGGCAAGTCCTTTCGGCCGGGGCTGCAACCTGCAAGGCTGCAACTAGTTTTTGGGACCATCCGAAAACCCCTAATACCGTAACGACCCTAAGCCCATCGCAGCGCATCCGGGGTGATCTCGATCTGCGATGCTCCCCCTAGCTGCATAAACACGGATACCACATGCAGTAGGACACACCTATCTCCCTTCCTCAAATCAGCGTCATGTCATCGTTGTCTCCGTGTCGATCATCATGTGGCTGCGCTGCTGCTCTTTCCCACTCACGCACCACGCGCGCAGAAATGTCCACATCGATCACAACATCTCCAGGCCAAGGTACATAGGTACCTAGTCTACAATCACGATGCCCGGCCTAGCGAGAAAGCTGCTGGTATTTGCTGCTGTCGACGGTCTGTTCGTTCAAGCGGCGGGTCAACGAGTGGCAGAGGACCGGAACGCTGGAGTGCGGATAGCATACGGTGGAAGCAACACGATCACGACGGCACGCGAGCAGAATGAGACCTTGGAAGGCGCTTCGCTAGAGGCTCATGGCATCGTTGGTGCGAGCAGACGTCTTCGACTATCTTGCACCTATCAATTTGCTGATCTGTCGTAGGCCTGCTGAATCTGGTCTCACAAAGCTATCTTGTCACGATCACGAAGCGTCAGCAGGTCGCACATATTCGCGAGAGGCCGGTATTCAGGATCACCGATGTGTCACTGATACCGCTATCATCCAGAGCGGAGGCCGCAACCGCTATCAGTGAAGCACAGAAGCGCCTTCGTCCTGGCAGTGGCAGCGATGAGGGTGAAGATGATGAGACCAGTACGATAGGAACAGAGCCGGGAGAGCAGGCACAGGAACACTACCCAGAGAATGGTGCTGATGCGCTGGAGCCGTCCAAGGAGGACACGGTCAGGAAAAACACAATGCAGGATGTGATACAGACCAAGGGCAAATTTGCACGCTATGCAACCAGCTGGTTTGGCAAGACTGGCACTCCGGCCAATTCCAAGTCGTCGGAGAGTGGTAAGACAATTCCACAGGAGCAGGCCAGGCAGGAAGGAGAGGACCAGCTGGACGTAAGAGAACGCGTCGAGGATGTCCAGAGTAGGTCAAGTACCGAGAAGCGTCGACAGACTGCCGTTGACTTTTTGGCACCTCGCATCCTCAGGAACGCCAGGCTGTACTTCAGCTCGAGCGGGTTCTACTTCTCCTACGACCACGATCTGTCTCATGCACTGGGCCGAGCTCCCCAAGTATCCTCCTCAATGCCCATGTGGAAGCGATTTGATAATTTGTTCTTCTGGAACCAACATCTGATCAAGCCCTTCAGCCACGCTGGACAAGACAGTCTTGTCTTGCCATTGATACAGGGCTTTGTGGGCCAGCGAGCCTTCTCCATAATGCTGGCAAATGACCAGAGCGTCCTGACTGAAGCCGATGGCACTGAGCTGACTGACTTCTCTCAGAGTGAAACAGCCAAGGATGCCATCAACCATGACTTTCTTCTCACTCTTATCAGTCGGAGATCCGTGAAGCGTGCCGGGCTTCGATATCTGCGACGAGGCATTGATGACCAAGGTAATGTGGCGAACAGTGTCGAGACTGAACAGATTCTATCTGGCCAAGTGAACGACAGCACGGAGAAGTTATTCTCACTCCTGCAATATCGAGGCTCGATGCCTTTATTTTTCTCGCAGAGCCCGTACAGCTTCAAGCCCGCGCCAGTACTCTTTGGTAGCGAGGCAACCAACCAGGCAGCCTTTCGGAAGCACTTCCAATCCCTCGTGGATCGGTATGGCGACATGCAGGCTGCCTCGCTGGTTGACAAACACGGTACGGAGGTTGGTATTGGAGCCGTCTACGAGAACATGGCGAATACTTTGAACGAGAAAGGCGGCATCAATGGGAAATCAATCGGCTTCGAATGGTTTGACTTCCACGGAGAGTGCAAAGGCATGAAGTTTGAGAATGTCTCGATATTGATGCACACCCTCGACAAGTTCTTGACCTCGTCAGGCTGCACGATCGAGCAAGATGGAAAGGTCGAGCAGAAGCAGAGCGGCGTCTTGAGAACAAACTGCATGGATTGCCTTGATCGCACGAATGTCACCCAATCCGCAGTAGGGGCGTGGGCTCTACAGCAACAGCTTGCGCAACTGGGGTTGGACATTGACCTGGAGAGTGATCCCAAAACGCAATGGTTCAACACTCTGTGGGCTGATAATGGTGATGCCATCTCGAAGCAATATGCTGGCACGTCCGCACTCAAAGCAGACTTCACGCGAACGAGAAAGCGGAATTGGGCGGGCGCTTTGTCTGATTTGTCTCTCACGATCAATCGCTACTACAACAACATTTTCGGCGATTACTTTTTGCAGGCTAACATTGACTACTTTCTGGGCGCTCTGCCTTCGGTTTTTGAAGAATTTGAGACCAATATGACCACGCAAGACTATGCCCTCGACATGAATGTCATTCGGCAGAATGCAATCGATACTAGCGAGAAGATTGTACTGGGAGATGACGAAAATCTCATCTCGGCTTGGACGCTGAGTTCTCCCCGAAGGGCAAACACTTTGCGATCTTTGCCGTTTGAGGAGTGTGTGGTGTTGCTTACAGATGAAGCACTATATCACGTGCGCTTCGATTGGAACACAGACAAGGTTGGGTCCTTTGAGAAGATATGTTTGCTGGACATTCGAGAAATCTGGCGTGGACCTTATATCACGTCTGCGTTGGGTCCGATCCATCTTGATCCGTCTAAGAACTATGGCTTTGCGCTCAGATATACGTGCGGGTCATCCTCCCTTGTGCCGACAAACACGCGTACACTCGGTACTTCTCCGGATGACGCTGAAGCTGCGTCTGAAGGCGAGGGAGTCGAGCATGAGAGTATCGAACAAAAGCACATAGCAGATGACAGCAATCGCGGGAATCACACAGTACCCAAGGTTGGTGATACGCGGATGCTGGCTTTCAAGGCGCTACCTCCAGGCCACATGAAGGCAGATACCAAAGCGGATAACCGTGCAAATCTGGGCTCGGTAGAAGCTGTCGTGCGTATCACAGAGGAGCTGCAGAAAGCGATCCGTGGCGCGAGAAAAGTGGACAGTGGAGGTAGCTCCGAAGAGACCAAGGACGAATTCCATGTTCAGGAACACGATATCATCTCCGCAGCTGAGGCGAAGAAGAGCACGTCTTACGTGGAGAGTCTGGGATATACGTTGAAGAAGCTGGTGTGGTCATAGCATATGGCAATCGGAGTGTCATGGCGTCAAGGAAGAGGATAGCTTCCATGTTTGACAGATGGAGCGGGCTTTGGTGAGTCTTGAAATTTTCTACGTAGTGCGCATAATATTTGTGCATCGCCAGATTGATCGACAAGACAGAAGCATGTAGGAGGTAGGATTGGCAGGCCAAGCCTCGCAAAGGACGTAAAAGTGTGGACTTCACTTATGAGTAATACTATAGACTAAGAGGTGCGCGAACATTCACGCGTCAATCTCGCGATTCACTCTCAGCCAACGAAGCTATAACGAACGTGGTTTTCGCAAACAATCACGTAACGAGGGACTTCGCCGTAGCTTCCTTATACGAACCACCTTCCCCTTCGCGCCTGCTTCGAAAAACGAAACCCTTCACCACTCCCACAGCAACCCCAATTGTATACTGTCATCTGCACACTCGTCGCCGCAAGAGTTATGCCGCGCTGCTACCTCGAGCCCACTGGCGACCACGACGACGAAGGCCTCGATGCCGTCCGTCTGTGGCTCACAGGCTTCATTACCGCCGACGACGACTTCTTCACCAACCCGCCTCCTCGCATTGAAGACTTGCATTCGGGTTTGATGTAAGTCATCCATCCCTCTCGCAATTAAACAAACATCTAGATCATCCGACTCACCCTCCCCCTCTTCAGATGCGCCGTCATGGAGATCAAAGTCCGCCTCGACCCCCAGCTTGAATACGTCGTCAACACCGCCCTAGAAGCTCAATGCAGTATCGAACTCGACCCGGCGTCTTTTTGGTCGAAGCGGAAATTCAATGTAGAGGCGTTGGAACGTATTCGCGAACCGGGAATTCGAGCTCTCAACCGGCGGCTGACAATGAGGCATTTGGAAGACGCGAGAAGTGAAATCGGATGGGTGAATCATGAAATTAGGAGGCTGGAGGTGCATTGTGATGTGGCGTCGAAATTGATTGGTGCCAAGGTCAGGAGTAGCTTTTCCTATCGGCCGACGGAGAGGGTGGAGGGTTTGAAGCGTGCGCTGGTGCCGGATGTGGAGAGAGATGGGTTAGTGTTGAGGAAGGAAAGGGGAAGGAAGAAGGGGGATGAGAGTGAGGATGAGGACGAGGATATGTTGGATCATGATGTCGATGCGGATTTGGATGCTGAGAGGAGGGAGAGAAGCCGGACGCCCGAGCCGGGAGAGACGAGTGAGTACGATGATTATGACTTGAGCGAGGAGGGGGAAGTGGGAGAGGAAGACGCTGCCATGAGTTACGAAGTTGAAGAGGACAAGGAGAATGTGTCTAGAGGCAGGGCAGACAGTGTTGTGCATGGGTCATGGGGAGATTTGAGGATATGAAGTGCTACTATAAGCGGTCTTTCAAGTGTCTGGTCTAAACATTCGAAGAGAGGCAGAACGCAGTTCACTTCATCACTGAGTACTCCGTTAGCACCAGAGTGAGCCTGCTCGGTACAGCGTGAACGAATACTATACGACAATGAAGTTACTTGACAACATCCACCTTTCCTTTTCAGCGGCAGAAAAAAAAAAACCAGACTCAACTCGCCAAATCATAATGCATGCTGCCGCACATACTCACACAACACAATCCCCGCCGCAGTCTGCACATTCAAACTCCTCGTAATCCCCACCTGAGGAATTTCCACCAACAAATCACACTCGGCCAACACAACCGCAGGAATCCCCTCCCGTTCACTCCCCACAACCAACACACATTTCTCCGGCAACACACACTCTTTCGACCCCAAAATCGCCGACCGATCCGTCTGTTCAATCCCCACAACATAAAACCCACCTCCATCTTCTCGTTTTTTCGCCGCGAGAAATTGCGCAAGAGAAGCCGGTGGCAGGGGTTGAATATCGAGATGAAGATGCGAAGAGACGGAAGTCGAAGTGAAATCTTTGGACGATGTGGTGAGGCGCGGGTTTTCGATGTAGAGGGTTTTTGCGCCGAAAATTTCGCTGACCCGGGAGAGGCCGCCGAGGTTGTAGGGATTGTCGACTAGAGAGGCGATGACGAGGAGGGTTGGGGGGCGTTTGCGAGAGGTTTGGGAGGAGAGGTAGGCTGCGCCTTTGGTTTGGAGGGCTGGTGTTGGTGTTGTTGTTGTGACTTCAGTGTTGAGAGCGCGGGAAATGGCGGTGATGTTTTGAAGGGTGCGGGATTCGAGGTCTTTTGGTGGCTGAGGCTTCTCTTGTTGGGTGGGAAGAGCTGGGCGGTGGATGAGGGTAGTAGAATCGCCGAGTGGAATGCAAGACGGGGGAAGTGATGGGGAGTCATGATCATCGTTGGCATACAAAGTCAGAAAATCAGACCGAGAGCATAGTCGTTTCTCGTGCTCATCCAGCTCGTGCCATGGACCTTCGACCAAGTGTGTGAGGTTGTGATGTTTGATGGGATCAAAATTTCCTATTTGTCGCTCCACAGGTGGGTCGTCGAATCGTTCTAGACTTCGGATATAATCGTCCAGCGCTTCAAAGGCCGGGTTCCTCATGCCAGCATCACTTTGCATCTCCCGTACATGTTCCAGCAGAATTGGGACTTGCCACTGTGCTTCATGCCGGATCACCACCTTGGAAGAAGCCGCCAGGGGCACGAAAAGTGTCGCTAATTGTGATGCAAAGACCAGATCCGAACCCTCTGACTTTGCTATTCTCACTCCGATCTTCATTAGTGATGCCAAGAACTTGGGATTTGAGTGGTGGTCTTTGGTGCGTAGTTCCTGGAAGATAACGTCTCGCAGCTCCGGGTGGTGGATATAGATGCGCGCAACCATCCATTCAAGCAAGTATCGGTAGCGAGGCAGAGGCTCGACAGAGAGCACATACTGGATTTTCGTGAGGAGAGCCCGCACTTCTTCACTTGCAGCATGAGGCACAAATTGCTCGCAGCAGAGAAGCATGACCTGCAGCTCTAATACTGTCTTCCATGTACTGACCACGTTTGGTGGGATTTTCTGCGTATACCAAGGTGCAAAGAGTGTATCAAAAGTCTCTCTGGGGAGCTTGGCATCGATGGTGTGTAAACGGCTGGAGAGATCTAAAAGACCTGCAAAGCCAATGGCCTCTCGATGTCCAAAGTAGAATTCGTGGTTGAAATTTTTCAGCTCCGAGCTGACACCGGGCAGCAGTGGCACCAGTGCTTCATCCAGCTGCATGTCGATTGAAGTGGATGGCGGATGCTGTGCCAGGTGCACGATCAATGCAGACAAGTTGAGTAGAGACGCCGCGCTAGGAAGTCGTAAAACGACAGCTCTGACTGACTCCACGAGTGATCCCAACAGGTATGATCTGGGCTCGGAGAGACGAAGCAGTTTTTCGACTTTTGCACTCAGCAGCCTTGACAAACTGCTGCTGTTCGTTTCCAGGGCGAACTGTAGCAAATCATGATCGAGGAAGACTTTTGTCATGGACAGCGTCAGACCTTTAGGATACTCCAGATACTCCAGGTCGTTCCAGATCTCGCTGAGTTCCTCTTCTACAGCGTCCGCTTCTGGTCGGGGCGTACGACCACTCTCGACCAGCTTTAGGAAAGCGATGCATCTCTGTTGTGCCTTTTCCTCGTTCTTCTCCCGATTAGAGGGCGGCAAGGCCATCGAGCCTATGGTTCCGTCCTGTTCAGCAGATGCATTGGAACTGAGACCTCGGGCCTTTTCCGTGAGATCATCCCACTTCTTCGCTGAAACGTTGACGAATTCTGTCAAGGTCTTCGAGCTTTGCCTTTTGGCATAGTCATGGCACATCTTCCAACTTTGCGCAAACAGATAGTCGCGAGCTACCTCGGTCAAGTTCGCCCATGTCGCAATCTCGTACATCTTCTCGAGATGTGCCGGACTGATTGAAAGCCCAGGATTTTCCTGGACAGCTCGTGCAATACCATCGATCAGATAGACTTTTGCCTGCGCAAAGCGATTCCCATGTCTGCCGGAGATGCTGGCTAAAATTGCCTCAACCGCAGGACCTAGCAGATCCGGGTTATTGCTGAGCAGCTTGAATATAAAGGAAGATAGCTTATTGCCATGTTCGCAGTAGAGCACGCCGTCCTCTCTGCGTAGGGTATTTGTGAAAAGGTAGCCGAGAGTCGCCCATGGCAAGAATGCATCTTGCAAGAAATTCAGGTACTCAGTCGTGCCGTCCACACGAGGCACTGCATCCATCACCCAGGAGCCGATGAGCTTTCTATTCGAATCTTGCATTTTCTGGTCCAAGGCGCATGTGAGTAAAGTGTATAACCACACAGGCTTGACGGCTGACTTGTCCGAGGACAGAAAATCCATGTCGGCCTCGCATTCTTGCACCTGGTTCAGATAGCGTCCGAGAACAACAGTTTCATAGACGGTACAATATCGAGCGTAGTGTTTCTGTACAGTGGCTGGAGCTAAATTTCGGTCAGCATTAAGCATTGGGAGAACTCACCGGGAGCAGTGAACATATGAGCACGTATAGTTTCGCGGTGGACTTGCAAGTATAAGCCAGATGCTCGACTTGTTGGAGTGGGTCGACTTACATTCGTTCGAATGTGATGAGGCTGCAACGATGCTCAGCAGTTCAGGATCCTCAACAGCGGCCTTCACTGAGGCTCTCAGAATCTGTAGACTACTCTTGCGTCGTTCCGAGTCGCCATATCGAAGACCATTGATCAGTGAAGACCAGTATTGCTCGGACTGGAGAATGATGGGCTCCACAGCAGCGGATGAAGTAATCCATCGAAGCCACAGAGAGTATCCCAGTGCCTGGTAGAACTTATCCGCAGACCTGGTAAGATCCTGCACCCGCATCCAAATACTCTGCTGATCCTCGCGCGAAAGACGGTCCCGTCTTGCCATAAGTAGGAAAAGCGTTTCTTGCGCTTGCAATCGCAGCTCACGATTCGCAGCACCGAGCAGAACAAGGGCAGGTCGGAACAAATCATCAATTCGACCTGCGAAAACAGCATGCGAAGACAAACGGTTAACAAGCCGAAGTGAATGTGTACATGTCACCACAATCGTATCGACCACCGGCTGTACATTACCATCAACCGATGATGATGATGATGATGATTGATCGGCCACAACAACCGCCTCTGGCCCCGAAACCGGCACAGGAAAATGCTCCTTGGACGCCTCACGTAGCACATTTGCCGCATCCCGAATCTGCACACACGCTTGCGAGAGCACTTCATTGCCCATCTCCGGATACTCAATGCATACCGCCGCCACCGGATCCATCTGACCAAACTCGACCAGATTCCTCAGATGAGAGAAGAGACTTTTCGATGCCTCTGCATCTGGCCGGAGTTGCAGCAAAGTGGCAGCAAAACTCAAGTCAGACTTTCCACTCCGTGCATCGAGCGAGTGGGCGACATCGCGCACCAGGTGGATTTGCTCGTCAGGAGAGATGCGGTCCAGAAGGAGATGCGCCGTTTGAGCGCGGATCGAGGTCATCGCAAATGTTCTGTTGATCACGGGATATGATTTTATGACATGTTGTCTTCGGGACGCGGTTCGTAGGAAATGCTTCATGAACAATGCGGCGGATGGAATGGGAAGAATTCAACCATTCGATTTACCTGGACTCCTGGAGGACACTGTTGTTACGTTGATTCGAATGAGGTTTAATATTTTTCGCCAAGAATTTGGCCTGACCAATGACGACTAGCGCGGTTCGACACGTCTTCCACGACACGACTCGAACGCGAACTAGAAGAGGTCCACGGAGACCTCCTCCAGAAGAAGTAATGGCATCAACATGATATCCGCATGGCAGGGCAGTATCGCAATAGATGGCCAGCAAGAACTCAAAGGTATGCATTCCCCTCTTCACCTCTTCACCGCACATGCTATTCCTAATCCAATCTTCCAGATGTATCGTTGTCCAGCCAGGATGATGCCCAACTTCTTCACCTCTCATCAGATTGCACTCTACGCGTCTTGTCCGTAGTCGAGACTGCTCGCATACCACTATACCTTCACATAGGACCTGCATATCAACTTACAACCTCGTCACCCGAGGCCGAAGCATGGCTATCAGGCATACTACTGAGCGCATCCCGCTGCGATGATGGAAGCACTTCCTCCTGGTGGAATACAGCGAAAACGGACTCACCACTAGCCGTCTTGCTTGCCGTTGATCTCGCACACAGCCCTCCTAAAGCAACATCGACAAGACCGCTTACCGAGCTGCTGCTCTATGCTAGTCGTAAATCACCAGCAGATGCATTGCGTGTTTTTGCTCTCCCACTATGCTCGCACTTGCTCTCACACAATGTCCCCGAGAGGCCAACGCCACCGCCGTCGCCGGACGACTCTAGCGAGGCAGCCGAGGCGACTTTCTTGGTCCTGGATCATCCACAATCGCTTCAAAGAGAGGAAATCATCAATCTGCCGCCAGTTGTGAGGAAGAGAAAGACAGTCGCCGATCAGTTCGATGAAGCGGCCGAGCGTAGACTCCAAGCCCGACGGAAGGGTGGTGCGGGGCTTGCTGCTGTCACTGCGACTCGTACAGCTTCAACCGAGATGCTGCCAAGTCTGAGGCATCGCAGATCTGCCAGCAACAATCAGGCTTCGTTACGCACGAGACCGACTTCGAGAGCTTCCAGTGTGTCATCAGCGCGGCCACCAACGGCAAGAGAAAGCTCGATTCCAGCTCAATCTAAGCGTTCTTTGCTGGCTACAGTGCAAAGTACTACAGAAGAGCCAGCTCCACTTGAAAAAGCCTCTCTCGAGGTCAAGAACAAAGAAATCATCTCAAAAGTGGTGCTAGCTGGCATGCGTTTATATGGCATCGTCCCGAGCAAGACCCGCAAGTCAAGGTCAGGGTCGACTGTGGCTTCGCCTGCTATAGATGCCAGTTTCGCTGAGCTGGATATTGAGCGACGGAACGACGAGGAGTACAAGCTGATGTACCACCAAGTCTACAAAGGAACCTGCTTCGCATTCCGGCAGCACATAGCCATCACATCGCTGGCACTGCACACGGACGCACTGCGAGAGACGGTAGACAAGTTCTTGGGAATCCATTGCAGCGATCCTTTGCTGCTTGGGGGCAGTATGGAAAATGATGAGAAATTCACCCCCGGCGGCAGGAAGGCATTTGGCTCTGAAGCCGCACCAGTATCGGGTAATCCATTTCTGGCAGCACCTGTATCAACAGTTCGTGCCAGCACGCCTTGTGATCGGAGGATAGCGGTGAGCAAGGGTACATGTACCACAGTGCATCCTGCATGACCACGCGTATAGCCTCCATACGATGGAGACGCTGTTTGGCTCTGCAGGTTGCGCAGCTAGGATATGTTTTCTGGTCACGTCAACGATTGTCTCACTGTATCCATGAGGATCGACGTCCCGCTTCACCTTCTTTTGCATCCGACAAGCAGGGAGGTGACATTTGTGGTATGCTCCTACATCTATGAGCCGCCAGACAAGCTCCACAAGCACACAGAGTGGCTACACCTCGAAGCACTTGGGTATTTCCACAGCAACGACAGGTTGCTCATGTTGTGCAGCTAACGGATTGCTGTCAACGCGGCAGAGGTTTGCCGCAGTACCTGCATAAGTCACAAGCCGTATGCCGTGTGCGCGGAATACCGTTGCAACTCACCGGGTCGCACAAGGATCCGCAAGGGACCTGAAAAAAAAGATGTACGAAACTTTGCAACACAGTGGTCGCTTTGTCACCGGAAGGATTGCCTGCTTCTGACAGTGACTCCAATCGAAACGTCGCTCAATCGTCGACAACGCTACCTCCTAAGCTCTCACGGATACCTGTTGAAAGACTGTTCATTCAAGCCTTTGTCGTTCAACCTCCACCCAAAACATGGAAAAAAGGCCTTTCGCGAATCGATAATGTTCAGCAAGCCTCGTCACCAGCGAACCGCATTCGGATAATGGTCACCAAAAGTCTTTTTCGACAAGTTACATGATTCTTGAGCAGCTATACTCTGCGCGAGGATCATCTAGCCTCTCGATTGCCCCGGCACAGTGTTGCAGACTCCAAGTTTTTGGTTTGGAAAAACTCCATCACAGAGAGAGGATCCTAGCTATCCTCAACCCATATATATATCCTCGCTAGAGCATAAAGAGAGAAAATCATCCCGCACACATCCTCTCCATCTCATAAGCAATTCCACCCACTCCAACATTTCCACCCACATCATCGCCCAAAAAACCCCAACCCCAAACAAAAAAACAATGCCCATCCTCACCCCCCATCTCCCCCTCTTCATCCCCCTCTTCATCTCCATCTTCCTCCTCTCCACCCCCACCCTCGCCCAAACCACCTCCAACAGCACAACCGCCTCCCTCCCGCAATGCGCCCTCGAATGCCTCAACCCAGCCAGTCTCCTCGCCGGCTGTGCCGCAGGCGACTACGCATGTTCCTGCCAACACTTTGCGGAAATTTCTCTGGAAGCTCGACCTTGTATTTTGAATGCTTGTAATACGACTAAGGAATTGCCGAGGGTGTGTGAGGGAATTAGAGATTTGTGTCGGGTGTATAAAGTTCCTGTGCCGGAGGGGTGTGGGGTTAATGTTACTTTGGATGGGGGTGGGGGAAGTTGAGGGGGAAGGGGATGGAATTCTGGGAGGAGAGGATGGATGAGAGATTGTGAGTGATTTTGGTTGTTTCTGTTGGATGATGTGCTTACTGATGGGACCAGAGGATGTGATTTGGTTGGTGGATGTGTGGGTCTGGTTTGGAAAGGGATGGGCATAGCGTAGACGTATCGAAATGAACATGAGCAAATAACCAAAAGGTTCTTTTCTGGCGAGCTCTACATCGACATGTACCCCAGAGCTGGAAAGACAGCACATCATAATCACAAGCGTTGGAGAGAAAGGATGGCGTATATTAGGATTTGTTCATGAATTCATTTCTCAGAGCGCTGGCTTCGTCGTCTCTTCATCCACTCTCAATTACCATCAGACCTGTAGCACAACGACCCATCTCTGTTCGCCCACCACCACCCACCATCTCTCATTCGCATCATCGAATCTCAAACTCCCCATCGTCGTCTGCCAACCCATCACTATCCCAATCATCCTCCTGGTCCCGCCTCGCCAATTCGATGAACCTCTCCAATTCTTCCTGTTGTTGGCGATCTCGTACGTCGTCCTGTTGTTCCGCGTTGGCATCGACTCCGACTGCCCGTGGTCGGTTGCGGCCTTGCGCGGGTCGAGGTTGTCGTCGTTCATGGGCACGGACGGCTTGGGCCGCGCCGCGACCAGCATTGGCAGGCGCACGGGGATAGGGGTTGCGGGCTCTTCTGCCGCCTCTACCACGTTGTTGTGGATGATGTTGAGGCTGTGGTACTGGGGCTAGTTCTGCTCGTTGGATGCCAAGGAGGTTTAACTCTTGATCATTGAGGTCGTCGAAGTTGACTTCGATGTCAAGGTGGGCGAGTTGGGCGAGGAGCGGTTGTTGCTGTATGTGGTCGTTGTGTAATATCGGGCCTCGAGCATCCTCTTCTGCCTGTAACCGAGCGGCTTCTGTGGCGGCTGCTTGCTCATCGGCTTGGCGTGCTGCTTCGATTGCGAGCTGTTCCCAACCTATAGCACACACTGTTAGCACCAGGCACACCAAAAGACACTAGTGCGGATTTTCCTACCTCTCGCGCCACCTGCAAAACCTCTTCCATCTTCGGGACCTTGCCCCTCATCACCCTCTTCCAGTTCCCAGAGACGTTGATAGCAAGGTGACCCGCCTTTGTTGAAATGCTGATAAGGGTTCTCGCCATCCAGCCAAGAACCACAGAGGTAGCAGAAGTGAGTCCTGCAATTGAAACAAGACATGTGATTACAGCCCATTGTCTTCTGCACCGGCGCCTGACAGTACGGACAAGGCGAGGTGTGCAGGCGAATGTACTCGTATGTCGCCTTCTCTTCAACCGAGAGCTCGTTAGGATCTCGAGGATAACAACGCACGAAATTACCGTGCCAGCCTGAGTAGCACACCTTACAGAATGCAAGTAAGCACTTCTCACATACGGCAAGCCTGTCAGTCGGATCGGGTTGACTATTGTTCAGGTTGACCTTCTTCGGCGGATCGGCGGCCACTGTCGGGATGGTCTTTTTGTTGTCATCATCGACGTCGCTTTCGGCGTCAGAGGATGGGTCAACGTAAGCGTTCAGATCAGCTGGGATGAGAGGATATTTGTCACTCTTCGCCGGGCCTTGACACCATTTCCGTGGACAATAGACGGTATTCTTGTCGGCCTCCAACTTCTTCTTCCTCTTCATCTCGACATATCTCCTGACCTTGTCTTCCTCGACACCCATAGCCAGCAGTTCTCTCGGGTGCAACGTCCGCTCGCTCTTCTTCTTTCGCTTTTTGTCTTTCCCACAGCCAGGGTCCAAGCATCGCATCACAGCCACATCTCCCTCCTTGATGGCATTGTTGTAGAAGTCCTGTAGACATTGCTTACAGAAGACATGCTCGCACTTCTCCATCTTGTAGCATGCACAGCCTTTCCTAGGCTCAAGACACACGCCGCAGTCGTACGTGCCTGCATTGAAAATGGCCAGCTTCGTCCGCGCATCGAAGCTCACGAGGTTCGATTCGTGAGTCTCAGGCAGGACAAGACATCCGTCGGCACTGTCAGCGAGATCAAAAGCGCGCTCGGCTGCTTGTTGGAGATGATCAATGTAGACGAAAAGAATCTGACAACATCCATACTCTTCCCATAGCTTCGCAGCTTCAGCTTCCAGTGCTGCTACTTTCTCTTTCGGCAACCAATCGTATTGCGCTGTGAGACGTACTTTCGGTGGCGCCGTCGCGGGGTACTCGTTGGGGAGAACGACATGGAGCTCGAGGGGCGGTAAATTCGACAAATGGACATCGCGTTCGACGTGCGACTTGTTCAGGGCGAGGGCATAGTTGGGCGTGGATCCGGACTGTGGCACAAATCGTACTAGCAGAGGCGCAGCTGGCGCGACAGGAAGCGACAGAGTGGCGGTGAAGTCCTGATCGACGACGAGTTCGGGGTAGATGGCAGTGAGGGAACCCAATTCTTCCTCTCTCTCGTCTTCGTCGTCTACGGAGGCCATGGTCGTGGAGTGCTGGTTGAGATCAATGTGATAGCAGGTCTCGCAGTCTTGGGAGACCTGTCAGCCTGTGCTATGATGGTGGCATCGGTGGAGTGAACAGAAGACCTCGCACAGGTCTTCAGTGTCCGGGAGAAAAAGACGTCTTAGTCACGGCGAAAGATAGCAGCAGAAAAGTCACTTTGTTGGATGGAGGTGGCGAGTGCAATCGCGAATGATGACTACACCAACCAGCAACGTCGGTGTTCCAAACGGAGCTTCTGCCGAGTTCCGAAACTCTATTCTAGCACAACCCCTGCTCCCTCCACGCAACAACTACCCATAGGTAGGTAAATATATGTTGGAACCACACACCACACTAGTGCCCAATTGAGAAGATTGATGGAATACCAATCAATAAGTGGATTAATTGAGGTCCGAGGTCTGACCTCTCAAGAAAAGAAAGGAGGGGGGTAGGTATTCCCAACTCTACATACAAACGCCAAGGAATCAGTGGCCCCTGTTATCTATATGACTCATATCACATGATGCCAGGGCACCTATGTCCTTTTGTCCAAACACACCTCCCTCAGCTTGATTACATAAGAAAAGCTGAAATACCAGACATAGTAACCGTCTATCTCAATCCAATGATCGACTATACCCACTTACCTAAGCCCTAGGCTCGTCCGGAATGACTGGAATGACCCCTTTGGGAGGTTCTTTGTAAAGCTATCAGCTCGTTGCTTGGCAGTCCTAATCCATTCTACGGTCAATCGTCCTGCTATGGTTTCCTACCTTACCTAGTGTTGATGGATATCTATATGTCTCAAAGCCGTATTGAGTGAACTATGCTTGTGATTAGCGATATCTACTGCTCGTTGGTTGTCACAGAAAACCTTAGTTCTACCTATAGTTCTATCCTTGACAGGCTCCCCAGATGGCTTATTTCTAGGTAGAGGTAGAAATACCTTGTCAAATTCAGAGAAAAGTCGAGTCCACCAGTACCTATTACCTGCAATTGATGAGAGTGCTAGCAACTCTGCCTCTGCGGTTGATTTGGTGACTGTCTTCTGCTTAGTTGCTTGCCAATCAATAGTACCACTATATATTATCATCAAGAATCCCTGTGAACTCTTCCTGTCCGGGTTGTTACTAAATAAAGCATCTACATACAGCTCTATCTTGGGCTTGTCCCTATGGAAGTGCAACTTCATGTCCTTGGTACTATAGAGGTAGGCAATCAGGTGATTGGCAGCTTCTATATGAGCTTGGCTTGGATTCTTCAGAAATTGAGAAAGAGTAGCATATGCCTTTGCTACATCCGGCCTTGCCAAAACAGCTGTATGACCAATTGAACCAACCTTTATCTGATATCCTTTGATGAAGTTAGGCCTAGCTGTATTAGTGGCAGGTTCTAGGTTTCCAGTAGGAAGTGGTGTATCTGGGAATCGAGTCCTCTTATGAACACTAAATTTGATACTAATCTTTGTTAGGTAGGCAGACTGGTATATGGTTAGGGTTTCCTGGTCTGGTGATTCCAGGACTTCTGTGCCCAGAAAGAAGGATGGCTCTTTCTGAGTAACCTCAAAGTTGGAAAGCAGGTACTGGTTGAACAGGATGGCTTGATCCTCCCTGTCCCTCTCATAAATCAACCTGATATCATCCACATAGAATATCATGAGCAGGTAGAGATCTATGTTCACTATCAGACAGTCAATTCCAGGAACTAGCTCAAAGCTATAGTCTTCCATCCTTATAACAAACAGGTCATACTACAGGCGAGGTAATTCAGCCAATCTATAGAGTGCTTTCTCAAGGATGAAGCAGGCATCTGGTCCAAATCCATACTCCTCTATCCCTTTAGGGATTGAACAATACACAGTGTGAGGAATGGTAGCATTTGGGAAGGCATTCACTATATCCTATTACCGGGTTTTCAGATTCCTTGCAAAGGCTAGGGCAGTAATGGCCCTGAATACCTTGTAACCAAGTGTGGCAGCATAGGTTTTATGGGTTGATGGCAATTGAAGATCCCTACGGACACAGAGTCTGGCCTTGTACCTGAGAATCTCACTAGTTGATAGGTCTGTTTTGTAGGCAAATACCCAGACCAATGGTACTTTGTAGCCCTTGTGACCAAAGAATACCCTGAATGTCCTCTTGCCTATAAGCTTTCCAGCTTTATCAAATGCTGCTTGCCTGAACTGTTGGTGATGGACATGCCTTTCCATCTCTTTCCAGTTGGCAGGGGGTGACAGTGAACTCGTCACTTGATAAGGATCCTTGAGGTTGGGTGGAGTGTAGGCTTGGAGTGAAGCTGCAGCAGCAGAACTCAGTTTATCCAACCGTCCAATTCCATAGTCGATCCATCGTCTATGGTTGTCTACACTGTACTAATAGGTACTTTCTTCTACCTCCCTATCTAAGGCAGGGTGCTGATAAGAGACCGAAAAAGCGGAGGGTAATGAAGAAGCGGGTGTACCCGGTGAGGCCCCCGGGGCCTGACTATTATCTCTAGCAGGTGTTTCTAGCGGCGTTGGGTATGATGACTCCTGTTCCTATTGTAGCCCTTCACCTCCCTGCTGTTTACTACCTCCCTAAGGTTGGACAGCAAAAGTCGGAATATTTGTGGCCAGGAAAGGGTCATCTATAGAACCATCAGAATTTGGCTCTTCAGGTATTGAGATTGAGTCAATTACAGTCTAGTAAATAGTAGCAGGAACCAACTCTCCAAGTGTCTGCCTATTGATATCCAGCGGATTGTATCTCTTATTATCCTTGAAGACTACATCTCTTGTCCTAATTACCTTATTGAGTGAAGGAATCCAGATCCAAAAAATATTGGTGGAGGTATACCCAATTAGGTACCCAATATGAGCTCTCTCTTCCATCTTGTCTCTCTTGGCAATGTCTCTACGAAGAGCGAAGGCCTTGCAACCAATAGGGTAGAGATAGCTAAGGAAGGGCTTCTTGGTTGTGACTTTCTCAAATGGAGTTATCCAATTGAGTTTGGCAGTAGGGGTCCTATTGAGTAGGTAAACAGCTGAATCCATAAGCTATGGCCAGAGTGTCTTTGGTAGTCGACCATCAATCCTGAGAGTCCTGGATTTGGTAATAATCTCTCTTCTAGCAACCTTACTTGCTCTATTCTGAGCAGGGGTACCAGCAGCAGTAGGTAGAGTATTGATCCCCTGCCTAGTAATAGCTTTGCTAGCATCCTTTCCTATAGTTGCTTCTATATTACAGCGAACTAGGATGGTTTTGGCACCAAAGGACACTTCTATCTTCTTGAAATGTCCTAGAAATTTGGCAATTGCTTGTGGCTTGGTTGCTACAGGATTACTAATATAATAGCCCTCCTGGTTATAGTACTAGTGGCTGTAAAACTTGAAGACCAATCCATTTGGTCTAGGGAGAGAAGGGGTTATATTAATGAGATCCTATAAACAGACAGCTATCTTGGCATTCTCTGCCTCAGGCAGCACCTCTCTGTACTTGTCTTTCCTCCTTGAAATCACTGCTTTGGCCTTGGCCAGCAAGTAGGTGTTACAGGTGATACTGTTCAAAACCTCTTGGCTATAGTCTGGGCTAGGTTTTATCTCAATTACCTGGCAACCCTTAGTTGCAGGTTCTAAGTTCTCAATGGCCCTTATAGATAGATAGCCTAGCAACTGATGCTATTGATTGGCTGTTGCTGTCAAAGGTAGGAGTGGTTGGTAACTGGATTGTGCAGTAGTAGTAAATCTAGTAGGTGACGTTGAGGCAGGTAAGGTTGACTTCCCCGCATTCTCAGAGTGTAGGGTGCATATTGACTTCACCTCCTCAATTCCAGTAGTTCTAGCAATACTCTCTATTGTAGGTAACCTTTCAATAATCTAGTGACCGTGTCTGTCGTTACTGTGTTCAGGGGTAAGGTATGCCCAGAGCCTGGGTTCCTTATGAGGTTGGCTAGTAATCAATCTATCAGGCCAGTTTCTAGTGTTATAGTGAATCCCCTTTTTGTTGAGGATTTGTAGTAAGACCAAGCTTGTAAAGAATCCCGGAATGAGCCTTGCCTTGAGAAGAGTGAGCTTCCTAGTAACTCTATTACCTATATCCAGATTGATGGTAGCATTAACAATTGCCTTAGGTTGGTACCTCTTGTCCCCAGATATCACTGTATTAGAGGAGGTTAGTAACTCAGACCTGACGATCCTTGCCCTTATAGACTTATTGATGATGTGAACATTGGCACCGCCGTCCAGAATCATAGCGTTGTGAAGGCGGGTGTAGTGGCCAATTGAACCAACAGATGCTTCAGGGGTCGATTCTAGGGTGGCAGCGGCAGCAGTGTCCTCGCTTTCTGCGGTTATACCTGACTTGTTCTTGGCTTCTTTGTCCTTCGACCCTTGACCTTAAGCAGCGTTGTAAGCTTGAATTGCTTTGTCTACTCTCTCTTTCAGGTTCTTGTCCTCCTTGAATCTCTTCTCAATCTTCTTCTTTGTATCATCTCTTGGCTTCTATGCCTCAGGCCTCGGGTACTCGGCATTGAGGTAGTAGCATTCCTTCCATATGTAGTTCCTACTATAGAGACATGGTTTGCTTAGTCTTGAAGATAAGGATCGGTTTGAGGACGAAGATGATTCGGTTGCAGCGGCGGTTGAGATGCTGGCGACGGTGGTTCTGTGCTTGCTCTTGAATTTGGTGTCTCTATTGTGCTGAAAGTAGGACTGCCAGGCTCTCAATTCTGAATGGAGAGTTGTTACCTCCCTATTATTCTGCTTATCAAGCAGCCTCCCTATCCTTGTGGCTATATAGTCTCTATACATTGGAGCTATAGAAGACAACTATGCCTAGGTAGATTTATTGTCTGCTTGCTAGCCAACAGCATCTCTCTTTCTACACCAAACGAACCAAAGGTGCATATAGTTATGAATGGACTTTCTATATAGTGGGTAAGAAAGGGTTTCCAACTCTTTCTTCAACAACTGAGTAGTAGCTAGGGTGTTGGGTTTGGTGTATTCTGAGAGAGTCTTGAGTGTCTGCCTAATTGTCTTACAATTGATTACCCTATGTTGAAGGTCTGCAGAGAGAGACTGGTTAATAATTGATTCAATCTTCTGGTACCCCCTTTGCTTGAGTTCCTATGTATCCTTGTTATACCTGTGCTTGAATTGGGCCAGACTAAGAGCTGTTGGGGTAACATCAGTAGGTAGAGCCGCAAAGTTAAAGACAGGTTGTCCTTTGAGCTGTATTGGGTTTTCTGGATCTGGCTTAGCTGTCTCTAGGTTGATATTAGCCTATATCTGGAGCTTTACTGCCTCTCTCTTGATATGAGTGATCTACACATTCCAGTCCTGCTAGGTGCGTAGCTTGGCAATCGACGTCGTCGTTGATGATAAGGGTTTAGGGGAATCAGCTATAGTGTCTTCGTTGAATTCGTCAAACTACTCTTGATGCCTAGGACACGAGCTACTGGGTGTTTCTTTAACCTCTTGAAACTTAGGGCTCGGGGATCGGTCGATTGTAAGCTGATCTGATAGGCTCTCTTCTCTTTGTCTGGATGAACGGGTTTGGGCCGGCATTCAAGTGATGGTGTGCGGTCCTTGGTTGTTGTCTTGATATAGCGGAATTTGACCAATCTTAGGTGATTCTAGGAGATATTAGGTAACTCTGAATATCTAGTAACCAACTGATTCCTTTGATTGATCAAGCAGAGCTAGCCGGGCTCATAACTGTTGGAACCACACACCACACTAGTGCCCAATTGAGAAGATTGATGGAATACCAATCAATAAGTGGATTAATTGAGGTCCGAGGTCTGACCTCTCAAGAAAAGAAAGGAGGGGGGTGGGTATTCCCAACTCTACATACAAACGCCAAGGAATCAGTGGCCCCTGTTATCCATATGACTCATATCACATGATGCCAGGGCACCCATGTCCTTTTGTCCAAACAATATAATTCTCCCTTTGCGACAACAAGCACGAAACCACCATGGACCACCCCACTCTCACTTCCCTCTCCCTCACCCATGTCCACTACAACCCCCACGACATTTTCTCATGGATTTCCGCATATCTCGCCCTCGTACCCCAAGCCCTCATCATCTCCTACGTGACTCTCATATGGGCGACACGAGAGATCGAAGTGGTCATCATGTTCGCGGGACAATTGGGATGTGAAGGATTAAATTGGATTTTGAAGAGATATTTCCGAGAGGCGAGACCGACAGGTGAGTGAGTGGAGTTGAGAAGGAGGATTGGAAAATTCATTCGATCGAAATGGGAAAGAGAAGAGTGAAGGAGGAAGAGAAATCGAGAATTGACAGAGAGCTTGAAGGAAAACCCCTCCACTCAAGTCTTCTGATCAATATCTAAAAAAAAAATCAAAAAGGAAAAAGAAAAGAAAAAAAAACTCCAGCAGTAGTACTACAAACAAACAAAAAAAGCTAACCCTCTTCCCCTCCCCCTTCTCCCCCTCTCCAGAAACCATAGGAAAAGGCTACGGAATGCCCTCCTCACACGCCCAATACGCCTTCTACTTCGCAACCTACCTCTCCCTCTTCCTCCTATTCCGGCAAACCTCGTCCCCAAATTCCACCCCTCACCCGATCCTCCACTCCCTCCTCTCCCTCCTCTCCGCCTCCGCGGTAGCCTACAGTAGAATCTACCTAACCTACCACACTTCCTCCCAAGTTCTCGTGGGATGTGCAGCAGGAGCAGGATGTGCGGTGGCATGGTTTTGTGCGACGGCGATGGCGAGGCGGATGGGGGTCGTGGAGGGGGTGTTGGAGGGGGAGGTGACGAGGTGGTTGAAAATGAGGGATTTGGTTGTGGAGGAGTCGTTGGAGGAGGCCGGGTGGGAGAGGTGGGAGAATAGGAGGAGGTGGGAGAATAGCAGGAGGGGGAAGATGGGGAAGAGGAAGGAGGAGATTGTGGGGGGCGGCGGTGGTGGTGGTGTTGGTGGTGGTGGTAATGGGAGTGGTGGGGGAAAGGAGAAGAAGAAGAGGCGATAGGCATTTTTTTTTGCTGGCTTGGGTGATCGGATGATGGGACGTTGTGCGTTCTGCAGTAGTGCTGCTTTTTTCGCCTCTGCTGGGAATGTGCTTGGAATAGAGGGAGAGAGAGAGATCTCGGATACGAGGCTTATATCATACATACATCACCTTGATCTTCACAGATCTTACACAAAATGCAGCGATTGCTCAGATTACGGGAGACTAGAACCGCGGACCTCCAACTGGAGTGGCACAATATTGCAAATGCAAACGATGTTCTTCTTCTTCTTACTCTTCTTTCTACCTATGCTATTCGCTGAATTGCTGCAAAGAGACAAAAACATATGCTTTTGCCAAGAAAAAAGAAAGACTTCCATAATACTCCTCCCAAGCGCCTCGCTGTAGAACTAAGGCAAGAAAACAGAAATGCCGACATGCATGGTAATCTTCAAAAAAACAGTCTTGACTCCTCATGCCCGGGTATCTTCAGGATGCGTCCAATCGTCCATCTATTCATCGTCTCCATAACGCATATACTCGTACTCAATCTTTTTTTTTTCGTTGTTCCTGCAGCAATCACGCATTAAGTGACAATCCCTCGACATCCAGGTCCAAATCTCCTTCATAGTCCACAATCTCGGTGTTATGTGGTGAATTCTGCGGACTCAGGTGCTGCGCAGCCGATCTCGAACTCTCTCCCATGCCCAAGGCCATCAATCGGTTACTAGAATGATATCTCGGCAGACTGGAAGGGTAGTGTGGCGGACTGTCCGGAACATCTTCGTACATGGGGGGTTGTTCATCATCCCAAGCAATTCCCATGCCACTCCTCTCAGTCACATTCAGGACGAATTGCGTACGCAACACTCGGGCCGCACCGGTTGGCGTAGCTTGCGTGGGTTTCTTGTTGGGAGCCCATTCCTCGACGATTACCAGTTCCATGGTCATGTTGTGAGTAATCTTGGATCCATTCGGGGCTTCCATTCCGCAATTGGACTTGCTCGCCGGGTTGATGGATGTGGAGAATTCGCCTTCAATGGTGCCGTCTGAGTAGTCGGTTTTCCAGCCTTGTTTGAGTTCATCGTTGCCGATTTCGCGAGTGTGGGTGTGCGCAATTCCTTTGCCCTCGCCTCCTATTTTGGCCGAGTGGGCGGGACACGCGGGTGAGACTGCCGTTTCGTGTTCTTCGATACGCCAGGTCAGTTTCCGGAGTCGCCATCGTGTCTGGGTTTCCTCTCGCTTGGTCGTGATCCCGGTCATGCGGCACTGCACGTTGAAGTCCCCGGTTGGGTGAATCACGTTGGGTAGCGTGACGTGCAGGGTCAGGTTGGTAGGCGGGAAGACACGAACGCTGTTCTTGTCGTTTCCCGGTCGGAGCGCACGCCTGATGATCAGCTCGCGTCGAAACTCGATTTCTTGGCCATCAATAGAGCGCGCTCGCACGTGAAGCTGGTAGTCGATGCTAGTGATGGCACCATGTGTGGTGGCGGGGATGTGTCCGGGAATGACTTGGGAAAAGGGCATTTCGTACATGCCATTCTGGGCCTTGAACGTCTTGGGCTGTCGGAGAAAGTGCCATTCAAACAGGTCGGTGACTTGGGTCATACACTCGCGACACCGGTCCTGCACCGGCCGCTTGGTGGTGGTAGTGCTTTCGAGATACATGATGATGCTGGACAGAGTGGCCTCAGGCACTATGGAGGTGATCTGCACCTGTCCGGAGATCAGGGAGCCGGAGGAGACGTTGGGCGCATCATGCATGAGGATGGGTGGAGATTCCATGTCCAGCCCCAGCTTGATCGGCTTGGGAGACGATGCAGGTGTGTGGGCGCCATCGCGTGCATGTTTGTCTTTGGACAGCGCTCGCTCCTTGGACTTGGCCTTTTCGCTGGAGTGGTGCTTTTTGGCGAACAGCGTGGGGCGTTTAAGATGATCCATGCTCGGCCGACGGACTTCCAACGCGCTGCTGATGGCCGTCTTGGTAGAATGAGGATGAGGATATTTGGGAGCACTACTACTGCCTCCAGCTGTGTTGCTGTTGTCGTCCAGTTGGTGAGGCGATGACCAAATGCCAAAGATCTTGGAAGGCATCTGCGCGGAACTTTCTTTCCCGTGGGTGAGTCAGTTTTCTTTTTTTTTCTTTCCGTTTTTTTTTGGAGCTGGCGGCAAGCAGAAACCGAAGCTGGGGTGCAGGAACACGAGCAGCAGTACCTCCTAGCAACAACAGGCAGGCAAGCGGTCCGCCAAGGTCGAGGAATGTAGACCCGCAGTGATGGGAGTGGAGATTCAGTGGCGACAAACAAAGAACGAAAAAAAAAAGAAAGGCCGTCGACGATCTTTTTCCCTTTCTTTTCTTTCCTTTCCGGTCCTTTCACGAGTTGGTCTTGTGGGTGTTCAATTGCGAATCCCCGGGCCTCATCTTCCACTTGTAGGGGGACTAGAGCTGTCGAGGTGTTGGACAAGTTCGTATTTGTACATGGGAAAAAAAATTTGCGAGCACAAGGTGGATATAATCGAGTAATGGTCGAGTAATGGGCTCATCTGGCAGTGCAACACTGACCAATACATTTCTTAGCCCATGCAAACATGTACCTCATTCTCATCATCCCATTACAGCCAACCTTTCTGGGAGGTGAAACTTTTCCCGCTAGTTCGCCAGCGATCGTCCCGAGCCTGTCACGATCCACCCTCCACCATTGATGAAAAAACGTGCAGCAGAAAAAAAAGTCTTCTGCAGCCTTACCTAATCCGCTACGCAGAGAGCAGGAAATCTCACTCACACACACCAAATGACAGACAGGGCAGTCCTAGGTGTGCACTGCACACCACCACTAGAACAACTGGCGTCGCTTTCTCACGGCATAATTAGGAGGTACTATATTACACCACAGAAAAGCCCTCTTTGTCCCAACGACATGTTTGCAGCCAGACAGCATCTACCTTTCAGGTACCTCCCCTGGGCCACCTCCTAGTAGTCATGACAAAGCTTCATCTAATAAAGTGTCTGTCTCATGGGTACGCCGAGACTGGTGTGTCTCTCTCGCCCGTACCAGCTGCATCGATCAGGTGGTCTCGCATCGTTTCCTTGTTTTATGCGCCTGGCCTACCTCCTACTTCCTTTTCCGTTTGGCCGCGGCCATGTTTCCCTCTCAGACCTGCGTCCTATCCTCCGTCCTTACCTCCCACCTACAGGTACCCGAGCTCTTCTAGGAGCTATGTCCCGTCAGGTATGTCTCCGCAGATTACCTAATCATCAATGATGAATACGGCCTCCACAAGGGCGCAGGGCGACACGCCAGCGTACGTACGTGTGTACAACATACCTGACTGTACAGTACCTTACGCAAGAAAAAGATCCGCGTGTGCGGGGTATGGCGTGATCCTGCATGTCATGATGATTGGGTGGGTAAGATACTCTCTTCGACAATGGAACATGACCTCTTTGCGGCGCTCTTGGTGATACCCTCCTGGTTGATCTTGTTTTGTGGACAGTCACATGAGTGCTACTTGGGATACTCCTCAGCACGACAACTCCGTGGAAATGCTTCTTCCGAGCCAAGCCATACACACCCAGGTTCGCGGATCTCTCTTAGCCAGGTCTTACTCTGTACACCTAATAGTGCGTCTGCCAAGCGGGTGCGAACGCCTGGAGCTGCGGGCTTTGGTGGAGCTTGGACACTACTACTACATTACCTTACCGAAGTAGGTACATGTATAGGTAAGGTAGGTACCTGAGGTATTTTGATGAGGATACATCAATGTCAGCTTCATTACTCACTCCACCTTGATGGTCGGCGTCTTTGCCGGCGTGCAGCTGGCCGTCGCCCTTTCCATCCTCCTGCCGTCGAGGCGCATTCGCATCACTCACACCGCCACTCTGGTTGAGGCACCCAACATGCCGTGTAGCTCGGCATCTCGCCATTCTCACGCCGACAACCACCGGCCGGAGCCGACAGACACCATGGCAGTACAAATGCGTCAGTACGTTGCCGAGAGCCGCTGTTCTAGATAATCTCCACTGTAGACTGTCAGTCCTGTGCACCGCACACACACATCGAGGTGTCGTCGAGTGACAAACTGACCTGTTAATACCTTCGTACTTCTTCGGCCTGCTGGCATCGTACGTGGACGGGATCGCATCAATGAAGCGATCAAAATTGGGGTTACAGAAATAGGCAATCGAGTATCGAGCGGGGTGCACATCTGCTGTTGAGGGTGGCTCCACCACGCGATGCTTGGTGCTCTTGATGGTATCATTGCTCCACCGCGCGAGGAGATCACCTGCATTCACCACAATGGCGTCTTCGATGGGTGTGGCATCGATGTAGTTGCCGTTTGGACTGAGCACCTGCAGCCCACCACGCATATCCTGCACAGCAGCAAAAACAGTCAGCATAGAAACTCAATCGCATCTGCTTCCAGCTTCTTCCGAGAGAGGAATGCATGACGCCGAGTCGTTCGCTTCCAATTGCAGCAGTTCCATGGTCAGATACATGGAAGGCGCTCCCAAGTCCGACAAGATTTTCCATAGGTGCACAGCACGCGTAAGACGCCGCAATTCCACACGTGGCTTCTGCCATATTAGGAAAAAAAAAGGAAAAACTCACCTGAAAAAGACACGTTATACTACCATAATCCGTATGCGCCCCAGCCCTCACCGTATTCCTATTCTTCCTAAACACCTCCGCATCCACCTCGGGATAATGCAACAACCGTAACGTATTATCCCCCGCATCCGTATACCCATCAAACCAATACCCATCAATCCCCAACCCCACCGCAATCGCCCTCATAATTTGCACATGCAATTGCTTCACCAATTCAAAAAATTCCAACATCTCCCTCTTGAACACTTTCCCCTCCCCCTCCTCCTCTTTCCCCTCCTCATCGAACCGATCCGGCCACAAATTCTCACACCCCTCCTGATCCACCCCTTCCCTCCCAATCTCAAATGACTCCTTCAAATCCTGTCCCTCAGCCATTCGAATCCTTTGAATTTCCTCCGGATCTGTCGCATCTGTCGTTTTCTCTCTTCCTGGTTGACTATATCCTCGATTAGCTTTCGGGGTCGTCCATCCCAAGGCCAATTTCTGCTCTGGGGGTCGCTGGAAGAATTTCGCCGAAAGAGAGAATGCTTGGCGGATTTTTTCGCGAGGGATTCCGTGGTTGAGGAGGTAGATGAAGCCGGAGGTTTGGAAGCCGTGTAGGATGGCGAGGGCCGTGGGGAGTTTGGAACTCGAGTCCTTTTCTGAGTCTTGGACGACGGGATGTAAGAAGGCGCTGAAGTCTATGAGGGGAATTTCGAGATTGTCGTGAGATACTGCTGATGTCGCTGCTGGCTGTGTCATTGTCCTTGCTCTGTGCTTGCTTGCTTGTCTAAGGTACGTTTAGTGGTTAGGGACGAAGGACGATTTTGGTTTTCCTTGTGGCAACCAAAAAGAGCGTTTTCGCTGAGAGGATTTCCGTGAAGTCGGATTAGAGCTAGCTGCGCACACCTTTTAGTAGGTAAGTAGGTACCTTAGGTAGTTATAGATTCTGCACTCCAGTGGTTCTAGGCGCATAGGTATCCATGGATAAGAAGGTGACTACTCCGAAGATAAGCAGGCGATTTGCGTGCGGGAACATCCCTGCCTATCGGCTCCGATAGGCAGGTACTGTACAGCTACATGTAGCTGGTTGGTGGGGTAAAATAAAAGGAGAGTCCGTATATTCGCGGTATTATCAATTGACTATTCAAAAAGAACAGCTTACTCAAGTTCGGATTCGCCGCAGCAACAGGAGCAGTGTCAAATAGTGACGAGAAGCCTGTCTTGCTATCCGACTTTTCGAAACATCGGACAGCCACAGATGAATTGCCAAGGCCCGGAAGCCTGAACAAACCAACATCTTCAAGAAGTCGCCCAACATGCCGACAGTCGATGTACATACCCATATGTACCCACCAGCACTCATGTCCGTCCTGCGAGACCGACAAGCCGTGCCCTATGTGCGTCTCTTCCCGGACGACGTTGCATCCGGAGATCGCCTGGTGATTCTCCCCGCAGAAGAATCGGGCTCAACAGCTCGAGGCAGACCCATTGGACCCGAGTACTACGATGTTGCCAAGAAGATTGAATTCATGGATGCTCATGGAATCGATATCTCGGTCGTCTCCATTGCAAATCCGTGGTTGGATTGGGTGGCAAAGGATGAGGCGAGTGAGATGGCCAAACTGGTGAATGATGACGTGGAAAAGATGTGTCGGGAGCACGAAGGCAGGCTGTTCCACTTTGCGACGCTCCCCTTGAGTGCTGATGTGGCGGATGTGGTCAAGGAGGTGGAGAGATTGAAGAAGCTGAAATTCTGTCGTGGCATCGTCATGGGAACCAGTGGCCTAGGTGAAGGTCTCGATGACCCCAAGCTGGACCCAATCTGGCAGGCGATAGAACAGCAACAATTGCTGGTGTTCATCCATCCCCACTACGGATTACCGAGTGAAGTGTTTGGTCCACGAAGTGGTGACTATGGCCATGTCTTGCCGTTAGCGATGGGATTTCCCCTTGAGACAACAATCGCAATGACAAGGATGATCCTGTCAGGTACATTCGATCGTTTCAGAGATCTGAACATGTTGTTAGCACACAGCGGGGGAACATTGCCCTTCTTGGCTGGCCGAATCGAGAGCTGTATTGCGCATGACGCCCACCTGAAGAAGGGGGGCATGATCGAGAAACGCAGAGATATATGGGAGGTCCTGAAGAAGAACATATATCTCGACGCTGTGATCTACGCCGATGTTGGCCTGAAGGCAGCTATTGATGCTTCTGGCGCCGACCGGTAGGGTGACTTGCCCCCCTTCGTAACATTTGCGAGTTGCTGACAATTTGCAGAATTATGTTCGGCACTGATCACCCATTCTTCCCTCCCTTGGGAGAGGACGAGGACCAATGGCTGAGCGTGACCTCGAACATGAGCGCTATCAAGTCGGCCTTGAGTGGGGACGAGAAAGTCGAGCAGGACATACTGGGCGGCAATGCTGTCAGAGTATTGCGCCTCACCGCGTAAATCGCCACACCGGAGGCCCCCTCGCGACGATGAAGGATCGAGGAAGTGTTGGCTCAACGCGGATCAAAGCCTGCTTTTCGGTCAGCATGAAACCTACCAAGCCCCAGAAGAATCAGCAAATGAACATACGTTCTTCGTCAAGTCTGGTCTCCTCGGCCCAACTCTCCCGCACCCAATCCTCACTGACAATTCTGGGCTGCTGAGTCTTGGAAGAAATAGCTCGACGTATCTTAGCCACATCGTCACTGCCTGCCGGAACCACCACGTGGGTAAGATTGCGCTCTTGTAATGAGTCCGCAATCATACCACCTGCAAAACTGTATATACGCTTGGTCTCAGGGCGGGCGTCCTCGAAGAACGCTATAGTCCCAAAAAACATTAGTGCAGTCACTGCGTCTAGCCCGTGGCCATGCTCGTTGAACTGCTGGAGCACCCCGGAAGGCTCAAAATCGTCTTCAAGTTTCGTAGGCATTTCCTTGAACAAGGCAAGAAGATCTTGAGCGGTGACGTCTCGCGCATAGCTATCACCAAATTCATCCACGTTGTCGTCGAACTTGCCCTCGTCTGCCGTGTGTGTAAACTCGAGGTGGTGCGGCTCCAGCGGTAGCAGATGAGCCGGTCGCCCAGCGTCAAGCTCACTTTGCTTGATGCAGTCGAGCAGCCAACAAGGCCTGATGATGTTCCGGTTGTTATTCTTCTTAATCGAAGCCACCCTCACAAGGTTGCGGTCTGCAATGAGGATAGTATCTGGGTCGTTCGGTGCTGCAACAATCTGGCCACCGTTTGCTTTCACCATTTGCTCCAATTCCGCTTTGCTCTTCTTCAGGGGCTTCCCTGCTTCGGTCATGATGCAAAACGCCAATCCTTCGAACACCTGTGTTGCGGGTCCGGCGTAGGCTGTCTGTGTGTCGCACTCCTGTCCTTGTATCACGAGTTCTCGCTTCTGTCGCTTCGTCGTACGCTGCTTCCTTGATTCGTCAACCTTGAGCTTTTTGTCGTGCTGTTGGTCCTCTGCATTGTATTTCAAGGTCATGAACTCATCGTAGGACAGGGCTTGCGCCCAGCTCTTGTCAGTGCGGAGTTTCTTGAATCGGGGAAATCGCAAGGTAAATTTGGTCCTGAACTGGTCTGATTGCTCGACGGAGGCTGCTTTGACGGATACGACAACGGAGTCTTCCGGTTTGATCCACTGGTCTGGTTTCTCATGCTGACGATCACCGCCACCCAATTCAATCCACTCAGTGGGTGGTTTCTTCCGATCCCAGTCTTTCCACTTGCCGTCAGTCTCATGTCGGATTTGCGCGTAGTCTGACGCGCTGAATCCTCCACCGACCTTAAAGAAAGACCAGGTCTTTTGAGGATGAGCATGCGGCTCTAGCCCTGCTCGCCACGCCGACGGAAGATACAGTCCACACAGGAAGCTGCTGTGATGGCCGCCTCTCTTTCCAGACCCGAAGTAGCCACCCACCACGATGCAGTCCAATGATTCGCCAAACTCTGTCATGTATTCTGGCTTTACCTTGATCCAGTCATCGTTACGCTCATTCAGGCGGTACTCGGAGCGAGGGTTCTTCATCACCAGGCCCTCACTTGCCTCGGCCACAGCTTGTCGAAGCTCCAGCTCAACATCCGCGGCTGTTTTGCACTCGAGGTATTTGTGAATTTCGAGACGTCGGTGGACATCAGTGATGCTCGCCTCCAGTGCCGCTCGGCGATTGCGCAATGTGTATTGTGTCAATGGCTTGTCATTCAGATAGAGGCAGTCAAACACCCGGAACAGGGGCCTATGCCCACCAGCGAATGGGTTCTGCTGCTGCTCAATTGCCGCTGTTTTCAACGTGCCAAAGCCAACGATGCAGTCCTCCTGGGCATCCCAAGTAATCATCTCTCCATCGAGAATGATATTTCGCACGCCACTGTTGAAAGCGTCCTTGATGTGCCGTGTCAGCGCTGCGTCGTCGTCCTGAAATCCACTGCCATAAAGATATGTATAGTCCTTTGCTTTGCGTGACCAGAAGCAAAATCGCACGCCGCCTGGCTGCTCATCGTCCTCAATCATGTGCAATTGTATACGCTCACCATCGAGCTTTTCTTCAATCCAGAAAATGGGATCCTCGTCTGTCGGATCCATTCTCGCTATCATCTGCTCGAATGTTTTCATTTGAAACGCGGCCAGCTGAGGCTGGAAGCATTGCATCAACGAGATTCCCCGACTATCACCCTCGAGTCTGACTTTCTTGTCATGAAGCTCCCAACAGACGCGACGCAGGCTGCTCGATATATTGAATAGGTTGTCGGCATCTGGGTGCCAGAGTTCGAAGAAGGTCTTCTCTGTGGCACCAACTTTCATTTGTCGAAGGATAATGCGTATCAGCCACATCAATTCCTCGGCATTCATCCTGGAGTAGAATTCTTCCAAGATAGGTCGCTGGTTCTCTTCTTTCTGTGCCACAGAAAGCCTATCCAGTCGCTCATTGACTTCGGCGACGGACATATCACCAGGTTCGGAACGCATGGGTCGCTTGCTAATGGCATCGAAGCATCGTCCCGCGAAGTCGCCCGTGGTCGCGCTCGTTGACTTGACTCCAGGTAATTTCCAGTGCGTCAAACTATAGCCATCGTCGCTGTTCTTGTCAATCTTGAGGATCCTGATGAGCATCTTGCCCAAAGTCATTTCCTTGAGGCCGTACATGCCTCGGTCTCGATCCTTTTCTGGCACGATGAGACGGAATGCGGGATAAATATCATCACCGACCTCTTTCCGCCATCTTCCGATGAAGCGATCGATAATTTGACGACGGACTTCATTAGGAGCCTGACTGGGCCCTCCATGAGGTCCCAATTTCCTGCGGGCGACTGCTGCCCCTGTGGGCTTCTTCTTGTTGTCATTGAGGGGGTTAAATAGTGTCAAATACAAGTCCCGGAACGGCAACGTCTTGGAGTGGTTGTGAGGACGATTCGGGTACTTCTCATCAAGTTCCTGCTGGGACATGGTGCCATGGCCATACATCAGGACCTCCTCACGACGTGCCTCGGCGTCTTGCATGATGGCGAGGTTCGCCATGTGGAAGCAGAAGAAGGCGATGCGATGTCATCAGATGGAGGGAGGGAGGACAGCACGGCCTGTGTTGAAGCAGGCCGACGAGAGTCAAGTGAAGGAAAGGGAAGGGGAGGGAAGGGTGTGAAGTTGAGGGACCTACCTGCAGACGGGAGGATTGTTGAAGCTGCTGGATGGTTGGTCAGAGGAAGTCGCGGTCGCGTACAACAGGCAACCGCGACCCTGGCTTGCCTGGCCTGTACTGGACCCTTCATTGCTTACGTAAGAAAGATTCCGCCACCACACCAGGGATGTCGTCCATGCAGAAGATTTCAAGGTCCATCAATGATTGCATCAATAATTGCATCAAAGGCCACTCTTTCCCCGTGAATTCTCGCCATCCCACAGTAAGGTGTCTCATTGGGATTCCGGTCATGGCGAAGAGGAAGCGCAACAACGCTCACATGAGCACGGCGTCCAAGAAGCAGGCCGCAGGGACGACGGGCATCCGCACTCCACCGTATGAGGCACACAGTGATGGGCCGACCACAATGGCGTCTGTCGTTCCCGCTGAAGATGTCGAGATCACGCTGGAGACGTTGCAGGCTCTGGCCGCGCATCCCAGCGTCATCAAATCGAAGTCGTGCAAGGACTTGAGGACTGCCGTATTCAATTTTAGTCAGGCGTGTACAACAGGCCGAAATGCCTTGACAGGTAGGTAGTTGAACTAAGGTGATGTTCATTGCCGGTTGTGCTGCACAGGACGTGGAAGCTGATTCGGTATATCAGAGGGGAACAGCCTCACGGCTCGGATATCGGCTGCCCTGACCGATGCGAACTACACCGAAGCCATGATTCTGCTGGCCGAGATGCGCATCCGAAAAGAGACTCCTTCCCTGGGTGCACTCTGTCGCTGGGTGCGAGTGTTGGATGTGATCAGTGGACTGGCCATTCACGTCGAGCCGTCCACGAAGACGATTGCAACCCGCACACCACAGAACCACGAGCTGCGCCAAGTCTTGGACGCAGTGCTGCGAGTGACTGGCCCTACTGATCCCACAGCGCTGGGCACAGCTGCTGAGCCGGGTACGATTGCGTTGCAAAGCACGTGGAACTTGCGCGACGCCCAAGAACCCACGCGCCAGACTCGCGCGAGCGTGGAGGACAAGACCATCTTCAAATCATGTCCGCCCAATCTGAAAGAAAAGTTCCGAATCATCGAGACTACGCCTGGTGTCGAAAGGAAGCCTCCCAATCTCCACCCTGCTGTGCTTTTTGCCTCCCAAGATGACACAGTCCTGCTCACCAACGGACCTCAAACGACAGTGCACAATCATCCGGTGGTGCCGAATCTCCGAATGATCAAGGACGTCCTGTCCCCCGAAGAGTGTTCTTCCATCATTGCTGCAGGCGAGACAATGGAGTTCATCCCAGACGCGCCCATCCGTAGCGATGAGGACACGAGCGTTCTCGCCCACAACTTTTACTGGGTGGTAGACCAGGCCTTCCACGATAAGCTTTGGGACAGAGTCAAAGCATTTGTACCAGAGTCTGTCACAGGTAGACAGGTACGAGGGATCAACAGAAGATTTCGTGTGTATCGATACGTGCCTGGTGCAGAGTACAGATGTCATATTGGTAAGCATCCACAACTCAGCTGTGACCAAAGCTGACTTCTTCAATGCACAGACGGCGCATGGCCACCATCCGGCATCGATCCTGTGACCGACGCATACCAATACGACTCTTCCCCACCAGACGCTCGTCAATCCTCTCTCTTCACCTTCCTGATCTATCTCAATGATGACTTCAAAGGTGGCGAAACCACCTTCTTCATTCCCAGCTGCCAAGAAGGTGTGATGAATGCTTACCCCGTAAAGCCAATCATGGGAAGTGTCGCAGTCTTTCCTCACGGAGAAGCCCAAGGAGCTCTCTTGCACGAAGGAACAGGCGTCGTCGAAGGCGCCAAATATGTCATCAGGACCGATGTGGAGTACGACGTTGGAGTCACAGTGCCACCATCTGGTGAATCTGCAACAGTTGGAATCAAGCGAAGTGTCATTGAAGAGTAAATAGCGATGATCACACGAATGTCATGACCCAAAAAAAGAGAGGGAAATTAGTAGATTAACAACAGAACACCCAACCCATGCCCACCCATCCCTATCATTCTCTTTCCCTTCCTCCTTCCTCTTTACACACCACTCCCTCCTCATTTCCCCTCCTCCATCTCCATCCTCCTCTTCAACCCCTCATTCAACGCCTCAAACCCCTTTTTCGTACCCTCTCCCATCGCCCACTTCATCCCACCCATCACAAACGCCAACGCCCCCGAAAACTGCTCTTCATTCACAAACTTGGTCCCACCAGGTATCTTCTCACTCGGCAAGAATTGGAAGGAATGCTCTCCTGTGAAAATGTAGGGGAGACTTCCTCTCCATTTGAATTCGGAGGGAGTGTTGACCTAAAAAAAGGAAAAAAAGAAAACGTTAACATGATGATGATGATGATGATGATGAGAGTGATGATAACAACAAAAGTAAAAACCAAGCATACCAAAATCACAGGACTGAATTTCATTCCACCTGTACTTTTCCCATTCTCTCCTCCTTCTCCTCCTCTTCCTCCGAGAAAAGTATTCACGACATCACCGGGTTGGAGAGTATGACCTGTGAGTTTTCTTTTTGTGCTTGTGCCTGTTTCTGCGATTTCAATCTTGCTAATTCCAGAAGGTTGATCGGGACTTTTGGGGATTGCCCAGGAGGAGAAATTGGGAAAGTCGAGGAACTGGATGAGTTAGAATTGATGAATGAATGAATGGGTGGGATGGGATGGGATGAGAGACAGATGCATACAACATCTCTGACTTTCTCCGGCGAAGCTGCGATTTCGATGTGCGTGGATAGGAAGACCATTTTTGTTTTGTATATTCCTTATTGCTGTTGTCTTGTAGGTATTGCCGTGATTGTTGTAGATGTATGTAGATGTTGACGTTTTGATATTGAATAGAATATAGTCCTCTGACTCTCTTTACAATCCTCAAGAGGTAAAGAGGCAAGGTAAGGTAAGGTACGGTAAGTAAATGTCGTTGATATTTAAATCCAAGTGATAGAACTAAATATCCCCACAAAGAAAAGCTGAAGGATCAGTATCTATAGGCATCTATATATCAATCCACCTCGGACGTTATCCATCTTCCAAAACGCGACGCTTAGAAGGAAGAAGTTGGTGTGATAGCGCACAATTCGTCCGTCGCACGAAAAATGCTTGTGTGAGATAAGTACATGTAGGGCTGGCAAAACCTGTGGGAGAATATCGGGAAGTCGGATTTTTCAGACTCGCGCTTACTTGGAGAGAGATAGGCGGTAGTACTATAGGTACCTACATAAGGTAACCTATCATGAGTCGACATCCTTCGTGGGCAGCTCAGCTACTGCTGAAAGATGGCGATACGAGATGAATCCTCCCCGCAAACGAGGTACAGTAGAAAGCACTTCTCGTGAAGGTACCTTTTGAGAGAGATCATGGGACTCATCAATATATTCTCTATTTGGTATCATCCAAAAACCACTTCATTCAACACCTTCACATACCCTTCCACCTCCTCCACCGTATTATAATGCAACAAACTCACCCTCACCACGCCATCCACAGGATCAATTCCCAACACCTCCGTACACAATCGATTCGAATACATGGCCCCAAATCGACATCCAAAGTTACTCCTCGCTTCAATCGCATCCACCACATCCTTACTCTTCCGTCCTCGCACCGTAAAACTAATCACTGGAACCCTCTTCTCCCTGCTCGCCGTCTGCTCTCCCCAGAGCGTAAACATATCCGATTTCGAAAGTAAATAACGAATTAAAATCTCCTGCAATTTCTCTTCATACACACTCGAAGTCTCCCAATCCACATCTTCCTCGAGATACTTCACGACGGCAGGAATCGCAGCCGTGAGTTCATAATTCCCCGCCGCCAGACCCAAGAGTTCTTCGAGCGTATCTCGAGATTTGAAAAAATGTCCCAAACTGCGCAGATGCGTTTGCGCGGACTTCGATGCATATAAAGAAGCAATGTGTGGTCCGTAGAGTTTATACCACGAGAAACTATAGAAATCCACGCCCCAGTCAGACACGTCGATGGCGCGGTGGGGCGCGTAAGCGACGGCGTCGACGCAGAAGAGGGCGCCGGGCACGGAGTGGACGACAGAGGCGAGAGTTTTGATGTCGTTGATGGTGCCGAGGATGTTGGAGGTGTGAGTGCAGGTGACGAGTTTAGTTTTGGGACTCATCAGACTCCGCAGGGTGTCCGGGTCGAGCTGAGGGTTGAGTTTGTCCGAGGCGGACCACCAGACCAAGCCGCATTTTCGGTCGAGGGCGAGTTGGACCCAGGAGGCGATGTTGGCTTCGTGGTCGAGGAGGGAGACGATGATTTCGTCCTCGGGAGTGATGTAGTCGTACAATGCTTGGGAAAGGTTACGGAACAGCTGCGTCGTGGAAGGCCCGATTACGACGCAGTCGGGTGTCGTATTGATGTACCTTGCAACGGCCTTTTGGCCTGCTTCGAACAGGTGACTTGATGTTTTGCTGACCGGATAGCTGGCACCCAGTTGCACATTGTTGTTGCTCAGATAGTGGACAATGGAGTCAATGACCTCTTTCAGAACTTGACTGCCACCCGCATTGTCGAAATACTGCCTTGGGCTTAGTAACCCAGCAGGATTCGAGCCGAAGGCGAAGAAGATATCGACATACCACTTGGTTCTTCGACAGGCCAGGAAAGCGGCTGCGGATTGCAGCGACGTCGAATTCGGGCATGTTCAGAAGACTTGCAATGCTGGATACTGAATGTGCTGTAAGCTGTGAGCTGTCGGCCGAAGTTGTTATATCTTGAAGACTCCCAATGTCTAAGTGAAGGTTGATGTGTCAGAGTGAAAACGCCGAACATATCCCGGATGTTATTGGCTATTTCTTCCTATTGGCGTAGAGCTCACCTTATCTTATGCATTTAGGCAGTGTATATATAGTGCATACAAGCTGTGTTAATATACGTACCTAAGGGAATGTGGATGCCTGCGTTCTAATCTGGGTATACGCAAATACCTATCGCATGATTTTCGATGAGGCCAAGGGAGATGTGACAGCGGTCCATGGTTGTAAGGTAAAGTGATTAGCATATTATGTATGATATTATGCTATAATAACCCATCAGACCGCCTAGACTGATGCCTCCAGGACACTCATGCTGTGCGCTATGATTTGTTCCGTACAAGAAGGGTATCGAGTCGCTATCAAATCCTCAACGCCTCGCTGTGGTACTTTTCAAAGTATTCGATTGTGTAAGAGCATTCCATTCTAACGGCGATCGCTCCTCACGTCTGGCCGGAGTTCTGTATCCCTTTGCTCGCGCTTGCTCTTGCTGCCAGAGAACCAACCACCGCGGTCTCCGCCACGTCGGTCTTCCGGCACTATTGCAGGAAGAGGTTCTTGTACACGAGGAGCCTGAGCTTCTGTCCCATTATGACGGCCAAGATTATCCTCGATGTCGCTGTCGTCGAATGCAGTGGCAGGTGGTGGATCGTTAGGCATGTAAATGCCACTCTTTCTGTTCGACATTCTCGTCTGCTTATCGACACCCGCGAAGTCGCGCTCGTCTCTCTTAAGAGAACTGGGCTTATGCTTCCCATCAAGGTGTTCCTCGAGGAGTCGGAGATTCTTGGTGTTGCACTTGAAAGCCGCATCTGCCAAATCACCCACGAAAGGGATAAGGCCGACCAAGAAGTCAATGGCGACGTTGATCATCATGCGGATGAGGAGCGCCTGGCCAAGGCCGCCTTCCACCTTCATACACTTCTTAACGACCAGCAGAGCCAGGGCGACACCGATTGCGTCTCCTGCAAAAGGTACGAGGCCAATAATCGATTCCCAGCCAAATCGGATGCCGAAGATTTCGAACAGACCGCAGTCGAGTTGGTAGGCTCTCTTTCGGACGGAGGCGAGGATCATGGCATCGTGTTCGGGAATGTAAGCGGGAATCTGCTTTTTGACCTTCTTCAGTTTGCCAGGTTTGCGCGGGTCTTCGACGTAGGCAAAGAAGGGGTCCTGCGCGCTGCTGTTAGCTGCCATCTCCCTCGGTATAGATCCCTTTTCTGCGGTATGGAGCACTCACCTGCCCGCTCTCGACCTTCTTGTTCTCATACTGCTTCATGTGCTTCTTCAATAACTTGTTCGCCGCATATTTTCCTACGAGGCCAGCCATTGTCGCGATGGGTCAGGGTCCTGGCTACGTTTGTTGATGTTGGTGTATGTGTGTTTTGAGGACAGCAATCGGGCGGCCGCGTGGTCTATGTATGCAACAGCGCTGGGGAGACCACCGTGAATGCCACCAATAGCAGGAGCTGGTTGGAGGATGATTGGGCGGGAGTGCGCGTCGGGCGGGCGAAGGTGTTTCGAATAATGACGGACCGGGCGCTTGTCGCGATGATGAGGTGGATTTTGTAGTCAGACGCGCGGGTCGCGAATGGATGCGAGAGGTCCGATGCGAGTTGGTTCTACAACAGTCAAGTAAGAGGTAAGAGCGACGTGGCAGCACAAGCGTCTGGTCGATAGCTTCAGGTTATACTTGTAGCTTCCACCATCACCTCATCATGCTCTAACTTTCCAGCCTTCGATCATTCGAATTCCAGGCTTCTTGCGCCTCCTCGCGTGTACGAAGCTATACCGACTCCGTCACTGTGGCTGAGCATGTAGTGATCGACATGGCCAGTGTGGCGACGAAGCAATTCCAAAGCGGCAGAGCCTTTCACTGGTGTGGCTGTGCTCCAAATCCCTCATTCGCAAAGTCATGTGGCGTATAATGTGAAAGTTAGTGAAAAGATCGACGTGGAAGAGAAGCACCAATTACATGTATCTCACCTCCTACTTCTCGGGTAAGATTGATAGAGAACGGAATGGGACGAGGTGAAGAGGTCATATCACATAGGCAAACGCTCGTACAACTTCGTGTTATCACCGTCGTCATCAACATCATCATCTCTCGACCAGATCTGCGTGCATTCCTTTTCCCTAGGTAACTCTTCGTCGGGCATAAACCAGAAACAGAAACGCATAGACCAACCAACGCATGGCAATGACTTTCGTGTTTTCCTCCGTCCGTCCGTTCCCCCCGCCCGCCCGTGTACCCGTCAGAGTCTTCCCTGCTATCCTAGCAGCGTCCCTCTCACTCAAACGTTGTGTAGACGTACAGCTTATACTGCTCGTCCGTCTCGTCAAGCTCCGCCTCAGAGCGCGCTTCAACTGCCTCAACTGCCTCAATTGCTGCTGCTGTTGTTGTGGCGAGTCAGATGTCGGTTGCATGCTGTAGGGAAATACCAACAGAAAGAGTCAAGTTTTGCTTACGGGATCTCTTGATGGGTTCGGCCATTGGTTGCAAGGCAGGCTCGCTGATGGGAGTTGGAGCAGCCATTGCAAGTGGCAGCAGGAGAGTGACTATCGTAATCATCTGCATGGTGAAGTTGATGGGCTGTGGATTGTCTTTTGGAGGTTGCTTTGGATGGATATGATCTGTGGAGGTGATGCTCACGCCTTTATATATGCGCTGTGGCTACTTGTAAGTTGTCTAGCCCATTGCTAGCAGCAGATCCTAGAATACCGGGAAAACACGTATTGCCTACCTGGTGGGGAGGCCACACATAAAGGTTTACGGGCATTTCGTGCTTCCCTGCTCCCTACCTAGCTTTCAATGCCACTCGTTGAGCTGCCGATAGCTGGCTCTACCTTCATATGGGCCAGTAGTGTTTCTCTGAGCTTCGCCGCCGCGCGCCGGAGGCTATGCACTTTCAAGGAATGATGCTACCAGTGGTCGTTGTGCGATCCTTCAGACCGTTGCTGTAAATATACGTGTGATGGCGAATCGTGATCCATGGGGAGCAGCTCGGCTCCACTGGTAGGTTTGTATTTTATCGGCCACGCTACTCGTCTCTGGGCCGACCATGCTGATTGGCAGTTGTCATTGATGTTTGCCATTCTGTAGCATGAACGAATAGGCGGATTCAGTATAGTAGGGCAAGCTACGACTATGACTGTTCGTGTGGTACAAATCCGGCAACTCCATTACCTTGTCTTGCCGGTAGGGTACCTTATGGTATGATGGTAGGTAGGCCTCTCCACGCGGGGCCTTATGCTTATAGTTCATGTTTCATATCAGTATCCTGCGATCGAGATGTGCTTGACGAAGGAGTGATCCGATGAGAGTGCTTCGCAGCCTAGCTGTTGCGGCATGGGTGTGTGAATAGGCCCGGTTTAGAACCATGGCCAGCTTCAAAGGAACGAAGACTCTCGTTCCTTCAGAGATGGCGAGTAGTATCATCTCGGATCAGCTTCGCAGCTCAGTCGCTTGCTTGTCCTTGAGGCTAACGCCTTGTATTACGAAGTTAATGCTGCAAGTTTACGTTGCGTTGTCACTACTGCAGTACAGGTCAAGGTACACAAAGTGTAGCATGTTAGGTAGGTAGTGTTGATTATACTCCCCGAAACTATACCCTTCGTTAGTGCATCTCATACTGTGAGTCGGTGAGGTAGCAGAACATTAGAGAAGTATATCGAGTAGTGCCGAACATCACCAATACGTACGCTTCCTCTTTCTCTCCAAACTGAAGAGGTGAGGTGGTGGTTGCAAGGTCAACGATCGGAGAGACTCCGCTTAATTCTGCACAGACCACATACTACCTTATGTAATATATGCACTAGTAGGTACCTTAGGTAAGGTAAGGTACCTACAGACTTCCAATCCGCATGATGTAGGCAGCTTTCTCTTGCACAAAATCATCAAGAATGTAGTTTCATCACTTCACAGGTCGATCGGCATGCTATCAACGAGAGCCTGTCTACTCGAACGGAACCATCGAAGTGCATAGAATTGGAGTCTGTTCGAATCGGCACGACCCGTCTAGGTATATAGCCCGAGCGAGACGACCCGGTTACAGGTGCTGAACCCAGACAGACTAGATACCATAGGGATGTACCTATCCTGTCGACAACCTACCTGCAGTCAGTCTCAAAGAAATATAGGCTTTGGACGGTAAGACTTGGCTTTGCGGCAAGCAGCGGATCGGCTGGAAACGATCGCAGTCTCAGTCGTACAATAATTCTACTCGAAGTGAGGAAACAGGCTGGTCGTGAGATGGGTAAGGTATAGGCAGCTAGGCAGGCCAGCCCTCAGGACGAACCATGGCTCTATGTCCTACCCCTTCCCTCGACTGAGTCCTGCGCGCGCGCGCGCGCTCTCTCTCTCTCTCTCTCTCTCTCTCTCTGTCTCTCTGTCTCCCTCAACTACTCCCTAATATGAAATTCGAGAAGCCTGACATGTTAGCTCGATGGTATCCTTCAGAGGTATCTCTCGAGGGAGAGGAACTTCTGTCTGGGGCACAAAAGCCACAAAAAAGACGACCAATCAGTAATGCCTACTGGATATTCGCGTGGGTACTCAGTATATCAGCGTCATGCTCTATGACTTGGTCTCTGGCTCGGAAGAGCTGTCACCTATCGTCCTTCGACGATACATCTGTAGCAGATCAAGTAGCTTCATTGAACTGGTATTGTGAGTGCAATACATCCAATATCTTTCCAAGAGCACACGGTCTGACTTCTTACCTTCTATAGCTCCCGTATACAATAACATCAATCTCTCCCTCGAACACGTCCACCTCGATGGGGAGCTCTGGTGGAATGCAAGCAACATCTATCGCCAAGACCCTTCTCCCGAGGTCGACGAGGCATGGGCGAACTTGTATTACAGCAACGCCAATCGCGTTTTCGTCTCGGAGGAAGATGCGATTAAGATGGGGTGGGATCTAGATATACTCGTCAAATGGCCTGATGATCCCACTGGACGCACTTACGTTGCCGTGAGTCGCACAAGTCCTAAAGAACACTCAAACGTCTCCGCTGACTGTCGTCTGTTTCCATCTCTAGGAGATGAATGTGTTCCATCTCGTACACTGCGTGAACGTCTTGCGCCAAGGAGCTTTCCTCGATTACTACTGGTAAGTACCTACATGTACATACCTTTGCCCAGCCCCGCAAGGCACTCACACATCCGCATTTATTACTTCCAACGAATACGCTAACACAAACGGCGAATGGGGAAAAAAGGTACAAACGACCCATCGACCCCTCCTACTGGACCCATTTCTACCACTGCCTCGACATGATCCGACAAGAAATCATGTGCACAGCCTCGCTGGATCTCAACCCACTCGTCTGGGTCGACTCTCAGAACAAGCCCTTTCCCAACTTCGCCATCGACCGCGTCTGTCGCCGATGGGAAGACGTCGTGCACTATCGCGAAGAATTTGGCTTGACTGACGCGCAAATTCATACTATGACGCATGACATGAGGAAGCAGAAGTCTCCGCATCGGAGAGAATTGGCGACTCCTCCAGAGGCGAAGAAGTTGTTTCGCGCGTATGCGAAGTGGAAGAAGTTGGATTTGGAGAGCGATTTTACGATTATTGAACCGGGGGATTATGGGCGTACGAGTGATGATCTTTTGGGGAGGGTTCAGCCTAATCCGAAATCTGGATGATGTATGTATATCCAGAGTCAAGCCTTACCTGTATGTTTCCGACGCTGAGTCAGCAAGCGAAGAGTCGGTGAATTGAAAGCCGAAGAATACAGTATGCTATCGCGCTGTTACCTTACAAGAACAGCCTCGAGCCGCGTACTTCCAACGCTCGTTCCGTCGAGCGATGACCGAGCTCATCACCGTTGGAATCTACGAAAAGGAATTGGGAAAGAATTGACAAGAAAAAGAGGTCTGCTTCTGCCTTAGGCAGCAAACACTATATGTAATCGGGACACAGTAACAGTCCTAGACTAAGGTACATCTATACTGGTAGGAGGTAGGTGTGTATTTTATTATTATTATATCCAACGCGCTACCCCTACTGTAATATCATCGACGTCCATCGAATCCAATTGGGCTACAAACGGAGAGAGAGAGAGAGAGAGAGACAGCCACAAACATCCCTGTCAACGTGGCTGGCCCAGGATCCTGATTTCACATGGAAGCTTGAACGGAGGCAACTGGAAGCACAGAAGCTCCACCACCGAACGTCATCATCAGGTATGAGCGTTCAATGCATGGAAAAAAGCAGGCTTGCGAGAAGAACACATCATCTAGGTGGTTGTACAAGCACCACACCAGAAAATTCCTTCTAATCTTCCCCAGCCTTTCCTTTTCTTACCTTACCTACATCTCGTTGGGGGTGTGCCGCTGCTCGTGAATTTTTTCGCTACTTTACTGCTCTTTTTCCCTTGCGAAACTTACCTGGCTGTACTGTACTGTACCGTCGTAATCGACCTTATTTTGACTGTCAAAAAGTGCGGCAGCAGCGTCTCCCTCTTCTTCCTCTTCTTCTCTACATTGTATTGTATCGCATTGCGCTGCATTGCTTCGCGCCCGGGAAAAACAATGTCTTCTACACGATCATCTTCAGTGCAACCGCAGAGAGACCGACCTCTTCATGAGCTTCTCTCTCGCGACATGGTGTACGTTCCATTCTCTGAGAGAGCCTCACTTCCATCTTCCCGAACTACCGGCTAATTGCAAGCGAGCAGCGACATCTACGTCGGCCCGCAAAATACGCACTGGACGCTCCACGAGAAACTCCTCTGCTACCGCTCGCGCTTCTTCCGCAACATCTTTCGTCAACAGAAAAACGGTCGCACGAAGAATTCCATGTACGGGCTTCCCGACGAAGAAGACGAACCCTTCAAACTCTTCGTCGGATGGCTCTATTCCGAACGAATCCCCACTCCCAAAGAAGAAAAAGACCTCTCCCACCTCCTCGATGTCTATCTCATGGCCGAACGGTGGGAAATCAAAAATCTCCTGCATGAAGTGCTCGACGCCGTGAGAATTTATTACGCGGAAACGGATTCCTGGCCGTCGCTCCGGAGAGTGCAGTATATTTATGCGAACACGGAAGAGGAATCGCCGATGCGGAAACTTCTCGTGTCGTGTGTGACGAGGATGCTGGTGACGAGTGAAGGTGTCCCGCCACATTGGGAGAATGCGTTGCAGAAGAATGGGCAGCTTGCCGTGGATATTATTCGTTGTGTGCAGAGATGGCATGTGGATCCGCAGCAGGTTCCAGATGCGAGGAGGCAGAGTGTAGATGAGCATGTGGTGGCTGCGCAGGCAGATGGGTACAAGGAGGACAAGGATGATGAGGATGATGAAAAGTTGGATTGGGGCGATGGTTTGAGTGCGCCAAGTCGCGATCAGAGCCGAGCTGAAGAGGTACAACAGCAACAAGATCAACAAAATGGTGGCCAGAAGGGACAGAATGGCCACTAGAGGGAATGGATGCGCGTTTCGAAGTCGTGGAGCCGGGGTCGTATCACAAACAGTGTGGTATGGTATATCTTTATCTTCGAGCTGGCTGGTGCAGCGGGTAGTCTGTCACTTGTTTCGCTTCACTTCTGTTTCGCTTTCGCATTCCGTTTCGCTTTCACATTCCGACCAAAACACCGCGGTCTCTCCTCTTAGAGCACAAATGCCGCTCCTGCTCCCAGTCCCAGTATAACCACCTGCTCCACAGTCCCTCCCATAACAGCCGCGACTCCCCCCGCCGCCGCACTCGAAGTAGTTGTAGCAGCAGTCTGCGTGATTGTCGAAGTCGAAGCCGAACCCGTTGTACTCGTGAGAACGACTGTCGTACTACCACTGGTCGGTGTCTCCGCATCTGTATTGGTGCCAACGACTGGTATCAGGCTGGCAGTGTCTTCGGTGCTGGTATCTGTCCTCGTGCCGGAAAGTGCTGTCAAGGTCGCGCTACTGGCGGTCGTGGTCGAGACGACGGTGGTGGTTAAGCTAGCGGTGAGGGTAATGCTTTGCTCCATCGGCCCAGGGGCGGAGAAGGGTGGTGCTGTTGTTTCTTGTGCGTAGACGCCGCTGAGGAGCGAGAGGAGGGCTGTTGGGAGGGAGTAGTACTGGTGCAACATCATGGCGGTGGTGGCTGTACTGCTGGTTCTGTGATGGGGGTGATGTGTGGTATGGGCAGAAGAGCGAGAGGAAGACGGAGAGGAAAGAAGAATACAGGAATTGTTCGTACACTTACGCAAGCACTTTTTGTTTCGTTTCGCACTTCCCGTCCGTGAAGGGTGGAGCACAGAGGTTTTTGGTGATTTGGTGTCGTTGCTGGGCTGGCAGAGACCCAGAAAATGGACAGAGTTCACGCCGCGGAAGATCAATGCCGTTTTAGCCGACGTCATCTCTTCTGCTCAATGGCTTCACTCGTTTCTTTCCTCCACCATAGTACGAGTGCCCGCCTCTCATCCGGGATGAAGCGATGCAGGACACAGATGAGCACCGTGCCGCGGTGGCGACTCTAGCGGTCGGCTTTTTTCCTCTGCTTTCTCACCCTTCCATGGTCGTATTCTGAGCGATCCTGCTCAACTACAAGTCGTAGGAGAAATGAGTCCTCAACAGCCTGCTCAGCTCAAAGGAGAAGCACTGTTGAGACCTGAGCAGGTCTGAGTCGGAAATGGTTGGCTTCAAGGTCTTCAATTGCATGTGCTCTGTCATCTTGATGAGCCGAAAGCCTTTACGATCTGGCGATTCACCTCGGCGAGAACGAAGCAACACGATAAGTCCATGCGGCGCCCTGCTCAAAATGAACTGCTCCCTCACTCCATAGCGCGCAACGAAAGATAGTGCCGGGGCGGTGGAAGCTCTTCGCGAATCCGTGCAGAGAGGATGCGGGCGAGTTTAGTTCCAGAGAAGCAGAAGAAAGATACCGGACTTATTCGAGATCAGAGGCTGTGGCTGGTGTGGGCACCTCTCATGGCTAACATCAGATGGAGCATGCAGCCGGCGATCATGTGTCATATCAACACCTTCTCTCTTTGCCTTGGCACATATCTTCTGTGCCAAGGCGCAGATCAAGAGCTTGGCTGATTTGCCACACCACGACGTGGACGACACACGTGCGGCAAGGACCCACTGCCCCCAGTCTCGAATGCTTGATTTTGTCCTATGTGGTTGCGCTCATCGAACCGCGGTATCAATCTATTCAAAGCCTTTGCCTCCCAGCCGGGCGTGACCTACGGACACGTATCAGGCGGTCAGATCCGACAATTCGACTTGTAACGCGATATGACTCCGCCGTTGATGGAGCGGCAGAGACTCGCCAGATCTTTCTTATCTGGCCATGCCACGTTGCACCAGAAAGCACTATCAGTAGGCCAGCAATCAGGTCAGTCTTGAGAAGCGAGTGATTATGCTTACTTATAAGCTTATTACAGTTCTGGGTTTTACAGACGGCTACTGGGGATGTGCTATCTTGAAGTGGGCAGAGGATCCCACAGAGCCCGATCATCTAGGCCAAGGAAGTCGTTTGCAGAAGAAGAGCACACCAATACGGTATATTTAGCTGCGACGCGCTTATTCTGGTCGCCAAGAATCGAGATGGTACCCAAGGGCTCTAGCTCTGTCGCTGGGGATGTCAGTGGCTGTGCAGTGTGCATCATGGGCCATTGGTTACTCGAGGACCTACGAAGACTGTTTTGACACTAGGGTTATAATACGATGCCTTGGCAGACCCACTCGATGAAGTGGACAAGAGCCTTGTCACGCGCAAGTCCTCTATCGCCACTGTAGCACGAGCAAACGATGCGCTTTCGCTCTCACCCTCGAGCTGTCATCCGGGTCAAGAGCGATGCGAATGATGATGCCTGACAAGTCGCCGTGATCGCCCGACGGTATACCTGTCTGCCTGCCATGATACCTCTTGCACTGCGTCATACATCGTATTGCGGGATCCTTTCTCTCAATCTTCCCTGGGCATATCTCAATTGAACCGTCGGTGGGTCGCCAAGAAAGATTTCATACAGGACACATACAGGACACAAACTCCACTTTCGGACGAGCCACCGGTGCCAGTATCTGTAATGCCAGGCCGAGGCGATCAATGAATCGAGCATACACATAGCCCACACCCTACCAGCCCCTTTCACTGTTGTTGGTCATTTCAGTTTGTTCTCTAATCCTTCGCCGTAGCTTCTTCCCTGTTGCTGCTTAAGCTCCACGACCCCCTGTCTGCGCAAGCCTGAGCAAAACCCCACGATGATATACCACCGGTGGACACCCATCAATCGCACTGCACCACCATCTCTTCTCCATAACTGCCGCATTACCAAGCCTGCCTCCACCAAAGGCCTTGAACATCGATCCCAGAGGTGTCCTGTCGGGAGGGACGTGCGGGGTGCAATGGCCTTCGGCGGAAAGTAAGTCGTCGCACTTGGTGAGAATCGAAGTGCTTGACTGATTGTGTGCCACCAGTTCCGATCCGATCAACAAACCGCCACCACCTCCAAGACTTCGCATGTGCCAAAAAGGTGCCGTGCTCGTGCGCGTTTACGTGGTACGTATCGGTGGTCGAAGCAGTCGATCCCTAATGATGTCTGGTTGTAGTCAGCGCATGCTAATCTTGCTTCCCAGCTCCGCACTCACTCACAACCACATAGCCATGATGAAGGTGGCACCGAGTAAGCACACGAGTGCGACGAATTGTGCGGTCCCTGGCTCGACGATTCGGAGGCGCTGGCTCTTACTGCTGCGAAGGGTTGAAGGCCCCGTGCCCAGAGCTTCGAGGAGGTGACCGGCCGTGATGGAATCGTGCGAAGCGATGATGACGTCGAAGACAGTACAGCGCTTTTCGAAGAGCGCGGGTGCCATGTGAGAGTTGTATGGTAACGCTGCACATAGAGGATCTGCTCCCAATTCCATCAGACGGCAAAGAATCTCCATATGGCCAGCTTCTCCAGCAATGTGTAACAGTGTCCAGCCCCGAATATCTTTGACGTTTGTCGCTGCGTTTTCAAAGTAGCCCAGCAGCAATTCGAAAGTCTCAATGTTCCCGTAGAAGACGGCATGATGAATCGCGTTCCAGCACAGCGGGAATGCTTCCAACAACGGGCTCGCGTTCATTGCGATGAGTGTACGGAGCTGTGTCGCAGTGCCATACGCTGCACACCGATGGACCACCGCCCAGCCATGAGAATCCGTCAGTGTAAAGTCCAACACGCGGAGCTCGTTCAGAAGTCTTAGGCAGTCCAGCATGCAGGGTCGACCTCTTCGCGGCTCTGGAAAGCAAAAGAAACTGCAACGTGGATAATCAGTACATGTCAGCGACACTACCTCTGAACGCACAAATGCTCACGCAGGGTCCCAACCGTCTTTGTCCATGGTATCAGCAGATGCTCCCGCAGCGAGTAGTTGTCGGACCACGTCCGTTTGTCGGTGCCACACTGCCCACGTCAGCGGTGTCTTCTGTTCGTCGTCAATGGGCGCTTCGAGATCAACGCCAAATTCCAACAATTTCCTGATGATCGACTGGTTGCCAAAAGCAATGGCGAGCTGACTTTCTTTCAGCAGGTGATTCCTCGTTCGATAACGCTCTCTCCAACTTACTGCCAAAGGATTCCATCCTCGGTCGTCAATGTCGGACACTCGACCTATACCAGCCCGTAGCATGACTTCAAACTGCGCGACATCATCCTGCCGACACGCGAGCATGAACGGATGGTTTCTGCTGACGACTCTTGCCACGGCAAAGTTGGCTGTGATGCTCACCGGCAGATTCGGGCCGGTTCGTACTCGAATCCGGAGCTTGATCTTGCTGCGTACTAAGAACCAGAGCATTGAAAGAGGCATTCTCGCCACAAACGTGTGTTCGACATGGTTTTCTCCGGGCAGAAATGATGTCGTCCAGGTACCCGAGATTCCGCAGAGCGTGAGAAGTCTGCCGACAGACCTGGACGGTCCTAAGAGACGTCGGCGAGTGGTGCTGGTAGTCGTCATTATCGATGGCACAGTTGTGACGATTTCGGCTACAATGGTGGGCTCGGGTGTTTTGAAGATCGTACAGGAACTTGTTAACACTGCTGTCTTGGTATCTTGTAGCTCGACCAGCATGTTATCTTGACTGCACAATAGCTTTGTGATGCCGTCCCTGGAGAATACAGATGAGTCTCCTGAAAACAGTCTCTTCCCTAGTCACTTACATGATTATAGTTTGCAAGAGTAAGTCGAGGCGCTCTCGGCTCTTTACTAGACTCATCATCTGCCTTTCAGCAGCTCTCCTTGCCTTTAGGACCCACTGAGTCCGTGCCGAAAGGCTCCTCCCAAGGCCTCTTGGCGGTAGAAGCTTCTGAACACATATCAGGCTAGCGTTGACTTCCAGAAGCATCAGGCGAAGATCCAACTCTGATGTCGACGTGAGCAAAACGCCTTTGCTGATAGCCAGAGTCTGCTCCAGGCGGACGAGGACATGTCGAATTCGCTGTGCTTCGACTGCGAGCTCTTGGATTTCTCGAGGAGCGTCGCGCAACCTCTCACACACAATATAAGACAGCTTTGCTACACTTCCCGCGAGTTGAATAATGCTGAATACAGAAGCGACACCTGCAAGAGCCGCCATGGTTGTCTGAAGTCAAAGCTTTCTGGAGAAGGCCATCGCAGCTGCTTCATATCTGAGTGCAGTACGACTTTTGTCAGCTTAGCGATCGCTGCAGCTGGAGGCTGAGCATGGCTGCAGTGAGAAGGCAACCAGAGGGCTATGGAGCCTGATCAACAGTTCATTGAAAAAATTCACATGGCAGTAAGATGGTGATGGAGAAGATGGGGACGAAGAATTCGATCTCTTCGCCAGAGGTTTCTTAGAAGTGTGCGGCCAGAGATTTCTTGGAAATGAGACCATGGGAATGCGCTGAAGATATAACCCACACGAAATCCAGTCGCTCACATGTGTGGGAGGCAGCAGGCTGGTGAAACCATAAGCAATCCTGCCCGCCATAATATAATTCGAGGGCGTAGAATGTAAGACAACCCGGGTCGCTTCGGCAGTGGACCAATGGATGGAATGTCTGGGTCTCCACGAGCGACGTAGTACAATTTACTACTGCTGTACAACATTCCTCTATTCCTATCAGCTGTTCAGCCGAATAAACCACATCGCTTTCGCTTTAGGGCTCACCCACATCAACTCGATTGTTGTACCGACCTGGCAACGACATGCGGCAGATTCCAACAAATTTTTGCGAAAGCTTTTGCGCAGAATCAAGGCCTTTGAAGAAGCGCCCCAATATCGTACTGCAACGAGTTTGAGTTAGTGGAAACTTCACTGAATTATGCCTCAGGTCGGCTCTGGGGGATGGGGGATAGAGTCCAAAAGATAAGCACCTAGCCTGCTATATGATGTCTGCAGCCTCTTTACGGCCCAAACACTTGAATGCCAAGCCAGTCCACGGCAGTACTTCCTGTTCCTCACCCGCATGAAGGCTCACTCGTGAATGCTCTGAAAATTACACTGCATTCGATTGCCACTCGACCTTGCAAGCAAAGAACCTCATGTCCTTGTGTTCTCTTCGCCAGACATCCACCTCTCCACAATTCCCCAATACCGTTCAAAATCCTCCCTCGGCAGACTCACATGTGGCGCCGTCTCGAAAACTTCCTCCCTAATACACTCAAACGTCGCTTCTCTCCTCGCTTCCTCTGCATGATCTCTCACATCCTGCCAACCTACAACTTCATCGCCCTTGGAATAGAGATATAGCCTCGGAACAGTGGGATTCCAAAGCTGACCATCCTTCTGACTCTGAGTCGAGGTGAATGCTTTGCTCGTGGCATTCAACCTTCGCCGTATACGATCTACCATATTCTCTACCCCTCGTACCCGACATTGGAGGAGTCCGAGGAAGATGTAGCAGCGTAGGAAGAGGACGCCAAGGGTGCGGAGGATGAAGTTTTTGGGTAAGGCGTACGAGATTGCTTTGACAGACTTGGACACATTGGGGCGGGAGGGAGTGCATTCTAGAATCACGCGAGAGAAGAGCTGGCGCGGTGGTTGCTGTTTCTCGAGCTGCAAGCGATGTTGTTGGAGTTGAATCGAGAGGTGGTTGGCTATGGTGGCGCCGCCGTTGGAGAAGATGTGGAGCATTACTTTGTCTTTGCCACTGGTCTGGGGAAGGAGGTTGTTTTCGAGGGGGGTGTGGGCTATGATTGTGTTGACTGCAAGGGCAAGACGAGAGATCTAACCGTAATTCAGCGGTGTAGATCGGCGAGAACATGTTATACATACCATTTTCTCGTCGCTAGCCGCAACATCTTGCCAGTATGACTGAATCAAGAGGATTGTCGAAGATGGAAAAAGCTTCTTGTACTGATCGGTGTACTTGGTTATGTGTTTTGGAAGTGCAGCCATCCAGCTACAGATGACTATGAGGGAAGCAGATCTCATATCATTGCTCGCAACTGGTCTGTAAATGGATATCGTGTCGGTTAAGGCTTCGAAGCCGTCTGGCACTGGACGAGGAATGGTCGCCATGGACTTGGAGGTGGTTCGAGATTACCCTGTGCCCGTCGAGTACATGTAGGTGGCCAGGTGTGATTTAGTCGCGCGAGGTTGTGATTGAGAAGTTGTTCTTGACAGAGCGATACGGAATCAAATACAGCGTAGAGGGTGTACAGCTCCAACCGAGATGAAATGAACTAATGTACTTACATTTGCGTCTTGTCGTACATTGTTTGTTGTTTGTATACAGGAGTCCCAAGCCGAGGTGTTCTATCTGGCAGACCCTGCCAAGATCTAGTCCCATCGGCCATCTCGCTTAGATTAGATCCGACGGAGGCCAGTCCGTGCTCACAGATCTGGAGAAAGTTTGAATTTGAAGTTGCGATCGAAAGACACACCACGACCACCACCAACCCTCCTCTACCGTATAATCGCCACGATGAAGCGTAAAGTGGGAGCACTGGAAAAGGTGGACGCGGATTTGCCCAATTTGCAGCATAAGATCAAGATCGATCCGACGTCGTATCGCGAGGACTTTGTGGCGCAATATGGGCAATACCGCTCGCTGCTCGAACTGTTCCTCGCCTCGCCCACCACCACCGACGACACGGGCGTCGTCAAGCTGCGTGATCTGATCGACTTTGTGTCGCACGTGGCCGACTGCTACCCGACCCTGACGGCGTCCTTCTCCGCCGACCTCATCAGCCTCATCGAACTTCACCACGCGGCATTGGACCACGAGTTGAGAGACAAGATTGTCGGCAGTCTGGTGCTGTTGCGGAAGAAGGACATCATCGACTCCAACACGCTGCTCAATACCCTCTGGCCGCTGCTCATCTCCACACCCTCGAAGGCTCTGCGAGCACTCCTATTCCAGAAGATTGTGTCCGATCTGCGAACATCCAACAGCAAGAGCAAGAACCACCGATTGAATCGCAACATTCAGACCGTATGCTACAACCTCATCGCATCGGATCCAACGTCGCCCAAGGGCTTGTGGGCCGTCAAGCTGACGAGGGAGTTATGGAAGCGATCGGTATGGACAGATGCCAAGGCTGTCAGCATCATGGAAGTGGCAGCTCTAGCACAGGATGCCAAGGTCGTCACTTCGGGCGTGCGCTTCTTCCTGGGTTCCGATCAAGAAAGAGAGGCGGCAGAATTGGAGGAGAGTGACGACGAGAGCGACATTGATGTGGGCAAGATCAAGCATCAGGCTGGAATCAACAAGAAATCGAAGAAGAGAGAAAAGGACATCGCGGCGGCCCAGGCCAAGGTCAAGCGGAAAGAGAAGCGGAAGAATGCACATCAAGCTCTGAACTTCTCGGCGCTACATCTTCTACACGACCCACAAGGCTTTGCCGAGAAGCTCTTTCAGCAACACTTGCAGCCCACCACTCCCAAAGTCAAGCTCAATCTTGAGCAGAAGCTTTTTGTGCTGCAGCTGGTCTCACGATTGGTCGGTCTTCACAAGCTATCTCTGATTCCACTTTACTCGTGGTTCATCAAATTCTTGTCACATAAACAACCCTCCGTCACATCTTTTCTGGCATCGCTGGCACAGGCAACACACAGCTTAGTACCCCCGGACGTGCTCGAACCCTTGGTCGTAAAGATCGCGAACGAGTTCGTGTCCGAGGGCTCTGCGGCGGAAGTATGTTCGGCGGGACTGAATGGTATCAGAGAAGTTTGCGTGAGACAACCGCTTGCGATGACTGAGACTCTCCTGCAAGACTTGGTCCAGTACAGGAAAAGTAAAGACAAGGGTGTGCAAATGGCAGCGAGAGGGTTGCTCTCGCTGTATCGAGAAGTCGGAGCCGAGATGTTGAAGAAACGAGACCGTGGGCGAGACGCTGCCCTAGGTCTGCGAGTTGGCAACAATGCGAGCGCTAAATTCGGCGAAGAGGAAGTTGGTGGCATCGAGGGTCTGGAGCTACTAGAGAAGTGGAGAGAAGAGCAGGGCATTGGTGAGGCAGAAGATGCCGAGAACTGGAAGAACTGGGAAGCCGAGCAGAACGACAGTGAAAGTAGTGGTGGCTGGATTAATGTCGAAAGTGACGGCGAAGAGATTGATATTTCAGACTCCGAGGACGAGAAGGACAAGTCAAAGAAAGACAAAACGAAGCTAAATGCTGCAGACAAGGAAAACCAAGATGATGCATCTAGACGAACGGCATCACTAGGACCAGACGGAGCTGCAATCAAAGAAGAGGCCCGACTATCGACCCTTGCAATGACACACATTCTCACACCTGCCGATCTGGTCAAGCTGCACGAGCTCCGCCAGTCCGCTGCCGTGCAAGCTGCGTTACCCGCGAACAAACGTCGCAAACTCACATCCGGACCCCTTCCCGCCTCTTCACGTCATGCAGATGACGCTATCACAGCAGCAAACATCGAGGGCCTTGCCAAGCTGTCCCACAAAGCCGATCGCGCAGAAAAGATTGCCATGGCGAAGGGCGGCTCAATCGATCCCAAGACTGGAAAATTCGTTCGCGATCATGAGAATGATCATCGTTCTACTACTGCTCGCCGGAAGGAGAAGAAGGAAAGTGAGGGTAAGAGTACGACGAATAAAGAGAAGGCGAGAAAGAAGAATTTCTTAATGACGCTGGGTAAAGCGAAGAGGAAAGGGAAGCGATCTCTGGTGGAAGAGAGGGCGATTCTAAAAGCGCATGTCAGTCGGAAAGCCAAGGGTGGGAGACGTGGTAATAGAAATTTGAATTAGATATGGGTACCTATGTCATCCGCAGTGGTCAGTACATGCCAAGCATGACTGAGGGAGAGCCCCCCATTCAATGGTCTCATGTTCTGCGCCATTTTTCCGTCAAGAGATGAATGCTTGCTAGTCGCTCTATATCGCAGCAGACATCACAGTCTCACAGTTCCATGATCTTTTGCGACTTATCAAGATACCACCGCCTGTGGTCCGTTCAGCAGCATGATAGACAGCACGGCGAGCTATGGTGTCCTGTCGGTCTGCTAAGCCTGAATCAAGCACCTCCAGATCTGTCTAAGGGTATCTGTATAGTGCCAAGATTAGAACGAGACGGATGTAGTGGTAGTATCGTGCAGATGCGATGAGAAGGCGGGCGTATAAGGTAGTAGAACTATATGCTGTAGAGAAAGAGTCGTGGTTATGGTCGGAGCCCGGGAGGGTTTGAAAAAGTGGACCCGAGTGGGAGAGGCGATAACCCTAACTCTAACTCTAACTTCAGCCGTCGCCCGCGGAAGACTTCCGCCGATTTTTTGACCATTACGACCTTTACCACCGCTCTCATTACCTCTTCCTTATTCTACAGTAGCACACCCGCCCCATCGCTGCATGTCCATCGCAGCACTCCCTCGCGTCTCCCGACGAGCTGGCTCATGTCTCCACGTCTTCACAGTAACCAGCGCATCCCGCTCTTACACCACCATCATGTCATCATCTTCTTCTGCCAAACTTCACGGCCGGGCCTTCTATGAGTCTATCGGCTCTCCCAAATACGTCGTGGCGCCCATGGTCGACCAGTCCGAGTTCGCCTGGCGACTCCTCACTCGATCGTTCCTGCCTGCGGAGCTGCGATCCAGCATCCTCGCATATACGCCCATGTTCCACGCGAAACTCTTCTCCGACAATCCCAAATACCGCGCAAATCACTTTGAGCCATTGAAACCTCCCATCACCATGGCTGACCCGCCAGATGCTGAGCACATCAAGACCATGGGCGAGGCTGACAGGTATCTGGATGGGAATCCAAACATGGACAGACCACTCTTTGTTCAGTTCTGCGCCAACGATCCCGATGTGTTTTTGAAGAGCGCACAAATGGTCGCGCCGTTTTGTGATGCTGTAGACTTGAATCTGGGCTGCCCGCAAGGCATTGCGAAGCGCGGCAATTATGGTGCCTTTCTGCAAGAGGATTGGGACACAATTTACAAGCTGATTAACAAACTGCACAAGAACTTGGATGTACCAGTGACGGCCAAGTTCAGAGTGCAAGAAACGAGGGAGAAGACGTTGGAGTATGCAAAAATGATCCTGTCGGCGGGTGCAAGTATAATTACTGTGCATGGGAGGCAGAGACATCAAAAAGGCCACGAGACTGGCCTAGCTGATTGGGCCGTGCTGAGATATTTGCGGGACAACTTGCCCAAAGACACGGTCATGTTTGCAAATGGCAACATCCTGCAACATGGCGATATCGAGAAATGTCTCGAGGCTACTGGGGCGGATGCTGTCATGAGTGCAGAGGGGAATCTGTATGACCCCAGTGTCTTCACGCAAGGGCCTCCCGCTGGAGAAGAGGGGAGAGAATACTGGCGCGGCCGGGACGGCAAAGGTGGCTATAGAGCTGATGCCGTGTTGCGGAGATATTTAGACATCATACACAAGCATGTTCTCAATCAGGAGCCGCCCCAACGAGAGGACCTGTTCCTTCCAACAGACCCCCGGCCGGAAACTGTCGAAGACACTCAAACGACTAGTCTCAAGCGGAGCGCCGAAGACAGTGCATCAGGTCAGGCACCCACCAAAAAGCAAAAGCGCGAAGCTGCCAAGGAGAAAAAGAAGAACGGCACCAAGCCTGAAAAGTGCACAAACGCTAACCTTACAGCGATGCAACCGCATTGCTTCCACATTCTCCAATCTCTAGTCAGCACACACCACGATGTGCGCGACGCTCTAGCACGTTGCAGAGCCGGCGACATCGATGCATACGAGAACGTACTCAAGCTCACCCAGGAGGCCGTCAAAGTAGGTCTGCTGGCATACGAGAAAGATCCAGCACAATTTGAGACCCCAGATGTCCCGGATGAAGAGGACGCAGATCCTGAGCTATCTAGTACAGCAGCAGTAAGAAGATGTAAGCGGCCGTTCTGGGTATGCCAGCCATATGTGCGGCCTCTGCCGAAGGAGGCACTCGAGAAGGGTAGCTTGATGCTGAGTAAGAAGGAAAAAGCACGTCTTGCTGCTGAACAGGCGGAAAGGGAGAAAGCGGGAGTTTCCGCCGATGGACATATTGAAGTCGTCAAGAGTGCGAAGGTGAATGGCGCCACTCCAATCATCAACGACGTGCCAGAAAATTTTCATGCTGCGAACGCGAAGCTTGATGTCGGCGATTCGACACAGACCGCGAGTGGCGACCAGGAAGAGCGAACAGAAATACCCAAAGAAGGCATGGTGATGGGTTGATTGTCTTGGGATCTTGGGAAGTCCGAGAATAAGTTCGAGTGCCACCACCGTCTCCATACTGACTCTTCTCTCAACATGATATCATCACAATCTTCACCGTCCAGTGCCTAAAACATTGTGCCTTTCCACTCTAAACCGATCGCTTCTCCGAGATGGAAGAATCTGTCCATTCGTGCGGGGAAACATTCTCCTTTTAACGCAACATTTTCCATTTGAGCAGAAATATCTGGAAGAGCCGAGGTAGAATATAGTAGTATTCGCCCAGAAAGTACATGTAGATCTCATGTCTGGCAGTCTAAATTATAAAGCACCCAGTTGGAACAGCCCCACTTTCCTTGGCAGTGATGGCGATGGCACTGAAACCTACCTTACCTACCTCCTACGATGCCTTCAATGCTCTCCTGTTGAAAAGCAGTCTATCACTGCCAAACACCACACCAGCAGCCATCCAAGATGATCGTCACAGGCAGTCCTACTCCATTCAAGATCTCCGTCCCCTCGTCCAAGATCGAAAATCTCAACTCCAAACTCGCCGCTGCCACATTCCCGAGCGAACTTCAAGATGCAGGTTGGTCAATGGGCTCACCCTTGGCTGATGTCCGCCGACTCACGGATCATTGGCACAAGCACTTCTCGTGGCGTGGCGCGGAAGAGCACTTGAACAGCTTTCCGCACTTCACCGTCCCCATTCAAGTTCCCAATTTTGAAGAATTGGAGATTCACTTTCTGCATCAACGCTCCGAACGCGAGAACGCAATCCCTCTCCTTTTCATCCATGGCTGGCCTGGCTCCTTCTTCGAGGTCTTGAAGCTTCTCCCTTTACTGACCGATCCCGAAGATCCCAACATCCCGGCCTTCCATGTCGTGGCTCCATCTCTGCCCGGCTATGCGTGGTCTCAGTATCCTTCGCGGAAAGGGTTTGGATTGAAGCAGCATGCGGAGACCCTGCATGGTGTGATGCGAGCTTGTGGATATGAATCTGGTTATGTTGCGCAAGGTGGCGATTGGGGCGGGTTCTTGTCGAGGCTAGTGGCGAAATTGTATCCGGAGAGTGTCAAAGCTGTTCATACCAACTTTCCGGTCCATACGTTTCCGAAGCTGTGGAGGAATCCTGTGAGCTTCGCGCAAGCGGTTGCTGGCATTGCGCTGGACAAGAAGACGAGAGAGGATCTGGCATATACGCAGAAGGTGCGTGGGAGACTCAAACCTAGAGGCATTCCAAAAGGAGAGCTGCTGATGTCCGTAACAGTACTTGACTGAAGGCGATGGCTACCTCAAAGAACAAGACACGAAACCTCAAACTCTTGGCTACGGCCTGACAGATTCTCCCGTGGCCCTATTGGCATGGATCTATGAAAAGCTGCACGGTAAGCATCTTGCGCATTTCCGATCGAGACATCGCCAACATCTTGACAGATTGGTCCGACTCCTATCCCTGGACAGACGATGAAGTATGCACATGGATTTCCATCTACGCCTTCTCGCGCGAGGGACCTTCTGCCAGTACTCGAATCTACTACGAGTCTGCGCATCCTGTAGGCGAGGGTGCAGTGAGTAGGATGGATGTTATCAACATGTACATACCCCACGTGCCGCTTGCTCTAGCATACTTTCCGGGAGAATTGGCACGGTTGCCCAAGTGCTGGGCGTGGAGTAATGGACCTGTGGTGCAGCAGAGCACATTCGACATCGGAGGTCATTTTGCTGCCTTTGAAGTTCCGGAGTTGCTGGCCGGGGACTTGAGAAAGCTCTTTGCCAAAGGAGGGTGTTGCGAGGGTCTTTTCGATGGATAAAGGGATCTCTGATATAAACTCGACAAGGCGATTGATTGCCTTTCCTTAGAGTTCTTCTAATGTGGGGTGGTCGTCTGTTCGATACACGAAGAAGTGCCGACCGGCTGAATTGGATGATCTTACGCTACCTACTGGCAAAAAGGAACCCCTAGCAGCGGCTCTTCAGCGGGCTATGCTTCTCCTTCTTCTCTTCTTGACCAACAAGTCAAAGAGAGGCCCTTTCACGACAAAACTTCCGCTCGCAGGGCGTCCGACGTAAAGGACGATCTTTGCGTGTTACGCTATATGCCAATACTGAACGCAATTGCTAATTTCCAGGAGCACATTTGCTACAGCCAAGTACCAACATCTACCCTAGCAGCTATTCCTCTGGGCGAATGACAACATCTCCGGAACCACATCAAATCCTCGATCACTATTCGTTATACAGTCGATGTTCTAGCCTTTCGCCAGAACGCCGGCCGGAGAGGGATCAACATACTTCTCGAAGTACTGTACGTAACAGCAAGTCAGCGACGATAACTCTAGCCTTCGTGTTGCAACAATTCTTCGGGCGCCTCGGGCCATTCACGGCAGGCCAACTTTAAGTTCTTGGCCCTGAAAGCTAGAAAGCCTCCGGTATACCGTTCAGTGTATTCCCAGGGCGCAAGTTGCAACAACAATGCCAAGGCAAGGGAGCTGGCCTTGCAGTCTTACCAACACTGACCCGATACTGCTGTCAATCTACCTACCCCAACACCAGATGGGGGTGATTAACAAACTCACTCACAAGTAGCTGACTCCTATCGCAGGCAGACGTGAGTAGAGCCGTAGTAGGTATTCGGGTTGTGGCTAAACGTCTTACGCTGCTCTTGCTCGAGCCTCGAGGGCTAACACACATAAGGGCAAGACTAACACATCTGCCCGGAGTTACGCCAAAGGCTTTCCTCCTACGACTCGATCTAGCTTTCCAGTGATCCCCAGCAACAGATCAGTTCACCGAGACAAGATCCTGCTGAAGCGGCCCTTCAAAGTCAATTCGAGTGCGAGAGATCTCGGTCAGTCACCTACTCTTGTAGCTAGAAAGGTTTCACCTTATTCTGGGGATTGCGGAACGCTTCGTGAATGGGTGGCTGCTCGCCCCGCCCGTTCTACGATTAGAACCAAATACCAGCAACATGGAAGTGTATCACCGATAAGTTCACCGTCAGGCGAGCGCTCTTCTTGAACCACCTGGCCCGTGGGATACGTACCGCGCCCTTGCTCTCCAGAGGTCCGAGTATAAGATAGCTTTCGTCTGTCGGGGCTTCATCAATCAGCATTTGCCCAAATCCTTCTTTACAACTGACCCCGAAGAGAGCCTGCTTCCCCCTCAAAATTTGACAGAAGACATGAAGTTCACCTCCGTTCTCGCCAGCGCGTGCCTGTTCGGCATCGCCCTCTCCGTCGACGACTCTCTCTACGCTCCCGGACCTGGCGTCGAGCCGGAATTCAAAGCTTACCTCAATGAGTATGCACATTCCGCCTCTTTTCCTTCCACAATCATCATCACCATCATCACCATGCTCTCCCCTTCTCTCTTCCCATCATCAAAGAAAGGAAAAACAGAACTGACCAAGTCTCGCGAACCAGACTATATTATCAAGCCGAACAACCCCCTTCAACAACGGAATTCACAGACTTCTTCACCCCCGATGGCAAACTCATCGTGCGAGGCATCGTCGCCACTGGCGCAGCCGAGATTTTGGCTTTGAAGCAGAGACTTCTCCCTACAGCGGGCAATAAACACTGGAACCATATTCAGAACGCCACGACGGTGGACTCGGAGTCGTCGACGCAGAAGACGTATCAGGTTTTGGGCATAATTGATACCACATATGATGGCGGGAATTGCTCGAGAGCTTAGTAAGTGCGAGACATTCGTTGCTATACATAACAACTCTGGTGAAGTGTTGTTATTGTTGTTGAATGTAAAACTGACTTCTTTTTCCTAGCTATTCAAGCCGATTCACCGTAATCAAAGGTGCAGGTGGCGCGTTAGATCTTTCCCCTCGAGTGAAGAATTTGGCTGCTTATGATGATTTCATCATTCAGCCTTCAGTCTCTCCAACGGATATTCCTTGCGAAAAGGTTTGATCGGAGTTCCGAATGATGAGTTCTCTCTCTCGCTCTCCGATGTCTAGATCCGGCCAGAGTGAACCGCGAGCCTTGTCCATGACCTGGCATGGAGCCGGAGGGAGGCAACAGGGGAGGGGGGGCATTTGACTCTCACTAGTAGCTGTACCCTGCTTCGAGTCTCTAAGGGGGGTTCGGAGTAAGCTCCGTAGTACCGCGTTCATCGCCTTCACCCGTGGGGGGGCTCCAGATCTGCGTGTGTACTTGCAGTCCGTATAGAAACCGTGAAACTTACACCAGACATGCATTTCTCTAGCCTCACAATCAAACCAATCCTCCTATTGAGACAGCGGCACCACAACTCTCAGTGTCACATTTTCCTTACCAAATACTCTCGCAACTCCAAGCTATGCCGTAGACTCCATGCTTCTAGGATTATAGCCTTTGGGGTATACCCCCCCCCCCCCCTTCCCCATGGGGTTTTTCTTGCCTGTATGACGATTGACGGAAATGTTGCATTTGTTATAACGTGAGGCGGTTTTTAACTCTTTCGAACGAATAGGCATACTATAATGCCTTTTATTACGGCAGTCTTGCACATTGGTTAGGGTGCAGAGTTGCAAGTCTCACATATAGTAGGCGATATGGATCAATTGTACGGATTGGAGTTTCTTGCCTCATACATAAGTCGCATCTGGCAAACTTGGGGCGTGGGAAGGACTGGTTGTTACGAGCAGGTTGGGGATGTGGATGTTTTCTGAAGGTCTTCTTCTCGGATGTCGAGAGAACGGAATTTCCGTTTTGCTGGATACGTAACTCGTCTTGTTCTTGTACTACACAATGTGGAAGATATCTGTTCTGCTATGGGTATGGATACTGCCTACGATGGTGGTAAATTCTAGCTCATAGGCCGGCGTGGAGCTGATAGCTCTTCGACTCCTTGCAGCATTTTGTATTGTGCCTGAGATGATGATCTAATCAGCTATTGTCTTGTGTCCTACAATGGCTTCAGACTGTTGATCCTGGGTGGAGTAACTACTGGCGGCAAGAAAGGATATATATATATGCCATCTAGTGAGACCAAGGACGAGGTTTGCAAGCTGCACTGTCAATCTAGGCCCTATGCTCAACAACACATCTGCACTCTTCGGAACGCTGCAGATACAACGCACGCTGGCCCTTCTACCTGCTAACAGCCCCCATATTTCTAGGCCTGCGCCTCTAGAAGTTGGGGCGCAGAATGCATGTCCAGCTTCTGCCTTGCTATTAAGTTGGCTTCTTATTACGCCATCCTAGCGTTGGAGGCTACCGTAATACTGAAGGGAACTGTGATTTTTAGCCGTAAAGAGAAAATACAGACTGGAGTGGGTGCCTTCTTATATCTACACCTTGTTGCCACATAAGCGGCCATCAGGTCAAGGAGGTCATTAGGATAACGAGATGCCCAGCTCCGGTGGGAGTGTAACCTCAGACTGCGTCGGCATCCGCATGAGAGAGAGGGGGACGGGTTCCAGTCGCAGGAGAAACCCGTGCATGGGAGTGCGAAGTTGAAGGCAACTCTGAAGCACTTTCAGTCACTATTGCACCACAGCATCAGGAGCTAGTCGCCAGTAGAGGAACTCAATCGCGTCTCAGACCGCTTCTTGCTGCTTCTTGATATCTTCATACACCGCCTCAGCCGACTCATAAGCCCCTCGCCAACATCCCAACATAACACTCCCGAGGAGAGGCACATCCTTCGTCGTCGGAAAAATTCCCTTTCGAAAGTATTCCTCCACCTCCTGATCCTCGCAACTCTGATAAGGCGTTTCACCCGTCATAATCTCATACAGCAACGACCCCAGTGCAAAGAGATCCGTTCGTACAGTAGAAGGGTCGTGAAAGGATCTTGGAAGACAGTATCGAAACCCTTCAAACCCCGAGCCGGCCGAGCCGTCGATTGTCGAGCCTGAGAAGTCGATGATGCAGAGTCGGAAGTCGTCTGTTAGGAGGAAGTTCCAGGAGTTGATGTCGCCGTGGATGATTTGGACGCTATGGAGGATGCTGAGACTTTCGGCTGCATCGGCGGCAAATTGAAGTCGTCGCTGTGACGACAACGACGACGACGACGAGTTGGACGAGGAAGAGTCAGCTACTGAGGATGAGGAGGAGGAGGAGGTGTATCGTAGAAAATCGCGCAGACAGCCATTACGGAGGTACGGCAGGACAAGTCGTTGTGGTGTACTGTGCGAGTGAAGCTGGAGCACACGTGGATGTCGGGGCAATCTTGAATAGGCGACATATTCTCGTCTCAAGTCTTCCAGGTTGGCTTCTACAGTTTTGTCATTGGGGTGTGGTGCCTTTTCGACGAATGAATTGTCGGTGCGCAGCTTGATGAGGCCTGTTGAGCCTCCTGCGATCACTTCTAGGTCGTCTCCCATTGAGGCTGTAGGTAGGTCGACAGCGTGACGTCGTAAGCGCCCTCTGATATCGAATGTTATATGTTTACAGGCTATGCCTTTTGTGGATGGGTACTCAGGCAATAATTGGATTACGAAGCGAGAAGATGCAGATATAATAGGGGGTATTTCTTGGCATTCTTAGACGCCGGCGGCCGTGAGTACTGGTGGGCTTTCATAGGTGCTCATCGCTTCATCAACCATTTCAGCCCTGAAGTTCCTTGTCTACGGAGTCTCTAGCGCTTACCTTCAAGCATATGATACTAGGAGCTCGCCGTGCTTGCAAATCGCAGAACTTTTTGAAGGGAAAATTTCCACAACTGAGGGCTATGTATGGATTTCTTGAAACACGCTTCTGAGTGCTACGGCGTTGAGCAAAGTGCCAGAGGTCAGTCGCAGCCTCGACTGATCCCATCCTTCTCCCGTTCTCAGAATATGAGAGCTTCAATTCCAGGCTCACACTGTCTCTCATTCATGTACTCTCTTGGTACAGTACAAGCATTAACCACCTCCATATTCACGCCGCAGGCAGGCCACGCAGGGCGTCAATCACCAGTCGTGCGACTTCTCGATCGTCATCGTGGCTCAGTACTTGGCCCACCATGTCCAGGTCTGTCCACACAGTCTCAAAGTCCTCGCCCTCTTGCTGCTCTCGCTTGCCCTCGGGAGCAGTAGAATCCGCCTCTGCCGCGAACCAAAAGATGATTTTCCGAACGCCACCTCTATCGCGTTGAGTGACACAAATAGGTTCCGTAACGAGCCTTGTCGACGTTTCTGAGTTCTGAGAACTTGGAGGCGAAGTCGCCTGGGTAAGGAATGGTAAAGGCAGAAGCGACGCCCGGTATCCAGTTTCTTCCCACGTCTCGCGTAACGCTGCGTTTTCCAATGTCTCGCCAATGTCCTTCCGACCTTTGGGCAGCATTACCTCTCCAGTTTTGTGCCAGCGAATCAGTAAGGCCTTGGACTTGTTGAGATCGAGCGTTACCGTGCCGCAGCTGAGGACAAAGGCTGCGGCGGAGTGCAGGGATTTCGACATGTTCGCGATGCTCTTGATGATGGTGTAGAGGGAGCTGAACAGGACAGCGCATTCTTGGCAAATTTGCTGCGAGGCGGATACGACTGTGACTTGCCTATGTACGTGTGGGGTACATGTACTGTGCCGCCATGGTCAGGACGTCCCGAGACCAGATGGAGCATACCCCGAGCGATAGACGCACTGATCTTGTTGGGGGACCTGCTAGGCAACCGCTGCAGCTGAACAGAGGTCATCACATCGACGTCCGAGACCAACAGCGCTACCAGGACACATCCTATTGGACTACGAGCGGCAGCCTGCGGATCGTGCACTGCCCCAAGGGATCTTGTATAGCGACCGCTTATTCGTAGTAGATACGACACGTCCCGATCGACTTTTGTCTGTAGCGTCCATATACATGGCCTGTACTGACGTATATGACGGTAATCAAGTCGCTTCGCGGCAGAGGGAGGGACAGGAAGATTGGCAAGCAAGAAGAATGGAATTCAAAGCCGTCGTGCTATTTCATACAATACTGTGATCCAGTCCAGTTCTAGATTTTGGAACAAAACTGGAGCAATAAAGCAGACAATTCAGGATTGTGAAGAGAGCGTGCCCTCCCCAGCGCACTTGGGCCGTCACGTCCCCAGCAGAGAATCTTTCGAGCTGGATCTGCGCCGCGTTTCAGCAGAGCATGCACAGCCGGGACGTTTTCGTGGTAGCAGGCCAGGTATAGCGGTGTAGGAAGAAAAGACATGGCCTTGAACCGCCAGGCAGCGGCGTTGAAATGGCGGCGTGCGTTCACGTCGGCTCCTTTCTGTGCCAGTATCTCAATGAGCTCGGCACCCTCACGCTGATCTGTCCTTTCAACAGCATAATGCAGGAGGTTTCCGTGCATGACGTCGGCCCCTTTCGCGAGGAGGAAATGCACTACTCGAATGTCGCCCGCAGCGATGGCATAGCTGAGAACGGGCTGGTCCAGGTATGGACGATTGTCGATATCTGCTCCGCGGTCGATGAGCCATTTCATGAATTCTATATCGTTGATGGCGTAGCTACAGTAGAGTTCAGTCTGGTCAGTATGTAGTTTGATGGCAGGAATACGAAGATGCCTACTACAACGGTGGAACTGAACAAAGACAGGTGTTTATATCCCAACCAAAATCGAGGATTGTCTGGATGCATTTCTTGTCCTTGCGCGTGAACGCTTCAGCAGCAATCGTTTCGGAAAGAGATCGATTCTCTTCTAACAAAATCCGTAGGATCTCAGGCTTTTGGAGAATAACGGCTTCGAGCTTCGCATGCAGGCTTGCCCTTTGAGTGAGACCCAGGCTTGTTTCCCTGACCCTCTGCTGATCACCCTTACGCACAGCTTCCATTACGGCTTGCTCTCCTTTAGTGGGCTCACCACCCAGGTATTTGACGATTTTATCAAACTCGGCGTCGGAAAGCTGTGGGATCATTCTTGCAGTAGGAGGCTGAGTCTTGCAATTGTATAGGTAGATTGAGGAGTTCATCCTTGCAGTTGTAGGTTGAGTCTTGTAGTTGTAGGTTGAGTCTTACAGTAGTAGGCTGAGTCTTGCAATTGTATAGGTAGGTGGAGGAGTGAGTGAGGTGGGAGGATGATGTAGAAGAGGCAGTTTAAAAGGTAAGTTTAGACGCCGTAGGACCCTCTGCAAGCGCCTCTGGCAGGAACCTTGTACCTGCTACTTTGGACCTCTACCTTAAATAGTTTACCATTCATGCATCTACAAGGCCGCACAACACCTTCAGCTACATGTATGAGTCTTGACGCTACTTCGATTGGGACCCTATCAATGCCAAGACATCTCGAGCTACTCTACCCACTGCATTTGGTTCCAAACATTCCTTTTCCCGGCACCTTTTCCCGACACCTTGTGTTTCATCTCAGCATCCAACTCACTCAGCCTCGACGTAGCAGACTACAAGATCCAATAATGAAATAGTGCCCATGCCATCGGCCTCTCTATCCGAACCAAAGCGCCATTCAGGGCGCGTACCGCCAGCACATTGTCATCTGGGCGCGTCTCTGTCTGCAACCAATTGTTGCAAATCCAAATCATCGGTAGGACACTTGTCGCTGGCAGCCAAACTGCAGCCACCTCCATGCTGAGGCCAAAGATAATACAACTCATCATTGTAGCACCCTCATCGGTCGTTCGCAATGGATAACCGCTCCAGGCCTGCGGCGAGAGCATCTGTGGGAGTGCTCGAGATGTAGCAGACCACATTGCAGGTCCAGCAGCCGAAAGTCCCGCAGCTGATGGGACGGCAATCCAAGATTCGAGCGTGGACGATTGAGAGAAATCCTCGATCTGCGGCCACAATTTCGCCCTCTCTAAGATGAGTTGCGGCTTGTTGTCCTCGGTGAAAGAGCTGACGATCTCTCCTTTGCGGAACAAGATGTTCTGTACATCTGCCTCCTGATACAACACCGATCTCATGTCCACATTCACTGCTTCAAGGCTATCCCGAACTTGGTCAATAACTGACTGCATTGGGCCAGACTCTTGATTGGTTGCAAAAACGCCCCATGCGGTGGTCGACGGTGGAAAATGTTCCATGTGCCTTTCCATTAGGTTTGTGATCGCAGTCAAAGATGATTCATGATGGAGGTAGCTGAGCTGCGGAAGATCCTCGCTTGTATTGGCGTCAAAGTCTCCAGGATATGGCGATATATGCGCTAGGATGATTGCTGATTCGCCCAAGATAACGACACAGGTACAAGCATTGAGGCCCTTCGTACCGATCGCCTTGAACTGGGAGTCAGTGCCGTGTATAAGGATGTCCACATCGTCGATCCCAACCTCCAGGGTCTCGTTCTTTGCCGGCCACTCTCCGTAGAACGAAGTCATATTCAACGACAGAGAAGGGCAATGATTCCAGCTCAAAACAAGCAAGTCCGGTTGATGAAAATTTCTATGCCGTCAAGCACTGCAGCGTATTGGACTAAATACCTCCATACCTCGTGAGGCACAGTATCCTTCTCTGCAGTTCGATCGACCACAATGAAGCAACAGTCGACCAGCAAGCAGCATCTCACTCCTGACACGGCGCAGACACAGCACAGTACTCGCCTCGAAATGGATCTGTCGTTTCACCATCAGAAACCGCGTTCGACAACCTATCACTTCCAATTTCAACGCCGCTCCTGCTATTCATATACTATCAGAAACACCAAAGCGAAACGCCTTGTTTTGCCTCCGAACCACATAGAGAAAGAAAATTCGCAGCTTCTATTCGCCAAAAGTACAGTAGGCCATTTCTCCAAATACATGTAGTGTACGAGATCTTGCGGCACGCTCCGCTAACACCGCGAGGCAGCCAGATCTCAGTCGCGAACGGCTCAGCAAGCGCGTAAAGATTATCGGAGAGTAAAGAGTGCAGTTACTGTGCACTGTTGTTATAGTCTCGCCAAATCGCTCTACTCTTGCCAAGCTACTTATTACCTTACTAGGTAGTGCTTCGCCCGGACAGCCGGCTACATCCGCTTAGAAGTTAATGAAAATTTGATAACCATTTGATAATCTGGCTAAGTTTTCGACTCTCGCCGTCGTACTTTTGGCTTTTTCGCCTCTCTCCCTATCTTAACTTCACTTCATCTCAAAGTTTCTTCAGCGTCGCGAGACATGGAAGCTCTCTACATTCCTAGGTATGTGCGTAATGGAAAGGATTCTTGCGGGTGTGAGATCGTACTGTGGTAGACCAAAATCCGTGCCTACCAAAAATTCAGGTGAGTAAGAGTTAGGTACCTAGAAACAACGCCAAATTAGTAGCGGAAAGAGGAGTCGATCTCTTATAACCTACACTCGTACTAGCCGTTAGTCCTACGTCAAAATCTGCTGTATTGCTATTACTATCGCTATCGCGCGAATTCGTATATAAAGCTCGCTAACTAAGCTCCTATACGAAGACAGTACAGCGACGATAGCGATAGCAATATAGCAGATTTCGACACAGAACTAACGGCTAGTACGAGTATAGGTTATAAGAAATCGATTCCTCTTTCCGCTACTAATTTAGCGTTGTTTCTAGGTACCTAACTCTTACTTACCTGAAATTTTGGTAGGCACGGATTTTCGTCTACCACAATAGTGATTCAGGGCTACCTACCTGACTTTGCTGCCTGAAATGCCAAAGTGGTTTTGAGTAGCTGAAAGGAATCGTACCGCCGGGAAACAAAGTCTCACTCATTTAGGCCTCCCAAGACCAAAAGGAAAAGGAAACACTTCCGCGACGTCCCTATTTGTGATCATTCACTGCAGACGGGGCCAATAGACGCCATGCGAGCGTTTGATCTGCAGTAAGATGCAAGCGCGCGAGTGTCTTACTCTTTGTCAGAATTGGCTCTCTAGTACACTCCCTTCCGCTGGCCAAGCAGCCGAGGGGCGTGCCGACTACTACATTGGAGAGATATAAGGTTCACCGCTCTGGGAAGCGAGATATAGTTTGAGAAGCGAGGCATACTTTGATGTTTTGTATACAAGAGAAGTCAGGTATAGTCACAATAGCTAAGGTACCTACGCAAGGTAATTGCGTACGAAAGTTCTCGAGTATAGAATGACTTAGACAGGTCTCAGACTAACTGCCTGACTGACCGATTATACTAGACATGACCCCAAGCGCGTCGAAAGAAACAAACATGACGCAAACATGTTGTAGAAGTGAAGAGATAGTACTTTCTTACGAAAGTAACAGTCTGATGTAGTTTATAAACAGTAGCATGTCAGCAACTTGTGCTTCCGATACTATCTTCTTAACAAGGACTCAAAGCGAACCAGCACTCAATATGATCGGGGTCATGCAATTCGTCATCGCAGGCGTGATCTTGCTCGTCATAACCGCCCTCGGCCTCTGGCGGACTTTGGCAGTTTGGAATCGACGAGAACCATGTGCCTGTCAGCGCCGCAATACCAGGCGAGGAGATTCGAGTGGATGTCAACAGATTATCAGAGCTGAAGTACTTGATTCCTCGACTACAGACGTGGCGCAGCAGGGTCCGAGTAGACGGCGATTGAAGAATGGACTTGATCCCCGCGAGTCAAGAGCTATTCCTAACAAGCGTCTTGTACATGCATTTGGGATCAATAACTGTTTCACGACTGCTGAAAAACAGCGATGCGCGGCTTTTAAGGCACTGGCTACTAAACTGGTTATCTTGGATGAAGAAGAGTGGATTTGGCTCGCAGATGAAGTGGACGGAGTCTGTAAGAGGCATCTTCGCTCACAGACCAAGCAGAAGCTCTCCAGTTTGATACAACTCGTCACTATGAAATCTATACTGGGTCCACTCTGCGGCTTCGACTCTTCACGTACTGATGTGGATGCTGAGCTGCAAGTTCTAGCGAGTGAGATTAATCACCAGTGGCTAAGATCTAAAGAGGGCTTGACAGAGGAAAACAAGTTTGCAAACCAACCACGGCTGAGACAGGCTCTTGCAGTCATCGCACCGGCGTGGGATGGTCGAGATGAAACTGAAAATCCTCTGAACCTCATCTTGCCCGGATACGAGACACTCTGGCGAGTCGTACTGCGGGGTTTCCTGGAGGTGGTGTTTCGGGCAAAAGAGCCTGATCGAGCAAACTGGGGACGCGCGTTGCAGGACTTCGTTGTGGACCCCTCTCTGGATCAACTTGACACTGGTCTTCCGCAGTACGGCGGAGTATCGGTCCACATGATTGTCAAGGAGGCCCTTCGCCTCTATCCACCCACTCGCAGAATCTACCGCGCGTACCAGGTTGGAGCAGCCGAACCATTCGAGGCGTCTGCAGACATCGAAGCTCTACATCGCGACGTCGCTACTTGGGGTGTTAATGCTCTGAAGTTCGATCCTACTCGCTGGCTGGGTAACTGCGATCATGCATGTTTCAGAAAGGACAACTTCATGCCGTTCGGCAATCAGCCTTTCGTGTGCGTTGCGCGGGGTCGAGGCGTCAAGGAAGGTGAGAAGTGCTTACCTTTCGGCGTCAGCATGATTGCAGTTATTCTTGGGGGTCTTGTTGCCGCTGCTGGTGACAACACTAAGCTCGTCTGTGCCGGCTCGGAATGGAAGACTGACGAGCCGCTGAAAACTGGCAGGGAAGACTATTGTGAGATAGAGTTGATGCAAGCGCGTCGAAGGGAGGTGGCGTGAGTTCCCATACGTATACCTTTCACAGTGGCACAGCCGTTCGATAGTCTATCCGCACCCTGAACTTGCTCAGAGAGGAACTCATTTCCGGCTTTCAGATGCAGAGAACCTCGAAGTTACAGGATCAACCCTTGTGTTCTTGCATGGTGCGAGCGGCGAAATGACATGGTTTCGTGATATGAAGCCTAGTAACGAAGCGGCGCGGATAGATTATCGAATTGCTGTGCCACCGTAGAAGGTGTACGTACTGTAGCGAAGAGGAAGTGAAGTGAGGTTGAATATAGCGCGGTGGAACGTTCAACCGCGCAAACCTTCCATGCCAGCGGGGAATCTATTCGTTCGGGACAAGTTTGCCGCTAGAAAGCGCCATACCAGTATCTTGGTTGAAGCTCCATCTACTGTGCCGCTAGCGCGTGATCCGCGCGCTTATTAGCGCTTCTAGCGCCGCTGGCGCCTGCAGCGTTTATCGAGACGTCACGGCTGCCTGCGCCGCTCAAAAACAGTCTGCGGCCAATTACATCGGTAGAGCCGACGCGTTACATGCGGCAAGGAAATGTAGCTAGCGCAGGAGCTGTGATAGGTAGGAAGCTGCTCAGGTGGGGATGTTATTCAACCAATGGAATCAGATCACAATGCAAGCGAGATGACTGTGCCAGGCAACTGGCTCGATAAGCTGGTAGGTACACGGCTTGGCGTGCCATACAGAGCTCGCGAAGTACGTATTTAAATCGCTCTCCTTCCCAACCAACAACAATCTGCAAACCAAAGAAACACCAACAACTCTCTATACCACGCGATTCTTGAGGAAGGCGCCCATCCCCTGGCATTCCTCCTTCACATTCGCACTCATACACTGCTGAGAACGACCGAACATGTCTGATCAAGATTCCACCGATCCTTTGGCCGAATTCACTGCCCGCAATAAAGACAAGAGAAGCTCTGGGGCGAAAAGAGCTGATTTTAGAAAAGATCCCACCAGTACGTCCCATTGTCAATACCCCAGAAGCACACATCTGACAAGAGCCTAGGCATTCTCTATCTCGGCTCCTGTGAAATCAGCCGCAACGAGCAAGAAGTTGTCAAATCAGGGCCACGAGTGCTCGCTGAGGAAGGCAGAGCGCTCCAATTTGCCAATTCCTTGAATCTTCCCGTTCCAGCTCTGCGTGAAGTGCGTGCCTTGGACCAAGGCACACTGCTCAGGATGGACTTTGTTGACGGAGAATGTCTTGAGGAAGCCTGGCGATCACTGGATGGGAAACAGAAACAAAGCATTGCGGAGCAACTCAGAGATATTCTTATAACGATGCGACAGGCGACACCTACTCAGAGCACAATCGGAGGTTTCGGTGGACCGGCTCGCGATCCTCGCTTGATTTCGGACTATCCTGGTGGTCCTTTCAATACCGAAGCAGAGTTCAATACCTTTGTTCTCGACCTCCTAGAAGGGACACCATCCAAGATTCGAAGTGCTCTAGCAGGTGGCTTGGACGTCAACAGCCGAATTGTTTTCACTCATGCAGATTTGTCACCGCGAAACATCATTGTCAAAGGAGACCGCGTCCAGGCACTTCTCGACTGGGAATATTCTGGCTGGTACCCTGAGTATTGGGAGTACGTGAAGTTCTTTGCCCGGCCAACTCAATGGGACGACTGGGTAGAGTATGCTGAGACGATCTTTGACACGGAGTATCCGAAGCAGCTGTGCACATATCAAGCAATCGCACGATGGCAGCAGCCATAGCCTACTTCTATATCTTCCACTCTGGGAATTGCATGCAACATGCCTCTCAGTCCTTGATGATATATACGATGCTTTCGACAGACGACCCTGATTCTGCGACGCCTTCGGTGCCGACTCTACCCATGTCTGACAGTTGAATTTCGGATCGCGGTTGTTTGTAGGAACTCTGAGTAACATACACTCCATTGCTACGAGTTCCTATCAACAACTGCGATCTGGAATTCAACTGTCAGACATTGGTAAAGTGGGCACTAAAGGTATTGTAGGACGCAGGATACCAGACGTGTCGGCAAAAGTATACATATATATATATATATATATATTCAAGAACTAGTGCATATACAAAGCAATCCCCCAATAGCAGTCCCGACAACCTACTTTACATCTTTCGCATCAGCAATTGCACTCCACATCCGATCCAGACCTTGTCTATGCGACTCCTCCGATAGAATCCCCTCATTCTTCAACTCCCCCAACGCCAACTCGACCCAAATCTGACAGTTGAATTTCGGATCCGAATTGTCGATAGGGACATGTTGTAGTATTGCAACAATCTCTTCCGAAGTCGCAGCAACCTCTGGAGGTCCCAATTCGATCAGTTTGCGGTACAATAGGCTGTCCTGAGGCTCTTTCGAGGTCGGTCTACATTGGAATTTAAATTTCTGTGGATTCCCTACGATGTGCGCTATGAGAGAGGGGGATTGGGAGGCGGATTGGAGCCAGAGTACGGTATGGCGATATTCGGGATATTTTAGTGGAAAGCCTTCGTAGACGACGATGTTGATGTGGATTGTCGTCATGGTGGAATCTGATGATCATTAATTATTAGCTATACATGTACTTCATCGCGTGCCTCTATCTTGGGTAGGCATACCGTTCCAGATTCCAGTCGGCGAGTCTACAAAGCACACCGATGTTGTCGCTTTGAAGTTTTGATTTTATAGGAGAGAAAGACGCCGAGTGTAGTAGTGATTGCAGACAATACTGATGCTGCTGCTGCTGCTGTTGTAGACGTTCAAGCGAGTGTAGCGTTAGACTTGTAGACAACAAAAGAGTTGAAGAAAAAAACAAGAGGCAAAACCAGCAGAATATATACACTTGTCTGAACAGCCTCCTCGAGAAGGTTAGGTGATCATACACCCACCCACCCACCCTCTCTTGAACCGGAGCAGGCTCCAGTAGGGACAAGCCAGACAGACAAGACAGACAGACAGACAGACAGAGAGAGAAATCCTCTCCAGGCAACAACGCCCTCCAACCTCAGCGAAAAAAAGAAACCTCACAGACGTGCCTTCCATTGCGGCACAGAAAATGCGGCACAGAAAACAAAAACTACGAACGTGCACGACGGAAGACGATGTCAGTGTTGTCAGTCGTTCAGTGCAAGATGCATCTGGCAGAACGGGAACCAGGGACCTGGCCTGTTGGAATTGACGAATCATCGCGTCGGGCACGTCACACTCACGCACGCACTCACACCGACAGATTGGATCGAGCCAAGAGTTGGGCTTTTTGGGGAGAGTCGGCAGAGGAGAGTGATCAGGCAAGCAAGTAGGTAAGGTAAGCAAAAGAGGTCCGAGCGGGAAGCGGGAGAGCTGAGCTGATTGCGCAGCAGTAGCAGCAGCAGCAGCAACGCAGCGGCGTAGCAAAGGAAAAAAAATGTCAGTCAGTCAGTCACTCACTCACTCACTCACTCACTCACTCACGTCAACGTGGCTGGCTCGTCGCGTGTGTGTGGAGACTTTAGTCCTATAGTTCTTGGGGGGGTTTGGTTGGTTGGGTTGTGACTGGCTGACGGAAAACCCGATACTGACGCGACATCACGAGCGGCACAGTAAAAAAGGTTTGTTGGGGTGGAAAAGGCCCCAGGTGAAGTCGGAGGCCTCTCTTCCCCCCGGAACTAAGAAGGTGTCGGTACCGGTGTCCTGGGATTCAATATTCTCTGTGCCGCAATCTATGTCTTCTGTGCCGCAATCTATTCTGTGCCGCAAGCTGTAGGCGGCGCTTAGACCCCTGCTGGATTGTATCGGTGGCGTTGGGTTGGGCGTTGCAAGGCTGGCACTTGCGCAGTAGGTGTGGGTGGGCCCTGGTTCTTCTGTGCCGCAGTCAGTGTATACTGTATGGAGAAGTTGGAGGTGTGCTTCGCTGGTCAATTGTGGAGACAATGGATACTGGAATACAAACCTCATTGTGACAGTTGACACTTGCCGGAATCCCTGTCGGTCTGTCTGTCTGCCTAATGTACCTGCCTGAGGTACCTGTCTACCCTGGTCGAATGTCTTGGCGCTGTCGGAGCAACGTCCGAACAAACCTCCCCTTGGAAGAGGTGGCACACGAACACCCCCAACACGGAGAATTCTTGTCTACCTCAGAGGCCGAAATGATCTTTACGAACGGTGTGAACGAACGTTACATGACGGGAGTGAAATGGAGTGACTACACGTATGTATACAACACTGGAGGTATACAACATGAATTCATTCATACCACCCGCTGTAGGCTAGAGGGGGGCAGTGCAGCACGAGTTGAGCATCAACACGAAAGCACACAAGTACCTGGTAGGTAGCCAAATCGAAACACCCCAATTACCCTGACCCCGAGTGAACCAGTCGTGAACTTCGTCGGGAATTCGATAGGTATTTACCGAACTCTTCCACAGCATCAACGACTTCTCCAGCTGCATTCGCCCTTCAAGCATACCAGAACGCTTGACTTCACTATACCTTTCCACTGACAGCCTCCAAGCCCGGATCGACGACCCTGCAGCAGCAAATATCGATCAGAGACAGCGCTTGCAGATCGTCGTAGATGCTGCGAAGGCTGTGGATGTGGTATAATAGAACGGCATTGTACATGGCGACTTTCAACCCGGGAAATTCATGTATATATGGGCGAGCACCGCCTGTATGTATTATCGACCTTGCTGGCTCGACATTACATGACAAGACAGGCACTGCCCTCGAGAATTGCAGGTCGTAGCAGGCGGAAGGTGCTGTAGTAGGTAGACAATCTGTCGCTATGTGGAACTGACGGTTGTGTAGAAGACGAATTGATGCAGTACTAGGTAGGTACCTGTATACTGCCTGCTGCTTGACGTTGTATAGAGGGTCTACCCTTCTCTTCCGCATCCAGAGACGACGGCAGTCACGTCTGGCGTCTAACCTGGTGGTCCCGTCGTGCCAGAACCACCTTACCTACCTTGCCTGTTTCTTGCTCAAGTTCTCCCCGTTCGCGCTCCCCTCTTACCATCACTGTTTTATAAGAAGACTGCGAGCACTGCTCAAATTGGAAAACACTTCGCTCCAATTCAAAACAAACACATACATCACTCACCTCTCTTTTTACGACATATCACAAGTTACCATGAGCGCCGGCCGTGAAATTGCCTGGACCAATAAGCAATTCGCCATGCTCCGCAAGAATCCAAAGTATTCCGACCTGGAGATTCGGTGTGACGGCCGTATCTTCAAACTGCACCGTGCCATTGTCTGCACCATGTCGAAAACCTTGACCAAAGAATGCGATGGACAGTTCAGGGTAAGGAGGTAGTGCCCAGCGGCGAATTTTTTTTCGATATTATGGCGATTGATGCGTGAAATCAGGAAGCCAAGAGTGGCATTATCGATCATACAACCTTCTGCGCAGAGACTCTGGATATGATGCTGCAATTCATGTATACCCATACCTATACTCTTCCGGTTGCTGGTACGGACACCGCCACCACCGCCACCACCACTTCTGTCGACGTCGAACACGGTGTTCAGTCGAGTAACAATACTACCGCCGGAGATGCCGCAGCCGCCGAAGGTACGGGCACCACCACCACCACCTCTATCGACGTCGAACATGGTGTCCAGTCGAGTAACAGCACTACCGCCGGAGATGCCGCAGCCGCCGAAGGTACGGGCACCACTACCGCCACCTCTTTCGACGTCGAACATGGTGTTCAGTCGAGTAACAATACTACCGCCGGAGATGCCGCAGCCGCCGAAGGTGCGGGCACCACCACCACCACCTCTATCGACGTCGAACATGGTGTCCAGTCAAGCGACAGCACTACCGCCGGAGATGCCGCAGCCACCGAAGGTACGGGCATCACCACCACCACCTCTATCGACGTCGAACATGGTGTCCAGTCAAGCAACAGCACTACCGCCGGAGATGCCGCAGCCGCCGAAGCCACCGCAGCCGCCGAAGCCACCGCAGCTGCCGAAGCCACCGCAGCCTCCGAAGATGCTGATGGTCCCAGCAAGAAGGAAACAGCTTCCCAGCCGGCTGAACTTTCGCTGGACCCCAAGACCAGCCTCGTCTTGGCCCACATCGATGTGTACGCGATCGGCGACTACTACGATGTGCCACCTCTGAGAACCCTCGCCCACCAGAATATCATGAATTGTCTAAGCAAAGTTGAGCACGCTGAGTTCATACACCTGGTGCTGGCTACCTGGAAGAGCACAGCAGCACGCAAGGACTGCCTACGTCAGAGCATTATCCGAGAGACTGTAGCACGTGCCAAATTCCTCTTCCAGGACAAGCACTTCATGACTGCTATATCAGAGGGTAAGGAGCTTTGCCACTTCGTAGCTGACGTTTTGCCTGTATTACAAAAGACTGCAGAATCTTCCGAAGCTACAAAGCGGGCTAAAATCGAGTCTCTTGAAGACGTGCTTGGGCCACTGAAGGAGGAGGCGAAAGCTGCTACTCAGCTGATTGAAAGCCTCAGAGCAACGATAGCATCCAGAGACAGGGCCCGACTGGAAATGTTGCACGTTGCCCTACATACAGTCAACTGCCATAATTGCGGCAACTATTTTGGGGGTTATATTGCAGCAGACAGGCCTCCGCCTGATGATCGCCACTGCTTCCTGTACTGTCGAAATTGCAGGCACAGGCACGATATCTGAAATCAAGGATGGAGTCTTTATGCAACACGAAAGAGGGTTTCAACACGATTCAATGGATAAGCAAAAAGCTATGAAATTGCATGGATGTTTAGATGTTTGGATGTTTCGAGGGGTCAGGTTCACAGAGTATTGTGGTCATTCATTCCTTGATCAAGGTATGCAGAAAAGGCAGTTTTGACAGACGTTTTATCATAGCAGTCGATCGTTTTACAGAGTAGCCAGTACGCTTGAAGCTAGCATAAGATATTGATCTCCTGACTAGCTTTCTTGACAGCTGTGAAAGCACTTCTTGATACCTATAGTCTGAGTATATGCTTCATGGGGGTTAGTAGCAAGCGAAGAGTGACCTAGCAGAAGCCAATCAGCTACCATTAGGTACTCAAGAATCGAATTCGCAATGACCTACATGTTCCGGATAGACTGACTGACTGACTTCCTACTCGTCGTTGTAAAGATAAAAGATAACAGTGCCTTAGCTTAGTACACACTACACAGTTCAATATATGGAATGCCGACGGGAGGGAAGAAGGCTGTCAAGTCTCTACCTTAGTAATGTCCGCTTTTATAGCCTAAGTAGGTAATATTCATGTGGAAAAAGGGCCGTGCGTTTATTGTTAGCGTGCGCGCTAGAGCTAAGAACGCAGGAGGTAGAGATGGAGATGGAGCTAGGAGGTAGAGCTAATGTAGGTAGGTAGGTAGGTAGGTAGGTACAAGTAGGTCCTATAGGTACAAGTAGGTTAGGTCTGAGTAAGAGACTGTAATTTATCGAGTTGCGGGTATAAGAATAATATGTTCTTCCAATCTATACCTGTAGATTTTCTGTTGTATATGTATATGCATATGTAGGTACTCGGTTGAGGGTAGGTAGGTAGGTATCTTAGGTAGGTAAGGTAGCGACGTACATATACCTAAAACGAATTCTTGAAAAGAAGATGAAGACTAAGGTACCTGAAAAGTGAACAGTCAACGTGTCTGGATCTTCTGAAAGGAAATTTTCTCCTTCTCCTCTTTCTCTTGCTCTCTCTGTCTCTTCCATCCATGCTTATCTCCCTCACTCGTCCGTCTCACCCGCCTCATCTCATCTCATCTCATCTTCTCAGGTAAGGTAGGTAGATTATTTACCATCCCATCCTTCTAAGCAGCAAAACTCTTTGCGACATTTCGCTTCTTCGATGAGGCATTGCTGCCGCCGCTCGCACCAACAGTAAAATCAATACAACTCTGATATGTCTGATCGACGGGAGGAGGGGCATTCCAATGCATTTGAATTGCACATTTTCCTGCCGTTGAGCATTGGGTTCCGATGTCTGAGGGGATGGTGATTGTGAAGTTCTGTTGAAGAAAAAAAATGTAAGTAAGTAGATGGAGGAAGTAGATGGGAAGGAGGAGGAAACATACAGTCCATTCCGTCTTGGCAGGGATCGAAGTCAGAGCATATTCATCCCAAGCGGATAAGTTTGCGGCAATCATGGAGTTGGAGGTGGTGTCGATGATGGAGACGTTGGCGTATCCGGAGTGAGGGGCGCGGATGTTGAAGTAGAGGGGAACTTGTTGGCCTGCGGTGTAGGTTTGGACGGAATCGGTGTTGTCTTCGAATTTCATGCCCTGAAAAGTTTTGATTTCAATTATTACCTGTTTTTTTTTTCTTTTTTTTTCTTTTTGTTTGATGATGATTTCAACATACCTTGCACGTCCAAAAATCACACTTGGTCGGATCGTAATCACTCTGCGAAGCCACCAGGTTTTGCAATCCTTGGATATTTCCATTAATGTCCGAGGACATCATGCTGTTGGCTTGCGCGCCACATGCAGCACTAAAGGCATTTCCTGGCTTGCGGCCAAGTGGAGCTTCGAAGTAGCCGTGAGCAGACACCAGCTCCAGGATGGTGAGGCATGCTGCGAGATATTTCATCTTGGGAGAGAGGGAAAAGCTGTGGGGTTGGCTTTGGGAACGATTGGGCGTTGATTTGTTTCTCTTGGGATGGGCTGAATGAGTGTCGTCGTCGTGTGGATGAGAAAAAGGTAGGTAGCTCACAGAGCTAGCTGGTAGAAAAGGACTGAATGGTGAAGTGAAAGGGATCAAAGGGTGTTTGAGTTGGGGTTGATGCTTGAGTGAAGCTTAAACGTGAGTAGGGGGATCCAGGAGCCCTTTTTGTATGTAGGCCATGTCTCCTGGTCCTTGTTGTCGTCTTCTTTCCCGCTGAGGTAGGAGGGTAATGGGTGTGGTTCATGTCTCGCATATACACGCGCCAGCGTGTGGCAGACGGGAAAATACTGACCGACGGGGAATTATTGGCCGGGCAGAAGGGTGCTGAGAAGGGACTCATCTGCAGACGACGTACAGAGATGCGTGGGTATACGACGTCTACCGTTCTTTGGTTTGAGCAGCGCATGTTCGCAGGTCTGCGAATGACGATCGGGCTGTATGTCAAGCGCACCAGCTCATGTTCAATAGCACAGGTTCGTCGGTGAGTGCATTCGCGAGGATTCGATACGTCCCAAGTGGGTTCTCTTAGGTAGAGTCCTGGGAGACGAACAGCGCCTTCATCTGGACGTGTTGGAAGCGAAAGGTTTCTATCGTTTTGTGACCTTGTCCAATGCAGAAGGTGTAAATCTGAAATCCATTGGCGCTTCGGTGTGTCTCATCCAGAGAGACTATGCCATACATCTGAAACATGCCGTATTATACGGAAGCGAGGCTCGCTTCGAACATCCAATCGGCTCTTTTATGCACGACCGTGCTCGTACTGTACCATCAAGTGCATAAAGGTCGTGTTGTATTACATTATATGAGTCCATACACCCACTGACTGATGGAAACACAAGAACTTTTGGAGTACAGCGTATGGACACGACTGTAAACATGTGCACGTGATCGACCTACCTCACAGCTTCAGCACATCGATGCTCTTGGCTACGGCCTCCAGCTTCGGCCAGACCTCCTCAATCATATCCTTTGCATCCTTGAGCAAGATATCGCTATTGGCCATTGTCTGTTGATACATGCTTTCCACCACTCTGCCGAATGGAGAGTCTTTGCCGTACGAGAAGTCGAGGTTCTCTCGTGCCTCAATCAGAAACATCATATACACCACTCGGAGGTCCAACCCGGTTTTCATGCTCTCGGCAAACAGTTCCCGATGGTGCTGGATGTTCGGGTTGCAGAGTTGATTGGTAATGGTGGCCAGCATGAATGTATCGATCACGCGATCTGGGTAGAACCTCTCGAGCTGGCCAGGGAGGAAGGGCGAGACTTCAAAGTACATCTTGATTCCCACACGCCACGCTTGGTATGTTCGTGCCTGAGACACGTACAGAACGAGCAATTGTCTCAAAAGATGAGGGACAGGCTGGCGAGTGATGTGCCACATGCCACTATTGATGGTTAACTTGAGGGCGTCCTTGACCTCGTCTTCACTGGCAGATTCGTTGGCCTTGTTGTGGTCGAAAGTGATGCCGCTTGTGGCGAAAGCTTCGGCCTGTATAGCCGCCAGCCTTCGCTGCGCGACTTCAGAGTTGGCAGGCACCCAAAAGCTGGTCAGCTGACTTTGGTGTCGCTGAACTAGCCCATCTGCTACCTTCATGAGCCTGGCATCAACGCGAACAGTGGGGCTTGTGTCATCTCCATAGGTGTCAGTGGACTTGAGGAACTTATCCTCGACATGTATTGCTCCCTTCCTGCACTTTGTACAACGACAACCGAAGAAGTAGGACTGTCTGAGTTCGGCTTGTCGCACGGAGAAAGGATTCGTAATGTCGACGTATTTCATGAAAATCTCTTCGTCCTTCTTGATCTTCGTTTGCGCGCGAAGGATGAGTTGGGGCTGATTGAAGATCACGGCCGTATTAGGTTCGCAAGAATGGTTGGCGCTACACAAGATAGGGTCAAACGCGATACCAAGTTTCGTGTCGTCCAAGGCACTGCTGAGCTGGAGAGTATTACTCATGATGTTGAAGAAGAAGGCTTTGGAGATGGCGTTGGAGTCCATGTCACCAAGCATCGGCTCACCTGCGTACTTCCAGGCGCCATATGCGAGCATGCTGAAGTCTTCGAAGCGCTGAGCATCTTGGCGCTGGATATCCTCGAGAGCCTTCGGATCTGAGGCTGGCCTGAATTGCACAATGTCGAGCAGCAGTTGATCCTTGCCTTCCGGATCAGCCTTCAAGCGGCCGAGCAGCTTGACTACTGCTCGGACGCCATGCGGCAGATCTGGTCGCTCTGCGGGCGCGAGCACTTTGCACTCATACTTGTGTTCTCGTTTCCAAGCACGCGTCTGGCACGTCTTGGAGCAGTAGCGAACACGCTTGCAGCCTGTACATGCCTTGGTCTCGATGCCAGCGATGGGCAGGCCGAGCGATGTGGCCTTGGCTCGGTCTTCTGCGCTGGCTCCGCGCTGCAGACACCACGCACAAGTGTCTCGCAGTCGATCCTGGTCGAGCTCGGCGACAAAGGGACGGTTCAGAGCCAACACGATGTCGCCAGGCTGGAAGTCTTTCTTCGCGAACAGACCTCGGCCAGCGGACTCGATGCCGCTCTGCTTCACTTGCACGTTGGCCGCCATTCTGGTGGTGTCCTGTTGTTTTTCCCTCTCTTGCTTTTCCTCTCTGTCTCCCTTTCTCTTACTCGCGCATTTCCTCTCTCTCTCTCTCTCCTCCTCGCCAAATCGTGTAGACTACGAAGAGAATCAGAGATGCGAGTGACGGGGTAAACTTTCCCTTCCCCACTTTTCGTCTCTGGGATGCTGGGGTCTTCTTCACTCTCCAGGATGCCAGGTCAACAGAACTATTAATGGAGAGTCGAGACTTCAAACTAAACGACCATCGTCCCCCTGTCCAGTAACATTGTGAGGTGGCCTTTTCCTCCAGAGCAACCGCTTGCATCTACTCATCTCCCTTGCTCACGTCGGAAGTAATCAACAATGATCTGTTGACATCAAGGGCACTGGTACGCTCCTTCGTCTGTCCGGATGTCTCCACCATGCTGCCATCTACGAGTGTGTCCGTAGTGCAAGCCCGCCGACGCTGAGGCGACTCGCATTATTCTCATTTCGCTGCGCCAGAGAAGGCAGAGAACAGAGCGGAGACGGGCACTATGAGATTACTATTACATGTAGTTCGGGCTCTTCTGACACTGCCGTCGTTCTATCATCATGCTGTCTTCGTATCAGCACATCGAAAACCATGGCGGCAAGACCCAGTAGAGTTCGAACAAGGCACGGCAGCAGCAGCAATCAGTCGCACACCACTCGGGGAGCACGTGAGCACAGCCCAGCGACGGCGATTGCACACAGTGGCAGACTTGCTCTTGGAAGTGTACCACACGCTCGCAGATATGCGCTACTTGGATCCTGCAGGCATCGAGACGGGACCGCATGCCATCGACATCGACCTCTGTCAGCAGCAAGACATAGCCGTCCCCATCATCTACCTCTACCAGATTCTGCCCTACGTCAACACGTCCGAGGCAGGCCAGCAGGGATTTGCATTCGGAGGCCTCTTTACTGACTTCCGTGACCCTGAACTGCTGCGGCGAGCTCGAGACCCATTCTACTCTGCTTGGGAGGACTGTGGTCCTGATTGCTTGGCTGAGGATCCTTTAGACCAGAATTTACCGTACATGGCGCCCTGGGCGACACCACTCACAGGCCTGGGCAATCATGGCGCTATCATCATCTATGATTCAAAGCTCGGTGAGTGACTAGAAGACCCTTCTCCCCCACAAACGAGCCTGACGACTTCCGCAGATGTCATCAAGGTGATTGACCAGCTGGACGATCAAAGTCGAGATTTGGCCTTGCAAGATCTCCACACTCCATGGCGCACGTCCAGCAACCGCAATTCCATCGACCATATCCCAGGCCGACCCGCAGCGGATGTGCTCCGAGACATGGTACAATGGTACCGTAACCTCGAGCTCATCCCGGGAGACGATGTCGACAATGGGGTCGATGGCTGGGACCATGAAATTCTGAAAACCCTCTACCAGAAAGCCGGATGGCCTGACAGGTTTGACGGTGAAGCGTTTGAGTTGTATCTCGCACGTCATCGAGCCCGAGAGCGTGCCAAGTACCAGCTTAATGAGCCATTGCAACAGGTCGACAAGTATCAGCTATGGGTTGATCTCGCAGAGCGTGAGATCACGACTGCGTTGGAGCGAATCACGTCGGGCACCACTCCAGATGAGCTGTGGCTCGCTGGTTTTGAGCTATGGAAGATGAAACGAAGTCAAGCTCGGAATCTTCAGGATCTGGAACGCGCACAAGCAGAAGCTAGACATCTTTGCCCGCTAGGCGACTGTCTCACGCCCCAGGATGTACTCCTGCTTGAAGTCGAACACTTGAGGTTTGAGCTTGAGCGCGCTTGGGCCGATGATCATAGCCATCCCAGGCATCGTGCACAACGAAGGAAGATACTGCAGCAAGCGTGGAAGGAGGCCGAGAATGAAATCAAACTTTTATATCCTCAGGAGTACGCAAATTTCCCAATTTTTCCATACTTGCCTTGGGAATGGTTCCAGATGGAGTCTCTAAGGCTGCGTTCTACATGCGATTATTTGAAAGAGGAGATGAAAGAACTGGAGCTATGGTTGTCCAAAGAGCTACCACCTTGGGCACACAACTCCCGCAAAGTTCTGCTAGATGACCTGGAACGACTCGAAGAATCACGGGAAGCTCATCTATGGCAAATCCAAAACGACATGAGAAGACAGATCGCGATGTGGACCACTTCCCGCCCGGAGGAGCTGCTGGGATTCTGCAGGATTGCTTGAAGTCTGACTATTTCTACCTTATTCTTGTGAGGTCGACATATACAATGAAGAGTACAGGATGTTTTGAAGCGATAGATGGGATGGAGTCTTTGACGAAAGCATGCCTGGCGACATCGAGCCACATGCCGCACTTTCCGGAAACCGGTTGGACAGTTCCGAATTGAATCTTGGAGAGCATATTCGTGTTGCTTACACACCTGCGTAAGCTGTATAGATATATAGAGTTCATGTACAGTGTTCATCAGGTATGCATGGAGGATGTACATGTACCTCCTAGGCACCTTACTGTAGAAATATGGAGGGAGGAATATTAATGCCTAAGGCATCAACACTCTATGTCCCGACATCATTCGTCCCTTACCTCCTGCACCTTACATGTACCTCTACGACGGTACACCTGCCCTGCGCGAGCACTGACATCACCAAACAGTGATTTGCAGTGTGCAACGACTCACCACCTGCAGTCACGGTGTTATTTGGTACCGGAGGGAACTGGCGCGTCCGATGTCGTGAAACACAAGATGAAGAAAAGCGCATCAGAAGAGCTCTTCCCGTCTAAGCAGTAAGGCAGGAGGTAGGTACATGTATCCTTTGGAGACGAGACTGACTGCGAGGTACCACCTACACTCGATCATACCGCAAACCCTCCCAGAACCAATACCTCGATTCTACTGATTATGCGTACCTCCCACGCCATCGCCAGCTTGGCGGCAGCAGCAGTTCTCTCCGCAGCTCTGCCAACGGCACAGAACCTCACCAGCTTCTTCCTCGTCACCACCACTTCCCGCTATGCTGCAGGCAATACGTCCGCCCTCCCCAGCGTCAATGCGACTTCCCTCTTCGATGCCGACTCCTCGAGCAGCGATCTGTACCAGCTTCGGCTGATTGCTCCCGGCTATGGCAGTCTGCCCCAGTTCACCATCAAGGACAATGCCCTGCATACCATTGCCTATGGCCCCCACGGCAATGGGGAGTACGACTACGAGAGCACGGAGGTGGAAGATGGTCAAGAACTGGCCTTTGACCCAACTCCAGAAGAGCGAAGCAACTTGAGCCTGGAAGATGGGTATTTGTTGGCTGTCAATGGGCAGTGTACTGGCTGGACCGTGTGTTTAGGCGCGCATGATCAGCAGGTTGTGAGTTGATACTGCTGGTAGTCGATGGTCGTGATGTAGTGGTATGCTGACTGGGAACTGTCTAGATTTCGTGGAAGGGCAACGGCACCAGTTGTGAGGCGAGGTTCATTCAGGCCGTGAAGAATGCCCCATATTAGCTGATGTAGCACCTGAAAGTGGACTGACCAGTAGTTAGTGATGGGCAAACCTCTCAATCCAAGGTTGCTGTCCTCACTTCAAAACCTCAATGCTGCGCACTTACTCGGACGAATACATCGCCCCGTTCTCACTTTCTACGTACCTGCTGTAACCACTCTTTCGTCTTCTTCGCTGACCGGTACCCTGTCTACCCCAACCTTTTGCATCTTCAGGCTACCCACCACTTGACTGCTGCGGCCTCCAACTTTATACTATTTGTTCGCACCCGAAACAACACACGAAGCGTGGGCGGTACCTCTACCTCGCCTGCACTCCACGCTACTCCGCAATGAGCAAAAGAGCATCCGATGGCGCCAAGATACCTCTCTTGGACCTGATCGATGGACTCAATCAGTCCATCAAATCGGAAGACCCGCCTTCCGGCACCTACAGCAAGATCCTATTCGACAGGGATGAAGTGGAAGGCCTTTCCATCAGAGCCCCCGCTTACGATTCCAAATTTCAGTTGGTTTTGGATAGCCTCAATGAGCTCACTACCGACCTGCTAAAAGCGATACCTGAACAGCATCATCAGCATGCGATCTTCAAGCATCTTGTCAAGCAGCTCAAACGAGCAGCTACTTGTCCCGCTTCCCGCAAGAGACGCATCAACGTTATTGGGAAATCTGGGGCAGGCAAGAGTACCCTTATGAATTGTCTGATGGGCCTGGTAGGTTTCGCGAAGGCAGACATCGCTACAGGATGCACTACGATACCCACATCCCACGAAGCGCCCTTTGCCGACCAGATTCTCGACTTCGCAGCTCACATTCAGTACTTCTCGATCAAGACTATACGCCAGCGACTCACGTCCATGTGGCATGACTACTATGACTTCCATTTCGAGGAGAATAAGTCAGACTGGACGGAGGACGATAGGCAAGACGCCCGGCAGTCAGCACAGACTGCGTTGGACGCGTTGTGTTCATTGTTCCGTTCGCACGACGCCTTCTCTACCGACTTGAAAGCGAAGCAAACTCTCAAGGCCCTGAGATTTGAGCACATTGATAATATTATCGGTCCTTGGGTAACCTGGTGTCGAGATGTATTGCCAACCCCAGGACAGGAGGGTGATGATCTGAGTGATCTCGATGATCGCATTCCTGTCCTCAAGTTCGAAACCAGTACCCAGCAAGAGCTGCGTGCCCAGCTCGATATATACGCATATCCAGACACCAGAAGGACCTCTTTCTGGCCACTAGTCGACACTATTCGGGTAGGCCTTCGCGGCATTCGCATCCTTAGCTACGTTACACTAGTGGACTGGCCGGGCGCGGGCGACACAAATGATCTCCGGGGCAAGGCATCCACCGGACGAGTAGCAGACTGCGATGAGGTTTGGATCGTATCTGACCCTAACCGCATATGTACCGATCCTGCCATTTGGCGAAGCATATCACGATTCGCGGCTACACACCCGTGTTCTATTATATGCACCAAAGTGGATGAGAAGTGTGATGACTTCACTGATATGGACAAAATTCGAAAAGATGGGTTCGAGATGGGCGAGATCGATGACCTTCGGGCCTCAGAGAAAGACACATCTGAACATGTGGAGACGTACAAGAACACTTTGCAAGAATGGACTGAGATTATAGGCCTTGGATTCCAGACGTTGCCTGACAATAAGCGGCTAAAAGTCTCGCAGGAAGACGTAGCGCAGCGCCAGGCCCGCCTCCCTGAAGTACAGAACGAGCTCTTCGTGTCTCAACGCAAGCTTTCTGACATCCAGCGTGATAGACGTACGCGGGTTGTCGAAATTCGCAACGCGTGGCTTCGCACCCAAATACATTCCCAGCTCAAGCGAGATATCTCTGCAGCGTATCATGTCGATGTCTTTTTCGCATCCAGCAGACACTACTTGGCCCACAAAAGATTGGAGACAGTATCTGGCGCTTTGTTGCCTTTGGCAGACACGGGGATTCCAGGACTCAGACAGCACATTCTGCGTCAAGCTTCTCCTGGCATCGTCACCAGCGTACGGCATTATATCACCGGAGAAGTAAGCCGCGTCCTCGAGGGAGTGGGCGTTGCCGCTGCCCCCAAAGACCTCGCAGACTGTTATGCAGTGCTTGAACATATCAAGAAGAAGCACAATCTCGGTATACAGGCACAGCAGAGCTATATGGAAGCTACGGACGACGGGAGCTCCGAGTGTTTCATAAGGGGCATTGAAGACAAAAGGCAGAGGCTTGCCATAGCCGCTGTCAAGGTAGTCGAGGGTCTACGCGAGTGGCATGCTATGAGCCTGAAAGCTTTTATCGCAAAAGATGGCGACTTTGCGACGCAAAGACAGAAGGCTCAGAGGTGGAATGAGAAATTCGCTGGCAAACTGGGCGATATCATTCTCCGCAGCTGGAACTCCTTCGCAGCCACTAAGGTCGAATCGACCAAGACATTGGAGTCCTTCCTCAAGGCCGAGCTCCGCGACATTATCCAGCTCAGCAGCACCGAAAGAGGAGCGTCGAAGCGGCTGGCAGATCGAGAGGGTCAGTTCCGAGTCTTTGTGGAGACACAAGTCCAGCAACTTACGAACAAATGCGACAATGCTGCCGAAATGTACGCGGTGAAGATGAGGTCAGTCCGCAACCCACAGTCATTGCACACTCCACTCTGTACTAATGATTGACTTACAGAGGCATCAAGGTGGACGCAATCAAAACCGGTTGCCGACTCTCAAAAAGCTACTTTGACTATGCGATGGAGCCTACCTATGCAGAGGCCCGCGGCATCAGAGGTATAAGAATTCGGGTACACCCGATCATAGACATCAGTACTAACAGCTTGCAGGCAGAGGCTTTATCAAGAAAGCCAACGATCACTTTGAAGCTCATATGAAGAACAACGGCAAGAAGTCCCCCTTCATCTTCGCTGCCTTCCTGTTGAAAGACGCTGCCGACAGCGCAGCAGAAGAGCAAGCCGACGCCGCTGTGCAAGCCTTCTGCGAGTGTCTCGACGACATCTACCAATGGCTGGACGGAGTGTTTGTGGAGCATGGAGATGTGCGAGGCATCTGGGCCATCTTGCTCGACCTGGAGAAGGCCCATAAGCTGGGCCAGAGGAAGGTTCTCGAGTGTGAACACAGGCTGAAGATGGTCGATGAGGAGTATGGGAAAGAAGAGGAGAATGCGAAGAGACTGAAGAGGAACGCGGCGGACAGGGAGCGGAATGCCAAGGCTCGCTTGGCGAAGCTGGAGCTGGCTTGAAGTATAATGGTCTTCCAGGTTGGGAGCGGGAGCGGGAGCAGGTGCACTCGCTCTCAGCAATTCAGCGTCTGTGAATAGCCTCTTCAATAGCCTCTTTCTCTTTGCATACATAGGTATATGGAAGCGGTGGCGATGTGAAGGGAAGAGGGTTCTGGATCGGGCCGTTGAGTGAGTCTCCGTTCCGATCAGATGTCGTTCTAGAACGGTTTACCCTGCCGGCGGCATATGCCGATGCGCCACGATTGGACAAAACGGGATCGATTACCGAAGTGGAGAGGTTGACGTTCATCGCAGCCGATACCCATCCATACCTTACCCGTCGGATACCTCACTTGCCTCCCAAGTGACAACAAGTGACCACCTATTGTACCCTGTGCACGTCCAACTGGCGAAACTATTGCACGTGTACGATATGGGCCGAGCATGGCTTTGCTAGAGGCGCGCGCGTGACAGAAGACCAACAAGATGGCCTAGGACTCTCGTAGCCTCATCCTGCTATCCTGCTATCCCATAAGCTTACGCATCCGCTGGACCATGGACTCGACGCCGAAGCGAGATAATCACACTCCCTCCTGCTCCGTGTGCCAGAGGCGAAAAGTGAAATGTAATCGCGTGTACCCATGTGCTGCTTGTAAGACCACACAACCCACCCGAGCATGCGGCTCGTCTCCCTCGGCTGGAACACGCAAAACTGATATGTTCGGAATCTCCACAGGTACCAAATCTGGACTGGAATGTGTCTTCCCGGCACCGGTGCGTGGCTGCTGTACTTGCCTCTCTGCTTCATGAGATATAGGAGGGAGACCTCGGGCACGAGCTGCTGACTGATATGTTCGACAGGGCACGCATGGAAAGCGCAAGCGGCGCAATACTGGTCATCAGAATGCAATACGAGAACCGGCTCCCAAGGCTTCATCGGCGTTCAATGCGGAGCGGGCTACTCCTACGGGCACGGTAGGCGTGTTACGGAGAAGGTCTGTGACTGATCTTCCTTCACCAGAGTCCACGGGTTCGCATGGCACGGCATCGGGTGCAGGCACTGCCCGGCTCGTCTCTGAGGGAAACGGCTTTCGATATGTGAATAATCACCTCTGGGATGCCATTTCTTCGGACCCTCATGCCTCTAATGGCAGTCCTGGTGTCACTCCGGAGGATCCCAAACCTAGTCCGGGAGTTCATGGAGTCCGTGAAGATGACGGCCAAAAAAGAAACAGCACACGCAGCAGCTTCATCTTCGGGAACCAAGGGAATGACGGCAGTAGTGGGCGCCCTCAAGCACCTGCAAGCCAGGTCGTCTTTCTCTGGCAAACTTTCCAGTCCAATGTGGATCCCGTTATGAAAATATCACATATACCTACCATCCAGAGCATACTGCTTGGCCAGATTGGACATGCTGTGCTCCCCCCGAACGATCAAGCGCTTGTGTGCGCCATTCACCTCATCAGCATTGTTTCTCTCACCAATGAGCAATGCGGTGATTCTCTGGGTGAGTCTCGAAACAGCTTGCTTGAGAAGCACAGGCAAGCCACAGAGACAGCCTTATCGGCAGCGGACTTCATCACGACCACCGACATCATGGTTTTGCAGGCTTTGATATACTACCTCACTGCTCTGCGAAGCTTGGGCGAGGTTCAGCTGGCGTGGTCACTCCTCGGAATCGCCATTCGCGTCGCGGGCACCCTCGGTCTCGCACGTGACGGCACATCTCTCGGATTGTCCCCATTCGATACGGAGATGCGAAGACGTCTCTGGTGGGGTCTGGTTTATTTTGATGGCCGGATGGCGGAAGTGGTGGGGCAAGATGGCGATCTCATGGGCAGCAATTTTGACGCCAGACCACCCTCCAATTTGAACGATAGCGACCTCTTTCCGACTATGACTCGCCTCCCAGACTCTCGCCGAGGGCCTTCGGAAGCAATTTACCTCCAGGCACGCGTGCTGAGTATTACTGTTGCGAGAAGCCTCCAAAGCATTACTGGGCCTTCTGGCACGTGGCATAGGCTGCACGATGCCAGTATGCCTACGTCAGAGAAGCTTGAAACTATGCACCATATCGAACAGCGATATAATGAAGAAATCTTGGAGCCATGCGACCCCACGGTTCCGCTGCAATGGCTCAGCATCAACACCGCAAAGACCTTCGCAACAAAATTGCGCCTGATCTCAAAGATTCCCATCGTGGACATCGACAAGGAATGGGAGAATGCAGATGGCTTCTCCGAGAACGCTTTCATCCTCAGCATGGACCTCTTGCAGATTCAATTGAACTTGTGGTGTGAGCCCTCTGTTCAGCTGTGGAGGTGGCATTGGCAAGCGCATTTCCAGTGGTACGCGCTGGTCACTCTCCTTCGGCAGACCAGACTGCGTCGCTCGGGAAATGGCGCGTCGAGAGCCTGGACGCTGATCCGGAAGGTTTTTGATATTATTATCCCCAGTCTGGAGCTCGGCCCCAAAAGAAGCATGCTGATTGATGGGATCCATTCTTTGCTCAATGCCGCCAAACAACAGCAAGAAATGCCTAGCCAGCAACCTCCTCCGTCGAATAGTGACCAGAGACTGCCCATGATGTCCACTGCTGAAGTCGTTGCGGCACCCGAGACTGGCAATGTGACCCATGACGATACTCCATCGGCCACATCGTATGAGTCGCAAGCACGTACGCGCGTGCTTCCTGTATCGGATATGATACAAGAAATGCCACCTCCAGACGCGTTTGACCAGCCCTTCTATAAGAATTGGCCTGATCCTGTTCTTGGAGGGCTGGATCTGACTGCTATTGATTGGGTCGAGTTTGATCGTCTTGCAGCGGAACTTGCTCAGCAGTGATGAGGACGTTCAGGAAGTTGGACATTATCCAAAAGGAACGAAACTGCCTCTCCATCGAACGGGACCGCCAGAGACCCAAATATATGCATGTTTCGACTCCGACTCGGTGCCGATCATACTCACGTGCATGCAAGGGCATGCCACGTGAATCTTTGCCCGGCTAGTGGAGCCGAACAAGATTGCACAACATATCCAGCCACGACCTACTACAAATGTCGTTTCGTCGATGCTGTTACTGTGCTTCGTGGTACAACCTCATGGTACGACGCTAGCGCCGCGCCGCGCTGTGGTTGCTAGCGTCGACGGACGACGTGATGGAGTTGTATTGCAAACGCGATGGCATTTGACAGAAGCTTCAGGCAGCCAGTTCTGAACCTTGCATCGCACTCCCGCTGTGTCAATACTCTTGTCGGTGTCAGCTCTCATTATCCGTACGGAGGACTTCGAGCGTGGTGCGAAACCCTCCATGGCTCCAACGGCCTCTGCCAGCGACTCGGTGAACGATTACCAGGAGAAAGTGTGTTGCCGAAACTGGAATTGATCTGACTATTGTCGGAGCTGGTATCTGTCACAGGGACATGGAGTCTGCATATGCATTTGCACGACCAGAGTGTCGGTACTGGTGGTGCGAGTTGATTTTCTTTCACTTCGATGTGAATGTGTGTGAAGTTTCTCCAGGAAGAAAAATCTTACTTGCAACAAATGGGTTGTGATGTATGTGTGTAGATATACCTAGGTATATCTTGTGGCACCGGATGATTCGTGTTCAGGCTACCAAGGTAATTTTGTTCATTTTATTACAGTGTAACCTGAGTACGAACTGTTGGAATTGAATTGCCGAGATGATGGACCCCTATGAACTTTGTTGTTTGCCTCTTCCTTGTCCTGGTCTGATGGAACTAGGATATGGCATGTTTGTGAATTCCTCGCTCCTTAGGTAAAGGCCTACAGGTACCACGGCATGTAGGTATCGTTCTCATACCTTACTAATCAGATAGTAGACGACAGGTACACTCCCCTCTTTTATATACACACTTACACAAAGGACCTTCCACGTACGAGAGAAGAATCCAAGGGACCGAATCGTCGCATATACATACACTACTACCTCCTACTTCCTTCCTTCCGCCTCTCCGTCGGCAAGGACTAACTCTTTCGGCTTTTTGATAGAATTTTTTTGATGGCTACGTTCAGTTCCGAGCGAAATATTGTTCTTGTCCTCTTCCTGATTTTGCAAGGTAGGAATTACAACAATACCTGAGGAACAATTGCGACGGGATGATGATGATGATGATGATATTTCTCCTATTCGCTTCAGACGGCGTGGTGAGAGCCGCGTGGCCGGAAATCGATTTTGATGGGTTGAGAGGGACGGCGGTGAGAAGAGCAGTGGTCTCTAGCTACCTAACTGCTGCTGCTGCTGCTGCTGCTGCTGCTGCTGCTGCTGCTGTTGCTGTTGCTGCCGTATTAAACATTGTAGCGAGGGCTCTTGTTTCGCGATCGGGAATTGATTTTCTTGAGAGATATAGAAGAGCATCTGTGAAGCTGTCTTACTTTAGCACGCTGGGACGAATTGGAGCGATTTTTCTTTTCTTTTTTGGCGTTGACGGAAAGTTCATGCGTGCTTTTTGCATATGCTGGACTTTCAAGGCGGAGAGGTGCCTTCTTTCTCTGTATGTGATATGTTTTATTACCGCAGTTGGTTTCAGGAAATCATGGGTCGACTGTTCCGTAGACCAGGTTCTTGTCTCCTGTTTCATGACTACCGATGAGGAGGAGTTGAATATGAGAGGAAGATGGCGGCAATTCTTTGCTTCGGCTGGATGGGAAAAATATGTTCTCAACAGGTCATATAAGCTAGAGGTTGATGCAACATAGTTGTTGACTTGATGGCTCAGAGACCGAGCTGCCCTTTGGATTTGGGCGTGGTGAAAGTGGTAGAAGGCCAATGGAGACATGTATAATAAGTAGGCTTACGGGGCCGCTTGTTCTGGTAGGTCGTAACTGGAGGTCTGCGACGTTCATCTCGACGTTGCCTTATTCAGTGCTGTAAACCCTTCTTCCGGAGGCTGTAACCAATTCCTTTGATCGTATTCATGCTCACCCTCAATCACATGAAACGTGTAAATCATCCTCCCCTTCTGACTCAAGTTCCGTTCACTCTTGTGCAAAATATTCCCATGAATCAACACCAACGTTCCCGCCTTCACCTCCCCCAACACAAACTCTTCCTCTTTCTCTTCCTCCACCGAGGAGCCTTCCTGCACCCCCTTCAACCCTTCCGGCCACTTCCTCTTGTCATTTTCCACAAACTCCGTCCCTTTCCCATCCTCCCGCCTCACAAATCTCTTCCGTATGGCCGCTCTCCGATGTGACCCCGGCGCAAAGCTCAGACATCCATTCTCCACTGTACAATCCTCCAAAGCATACCAGAACCCCACTGCCGAAGGCGGATCCGTGTACAGAAACACGCTATCCTGATGACTCGGCACCGCGCCTCCAATCTCGGGTTGTTTGCAAATCACCATGCTCTGCAACACTCTCGGATCGTGAAAGGCCAAGTCCCTCGCGATGGCTGCGTTGGTGGAATTGATCGAGATGGATTTGAAGGAAGGGTTAAGTTCGTGAAGGTAGTGACCGATTTTGTTAATGGCTTTCTCTTTGGGTTTGGTGAGTTGGCCAGTGGTGGCTGAGAAGGCTTCTTCTTCGAAGAAGAACCGGATTTGGTCGCCGGATGTGAGGAAGTAGTCGTCGCCTACGTGAGAGGATTTCTCGCCCGTGGAGAAGCGGGTCATGGGGTGGTTGGAGAGGTCGAATTCGTTCAGAAGGCGCTGCGATTCCGAGAGGAGTTGGGTGACTTGCTCGGGAGAGAGCGCGTCGGGGATGAGGAGGTAGCCATTGTTCGACCAGTCCTGTTTCTGTTGGTCTGTGAGGCCAGTGAATGGCGGAGGGGAGACTCTGGCGGGAGCCATGGTGTACAGTTCGACGGAGTGTGGTGGCTATAGTGCGCTCAGTGAGTGAGGAAAGTCTTCGATGGGTTCCAGTCCATGGGGAATGTCGACGATAAGATGGTCGGCGAAATGCGAAGGATAATCATTCTACCGGCCACACGACGTTGCGGGGGTATACGATCAGCTCGGCAATGAGTCGGCATCAAGCGGCGGCAGCGGCTGAGCAAGACCGACGGACCGAACCGGCACGGGATCAGCAATCGAGCAGACCTGATGACTTCATGCCAGAAACATTTCACCTACTACAGCACACCGCTCACGGCTTCAATTGGCGAACAGCTACCGTCGTACCTTGTGAGATGCCAGAGTCGGAAGAGCCGTCAGGTGAGATGAAGGTCGACGCCGCGCGCGCAAAGGTGCTGCTGGAAAACCTTGGACAGGTTGTAGCGCGTGTGGACGCGGTACGCGGAAGCCGTCCGGTATGCATTGCGAGCAAAATAGATCTGGAAATGCATTGGGTTGCGAACTAATCTAATCTAGGTCAGAGTAATTGCAGTGTCGAAGTTGAAGCCCGCGACCGATATACTTGCGCTTCACCAGTCGGAGCTGAAGCAGAACGATTTCGGGGAGAATTACTCGGATGAGTTGACCAAGAAGGCAAGCCTTCTCCCACGATCGATACGATGGCATATGATTGGAGGTCTACAAACAAATAAGTGCAAACCGCTTGCTTCGGAAGTGCCAAATCTATGGTGCGTGAGCAGCGTGGACACTGCGAAGAAGGCGAATGAGCTGGAGAAAGGCAGAAAGTCGCTAGCCGAGAAGGAATCATTGACAGATAAGTTGCGTGTGTTAGTGCAAGTTAATACATCAGGAGAGGAAAGCAAGAGCGGGGTAGAGCCCAAGGATGCACCAGAGCTGTGCAGACATGTGCGAGAGCAATGTCCTAGTCTCCAGCTCGCAGGGCTGATGACAATTGGCGCTATAGCGAGGAGCCAGGAGGCATCGTCGGCTGAGGCCTTGAATGAAGATTTCGTGGCACTGAGGGAGACCAGGGACAAAGTGGCCATCGAGCTTGGTATTGAGAAGGATGAACTGAAGTTGAGTATGGGCATGAGCCAGGACTTTGAGGCTGCCGTCTCAGCCGGAAGCGACGAAGTGAGAGTAGGCACGACCATATTCGGCGACAGACCGGCAAAGAAGGACGCGAAGATTCTGTGAAATATGGTAAACGACTATGTCTCCAGCTCGAAAGTGAGAATTCGTCGAGTCGAGGAAGCACCAGCACAGCAGCGAAAGCCGTGTTCGAGAAGCAGGAAAGCAGTGAAGCTCAAGTTGCCAAATTCCTATGGGCAGGACTGCCTCCCAATGCAGTCGACTACGACGAGCCTACGGGTGCAGACGACGATATCCTGTCAACGGCGGTGGATTGGTTTGAGGAGTCCAGCGATTCCCCGACACGTCACGAAGAGATCTATAAGTCTCGGCTCGAGCGATGTCGATGGTACTGTGCGGCTCCGGTTACTAATAGAGACACCATGCGGTATTGAGGTGCTGTATTCCGACTAGAGGAACCGTCTTGGTGCTGGATCATCAGTCTTTTCGTGCTCGAGCGTAACTTTGCGGTCTCCGAAGTCGGGAGAGGTGCCCTTGAGGATGAAGAAAAGTCAGCCCGGTGTCAAGATGAGGCCGAATAGTCTACCTGAAGCTCAGAAAGATGTCTGCTATAGCCCACATACTAGTGTGGACCTGCTAAGCTGACATCCCGGCCAACTACGACGCAGTTCATACTTTCGAACCTGTCATGGTGTATGGACTTACTATACTTTGATATCTGTAATCCGGGCTCATGCATATTATAGGTGTTCACTCGCCGCTCATGACCACTCATGCGCGTCCCTTCAAGGCAGACGGTCCTATGCACGATGAATCTCTCCTTCTCCTCTGCGGTTTCATAGATTAAAACCTCTCCCCGAGATTCGTTCTCCCTTCCCTGTCTCTGGGTGCATGTCGATCAAGCCTCCTTCGCCGTGGGGGTCCCCGTAGACTGGGCGGCGGTCGGGCGTGTCAGACCCGCTTCAAGCAAGCGAACTTCTATTTGGTTCTTTGGGTGTCCGGGCTTGGGTTGTCACCTAGCAACGCCCGATGGGCTGTGTGAATGGACAAACCAACGCGTCCGCCACAATGGATGAGCATCACTCACTAGCCAACACCACTCACTCTTCACGCGCTGCTGTATTTTCTTCTGCATGACACCTTGGCAAGCACAAAACGCCCACCGTCGTCTGCTCTTGCCAATCACCCCCCACTGTCACCCTCAAATCAACAGGCCTCGCACGATCACCCTGATTTCTGCACGATCTTCTCCCGGCCTTGAACAGGGAACTACTTGCAACTCGCCACCTCACCTTCAGCAGCCCCACAAGAGAAAAAAGATGTCCCAGTCCAACTCGCAAGCAATGGCCGAATCCAGCTCGCAACCGAAGGCTCGTATACCTTTGGATGCTCCCGGTGGTTTTAGTCGGTTAATTCTTTCAGGGATGACAGACAGCCTGGAGGGTGTTCGAAACTTCGATGATGCGCTCGCACGCATCGAAGCCTTGAGTGACATGGAAGAAGTGGTTAAGGCCGCCGGACAGCTATTTAGAGTCTTCGTCGACCTTTGCAATAACCTGGACCGTTATATCGAAATCTGTCGCCGCGGGGATCATGAGGCGCTGCTCGAGGTGCGGTCAATTATTTACGTGCTAGGTACGATGGTCACTGGGGTTCCTCGTGCTGTTTGCATGCGCGGCTAACACTTTTCACAGAGTAACCGCCTTCTTGGCGCTGCTGGCGTTATCTTGGATGCCGTCGTTCGCGTTGCATACCCAGACTCTGGCGATTGGGAGCGAGGAGCTGTCTGAAGACAAGGTCTCAGCTGATGAGGCCAACAAGGAACGAGGGCACTTCGTGGGCCCGAGGATCCCAAGGAGGTCACAACGAGACACACGATTTGAGAGAGTAGGGACTACGCTGACAGCCTGATTGTACTCAAGTTGCGCCCTGCGAGGAGGCCACCTGGAGTTAATTGCATACAGTCAGTAGTCCAGAAAATGTAATGAGCTCGCGGAATACATTACATTACTCTGGAAACACGCACACACACCTCACACACACACATACACTTTCGACAACAAACAATCGAGTGATATTTGCGTTATTCCTTCCTTCTTTCCTTCCTTCGTTCCTTCCTTCCTTCCTTCCTTCCTGCTGCATGCATGCATCTTCACTCCTCCTAACAGCGAGGTGAGGTGAGGTAAGGTAGGTCCACTTAGTCAATTGGTGCCTTTAACCAACTAACCAGCTACAGCTCGGATACATATACCTATGTTCCAAGTTGATCTGAGTGGGGACAATGACTGTACTTCAAAGAAGATTGAAAGGTAATGTAGGCTCTGGTCTGGGTTTAGAGGTCTATAGAAGGGAAGGATTTCCTCCCATTTTCTTTCCTCATCGCTACGCAGCTACAACGAAGTAACTACATCATTCCTGCAAGTGTGAAGGCGTACAAAACCATTGCCCCTAAGCCCACCACATTCGACAAAGAAGACGCCCCATGCAATTTCGCAAAAGACGAATTGAGACGCTGCATCTCCGGCGTCTTCGGTCCAGGGTCATAGTATCGTTTTCCATCTCGAGTTTCTAGAAGAAAAAGAGACAAATTTGAATTCCATTAGCCACAAGCAACGATTGGTTCGCAACACACACCCAATATAATAGAACAGCTCCCCTTATTTACTTACCTTGATGTTTCCTCAACTTCATCACTTTCGTCGTCGCCGGTCCCAGAACAAGTAAATTCGCCAAACTCGTAGCGAACATGGTGACGATGGGAATCAACGCCGTCCAGCGATTCTGCTCTTGTAAAAGTCCCGTGTAGCCGGCATGGTGTCTTGCCGCTATAGCATTACCGGCTACTGCGACCAGTCGCTCGCCGGGCCATGTGAGAGCGAGAGCGAGGGGAAGGATGGTTTGGAAGCCGAAGTAAGGGGGGAAAATGGCTTGTTGTAAGGTGCTGGAGGGGTGGTGGTTAGGTAGGTATTATTTACTTTTCGAGCTGGTTCTCTGTCTCTGTGTCTCTCTCTTTTTTGCTTACCTGAATTGGGGTCTTGGAAGGGCTTTAAAGGCTAGAGGACCTGCGAGGAATGTCTGGAAGAGGTTGGCTGATGCCGTTGACGAGAAGTTAGAACTGTTTTTGGTGGTTTGTCTGTCGGTTTGGGGTACGAACATCCGAGGAGCGTTCCATAGGCCAGAATATGGTATGCCTTGGGGTCGGAGAAGGTCACCATTGTGAATGAGGCTCTGCAGTATGTATATGGTCGAGAATGGGGTGGCGTCGACGCGAAGATGTTTATAGAGACATGGATGGACCGTCCATTGATGATATCATCGTCGCTGCATGCTTTTTGCATAAATAGCACGTGAGTTGCTGATGCCGCGGTGCATAAAGTGCGATATCGCGCAACTTTCGTCCACTTATGCAAGACATGTACCTTACATGCATGCCTGCTACCCATCTCCGCATCTTATCGCAAGCGACCTATTGAAGCGCTATGTTCGAGGTATGTCAGCTGGAGGCTACATTATCTCGCAGCTCTAGCCAATTGTTCATGCTAGACGCGACACTTCACTTGCACCTGTGTAATTATCCCGTCTGACGCTCTCTACAGACTCGGCATGCCTCAGACCGCTATCGTCTACGGCTCCATCGCGCTCGTTCTGTAGTGCTCACCCCTCAGGAACTGGTGGAAATTCGAGCAGCGCAACGAACATTCGAAGGTGCCTATATTCGCACCAGTCTGAGCCAGTTCAGTTTCGCCCTCGTCGTGTTGAAGATCTTCACCAGCGAGTTCTACAGTATCGGTACTGCTTTTTCCCTATCTCTGCCTTACCAGCAAGCAAACGGAAGCTGACGAAGGACTCCTGCTAGGCGCATTGTTTGCAGTATATGGCGCTGGGGTGTTGGCCGTCAGTGCGTTCCGACGAATGCAATCCAACCGGCAGTTCTTCAATGCGGTGGGAGAGGACGGGTTGAGCAGGAGACGCTTTCGAACGAGTGGGAATGTGGTGGTGATTTTGACGGGGCTCAGTGTAGCTGCTTACGTAACCCTGCTGGTGCTCACATTGCGTTTGAAAGTGATGTAGCAGCCGAAAACAAAACACCAAACATCAAACTCCAAGACAACTACCTGTACGCAACACTGGACCACTCTCGCGTACTCACTCCTCGTTTCTGCGAATGAATGTCAAACTCATAACATCTGCTACAACGAGCGGAGCTCACATCGTCGTTGCTTCCGCCAAGCTGAACCAGATAAGGTAGTTCTATGCCTTCACGCGGAAACGACGTTTTCCCGACATTGCAGTCATGCACACGATTGGGAACAGGTATATCTCCTATAAATCATGTTTCTGCACTGCATAAATTGACTCCGTTTCAGGCCAAACGATATTCGATGTCAAATTCTGGCCTTATGCTACGAGCAATGACGAGCAGATTTTTGCATTCACGGGCGGGACTGATGTACGCATCGCACTGCTGATATGCCCCCAGCAGTAGCCCTTGGTGCTGACGATACTTCAGACGCTTGTATGTCGACCAAAACTAGATGCAGACCCGCCTTTTGAAGTCTTGGGGTGGTTCCAAGACGAGGTTAATCCCGTGAGTAAGTGCGATACCACGGAGCTTGCACATTCCTAATAGGAGCGCAGGACGAACCAGACGCGCCACTTGCTTCGCTCAACAGTCTTGCATGGGCTCAAGACCCTCGCACGAAGAAGCCACTGCTCTGTGTCGCTGGCGCGGAGCATAAACACATCAAGATCCTAGACATCGAGTCCGGCGACGTCGTTTATACGATCTCTGGGCACGGGGGCGCGGTGCATGACTTGGCTGTATCCCCGCTATCAACGAGTCTGATCGCTTCTGCATCGGAGGATACCACTATTCGACTCTGGATGATCCAACCGGAAGCTGACGCAGCGAGCTGTGTAGCAATTCTGGCTGGCGAGGGACACAAGGCGCCAGTCCTCGCTATTCATTTCCATCCGAATGGCAAATGGCTCTTGTCTGGTGGCATCGACCATGCCATCTGTCTGTGGGCTGTCCCTCCTCTCGACAAATTGAGCGAGAAGACTACCTCCGAGCCTCTCGTAGTCTACTACCCGCACTTCTTCACGAAAGAATTGCATCCCAACTACGTTGATAGTCTTGCATTCTACGGCAACCTCATACTGTCCAAGGCTGCACGAGATCAGGACCAGCAGCGCGTCTCGAACGAGATCATCTTATGGAAAATCACAGGCTTCGATGCCGAGGAACCGCCTGCAGAACGGCCGCCAGTCCCTACTCCAGGTTCGCAGACTCGGTCATCTTTTGCACACGATGAAGAGTATCGTGGGTTTCACAGGCTACTCACCCTCGACATACCTGACACGGATCGTTTCTATCACCGCTTTGGCTTCTATCATTGCGATGACAAGCGACCTATACTGTGTATGGGAGACCAGCGGACCCGCTATTCCTTCTGGGATCTGCAGAGACTTGAAGAAGGTATCGATCCGCTCGACAGACCAAAGAGGAGAGCAGCGCGGAGGAAGAAGGGGTCAAACGTTCTGAGTGATCTGCGCAAGAGTGAACGAGTAGCAGCTGGTGTTTCTGGCCAAACTTGTAAGTGGATTTCATGGCGTACATCTTGTTCGACATGACACTGACGTTTTTGCAGCTGACTCTTCATCCACTGTTGCCTCCTCCAATGCAGCACCTGATTCTCGCGAGTACACACTGGGCGAGAAATTTACGCCACTCAAGGCTCACTACAGAACGACCGTCAATACCAGCCTCCTCAAGCAAGGCAGTGTGGATGGACACTTTGCCACGTCACAGATCGCCTGGAGTCCAGATGGAACGTGGATGGTCTCTGTTGGCGACGCGGGCATGATGTGTATTTTCCACCGGGACAAGCAGGTGGTATGAAGAACAGCCAGACGGGGAGAATTTCCCGACCGCGTCGCCTAGGGAGTGCCGTTCGCACTGCGATGGACAGCTGTCAACGATAGAGCGAGCGGGAGGACCGCAATCACCCATGGGATAAAGTGCACATGCAGAAGAGAACAGCCGCAGCTGAAAAGGCCACCAAAGGAAGCAAAGGAAGCCGAATTAGCGACTCTACAGTGTGCAACCGAGGCTATGGGAACCTGAGCGCCTGTCAATTAATTGCTGAAGAAGCCATCCCTCCACCGAGGTGAAAAAAGTCCGTGGCTATATACAAGAGGTATGGGAAGAGGGGCCGGGGGATCTCAGGAGCAGAAGAAAGAGCAGCTCCCCCTGCTAGCGGAATAAATCATGGCAGCAGAGCTTCCTCTTTTGTAAGAAGGCTGTCAGACGGAGTCGCTATCAAGAAAAGGGCATAGAAGATGTGAAAGTTGCTGAACTGTGAAGTGAAGTCGAAATAGTCTGTAGAGGAGGTAAAGTCAAAATACCTTACCTACCTCTAGGTATAGAAGACCTCAGGCATTGCAATCTCTTCAGTTCCTCTTCCTTCTCTGCGACTCTACCCATACATCCTCAGTAGGTACTACCAATTGCACTATCCGAATGCGGCACTCCGCGTATGTATACAGCATCACCGTTAACCGGTGGTACCCGTAGAGCCAAGATGGAGTTCGGCTTACTCATCCATATCCGAGTGTACCTATGTACCTGGTAGGAGGTAGGCACATGTACCCACATTCTGGTTGTTTACTCTAGGCATGTCGCAGCCACCTCACTCTAGGAGAGAGCTCCAACACGTTTTTGGAAATCAAAATGCTTCATATAAGAACCCGTTTATCCAACTGTACAAATACCACACGTCATACGATGGCATGGAGGAGATGTATAGGGAGCAAAAGGAAGGACGACTCCTTCACTCCCAACTCTCACTACGACTATCTTCGACCTAGACTCTCGGAGAATTGGGGCTCGGCGAGGTTGGAGGAGGTGGGTGACCTAACAACTCCACTTCTACCAAGTTCTATTCCTGGACACGTGCTAATGAAGAAGATCAGATGACTGTTCCATGCGAACCTGGCTATAATTTATAGTAGGAGGTATTCACGGGACAATGCTCTCGAACCGGCCACTCGCTGAGACAACGGACGGACATATGTCCTCGGTTGTACCAGTTTGCCAGTGTGGGGTCTCTGGATGGGAGACTTCTCATGCAGATCATATGGAGAAACTTTGCGTAGAACGCCTCTTCCATTGCCGATCACTCGTGCTTGGCTCTCCTTCCTTGTTGGCCTTGTGCCTACTTTCTACTAGCACGAGACATTCACAAGAGTCGTCCACTGTGAACAGTCGTCGAACCGAGCTTCAGGTACCTCCTAGGCTATAAGGATGGCATTCCTCGCAAAAGGTGGAGGAATGCTACCGCCACGTCACGTCCCAGAAGCCCCGTCACGCAGGGTCTCTGGTAACCAAGCACATACACGACTGCTAGTATGAAGACGTGGATTGGTCTCGCCCTCGGGGGACTGACCTGGGCTCTGCCTTTGGATGAACGTCAAGCCGCAGCACCATCAGCCACGATTCGCAATGGCACTGTGACGGGAGCCTCTTCGGGTGGCATTGATACTTTCAATGGCATCCCCTTTGCCCAACCACCCGTAGGAAACCTCCGACTGAAGCCTCCGCAACCTCTCGTCTCGGGATTCCCCAGCGGTCTTCGCACCTTTGCTGCGACAAATGCTGCAGCAGCGTGCCCTCAGTTCGCTTTCCAAGTGGATAACATCAATCTGGACAGCTTACCCCAAGACGTGATATCGGATGTGATTGGCGAGCTGATCAATAGTCCTCTGGGACAAACGGCCATCAACCAGAAAGAGGACTGCCTGACCATCAATGTACAGCGACCTGCTGGCACCGCAGCCAATGCCGAACTGCCTGTCATCTTCTGGATCTTTGGTGGTGGGTTCGAGGCAGGTTGGACCGCCATGTACGATGGCTCGAACTTTGTCAAGCAGAGCGTCCGGCTCGGCAAGCCCGTGATTTATGTTGCTGTCAATTACAGGTCAGTGCGGAAGACGTCGATATATCATCACCAACAGTAGAAATACATGTGCTGAAAAACTTGGGCTTAGGGTCGGAGGCTTTGGCTTCTTAGCTGGCAAAGAGCTCGCGGCGGAGCATTCGACGAACCTTGGCCTGAGGGATCAGAGACTGGGCTTGAAATGGGTTCAGGTAAGGGGGGCGTTTACCAAATATGATGACATTGACTTCTCTCTTTTTTTTTGACTGACCAAACGAAAAGGAGAACATCGCGGCATTTGGAGGCGATCCTGCAAAAGTGACCATCTGGGGCGAAAGTGCCGGAGCCATCTCTGTCGCCGATCACACGATATTCGAAGGGGGAAACATTGACTATAATGGCGGCAAGCTCTTCCGCGCTGCCATCATGAACTCCGGAAGTCTCGTACCTGCTACCGACGTCAGTTCGCCCAAAGCCCAGAACATTTACGACCAAGTCGTCCGTTCGTCCTCCTGTGCCGGAAACGCCAATACCCTTGCCTGTCTCCGCGCACTGCCCTACAACGATTTCGTCCGCGCCGTCACATCCGTGCCCGGGATTTTCAGCTACCGATCCCTCGACCTCTCCTACCTCCCTCGCCCCGACCCGGGCGACAACTTCTTCCCCGAGAGCCCCGAAGTCCCCGTACAAGCCGGCCGCTTCGCCAAAGTGCCCGTCATCATCGGAGACCAAGAAGACGAAGCCACGCTATTCTCTCTCGTCCAGAGCAACATCACCACCAACGACGACCTCGTCAACTACATCGCCTCCTACTTCCCCTCCGACCCCACCAACCTCGCCACCGCCCGCGGCCTCGCTTCTCTCTACCCCAATCAACCTTTACTCGGTCAACCCGCAGGAAGTCCCTTCCGCACCGCCGCTTTCAACAGCATTTATCCCCAATTCAAACGCCTCGCTGCCATTCTTGGCGATATTACTTTTACTCTCACCCGCCGCACATATTTAGACGTCATCACCACAACCGCCGCTGTTCCCGCTTGGAGTTATCTCTCCACATATCTCTACGGAACACCCATTTTGGGCACCTTTCACGCTAGTGATATATTTCTCGCTGCGTTTGGTGATGCGGGGATATCTTTTCCTGCGAGGTCCATGCAGAGTTATTATATTGCTTTTATTCATGATTTGGATCCGAATGGTGCAGGAGGAGGTGGAGGAGGTGGAGGGGGAGGTGGAGGAGAGTTGATCAATTGGCCGAAATGGAACAAGGAGGAGCCGAAATTGATGAATTTTGAATTGGGGAGGAATAGTTTGATGAATGATGATTTTCGGAGTGAGGTTTTTGAGTATTTGGTTACGCGGCTTTCGACTTTGCGGATTTAATAAAAAAAAGGGTGTCTGCGGGGGTACTTTTTTTATGTATAGAAGAGCCACCAATACCAGTGCTGCAGACATGACTATTACCGCAGGTGCGCTGGCGGGAAGTCAGACATTTCTAGTGGGTAATGATTGATGATCATGAAACTGATTCTTTCTTCTTTTTTTTTCTTTTTTTTTCTTGTTCTTCGGTGAGGCTTGATGTGACCCAGACCGATATTGGAAGAAGAAGAAGAAGAAGAAGAAGGAAGGTATATAATCCTCCATTAAGCAAGCTCTCTATCTACCTACCTACCATTTTCATTCGACATCTCATCGAAGAAAAAAACATCATCATCATCATCAAGACTTGTAAAATGCCATACGCTTCTTCTGTTTCTTCTCTTTTCGCGCCTCATTAAACGCTTTGACTTCTGCCTTGCTGAGTTTCTTGGCTTTGCGTTCTTCCTTGAGAGATTTGCCCTCGTGCGCATTGGCGGCTGCGTCGACGTCGAAAAAGGCATTCATCTGTCGTCCACTCTTGGCCGCCTCTGTGTGTCGGTCTGCCGTCAGGTGCGAGGGCTGTGTGCTGCCTGTGCGCGCGTTGAGAGCCATGATGGCCGTGTAGTCGGCTGTGTGTCCCGGCATGGTTGTCAGGGTAGTAGTGGCGCCGCCACTCTGCTGGGCGAGGCGTTGTGAAGTGTACTTGGCATAGTCTGCATTGGGGTCGTAATTGCCGTGAATCTTGGGGTTGTACTGCAGAGGATTGGTCTCTGCTAATGTTTGCTCCGCGCCCGGCCCTTGTCGCTCGCGTTAGTTTCCATGAAGTGAGTGGGTGGATCGTCGCAACAAGAGACTTACGCTCCACGCCGGCCGGATACTGCAGACCGCACGGGTCTGGACCCCCAAGCTCGATGTTGTAGACCCAGTATGGCTCTTGGGGTTCCTCCCAACTGGAGGCACCCGTCTCCGTGTTGGTGTAGTAGTGGGCTGGAGTGTCCGGGGTCTGCGAGGGGTTCTCGCACTTGAACCACTTGTAGCGGCTCAAGTTCTTCTGGTGCTTATCAGCTTTTGGTTGCGCCATGAATTGACGACATCGAGGCACAGTTTATGGAAGAAGCGCGAGGAGGCGAGGGTCGAGGTGAAGCGGAGGCAAGCGAAGATAACACATATGCCCAAGCCCGAGTGGTATATGCGGTATGCGATACACCGTTCTCACGCCAGCGCGTGGAAGAGTCATGGCATCTTCGCCATTTCATGAGCCCCAAGCCGTCATTATGCCAAGTGGTATGGCATATCACAGCAATGCGCTGATTGGAAGGAGAGTCGTCCGCTACTAGTCGTGCGATACAGTGCCGCTTCTCCGTGTGAGTTCGCCGAACGTGCAGCCCGCAGCACTACGAGGGTCACTGGCATGAGCCTGACGGTATGCCGATAGTTTGTTCTTCTGAAAAGCTGCAGCGTGGGTAAAGTCCCGCCCAGAGCAGCGCATGATGGGGCCACCCAACGAACACGGAACTGGAAAGACGTCCAGAGCCTTTCGCAGCAGACGGCAGCTATACCGTTCTATTGGCAGGGCAAATGCAATCGCAACGAACGACAAAGGAGATGACAGGCGACAACATCAGTTCTTACTCACTGTTTCTTCTGACTCCTCTTCTTCTTCTCCTTCTTCCTTTTCTTCAACTTCATCTTCTTCTTGCTTCTGGTCCTCTTCCACTACTTCCTTTGTCATAGTTCTGTCCTTACTCTGGGCCTACATGGTACTGTTAGCCTGCTATGAAGGGAACGATATAACTTGCGTGTCCTGCAGGTCCTGAGCAAGGACAAGTTACGGGTATTATGGATCCTGAAAACGGAGAGTACAACACTATTGCCAAGACTTTGCACATAGTGAATTGTGACCATCAGATCATGGCCGACAAGCAGATCCCCTACGATGCGCCCGGTACTCGGAGGGACGGGTCCGGATGCCAGACTGTTGGAGGTATCTGGACTCACCTCCTCGGCCTCCTCAGTGTGGTCTGCGTGTTCGCTCTGTTCTTCGGACTGCTCTTCCGGCTCGCTTGAAGCTGGTGGCGGCACGTCTGATGTCTGAGCGGCACCTTTGATCCGGAACTCATCGTCTGACGCCATCGTTTGAGCGGAACCAGATGCGAAGATGGCGGTTGGTGATGGGAAAGAAAAGGCAGTTTTTGGATACGTGGAAGCAGAAAGTCGTCGAGGTTGGTTGCGTAGGTAGCTGGTACCTAACGTCGAGCCAAGACTTGAGCTGCCACAAGTCTGGGGATCCCTAACTTACTGTGAGAGGCGGCGGCAGGGTTGCAATATTCACTGCAGTCTGCAGATTTGATGCCATCCCGCGCCCATCAATCACATGGCGCACATGCAGGCTGCATACATGCATACAGCAACATCTACCTACGCAACAGTCTCGGTTAAATTAGTGCTTGATAGAGGTCTGCTATATGCACATGTGCTGTTCTCGAGGGACACGTTGGCCAAGACCAGCGGCGTCGAGAACCAGCTCTTTGCCGCTCGAGTCTGCCACGAGCTGCGACCTCACCGTACTCGTCGTAGTGACCACACTGCTCTTCTCACTGTAGACGTGCAAGGAGGGATTCACACGCTCGTAGCGATGCAGCCATGGCGCAGCCAGTGCTTGTACGGGCATACACCAGCGGAAAGAGAAACAACCAAGGAGTAGCAGCCCCCCGAAAGCCGAGCGATCGGGACGCAGCAGCACTCCCACCTATATCGTCGTATGCTTTTGCGGACATTCTCCGGTCAGTAGACGGCAGCCGGGAATTCCAGCTGGCCATCGACGGCATCGCAGAGATTTGCGCAAAGACACGCTTGAGCCTGGCGGATGAGTACGGTGCTCATCTGCCTCCCTTGGGCGAGATTACCACCACCAGCGCAAGCACTCCCCGGCCGCAGCCTCCTCGACCCGGCATGAGACGCGTCTTGACCTCCGTCCCCGAAGCGAGCTCGGGCAGCAGCGAAGGAAGTAGTCGTAAGAGCACCATTAAGAGGGGGAGCATCTTCAGCTTTCGCAAGAAACACCACACGAAGCAAGAATGCAGTAGACCCATGCGCCGTATCCGTATCAGCAGTACAGGCCGCACGATATCCGTGGGCACGACCACTGCGATGGCTGCAGAGGTCATCTTATTGCCCGAGACTCGCTCTCGAAGCTCTTCAGAAGCCACGGTGGTCGGCCCTGTTCTACCGAGGCCAGCTGCTCGTGTGCCCGCAACCAGTCCGGCCCAGTCGAGTCTGCAGCGTCTGCTCTTACCCTCAAGAAGTCGAGCCGTAGTGGCGAGCTGAAGAGCTCTTGTCGAAGTCATCGTGGCCGGCTGATCTGCACATTCGATATCATTTTTCCACCGAAAAGGATTGCCTCTCTCTCGCGTAGTCCGATGGGCCCTCTCTAGAAGGAAACCTCGAACACAGGTGACCTTCTCTTGGCGGAAGCAGCATTATTGTAAATTCCACTTTCGACTGCCAAGTTCCCCTCCCTACCCATATCTTCAGGCGCGTCTGTTTAAGGTCGCTCTCTGGCCGTATGCTGTGGAGCGAGGGATGTCAAGAAGTGTTCGACTTACCTTTGTCAATGGCTATCCCAGCTTGGACCCCCTCGAGTCTCTGCGCGTGCGACGCGGTCTGTTCGAAGGCGCTCCGAGTCATTTGTGTTGGGGCGAAGGACCAGTGCTATGGAAGCGCGAGCTACGGATCTACTGTCATGCGGCTATCGGCATCAATGTAATCCCGTCCAGGGCACATTTTATGGAAGGGCCAGTACGCCACAAGTGGGAACTTTGCTTATTTCGTTACAGACGAGATGGAGAGAGCATGAGACGGGCTACTGAAGCCTTTTCCGCACGACGATGCTATAGTTTGACGAGCGATGCGTCAGAATAGACACGGCGCTCATGTGAGGCCCATTAATTTCCCTTGTCTTGGACGAGACTAACTAGCCCTCATTACTTCGCCGAGTGGGAATTCCTCTTCGGCCTTTGCCTCATCTTCTGCTGACCAAGATCGTGGGAGTACGGCGAAGACGAGGTAGCTTGTGTGCGTCCGGACTTCAGGTTCTGTTCGGTGCACTAGTCTGCCCTCTTTGTACAGCTTCCTCTCTTCCGCTTCCTTTTTGATCTGCCCCAATCTCTCCGCTTTTGTTAGCACACCACCTTGGTCGCGTTTTTGGCCTTGCGGCTGAATATTATGCCTGACATCGAGATCTGTCAGTTCATTCATCTAAAACAGAGGTAAGTTACCACTTACCGTAATCGCTCCAGAGCCTCTTCTACATTCGCAGCCGTCGCATTCACACCTCGTAGTCCTTCTTCTCGCAGACCTATACGCTCTCGGCGAACATCGATGCGGCGATTTTGGACTTCAACCATACCGATATCTGCCCACCCGAGCTTGCGTAAGGCGGCACACGTTGCTATTACCTGCTCGATACATGGGGAGAAAGAGCAGACGTGGACAGAGCTATCCGGGTTGAGAGGAGATGGACCGTCTCTGGTCAGATGCTGGAGCGCGGTCCACGGGGCAGGCAGATCGAGGAAGATGGCATCGGTCTTGGGTGAGCTACCGTCTGAGAGCATAAAACCGTCGTTGCACACATCGCGGTGCGTAAGCTCGACGATGCCGTCTAGTCCATGTTCGGTAATTTCTTGACGTAGGGTCTCTACCCTTGGCTGATGATATTCGTAGCTGCACACTTTGCCTATCTTTTGCCGCTTCGCGGAAGGGTAGCCATTGAAGACAGCTCGGCATGCGGCGTGGGTAAAGCTACCACTTCCTGCGCCCGCCTCGATGATAGTACTCCCCGGGCGAACGCGGAGACGTTGTAGAATATAGCTATAGTCGGGTGTGTACACTACCTGTGTTCTGTGGTCCAGTGAAGATGTCCATAACTCGGGAGTAGGTGGCAGAATATGAATAAAGCCTGTGCCTGCCTCTGCCGGCCTTGCTTCCGTCGGCTTGAGCGCAGGCTCGACGCTTTTGACCTCCTGCTTCTGCTTCTTTGCCGGTGGTTCTAGCAAGTCCGTGTCCTGCCCTTCAGTCCTGCTGCGCTTCGTGCCTCCTTGCTCTTCTGAAGACGGCGGAGCGCTTTCGTTCTGCGTACTCTCTTCCTGCTTCTTGTCCTTGTCCTTGCCCCTGCCTTTTCGACCTCGGCTGCCCGTATCGACTCTGCTGGCTCTGACTTGACTGCCCCACTCTAGACCAATCAATGTGGTGTGAGGAAAGCTGCCAAATCGTGTATTTGTGACTGCTCCCTCGGCGTAGCCTTCGTCCGACGTTTTGGCGAGCGTGACTGGAATCAGGCTGTCACGCTTGAGGTGGAGGATAGCCAGAGAGTCCACATCGGGGCGAGCGGTAGCGTAGAAGAAGGGCGACGCACGCGACATGTCGAGAATGCAATGGGTACGAATAGGCGTAGTGATGTGTTTGGCATATGATGGCCGGAATTATTTCACCCCCCGGACCGGATTTTCAGTTCCTCCATTGCAGGCGGAGTTAAAAGTTCAGCTTATGAATCAAGAGCCGGGGGCACGCCGTAACCAGTGCGTTTGCACGTGCCCTTAGCTCGGACCGATGGGCACCTACCAAACATACATGTATCCAATACATTAACTACCAAGTACTACATGTAGTACACACATCGTATCGTCCCGAAGCACAGATATTCAGTGACAACGGCCCTGTCCACCGGTCGAGACCAGCCTACCATCATCATTCGCATAATTCTTCCCTCCAAAGATGGCGGTCGATACGTCAATCAACATTCCCCAAATCGTGGCGGTAGTCGTCGTTGGCTTCCTCGCCATTCGATGGTACATGAGCAAACCTCCCACCACGTCCGGACACCCTGCTTCATCCTCTTTCAGAAATCGCGTGGATCCCGCCAAAGTAGACGCCGTCTCGGCCGTCTTTCCTCAACTAGACCGCAGAAGCATCGCCTGGGATCTGCAACGCAATGGCGGAAATGTAGAAGCCACGACGGCACGGGTGCTGGACGGGAGAGGTCTCGACAATCCACCACCGACGTTTCGACCTGAATTGCCAACGACGCCGGCGACTGCGACTGCTGCGACTGGTGGGAGGTCCGGGAATGGGGGGAAGGCGCAGACTCAGGACTTGATCACTCGATATGGGCTGCAAGGCAAGGTGGGAAATGGGAAGGGAAAGGAGCCGATGCCTAGCGAAGAAGAGTTGGCGAAGCAGAAGAAGAACGCGTGGAGTGCGGATAAGGTGCAGAGGGCGGAGGCGTTGAAGAGGAGAAGAGAGGAGATGATTCTGGCCGCGAGGCGGAAGATGGCGGAGAAGGATGAGGCATAGTTGAACGCACGACTCAAGAAAGTGAGGGACCTCAATGCCAGTATACTATTCGTTGTAAAGTTTGCGATCCAGCACGACCATGGAACTGTATCCTCAGCTCTCATCTTTTACCCTGTTCGGTCCTGTGAACGCGTGAGATTGCGAACCAAAATGGGTTGCTTACCTCACAACGGTGCCCCAGTAGACTGGAGTTCACGCAATGAGGGCGGAAGACTACCATAAGGATCGGCGGTCGAGGGAGTTCTAATCAACCTACTATCAATGGCTACATCTGTTATCAAACTACATGCACAAGACCAAAGGATTCAAGCAAGCACAGGTCGACGAGAAGGGGTACATCAATTGATAAGTGTAGCTGTTTCACTGCTCGAGTTTGCTTCTGCCTCAACATATATATATATCTTGCTACTGGTCCGACTTGCTCTGGGACAGCATACCACGAACAAAAGATCACAAACCCTCGCATAAGGCATCATGCGGCTTGAATCTAAAAACTGGTCGCCAAGTTCAATGCAGCGAGCATCTAGCTTACGATGCATTTGTCGCCGATTCCCACCTGTTTCCGCTACTTGTGGGATACCAAAGGGCTGTCCCATTCATTTCGATGCTCTTTAGGTGCCGGCTTGCTTTGATCGCGACCCATCTTGATGATAGCGACAGAAGCCCCAAGCGCGGGATGATACGTTACCAAGGATAGTAATAAAACGACCGGTCTGGTTCGTGCAACCTCGCGCGTTTCTACGTCTAAGCATCTGGCCTCCTGTGCAAAACTCCCGCCCCAGCCTATACACATGTCAGAACATCCCGTCGTCTACGATTTTCTATGCATGACTGTAGCTGCCGCCTGCGCATACAATCAGCCTTTGGCTCAATACTAGCGAAACCCACATTCATTACGACAGAAGGAAAGCGTAAACTCACCTGATGATTAGGAAACACAAGCAAGTCCGCAATGACCACATTCTCTGGCCTTCCAGCAGCAAACACAACAGTCTCAGCAATATCTTCTGGCGTCAAAGGCGTCACGCCCTTGTACACTGCGTCCGCCTTAGCCTTATCACCATAGAACCTCACGACCGAAAACTCCGTCTCGACTTGTCCAGGGTCAATCTCAATAACCCTTATCCTCGTAGCGATCAACTCCTTCCTCATCGCATCGGTAAAAGACCGCACAGCAGCTTTCGTCGCGCAGTATATACTGCCCCCGGGATATGGTTCGCGACCAGCAATGGAACCAATGTTGATGATATCTCCCGAGCCAGCTTCACCTTTCTTCTTGAAAATCTGTAAAACTTCCTGCGTCATATTAATCAGGCCAGTAACGTTTGTGGCGAATTGCACCATCATATCCTCTTCCTTGATCTCTCCTGCTTTGTCCACGCCCTTCACAAGACCGGCGTTATTCACCAGCACATCGATGTCGCGGAACTCGGAGGGGAGGTTGGGAATAAAGGATTTGACTTCCTCTGGTTTGCTGACATCGAGCTGGACAGGGAGGATTTGTACGCCGTCGCCGACTTCTTTGGTGATTTCCGCCGCGAGCTGTTTCAATGCGTCGATTCGGCGGGCTGTCAGGATGATTTTGAGGTTCTTGGGCGATGTGCGTGCGAACTCTTGGGCGGTCGCCTTTCCAATTCCGGAGGACGCGCCTGTAATGACTATGGTTTTGCCTTCGAGGCGTCTCCCTTGTGCGGTCGTCATGTTGTTGCGTTGCAGTAGTATTGCTCGTCGGTTGAGGATATGAGCGCTGTTCTGGGCTCTCGGGAAGCTATGCAGAGTCCTGAAGAAGTGTTTCGTACAGGGCAGAATCATAAGAGAGAGAGAGGCGTGTGCAAGCTTGTCTTTGAAGGAGAAATGGGATATATTGGGAGATTTTGTACAGCGGGAGATGGAGATGGGTAATCCTTAATGCTCGCCAATGCCGCGCTGTTTGTTGGAGTTGGCGAGGAGGGCCAAAGTGGGGTGAAGCGCCGAGAGCGGCGGCTAGACGGGACGGTGCCGCGGCGGCAAGTGTCAAGGGACAGGACGATCTGAAAGGACGATTCGGAAATGACTAAGCACGTGTGGTGGGCTTCCGGATAACTAAGCATGTATGAGTCACAGCGCAGCATGTAAGTTATAGCTCGGCGTAGAGTAACGTAGTTCCGGTTAACCTTACTTACTATATAGACTTTTCCTACGATACCTACGATACCTATAATACCGAATATCTTTACTTCGACGTACTGACATGTATATATATACCTCTCTAATTGCTTCTATACACTTATACTAATACTATACCGCGAAAATTACTAGATTCGGCCTACAAACGCGCAAGATACGGCTCTTAGCTTATAAGTACTATAACGAACTACGAAACGACGGCTATAAACGACCCGAACGGCCTGAATAATACCTTATTTGTTGACGACGACGACGATACTAATACGAGCTTCCGGCTACTAGATCTATCTTTACTATTTACTATACTACTAAGCGGCTTCCGCTGCGTTAAGATATTAGAAGAGCTATTCCCTAATCGATCTACTAATTAAGAGGAGGATAGTTACGATCTAGCGTAGAATAATACTAGTATACTTAATAAGTTACCTACGCCGGACGCGCCGGACGATCCGATTAGTCTACGGATATAGCCGTACTAAGGCAAGCGTACCTCTAATACTATTATAATCGACGATACTATAGTCGACGACAACGCTAGCGACGCCGGTAACGCCGGCGCTAAGTTATTACTACCTAAACACTCTACCTTATAGTAGTAGCCGGAGCCGGCTACTATAGAAGTAACTGTCGACAAAGGACGTAGCGGCAAGAAGGTTAAGTTTTACTTACTATCCGTCTTCTATATAGAACTGCCGGTACCGCGGCCCTATCCGACGTAGATTCCGTATTTACTACTTGCCGAGAGCCGTATACCGGCTATCCGCGAGTTTATAGATACTATAGATCTATACTATTATAACTATCTATATACCGGCGAGATATTCCGAAATCCCGACTATTATAAGACTAGGCTATAGGATTACGCGTTTAGTAAAGGGTTTGCGGTTGTCTATACGTCTAGTAATATAAGCCGAGCTATATATAAGTATATTTACTATAGAACTACTACTAGAAACAATAACGGTTTCGACGATTATATAGGCGATAGCGACGACGAATTACTTAATCTGCGCGTCCGTAACGCGAGGAATATACGATAGCGGGGGTATAGTTAGAACTACCGTCTAGGTTACGTATAAGTAAGGTAAGGTACGATAGTTAAATAGTAGTAGCTAACCGTTAATTTACTTAACTATATATACGAATTAGCGCCAAATCCGTCCGTTTACGCTATCTACGAGATACGTATACCTAGCTTTAGTAAAGCCGTAGCGTAGGCCGTATAGTATCGACTTACGAACGAATTATATAGTACTATATACCGATAGCTCTCGCTTTACGAACTCCGACTTAATCGTAAGCGTTACTATAACCTAACTAAGGGTAATACGTTCCGTAGCTCCGGCGACGCCGACACCGTTATTAATACGTTGCTTAGTATTCTCGTTACTCTCGGATTCGAGTACGAAGGCCGTTAGTCGTTTACTACGGATCTATAGACTAGTAGTACTACGTAGGCATTATTTAAGCAGATTGTTTACTAGCAGTTATATATAGCGCGCTTTACTACGCAGTTCGTACCGGACTATAGCTTCTAGATAGACGCTACGTTTAGTACTAATCGCGCCGGTCTATTACTTAGGGTATTTATAGGGGTTACTAATACCGGACGGTTATTTCTAATATATTATTTACTAATAAAGTTAGAGAGTAAGGACAATTAGCTGTTTATACTACTTATCGTATTTAACAACTATCTACGTAACTATCGGCTTAATAAAGTAATTATCTTAAATACCGGAGCCGGCCTTATCGCGGCTATTCCGGAGTTACTATTTTAGCGCTATATTTAGTAATTCTGTTAATAGTACGCGGCTTAAAACCTTTATAAGCGTATCGATAAGGGTACTGTACGCGTAGTACGTACCGAGGCCGCCGATAGTAAAGTACGCTAAGCTACTATTATAGCTACTAACAATAAATCGACCGAACCGACTGTACGTAATACGGCGCTAAGACGTATACGAGCCTGTAAACTAGGCTATACCGCCGAGTAGAAGACGGAACTAAAAGTACTTATATAGCTATAGTTACAAGCGGATATAGCCGAAGCCGCCGATAAACTCGAGGCAGCTATTATTAACGGATTGACGGTAGAGGATGCCGAATATTTCCGTAATACCTACGTCGTTATTAAGCAGCGACTGCTTATATATTATATTAAGCATTTACCGAATAATAGGGCGCGCTTGTTATAGCGCGCGGAAGGCGGCAATCGCGGCGTAAAGGGGTATCTACTACCGTACTTATTACTAGAGCAGTGCGTTGAAGGTATTAAATAGTATCTAGATAAGCTGTTTAATAAGTTAGAACGGTTAGAGGAAAATATATATATTAGCTTACTACTATAGGCCGTAGCGTCTAATAACCTCGGTTACTTCGTATAACTTAATAGCTAAGTAACGATATAGACAATCGACAGGCTACTAGCTTTATAGTATAACGCTCTCGGCATTAAACGTACAGTAGACAAGGCCAGTTATACGCGCTCGGCAGTAACGGTAGAGCCGTATCCAATACGCGATTACTATACAGATTATAGTAAAGTTAAACAATACGGCCTACCGTATACTTATATACTACTACCTATAGTAATTAAACGGAAGGCGATTGCCTATAGTATATTATACCCTCGTTACTTTGCGAGCAATCGTAGCGTTTACGCTAGTAACGCCGTATAGTAGATACTATAATAGTAGAATCAATACAACGCTACGACGGATAGCCTATAGGAGGTATTACCGTAACGCGCGGACAGTTACGATCGTATATAGGCTTCTATACTACGCTAGTTAAGTTGCTTACTATTACTACGAGCCGTAGACTATAACGCCTACGTAGATAAGCTCGAAGCGTTCGAAGCCGTCTACTTAACTAGCCTATAGGCTACTTAACGCGACCGTTTACTACCGGAAGCGGTTCTATTTACGGTACCTATAAAGCCGGCTTAGTATCTACTACTACCGTAGTTGCCGAAACGTAGCAATAAGACGACTAATAGGCTTATAACGAGCGTAGAGGTAGCTAGTAAAGATGTAGTATTAGCCGAGAAGACTACTACTATCGCGTTACGCTCCGAATTCGCGGCTTAGCAGTATACTATTGTAGCCGACGTACTATAGACAGCCGAAAGTAATAAGTTAGCAGCGGTTAATACTACTAAGCTAGTATGTAGCCGTAGACGCGGACGTAGATATAGACGTAGACAGCCGCGTAGTCGCGGCTATAGTATTATATATAGTAAATCTAATAACTTAGGGTTAGGTAACGGATCCTATATAGTCGAGATAGAGAGTAACGGAGCCTATACAGTCGAGACTAAGAGTAACGCGGCTAGGGGTCGTTAAACGCGCTTTATAGGCCGTAAAGTAGTAGATTATATAGTATTGAATAGTGCTTTACGTAGGTAGTTAATATATATGTATATAAGTGATGTTTAGCAGCCGGAGCTAGCGTTGATTCGCGCCGAAGCTTAGTCATCCGGAAGCCTACTGCTTAGTCATTTCCGAATCGTCCTTTCAGATCGTCCTGTCCCTTGACACTTGCCCGCGGCGATTAAGTGACATCATTCGATGAGATATATGTGGGCACGTGCACTCGTAAGTGAGTGAATACGCTACAGCATATCAGAGCTACGTTGAGCGATCAAAAGCAGCAGAACACAACCCCCTTCGAACCACACTCCACCAACCGGGCCATCATCATTCATCACCAACATTGCTTGAGAGTTCCACTTCCGCAATAAACGAGCGTGCCTCCACCAATCAATACAATTCAGGACGGAAGACAAAAAAGGAAAAACACCCGCTGCGTCCATCTTACTTCCAAGTGATCAACCATTCGTCACCACTCCAATCGTCGTCACTGTCAAGCTATATATAGGGATGGACAGATTAGCGTTTGAGAGAGAAAGAGAGAGGGAGAGGGGGAGAGGGAATCTTCGGGAGTAAGAAGCACAGCTTACCTTGTTATTTTCTGCGTTCCTTGGGGACATGTCTCTGGCTTCGACGGCCTTCTCCTCCTGTTGGAAATGTTGGTCGTAATTCTTTATGCATTCGCGTTCGTTATGGTATGGAGTACACCTACAGGCTGGAGGGCATGAGGCAATGCAGTGGCAAGAGCCGTGAGGAAGAGGAACACCATGTAAGTCTTCATGATGGTGACCGCTCACAGAGGAGATGATTGTCCTTTTGTTGTGCTGTAGTGGCTCGCTTGAGGGCTTGATGATGATGGGTTTGCAGGTTATTGCAATCTCGAGGGGGGAAACTCGTCTCTTATATCTTGGACAGCTGCGGCCCAAGTTCTGCTGCCCTAAGCGATGTATTGCTACCGAACCCATAGCTCTCTTCGAACTCCGCCGTGAGCTAGAGTCTTTTGAGTAGTTCAGGAGGTGGTATGCACATGGGTCCACAACAAGCCAGCCGGGACCACGGGGTTGAACGATGAGCTGGACGCATGACTTGACAGCGGGACGAATGCTTGTATTGACAGCATGAGCCTCGGAGGCTAGCGTGTGCAACATTGAACTGTACACTGTTCATCGAAAGATGCCTTGCTTTTACCCAGCCGTATGAACTTCGGATATATGCACTATACGAGCGGCACTTATCGCTGGCGGCAGTCCGTCTCCTTCACCGAGGATTGTTTTGTACTGCTCACGGCGAAAGAAATAATTGTGCTTCCAACGAAAAAAAGAAAATCGACACTTGTGGATTTCATGATGATGGCTTTTACCGATAAGAGCGCGTATCAATCGCTGCTGGAAGAGAGCGACGGGGAGGAATCTCCACGCGCGGAGAGAAGGCAGCAGCAGCAGGAGCAGCGTGCACGAAGAATCTCCGGGATGACCATCGCCTTCTGCCTCCAGACCCTCTTGTTCCTGGTGATCATAGTCGTGGGCTATCAGTCGACTCAGCAGCAAGTCCATCGAGCGAAACGTTTGTGCGGTCAAATCATCTACTGTCAGTTTACAAGCCCCAAAATCTGTTGTGATGGTCGGCTCAAATCATGGTTCTGACAAATCATCAGCTCCTGTCCAAGACGAGATAGAATATGAAGTCCGGGTGTTCTCACAAGGCTTCCAGCCACAGGTCACAGAATATTGGGGTCCGCCGACCGAGAAGACTAATAAGCTATGGAAAGACCTGTATGATTGTAAGAGCCTTGTTTCTTTTTCTTTCTCCTTTGTCAGTTCTACGACTCCTCATACGGGGCTGAGCTGTATTGATGATTGACGCGTGGAACTCTCGCAGTCGGAGGAGGAGTCGCCCTCACCAGAGAAGAAGCATCGCACCTTGCGAATCATACCTCGCAACTCGAACCATACTACCCAGGAAAGTACTATGCTGCAATCGGCGTAATGCATCAACTTCACTGTCTGGTACGTTTCTCCTTCCACATCATTTACTGATTTCGACCATCAACATCACCACCATCACTTCGCGTACATTGATATTAATGCGGAGAACAGTACAACATGCGAATGGCATTATTCTCCAACAGATCCATGTACGACAACACGCGCAGCGAGGGCCTGCTCGACGATACGCATCTGTACCATTGCGTTGAAAGTCTCCGCGAAGCACTCATGTGTCACGGCGATATCTCGTATGTGGTAATGCAGTGGAACGAGGGACTTCAACGCAATGTCCTCCATGGGAACACCCCTCACAGCTGTCGGAAATTTGACAAGATTCGGGAATGGGCCAGGCCACGTGGGATTCGTAAGTTCAATTGGGACCAGTTCAACATGGACCCCACACTGGTGTTGGACGGGCCGAAGATTCAAGTTTGAAGAAAAAAAAAGGATACCTTATGCTTCCAATGACTGAGATGGGGAATGAGTGGTGCACTGGTACGAGATTGGGGATGGATGGACGTTGGTAGAAGTCCATGTATTGCTTAGTCATGCGGAACCCCCTGTTTTTTTTTCTTTTTGCTACTTCACTTCACTTCACTTACATACCCTGAAAGTCCATCGGTCACTCGCCATACATCCGATGGTCAGCGGCTCACTATACCGCTGTAAACCATACCAACCAGGTACCTATCATTTCCAACAGGTCTCTCTGATCTCGTGAGCTATCCATCGATGCTACAGTGACTGCAAGCTAGGAATATCTCTCACCATCTCCGAAGTATTTCCGCCGAGAGTTTGGACTGCCTCACATAAGGTACCTGTAGTTACCTACCTAGTGCCCGAATACGGCACCTACGGCGCCCAGCTCCATAGTCACACCCTGGCGAAGTGCACTAGTCGCTCCCAATAAGTTAATAACCTGGGGAGAAATCTGGGGATCTCACCCCAATACACGACCCCAACGAGGACATTCGACGGGTCCTCAAAAGTCTTGGCACCGACTTTCTTTTTTTTCTTCTTCTTTTTTGCCCTAGCGAAGTTAAGTTGACCGACGGCAAATGGCGGGCATTGCAGAGCCGGGCAACTTATATCTTCACTTCACGTGGCTGCTCCAACTTGGGTAGTAGGGGCGACTTATAGTCCCTCTACTACTAATATCTACCAGGTTCTCCGCCAGATATGGCTCAATTGTAGGTAGGTAGGTAGGTAGCGTTGCATTGCAGGGCTATTTGTTGATCCGCACTACGAAGACAAGGGAGAATTTGGGTATTGGTCGGTCGGTCGGTCGCTGGATCTCGATGAGATCAAAGACGACCGAATGTCCTCAAGCTATGTAAACTTGTGGCCTTTACCTGGTTATCAAAGCTTATGTCTGATAGGGTGTGAGACCCGGTTCTAGCTATATTGCTAGCAGCGTCAAGCACAGCTTGCTCGAGTGCATCTCCTTTGAGTTCTTAAAGCTATAGGTTCCTTATAGACTCGCGGTAGTTGGGAGGGATCGTACTTCCGAATAGTGCAGTGCTGTATCATCTGCGGAGTTTCAGATGGAATGTTATGAAATGTAATGGCAATAATGATTAGCAGTATGTACACAGTGCTATCTATATGTGTGTTTGCAGCACAAATGAGCCCCTGCCGATGGATATAGTATCCAAATCGTTGTATGCATTCGTGTACCTAATTATAATAGGGGAGCACACAGTCACGAGTTGCCATAGTTCTGCCACATCCAACGTCCATTTGGTGTCACTGTTTGCGCCGTGTCGGCCGATTTACAGCACCGCAGTGTCTTGTCACTACACCGAAACCACAGCTCTTCGAATCTTTTGTTACTATTGCTACCGACATGTTCATAAGTAGAGCTCCAATATATGACTCTGCAACGCCAGACACAGCCTTGCCGCTCCTAAATGTTGTATACCAGCGCTGTCGATCGAGTCCATCGTATGCCGGCGTTATCGGCATGTAGGTAGCGTTCGATCCTCAGCTAGGGAGCCAAACTATAGTAGCGGAATGCATGACAACAACTCATCGTGTGGCGTTGTCGATCGCTGTGGTCTGAAGACGAGCATTGAGGTGATGGCGGAGGGTCATATTCACTGCTGCAAGATGGTAGTAAATGCGGCTGTCGTTGGAGCGGAGGTCTCACACATTTTGCGGCCTTAGGCTGCCTGGCGCGGCGGCTCGGGCCGTCTGGGACAGGGCCGACTTCCGCTCATAATTCATTGCCCTCTATACCTATTCCTGGTATCGAAGGACATCCGAGAAGCTGCTGTTATTATTCAAGTGCGGCGTGTCAGCTGGTAAGGTACACAGAACCGAATTCTTTCAATTCCAGTGCTGTATCTTTCGTGCAATATAAAGTAATCCGGCCGAAACCTGTCGCTCTTGGCACAATCCAATACTATGAATAGGTGGTGCGAGTGTGTTCGTACCCCTTAGGGTTACACGCGTCCCTTTACACGCGTGTTCTAGGCCCTGAGAGACCCTCAGTAGGAGATATACATGATTCTCGTACTGACAGACTGTCCTTTCGGATTAAATACCTCCTAGCTGGATAATCAGGTATGTCCGGAACAGCTTCCGAGCTCCGTCGAAAGGGCGTCTGGCAGGCCCCTGCAGATAAGGCAACATGGCACTTCTCCACATGATGATTGTTTCTGCTTCCTCATCCTTTTCATGATTACATGCTGCCTACTGCCTACTGCCCTCCACTCTTCACCATCCGTCCCTTGGCACAGCTTCCCTCGAATGTCTGCTTGTGTACGCATACACTCTCTCTCATCAGGTAGCGGCGAATCGGCCTTGGTGCCTGGAAGACTCCGTCAACGATAGTATGCTCCCGGTTCCGCGGTTCCCGAAGGCCATACTGGCAGCATCAGCGCTGGCGCTTCTGCTCCTCTTCTTCGTCCACTGGTCTGGCCCTCGTTCGTGGATATTGCAGCAGCAGCAGCAAGGCGGGCAAAAGTCACCACTATCTGCTGACAATACTGAGGATGGATCCCGTGACCATGACAAGTCCAGACCGGGCGGCAAAAACAACGACATCACAACAAACACCGCAGACCTTCCGTGTCAAAATCTGCCTGGAGCAGATGATGTCCTGGTCATTATGAGGACTGGCGCTACGGAATTGGCGGATAAGCTCACTATGTCCTTTTCCAGTACCTTCCACTGTTACAAGCATCTCCTCATTTTCTCCGATTACGCGGAAATCTACGAGGGCCACCAGATTCATGATGTGCTCATCGACGTCCCCGATGTGATTAAAAAGGTACATCCGGATTTCGTGCATTACAACAGAGTGGCTGAGATTGGCCGGGAGAATCTCAGTGCCTCTGAATTATCCGGAAATGTTAGCTGGGAGAGTGGACCTATCGGCAAGAACTACAATGCTGGATGGCGTTTGGACAAGTAAGCAATTTGCCATTTCAGGAGTGTCACATTGTCGATCGAGAAGCTAATTTTCTGCTGCAGATGGAAAGTAAGCATTGGGGAACTCATTGCATGACCAATGGCCTGACTGGGGCACGCTGACCAACGTGTAGTTTGTTCCCATGATTAATGCTACCGCGCACATGTATCCCGATAAGAAATGGTATGTGTTTGTCGAACCAGACACATATCTCGTGTGGTCCAACTTGTTGAAATGGCTATCATCGGGAATCGACCCTGCTCAACCTTTCTATTTTGGCAGCGAGGTCCAAATTGGCGACGACATATTCGCACATGGTGGCAGTGCGTTTGTGCTCTCTCAACCCGCAGTCAAAATGGCCGCCGATCGTTACCAGCATCACGAACAAGAGGTTCTGGACTTCACCGCCACTCACTGGGCTGGGGACTGTGTTTTGGGGAAAGTCCTGCGCGACGCGGGCGTGGACCTCACCTTCAGTTGGCCCATGTTTCAGGGCGGCAATCCAGCACTCCTGGAATGGGAGGAAGAAAAGGGAGATCAGAGACTTTGGTGTGCGCCTGCGATGTCGTATCATCATGTCAGTCCGCAGGAAAAATTACGTCTGTTCGAATTTGAGCAGAACTGGATCAGAGCACAGCAGCCCATTTCCTCGACTTCCTTTGCAAATCCATCTCCGGAGACCATCTTACACCACCGCGACCTGTTCAAGTCGTTTCAGCGCCCGGAAATGACAGCGCACGAGAAACCAAACTGGAATAGTGCACCTCCCCATGACGTCGACACTGATGACTGTCGCCAATTCTGCCAACTGGACTCGGATTGCCTAACCTACACTGTGGGCCCAGAAGGTTGTACAATTGGGAAAGGGCTGCGATTAGGTCAGTATAAACCGGGATTTACATCTGGTTGGATGCTAGACAGGATCGACGCGGCCGTTGCCAGTCTAGATTCATGCACGGGCTCAGGCTGGGTGGCCCCTTGAACGTTCGACAAATCGTACGGGGCGGCATCATAGAGCAGCTCAGACTGCGACATCTCAACATGTGACTGCCATGAGGGATGGCTGCGAATGAAGGAGGTCTTCAGGGCAGCCTCAAGGGATCGCCTCAACTCTATCTGGGGACTCATCACGTGTAATGGTTGAACTTCATGCCATCGCTCTCGATTGTGACATCCTCGAAGTGGGTGTCTTCAGTGACGGAGGGTCCCTTCGGCCCAGTATCACAAATGGACCTAGGTTTGCAGCATCTACACATTCAGATCATGCGACATTTCATTCGGAACTTGCTGTTCAAGTCGAACAACGTTCTCTTCTGCGGAACCTTGGTCCGCGCCGGCACGCACGGGTTTCTTCTCCTCCTGAAGCACGGCTCCCACACATGGCATCTGAAAAGGCATGCTTCACTTTGCCCAAGTTGCTATAATCTCGCTTCCCGATGTTCCCGGCACCCTGCGAAACAGAGCCCCCTTCAAAGATGTGGCGACATCAGCTTCTTGGACATCTCCTCGGTATAGTCGCTCCCTGCGCATTCGGTCTTCAAGATGGGCCGCATCTTGTTCACACGAACGGTATACCACATTTCCTTCCGATCACCACCCAGCTCGCCACCGAGCACCTTTTGCTTGAGTTCGGTCAGGAATGCGTGGTAAGGCATTGGGTGCTCATACTCCTCGCACGTCTCTCTCATCACGCGGACTCCTTCGATCGCACTCCCATACGCCGATCCGCCCACAGAATGCTTAATCCAGTCGAAAATCACAAATTTGAGTTGCTTACACGCGTCCTCGATCTGTTCAAGGCCATCTGCTGCTTCGACCATTTGCTTGAACTCTGGAATTGCATTCTTGGGATCTATTCTCTTGCCCTTCCTGGCGGGGTCGTGGGCAAGGAGGGCTGCAACATCGAGATCAGATAGCGGCTTGGATGTTTCCTTGCGATTCCATCGCTTGCCGCGAGCCTTGGGAGGTACCTTCTTCACCTCTCCCGCTTTGATGACCCGCTCCAGAGCAGGCTTTGCCTTTTCCGCGAGATCTTCAGGAGGGTGAGAATACTTGTGAATGATGGGTCGAGCTTCGGGCGGATCCGCTTCGGGAAAGATCGCACGATGCCGGATAACATGCTGTAAGCGATGCAACTTCGGGGCGTACGTATCGTCGAGAGCGCCATACTCGATGCTCTCTCCTTCGTCGTTGGTGGTAGCGTGGGACAGATCCATAGCGTCGACGTAGTCGCTCATGGCCGACATCAGATCGTCATTGGGCAGATGGCGGTGCACCTTCAACGACTTTCCCGACACTGTGAGTACCCGATCCAAAGGAGGGAACTTGTAATTTCTCACGTCTTCTGCAAAGGGCAGCTCGACATCATATAGACACTCAAAATCTGGCTCGATATTCGGTACCAGCAGCAAGAGTTTCGGATTGCTATTTTCCTTTGCTACAAAACGTGCAATGGCATACGAATCCAGTTCGTACAGTGCGCGGATTAACGACGACAGCGCCATCGATGCCTTCTCGTCCGCTTTCTTGGACACGGTCATGTACGCGCGCGAGAGGTCGAGATACTGTCGATAGTGATCCTTGTGCACGAACCCCACCACGTCCAAACCAGGTAGTGTCTCGAATGCAGTGACATTACGATCGCTTTCGGAGATGTGGACGGCTGTTCTGCCATATTCGTATCCTTGCGCCAGTTCATCTCGTCCAACGTCTTTTTTGCCACCGGGCGCGTTTTCGTCGTGGACTTGATATGTTCGTGCCATGCGTACTGCTGAAAGACTGTTGGTATTATTATTATTATTATTACTGTCGTCGTTTTGCGGCTGTGTGAAATTTTGACTACTGGCACCACCATGTCGAACGACAAACGCGCTCGAGCTTGGAACTGTCGCTTTCATGATCTTGGGATATCGTTCCACGCTGATCGTGAAAGCGTCATCGTACAGTTCGGGGTTTCCCAACGTCAGGAAACCACGATAGCCCGCTGTGGGCCGGACAGACTTGATTCGAGGCATTTGCAGCTCGTCATGGGCTTGTAACATGGTGCCAAAGGTGCCATTGCAGTCTTCGCATAATGTGCGTAAGAGGACTTCGTTCTCGGCCTTGATCGGGTCCTTGTCTTCTTCCTTGAAATGATGGTAATCTGGATCGTCAAAGTCGACTCCTAGCACAATCAGGTGGATTCCGTCTTCGACAATCTTCTTCTTGATCTCTGGCAACATGTCGATTTCCATTCTCCCGCGCCCGTCGGTGATGAGAATGATGGTGCGCACATATTGCAGTTTCTTACATGTCTCGTGCAGCTTCTGCACAGCGATGACCAGCGCGTCGATGGCGTCTCCCTTTGTGGTGCGACTGACGTGCAACTTATCCCGAAGTCGTCGGACATCCGGCATTAGGACTTGGCTGATGTCGTGCAGGACACTGACATTCCGGTAGTTGTCGTCGTCGGCCCATTCATTGTTGCTTTCATCTGTACGGAGGCCAATCACGCCGGCCATGGCTGTCTTCCGACCGCTGGCGATGGTGGTGGTGAGCTTGTCCCAGAAATAATCCAAGGCCCAGTCCAGGTTGGATCGTGTCCGGTCATGGCGGCTCTTTTCGCCCATTGTCTGACCGACATCGACAATGTATACGGTGGCTTCTTTTGATGCCATCTTGGATCGCAGGGCAGGGCAGACGGTGGTACGCGCAGACGACGATGGTGCATTATATTTGCATGTTCGGCGACGGGATACCTGTAGGCGCCTACCGCCCTGTGGTTGCCTACTTGCATGGGGATGGTACAATACGGTCAATACCGGGATTCGTTATAATTGACTCCGCTCTGGTACACTAGTGGGTTTAGCCGTAAGGCACGATATGTATCTACTAAAACAAGCTTCAGAGACCCTGAAGAGGATTTCCGCTAGTTCTATGACGAACTTGACTTTTGTGGCTGTTCTCATTGGACCACAACCACATCTTGGGACATTGTTTCTCTTTGTACTCTTACAAACCACCAGACATCCTGCAATAGCGACTTCTTGATTGATTTGTCGTTAGATTGAAACAAGGAGAATCTCGTCACAATCATCGAAACGATGGCATCCCGACAGAGTATTGCCCGAAACGTCGCCAGCAAAGCAGTCAGCCCATCGACCGCCAAAACAACCACAACCACCACAACACGAAATGCATCCAGCTATCTCTCCCAACATTCCTCGCGACGAGCCCCCACCGCCACTACCCTCTCCTACGGTTCTCGAGCAGCTCGGAAGCAACATCAATTCAAACGCAGCGTCTTCGCCATCGCAGCAGCAGGCGGCCTCGCCACAGCCTCTCAGTTCTATTTGAACAATGGCAACGTGATTCGCCAGGCACATGCCGAATCGCCACCACAAGACGAAGAAAATCCTCTCGTCTTCGAGAAGAGCCGCAAGAAGAAGAATGTCAGCGTTGAGGAAAACCGCGATATGATCAGTAGCCAGCATCATCAGGTCAAACAGAGCTGGGAGAATCCTGGCGTCTACGCTTGGGGGAGCAATACGGGAAATGTGGTGGCTCCGGACAGCGAGGAGACTTATATCAAGACTCCGAGGAGATTGAAGTGGTTCGATGGCATGTTGCTGCGGGACATCAAACTGGATCGCAATTTTGGATGCGCGATTGATGAGAAGGGCGATTTGATTCAGTGGGGGAGCGGATTCATGGCGAATTTGAAGACGCCCGTGAGGACTCTGGTGGGCAAGGACTTGGTCAGCTTGAGCATCTCCAAAGATCGGATTATTGGATTGGGCAAGGGAGGGAAGGTCTACAGTATTCCTGCCTCTGCCGAGGAGCAAGAGACGGGGAGCAAACCGAGTGAGGCAAGTGCCTGGATTCCCTTCTGGAGTGGGAAGAGTAACATCTCGTATCGGGATTTGACACCAAAGGATATGGCACGAGGGGAGAAAGTCAGTTCGATTTCTGCTGGACTAGAACACGCACTTTTCTTGACGTCCAAGGGTCGTGTGTTCTCTGCAGCTGCCGCATCGGACGCGTTTCCATCGCGAGGACAACTCGGTATCCCAGGTCTCACATGGTCCTCGAGACCTGAAGGCGCTTTTGACCAACCCCATGAAATCACTACCTTACGAGGCTTCGAGATTACCGAGGTGGCCAGCGGCGATCATCATGCTCTCGCCCTCGATAAAGACGGCAGGGTCTTCGCTTGGGGCGATAACATGTCTGGCCAACTCGGCTTTGAGGCCTCAGCCGAAAGCTCAGTTGTCGACGTGCCTAGTCTCCTGCCCACACAAAGGCTATACGCTGGAACAAGCCAACAACCACGCATCACGCACATCGCCGCCGGGGGTGAGAATAGCTATATGACAGTTGAAGCTACACGTGTCGCCTCTCGAAAAGACGATCCCCATGATCCCCGAACAAAGATGCAAATCGGCCGCGTCACAGCAGATACATTCGCCTTCGGTTCGGGAATTCGCGGAAACTTGGCAAACAACCGTTGGACACATGTCCAAAGCACCCCAGCGAAGATCCCGTCCTTGTCTGGCCTCTTCGAATACGACGAGACGTCACACACTACTGTACCGATCCGCCTGCAGTCTCTATCCATAGGTTCCACGCACGCAGCAGCTGTGATGAAGAACATCACCTACACAGCTGCATCCTCCAAAACCGACACCGAAGACTCCACGAACTGGGGCGCGGATATTGTCTTTTGGGGTGGCAATGAGCACTACCAATTAGGCACGGGAAGAAGAAACAATGTTTCAGCTCCGACATATCTGCAACCACTGGACATGGAAGCGGAGATTAGGCGAGCGAAGAAGAGTTCGGGTGCGAAGGAGGAGCACAGATTCCATATCACACCAAGGGCATATGTCCAGCTGGGTGATGGCAGATGGAGAAGTGTGGAACAGAGAGTCGAGTGTGGAAGAGGTTGTACGGCCGTGTACAGCGGTACATAGTCTCTCTCTCTTTCCTCTCTCTGGCCCGCTTTACTCCAGTGACTCTCTTCGTTTGTGCTAGAAGTGCCACGAATAGATCAATATCAACGAGGATGAATGGATGAATGGGCTGTATACATACATAGATACTATTGTAAATGTGATGTACATTACATGATAGTTAGGTAGGACAAACAGAGGTTTCTACTCTCTATCCGGCTTCCTTTCGGAAGTCTTGCATACAGTTCTATTGCCTCCTACTGCAGTCGGCGTTGATCACCCAACACCGATTGAACGAAGGCGCCCAGCGAAATATCTCGCGCCTCCGCAGCAGCTGCTCTGTCTCTGCATTCAACATGCGACCCGCTGCGCCGCGAGAGCGACCTTTCCCGACGGATATCGCGGTCTAGATGGGTCCCGGCCACCAAAGCCGACCAACCTGGACGAACTCTGTCAGATGCTGCCACGCACGCGCTCGTCACTGTGCCCATCGGCATTCTCGGAGGGTGCCTTTGAAGAGTTCCAAGAGACGAGTCGAAGGGCGAAATCGGAGGCAGAACCCATGTCGAGTGTGGTTCCTATTATTACAGGAGCGAAGGACAACCGACTCGAAACAGAGGAATGGAATCAAGCGTATATGTCGATTGATAGAGAAAGTACAGAAAGGAGCGAGGATCTATGGGACAAGCGTAGGCGAGTGGATGGCAAGCCAAGCGCCTCAAGCCATGCATCACCTCAGACACGATTACTCCTGGCAGGTTGAGCTACGCAGCGAGTTCGAGAACAGACCATCGTCTTTAACCAAGGATCCTCCCTTGACTATCTTTGAACTTCGGAAGATACCAGCTCGATGGGCACTGACGTCCCGGTGCTGGTGTAGGACCTAGAGGGCGGTCCGGGCATTCAAATCTGGCTTGAGCACCTATGAAAAAGCAATGGTCCCAGATAACTAGACCTTTGTTTAGTAACACGCTCTCTGTCTCTCTCTGCGAACATGATAATGCTTGACTTGGGCCTGTCTACATACCTCCGCCTGGGCCACATGATGTCTTCTCTTTAGCACACTCATCGTTTTCATGTGTGGGCAAATGCAAGTCGATGCTGGCTGGGCTATCGACCGTGCACACGATGCGCTCGTTAAAAGGAGTGACGTAGTGGATGACCTTCCAAACATCGTTAGCGGAAGACGTCCTCCGATTCCTCGAGCAAACAGTCTGAACAGGATGCAGAAGACAAGAAATGGTTCCGATGGGGGTGGCAAAGTACCTGGATAGCCCCTGTGACGACCAGTATCATCGGTTGATACGTCAACACAAATGGGTGACTCTGGCCTGCGGAAGTTTCAGTTCCCGTGTACGTCGTAGTCTGTGTATCGCTTCACCAAATGTGTTAGCATCCTCCTGGAAGACATTCACACGCAAGCTGCCCGGCCAAGCTTACGTCCAAGTAAACGCGACACCCGCTCTGGCGCCTAATTTGTCAAGATATTGCTTGAAGCGAGAGAAACCAGGGAGTGTGGATTTCTAACGCATGAGGATCAGTCATCAACCCACAATGTTCCCGTCACAAGCAAATCGAGAACACAACGAAATGCCATACCATATCCGGGCCAATCTGCCCGTTGACGCTCCAACTCGTGGAGACGGAGTACGTGTGGCCTATACTTCCCGGGGGGCAAATCGTCTGACTGAGCTGGTGCACGAAGCCTTTGACCAGGTTATACGAGACATCTCCCACGAACTCAACATCCTTGTGCTGTATAAATTTGTCGCAGGGGTTCTCCTCGGGGACAGTGTAAAAAGGATCGCCCCTAAAATGGTTCGTTGTGTTCTGGTTAGTTGCATGCTGAAAAAAAGATATCTGGGGAAGATCATGATATGCTTACAGCCCTACCAAACTCACTCCCGTTTGCTTTCCATCATCTGATTCCTGCTCTGCTTTGCTTTTTCCTGTTCCCTTTGCACCGGATTTCTGCCCTCCTTTGCCTTTTCCTAATACCTTTCCAGCTGGTTTTGCAGGTGGGAGCGAGTCGCTACCTGATTTGATGACCTTGCCTCCTCTGGCTGCTTCGGCTGCAGTGATGTGCGTTTGAGGATGACCACCCCCTGCTACCGCATTCTGCTGATCCGAAGCAGCGACCTTTTCACCGACATGATGCTCCTTATCCGTCTTCTGCTGATCCGCAGCAGGGACCTTTCCACCGACATGATGCTCCTTATCCGCAGCAGAGACCTTTTCACCAACATGCTGCTCCTTATCCGTTTTACGCGTTGTGGAGTGTTTGCCAGCATCGCCCTTACTCGCAGGTGATTCGTCGTCGGAATCTCTCTTGACAAGCTCGGTCGAAGCGAGAAGACCTTCAATTGCGTTTCGCCCTCTAGGAAAAAGGACTCGGGGCACAGCAGCCGCTCCTGAGCTCGAGTGGCCGAAGGATGATGATGATTCAGGATTCGGCAATGCCTGAACCGAGAAATTCTGAAGCAGAAGGCTGGTGAGAAGCAATACGATCCAGTTGGAAGAAAATGGCGCCATGTTAGCTATTTGAGATGGGGTGGGTAGGTAGTATGAGAAGAAGAAGAAGATGGGGCTTGTGCTATCTCATCAAAGTGTCGACTTGGAAGTCTCGCTCGAATATATATATATATATATATATCATCACCTCATGGTCTCTCAACAACATCGACGCATCACAAGCCCTAAGCAATAGATTTCTCTGCATTCAGCACGTGGCTGCTCTCGTTGGTATCGAAGGAGTCGCTTAAAAAGCTATGCAGATGATCGCTTAGGAACTGGTCAGGCTCAGACTTAATAGCTGGACCTGTCCTTCCACAGGGCCTATAGATCGATGATTATCCCACAATACGACCGCTGGTAAGCCAAGTCCCAAGCTTCCACGGCAGGGCCAACAGTATATGTAACAAGGATGAATTGACTTTGGTTCGACTTCGTATACGGATCTCGATCACGCGCTTTTCGGAGCGATCCTGAAACACGACAGCAGCAGCAGCATAAAAACAACTTTTGGACGGGGATATACGCTTCCACTTCGGTGGGAACGTTCAGCTGATCGTATGCCCTAGGATCCATCTACGGGAAGCCCTGGACGGAACACGTTACACGTTACACACCTATATATCTCGTTATCGATGTAACGTATTTTACCGCCTTGGGCCGAGGCGGCGCCCTTGTCTGATATCTGTGTTGATTCGTTATAGTCTGCTGTAGCGCTGCTGTTGTGAGTCTTGCTGTACTCTTGCGACTCTCCTTTACATCTGCACCTTTATCCCTTGAAAGTATAATTATCAATTGCGAGATTCGTAAGTCACCTAATATCTATAAGTTTTTATAGCGATTAATAATTACCTTCTAAAAGGTAAATTCGTAGAGGAGTTAAGAGGTAGGAGGTAATAGGGCGACACTAGATAGCAGCGGCGATACGTCGATAACGAAGAAGCGGACTTAGCAGAGCCACAGAAATAAGGATATTACGTACAGTTTAGGTATATTACATTCAAGGCTACCCGTAGAACGAATCCTAGGGCTGCGTATAGCCTCGCCCGATCGTATGCGTCGAAAGCTTCCTGTTCACATCGCCCGTCTCGCAGTGTCAGTCACAAAGTATGCCTGGAGCTAGATGCCAGAGTTGAATGTGTAGGAATCGGAGGAAAAAAGTTGTTGTCGAAAATCGAACGTCAAGATCAAACACCGTCTGCCATCCGTTAGGGCCACGTGCTGGCAAGGATGACCTGTTTGCGCATAGATTCCCTCGTGGCCAGGTATCTGTGTGGAGACTCTGGAGAGTAGCTGGTGCCCCTTGCAAAGGCTTCAATGCCCAACCATTAGTTGAGCTTTCTCTCGGTTGGACTGCGGCGATCATGTTCTCGTATTCAATGTATGTGGACCTTCGATACGGGCATGCGTGGGTGCGCACATCCGACGGCGGGATTTTTTGTCCTATCCGTGGCGTACACTGATACTGGAGAATATGCATCGACAGTGCCACAGGATGGCGCTTCCCCTGATGAAGGGGCTATGCACCTACCTGTGATCCATCATGTGCGGGCTGTGTTGCATGAACGAGTACGCACAAGTTCGTTCTATAAGCACGGCCAGGTCAGAAGCATATCGGGCGCCAGCGATGTCGCTCACTGGGAAGTGAAGCGAGAGTTGTTGGAACAAGAAAGTTAAGTCGGAGGTTGGTAGAGCTGCAGGTAAAAGTGAAGTGAAGTCTGGAACCGGAGTGAGGTCCATCGGCACGGGGCGATCCTAGCTCATGGGTGCATCCTGGTGCTTGGTAACACCCGATGCCATGCAAAGAGTCTTTTTGGGTCGTGCACGTCGCACAAAGGCAGCTCGCTTGCGCCATTTCGCATCGCAGCTCCGTCTCACACTGCCACGCTGCGCATCTCTCCCTTCTTACTGGACCATCGGATCCAGCAGCTTTCCTGCTATTGACTTTACCGACGACGACCTGCTGCGCGACGCGGACGAGCAGAGCTTATTAGGCCCCGTCTTCTGTAAAAACCGCTCTGCGGTTTTCGTATATTTACCCCGCTATAGGAGGTAATTACTGATGCTGTCTTCTTAGGAATTCTCACCGACTTGACGCTTTTCCCCCGTACCTCGCTGCTCGCTAACGTACGCTTTACTAAAAGCGAGCTCGCTGTCGCTACTCCGCCACTATCCTAGGTCAGTTAACGCACAGACAGGGCCTATACTCGTAAAAGCACTCGACGAGTTGGTTTCGGGGCATGTACTTTGTCAAAAGGATGGCGATCTCGTCTTGACAGATCCTTGAGTTGTTTGAGAGCCTCCATCTTGTCTGCTAATATGCGGAAGGTGCCATAACCTGATGCCTGAATTACTGTAAAGGACGGTCGTTCAGTCTCCAGTCCCTTTCTTTTGGAGAACGGAGTGCTCATATGCACCGTGCAGGGATCTAGTGCTCGCTGACCGCCCATTTTTCCGTCGTAGATGCTGCGCGTGTTGCTCTCTGATACCAGCGGGAGGAGATGTGCTGTGGTCCGCTCCATAGATGATGAGTGATACCTATCGACGCAGTCCGCAGGTGCTTCGAGGCAATTCCTGCAAGTCCCAGCCGCCGGGAGATGCAATTCCAAGCGATGGAAGAGATGGTAATTGCGCGTGTATGCTTCTATTATAGCGAGCAGGCTTTACTCTTTTGACTTGGGCGTAAGCTAGAGTGAACTACACGTCGGCTGCGATATGCCAACCATGCAGGTAGCTTCCAGGACCGGCTAGCGCTTTCCGCCTTTCTGTCTCGCAGGTCGATGCCTGGTAACTTAGGTACCAGCAAGCCTGCCATACCGGTGATGACTTCAACATTCAACTTCAGCCCTCTCTGCTGGAAGGTGAAGGGGTGAGTCTGTGGGAGCCTGAGAGGGGATTAAGTTTGCGTATGGGTAATATCAACGTTACGAGACCACGGCGGCGTTCCGCTAGAGGTAGATGACATCTTTGGGGACGTCGATTTGACTGTCAGCTGGATACTGTATTAGCTGTAACTTGGAAAGATATGATGCTGCATCACTTCGTAACTACTTGTCCCAGGAGAGGAATCAAAAAAGGCCCGCTAACAAGACCGTCTCCAAACGCGCTCGCTCACAAAAACTTGCACCCGTAATCAAAAGCTGCCTCTCCTCCTCTTCATGTTCCTGCCATCTCACACCAGCGAAAAGTACCTCTCCTTCTCTCTTCCTCGTCCCTCTCGTCTCTCACATCTGCGACAGCAGTCCAAACTGCTTCTCTTCCTCACCTTCCTATCCCTTTCACATCCCTTCTCCCGCCTCCCCTCACCAAGCATTCCGATCCCAGTTCGGATCCTGCACAAACGCGCCGAGAACTCTACTCCCCGTCTGCAGCAACGGATGTCCGACGACAATCTTCAAAAACCGCTCCAAACCCCTCCTGCGATCCTCAATGACACTATCATCAAAGCGATTGATGTACACCTTCCCCGGCAACGGCGGGATACTGACGCGGGCCGACTCGCGCTCGAGGAGATCGCGAAACACCTCAAAATCCGAGTATCGTCGTCGCACTTCGGAGCGGCGCAGTTTGAAGGCGGGAATGTTGGTGGAGAGGCGGATGAGGTAGGTAGTGTAGCGGCTGTTGGGCGACGAGGTGGGTTGGATAGTCAGAGGGTCGGTGACTTCGATTTCGAGAAAGTTTTCGGGCACGCCGTAGATTTCTTCAAAGGATTGCGTGTGGGTTTCGCGGCCGGTGCTGGCGAAGCCGGAGGGGAGAGTCCAGCCTCCGCGCTGCTCGAGAGCGGTTGGAGTGTTGTTTTGCGGTGCTGAGGACGAATCTTGTGAGGGAGGGACGGGGTCTGCTCGAGGCTCGATGCGCTGCATGGTGGTGAAGTTGCGCTTGGTACTCGAATGAGTGGTGAGCTTGGTGTGTGTGGTGAGAGACGAGCGAGATTATGGGAAGTCGTATGGTGTAGTGTGGTCCGGTGTGGTATGGTATTGTACGGTGTGGTATGGTGGGGTGTGGTATGGTGTGGTATGGTTGACTGTTGTCCCTGTTTATGCTGTTCTCCCGCCAGGAAAGTCAATCCGATATGTCATCGACTGCGCCGCGGGAGGTGGCGCAGTGAGCGGGGTGTCGCGTGCTTCCTTCTACTTTCGATAAACAATACGGCCCGCATTCCTTTTCCAAGCAAACAATAAACCGATCGGGATAAGATGGTTTTCGGGCTGCCCAGGGGCCCCTGGGAGGTCGGGAGTCCCCGTAGCGGTATGAAAGAGATTGATTCACCTCGCTATACATATAGAACGTGCACGGAGAGGTACAACAACAGCAGCAAGACTCAGATAGTCAGAAGAAGCCCACCGCGGAGCAGGTCTGTGACATGTTCACATTTCACGCCCTTAAAGAGAACTGTCCGTACAGTCTAGTACCCAACACCAGACTCAGCCTACTTGCGATACAATCTACTTGAGAAGACGCACTGCACGACGACAAGCCTGGATATGATCATGGAAGTATTCTGCGGCGGATGGCTTCAGCTGTTCCCAAGACTGGCCTTGGAGGCTGCTACCAGATCACGAAAGGTTTGTTCCCTAAGGTACCTTGGGCTTGGCTGGACACTACTATACCTCCCTTGATACAGATACATATACACGGCCACGGAGTGCTAGCTGGCTTCATCAATGCGGCCCTAAGGTATCAGACGACAGACGCGCATTCACTCTCAAGCAACGAGACAGCCTGGAGAGCTGCCGAGATTCTGCTCCACGACCCGTTGATCTCCTCCATGATTGCCCTGGATATTACCTTCAGGTTAGTGATAATATGATGAAGCGTCGAACGCCGATTGTGTGAACCTGCCGCAATTTACATAGATTGGATCTATGGACTGAACCACGAACTGTCTCTCAGTATATGTCCAGAGGCAGGCTGTTTACGACAAGTACCATCCTCTGGTACTTTCTCTGCCCGGTGAATCCTTTCGCACGGTGTCACCGTGTAGGGGAAGCACTATGATTCCAGCTCCAAAGTGTTTCCTCCTCGCTTTCTCCGCTTCTGGCACGGAGGGTGCAAGCAATACAGAGAGCCAGGAGAGATGCTGACATGCTGCTTCCGAGGCACAGAAGCACCGTGCTTAGTGCCTCCTCGTAGTAAATCATGACCAGACGTAGAGTGAGCAAAAGACGACGACGACGAGTCTCTAACAGCACAGACATATACATCGATGGCTCAAGTCGGATACGCATTCCCTTTGCGAGTGCATCGACCAGGGTACCTCCCAAGGCAAGATAATAATGCGTTCATTCTCACAGGAAGAGCGGGCTGGCAATTTTTTGAACCATCTCTGATCTAGCCGGATCCTCCCACCTAATCACACGCCAAGGATACCACGAAAGCTACTTGCTTGCACGAATCAGACACGCAGCAGATATAAGCAATCCTCATCATCGCCTGTACAGGATCGGAAGATTACTTTGAAGTTAAAATTTGGCGCTCCGTGGATCAGTACCATGGCCGTCATGATGGACTACCTGTCACAGTCAGGCCATGGGAGCATCATTCACAGCCGGATCAATGGGCAGTGAATGGGTCATTTGTGGCCGGTTCGCCCACTGTAATGCAACGCCGCACGCAGCCGCCAGCTCCGGAGCTTCCACTTGTTTCTTCGCTGAGCAACGTCTGGGATTTTTCTTGCGTTTATAAACCGACAGAGAGCCTTGAAACCTCGCTTCCATTCCTACTCCCGCCGCTCATTCTCACTACAGTCACTCATTCCCACTACAGTCACTCATTTCTACTACAATAACTCGTAGCAATATAGCGACTTGTATTATACAACAACTTGTATTGTACAACAACTGGTGCCCATACACCAACTAGTGCCCATACAACAACTTGCACATTACCCATACAGCAACTTGTGCCCACACAAGTTGATCCTCAAGAATGGACGGGCTTGATCATATCGAGTGAGTAACCCTAGAGAAACCTTTGATCCAACCCATGCTGACGCGCAATGAATAGAAGGCGGCCATCGCGAAGTAATGAGCCCCATAGCAAACGTCGCAAATTGATGAATCTTCCCAAAATCATCACGTCCATCATGCCGAGATTCAAGCGCAGCAAGACTACAGAAACAATGCCGCAAAGCGAGTTGATTGAACCGCTTCCAATAGCACGACATGACTGCAGTGCCACTGGCGCAGATTGTATACCTGGACCGAGTTCGCCATCGAACAGAAACAGAAGCAGCGTGAGTGGCTACCACTATGATGCCACCACTGGAGTTGCACAGTTCCGGGAGCCACGCGAATCGGAGAGTTCAGGTCCGTTCTCTCCCTATGGGTCCTCTACGAATAACGGCCGGATCAGTGACTATGGGACTCCGGGAACGACTCCAGACAGAAGCGAATTCGCGCCTCGACCAGGCGTGCTACCAAGTACGTCTTCCTGTGGGGAGAGCTTGCCCTGGAACCGGGGATCGCAGAATGAGCCGTTCCCAATGTATCATCCTCGAACGTCCAACAGCACTGCAGCGCAATCCGTTCGAGTCTCCGGTCAAGAGGTCGGGCCAGAGCTGACTGGGGAAGAGCAGCAGCAGCAGCAGCCGAGGGAAAGCATGGACGCGACAGAGCCATCATCGAGCTATCTGCCTTCCAGATGGTGGCCCAGAGCCGACAAGGGGAAAGCAAAGGTTCGTGACGACGACCCCACTATCGATGGGAAACTCTCACAGACGAAAGAGAGCAAAAAGAGCTTTCATATGCTTCCCCCCGATCAAGACTCTGTTGCAGATCCAGCTTCAGGAGCTTCGTTACCTCCCCACCTGACCGACCATGGACATAATGCGTGGAGACTCCCGTCGCCGCAGGAGAGAAGAAACATCCGCGAGATCATGGGGTCAGGACTCAGGAGATTCAGCTGGTCCAATACCCCCAAACGCAGACATTCTCCGCCCGCCGAGCAGGTTGGACCTGGCGATGAGTCCATTATGGAGGTAGAGCCCTTGGTGCCGCCACAAGAGAGTACTCCCTCGCAAGGACGAAAATTCTTTCGAATGTCCAGGGATGCTGCTGCATCCTCCTCTTCTGATCAATTGAATATGCGAGCAATCACAGCTTCCCTGTCGGCTGCCGGACAGCAAGCGCAGATGGTCCGTGATTCGAGTGTATGTCTCTAGGACATTCCGGCTGTGTGAGATCATTTCTGACCTGATCTCAGGCTCTCATTTCGAGTGGTAGCGATGGACCGAGCGACTGTATCTCCGATTCATCCTCTGCGTCATTACGCGCCGAACACCGCGAAGACATCTCTCTCTACGAAGATGTCCAACCTTTAGAAGACGACTACTCCCAACACCTTCAAGCAGCGAGTTTCGCAAAGAGATTCTGCAGTAATGAGCGACCAGAGCAGAAAATCGGCCCAGAGTCAAATTTGGCATATTCTTCTTCTCTGCAGAATCTCAGAGACTGCGCTGCCGACGGCGGAATCAACATACCAGACGGCAGATCGCGGAGATGGGAAATGTATCAATCCTATCCTAGTCACTTTGGAGGAAGCGGGAGGCTAGCCCGAATCTGTGCCAGTCCGAGAGGTGGTGCTCCGCAGCAGCGGGAGGAGATGAGAGATGCGGACGAGGAGATGGAGTTGCTGATTGAGGGACGCTCGTGGAATGAGAGGTATAAGAAGTTTGGGATGAATAGTGTGTAATGTGTGTAATAGAAATAAGATAGTAATAGTAGTAATAATGGTGGAATAACTAGAATAATCCGTAGCGGCGTAGCGGCGTAGCTACCTACGGTATTAGGTACCTAGGTAGTTGATAAGGTACAAGCTTTCGGGAGGAGTCGAACCGCGGAGGAGCTCACTGCATCTCGGTTGAACTCTCTCCGCAATACAAGTCTACTCCACGACCGACGATGCGGAGGTACGTAGCTCACAACGAGGGGTACAGCATTTATCAATCCAGATATGAATAATGACTCGCCCTCCCATCTTTTGTCCCTATACCGTTGAATAGTCATTTTCGATTGTTCAGATTATTATTATTATTGATCTGAATCTCTTCTCATCTCCATCCCCCAAATTGATCCCAACTTGAATAAAAATGGCCTCCAGCATCCCCAAATTCTCCGACCTTCCACTAGATAAGAATGGACCTCATCACAACGCTTGGGGACTGTAAGTCCCCACCAAAAAAAAACAAAAAAAAAACCGCCCCAAAACTAATCACCCCTCTCCCAAAAAGCTACGGACCCAACGACCAACTCGGCACCCTAAACCGCCTCACAGACACCCTCGTCCGCACCTCCGCCTCTCGCGAAATCCTCACAGGTGTCCGCATCAATCTCGACTGGCCCTTGGACGCGCAATCGGACGTCCCACTGTTTAATCGACAACCGTTTCGTCAAGACATGTATCAGAAACCTCCGAGGATCGTGAATGATGATGTTTGGACGTTTAATACGCAGTCGTCGTCGCAGTGGGATGGACTGAGACATTTTGGGTATCAGAGGGAAGAGGTGTTTTATGGTGGGGTTACGTTGGGGGAGATTCATGGGGAGGGGGAGAAAGAAGAGAAGGAGGGGGAGGAGGGGAAGGGGAAAGTGAAGGTAGAGAAGAATGGAATTGGAGCATGGGCGGAAAAAGGAATAGTAGGAAGAGGGATATTATTAGATTATCATCGCTGGAGAATACTACAAAATGCCAAAAAACAAGAAGAGGGCAAGTCAGAAGAAGAAATGATCCCCCACAACGCCTTCTCAACAGCCAGTATCCCCACCTCCACTCTCCTCCAAATCGCCCAGGACCAAAACACCCAAATCCACTTCGGCGACATCCTCCTAATCCGCACAGGTTACTTCCTCGCCTACCACGCCCTCACGCGCTCCGAAATCCAAACCATGCGCTCCAAACAACCGCCAACATTCACAGGCGTCGAACAATCCTCGTCGATGATGGAATTTTTGTGGTCGAATTTTAGTGCCTGTGCAGCCGATCATCCGAGTTGGGAGGCGTGGCCTACGCAAAAGGAGTATTCGCTGCACGAGGTCATGTTGGCGGGTTGGGGGATGCCGATTGGAGAGTTGTGGGATTTGGAGGCGTTGGCGAGGCATTGTGAGGAGGTGGGGAGATGGAGCTTTTTTTTGGTGTCGAAGCCGAATTATGTTCCGGGGGGAGTGGCCAGTCCGCCGAATGTTTTGGCGATTTTTTGATGAGGGTGGATGGAGGTGATTGGAAAGGGGGGGAATGGGAATTATTTGTGTCGATTTCTTCTTATAAACATGCTGTTGTTTCACATGTTCGTCCAATTGATACTGATACGTTGTGAAGGAGTACACCATCACCCCCGTCTGAGGTAATCAAAACAGAGTAAAAGAATTCCATATCGACATCCCCGCCGATTGTTGTTCAAAGCGGTTTGGTTCGTCCAGAAGGGGGATGAAACTCGTTCGCAAGACGGTAACGAGCAACTGGTTTGTAATTTTCTTCTTCTTCTTCTTCTTCTTCTTCTTCTTCCTCTATCATCGAGATTGAGATTGTGCTATTGTCGTCCTTTGGCATCATCGTCATCCATGAGCATGAACTCGAGGCAAAGGGGTAAGTAGAGAGAGAGAGATATGCGCTAGACGAGCGGGCGGGGGTTGGACATGCTGGACTGAGCTGGGCTGGATTGTAGAGAATCATTGCTTTGGGCGCCAACGAGATTGTGAGGAAGGGGTGAAAGGGGGAAAGCAGTATTTGCGGAGCTAAAGGAGGGCTATCCATAGATACGCATGCTCCTATGACTACCCTGTTTGTTTGGTAACGTTATCCAGCATAGGCCAAAGTAGTAATCGTTCCATCGTGGACGCAATAAAAGAACCTCGTCGACTAAGAAGAAGTGACGAAATGTGTACATTCAATAGTCCACCAATGCGATGCTATCAATTCTCAAGCCGCTTGCAAGCGCAATTGTCCCGCGACTCGATGAGCACCAAGATAGTCAAACAGGGCAATCAGATTAGCAATGCGATGCGTTTCCAGGCCGGGATAGCCAAAGCGTCGCGCGAGAAGTTCGTCTCGAAGGGCAAAGACGTAGGGTGCCCGGCCAGGCAACAGATTATATGCCATCATGATACGTCGGAGTTCCGCATTGCTCATTTGGAGAAGATCGTGGACATGTCTCCGATCAGTAAAGCCGGGAGGACATGAGCCTGTGGGACCGAGCATGGGCTGTACATAGACCAGAGTGCTGGGATGCCACATGATGGCTCCATTGGCGATGGCGGCTTTAAGATTGGCGCTGTACACGGCTGGTCAGACTGCTCCTATATCGGACGGGCATGTACTGTTGTTTGCATAAGGTATGTACCGTTGTATCATGCGATCGGTATACCACCTCGCGCCGCTCTGTTCCAGGTAGATTTGGCGGATGCGCTGCTGCCAAGCTGCATCTCCTGCATACCAGTCCGAGGTAGGGTCGGTGTAGGACGCGGTACGATAGTTGCCATAGCCGTAAGATGAGGTGTTCGGAGGAATGGCAATGTTGAATCCATAGTGTATCGTAGCTGCGGATCGGTATTGAGCCTCGTCCATGAAGACATGGGGCCGAAGTGACATTGTTGCGATAGCAATAAATGCGGCGTGCTGGACCAAGTCGGAGACGATGACAGTTTTGATGGGCCTCACCGGACAGGCGGCATCACGCTCAGCGCAATGCACAGCTCCGAGTCGGACATACTGCTCGATCACGAGACGAGGTCGTGGTCTGCAGCAGCGGAATTGCTCATCCGGGAGATTACGACGTTGCTCCATACAGGGAGAGGGCTCATCATGCACCGAGCCGTGGGAGTCGGATCCGGAGAGCGCGGTGCAACAGAGGCTGACATGACCTCACGATGGTTGCTCGACGATAGGTGCACATGAGCCAAGACTTTCTCCTCGACTGGTCATGCCTCATGCCTAGCGGTGAGTGGGAGCCTCGTGAGCGATCTGCAAACGTTTGTGAGGGACACACTCCTGGCGATGGAGATGAAGCATGATTACTATTATTACAAAGACGACGCAGGCCACTGAAGGAGTAAGGAGGACGAGGAAGAGTCGGAGGAGGAGGAGGAGGAGGAGGAGACTCGGAGACAACAAGGTATGTTCGAGACAATGGACGTCCCAGCCAGGTCGTTGCCACGCTATTGCCGCGCTGTTCCCAAGAGCGCTGTCTCGTGCAGTACCGTACAGTACTCGACCATTACCAGCGTTCCCCGATCAGCTGGAGACAATGTTCATCCTTGGGAGAAGAAGGCGACCATGTGTGACTGTGCGTTGCCGCCATCTCGCGAGCGTGACCGGAGCATCTCAGTCATCTGGTGGAGGTCGTCGTCGTGCACAGTACCGACGATGATGATTTCCAGGAGATGCCGATGGAGGCTGATGGTCGGCGGTACTTCCATCTCACTCTCGTAATTTCGAGGGCGCACGAGGTGAATTCTGCGAGATGAAGCTGAGTTGCCGCTTGTGTCCACTAGGACGGGCAGTGAGAGACGGTGCTCGCGGTCGCTGCTTTCCACGTGCTCGACCGCCGATATATGGGATCCGCCAGGTTGCGGTGCGCCAGATGTAGAGCAGAATGTCGTAGAGGATAAAGGCCAGCCACGGCCCGATTACCAGGAGCGCGAACATCAGCTATACACACACACACGATATCACCATACTCGTCAGCCTTTCGAGGTGACGGTGACGGAGAGAGAGAGAGAGGTTGCACGGCATCGAGTGCTGCCACGAGAAGTACTCACTGCACATCGACTGATCCAGAGCTCGACCGTCTGCAGACTTTCGGGGAGAATGGAAAAGACTCCCATGGCCGATGATGCAGATAGAGGGGAGAATGGATATGGGTAGTCTGGACACGGAAATGGAGCGAATGTCGTTGTTGATGTTGTTGTTGTTGTCGTTGTTATAAGCGTAAGAAGACGAGTTGTTGTGGTGGTTGTACAGTCAGCATTGGCACAAATTGGTTGACAAGCTCTCAACGGCGTCATGATTAATTTCATGCATCAAACAGGCGAATGCCGATGGAACCAGCCTCTCGTCACGGATCAGCCAATGATATCTTGAATACCTCTCCCTCCCCTTTGCAACAATCAAAACCCTCTCTTCGTCAAATATCAATTAAGAACACACACAGCCACCATAGACTTCCAACTCACCAGCATCGCCAAGACCACCAAATCAATCCGACCAGACCAGACCAGACCCTAAACGCCAATCAAACCTCATCAGATTCAGCGCAGTAGACTATGTATACCTATGCATAACACGAGAAGGAGAAAGGAGAACGGAAAGAGGTTTTTTATTCCCACCGAAGCAAAAGAATACCAATGTAAGTACAGTAGTGGACTCTCTGTCTCGGAGGAATTCTACGCCAAAGAGAGAAGTGATAATGAATATCCAAAAAAGAAAAATCTCTTCTTGTCTCATTGATAAAACCAGCTTTTTCGGACTCCGGTAATCGGTCGGTTCCCCACACCAACTACTAACATGTAGGTACATTAGTTCTGACCATTATTATATTTCATTTTCGAGTGCGGAACTGCGAAAGTGCGAAAAGCGAGCGAAAGATACCTATCTAAACTCATATTTGCTAGCACGGTAGAAAAGCAGAAGAATCGGCACTACCTAGAATCGGCTTTTTCGAGTGATGTATATACTACCAACAGCTTGTTCTCCTAGAGAAAAAGAGAGAATCACTGATAAAAAGCAAGCTCCATGTAAAAGGTAAGGTATAGATAGCTTTGCATAGCATCACGGACTTTCGGCATCGAGCTACCTCCCTCCCTCCCACACTAATAGGCTATAGGCTATAGACTAGGTGCTGAGGTAGGTAGGCTACCTACCTTACATGATAGCTACTGGGCCATATTCGGCTCAACGGCACTTGGAGTGTGATCGAGTTACCTATCATTCGCATATACGGGTTGCATATCGTCGACATATATTTGTTGTTTTTCTGTGTCTCTCGTACTTTCTCACTCACTCACTGTTTTTGCCTTCACTTGTTCTGTTCTGCAATAGAGTTGTACTTGGTCTGTGATAGAATCATGCGTACCACATCCCCTGCTGCTGCTGTTACTGCTGCCGGTCCTGGTCCCGGTCCTGGTCCTGGTCCTCCTTGTCGCGATTCCATTGCAGATCGAAGCGAAATTGATTCACTTCACGTCGAGACTACTACAAGAAGAAATGTTGATGAGCATGGCAATGTACGACCACTTCAAGATGATACAGACACGCAGTTACCTGGCAAGACAGAAACGACGACGACGACGACGACAACAACAACAGCCCTACCCATCAGCCATGAAAACTCCTCCTCCTCCGCTTCCATCTCGGATTCCTCCCAAGAAAACAACAACAAAAAATCAAGAATCCAAACCCATCTCCTCATCCCAATCTACCGCACTCTCACCTACATCCCCCCCTCCTGCCGCTGGAACCCCTCCTCTCCGCCCAAATTCTCCCTCTCCTTAAACATCCTCTTCGCCTTCGCCGGAGCCTTCACCGTCGCAAATCTCTACTACTCACACCCCATCCTCAACATCCTCGCCACCGACTTCCACGTCGACTACACTCGAATTTCTCAAATCCCCACCTTAGCGCAAGCAGGTTATGCCGCCGGATTATTATTTCTCTGTCCGCTGGGAGACATTTTACCCCGACGACCCTTTGTTCTGACTTTGGTGTTTGCGACTGCGACGCTGTGTATCGCCATGGCAGTAACAAAGTCTGTGACGGTGTTTAGTACGATTCAATTTCTCACGGCTGTCACGACGGTTACGCCGCAGCTCATGATGCCTTTGGTGGGAGATTTGGCGCCTCCGGGACAGAGGGCGTTTGCGTTGTCGATTGTGTCGACGGGATTGTCTTTGGGGATTTTACTGGCGAGGTTGTTGGCGGGGATTGTCACGCAGTATACTTCTTGGCGCAATATTTATTGGATGAGTGTCGGGTTGCAATATCTCATTTTTGGGAGTTTGTGGTGCTGTATGCCGGATTATCCCAGCACGAATGCGGATTTGCGGTACGGAGAGGTTTTGTGGTCGATTGTGGGTATGGTGGGGAAATATCCGGTGTTGGTGCAGGCGTGTTTGGTGTCGTTTTGTACGAGTGCGACTTTTACGAATTTTTGGACGACGTTGACCTTTTTGCTGGCGGGCGAGCCTTATCATTACTCGCCCGTCGTTATTGGGCTATTTGCGCTCATTGGCATCTGTGCCATGCTGATGGGGCCGGTGTATGCCAAGTATGTCACCGATCGCTTCGTGCCGCTCTTCACTGTGCTACTGGGCATGTGTTGGTGCATGATTGGCATTACCGTGGGCACGTACACAGGCACCTTCACCGTCGTGGGACCCATTTTGCAAGCACTCTTCAACGACTTTGGCTCGCAGTCGAGTCAAATTGCCAACCGCAGCAGCATCTTTACTGTCGAACCCAAGGGACGCAACCGGGTCAACACCGCATACATGGTATTTACCTTTGCCGGACAGTTGACGGGCACGAGTGTCGGCGCGAGTTTGTATGAGCGCAAAGGCTGGGTGGCGAGCGGGAGTTTTAGTGTCGCGAGCATTGCTGTTGCACTTCTGGTAACGCTCTCGCGAGGACCGTGGGAAGAGGGGTGGATTGGATGGCATGGCGGGTGGAGTATCTGGAAAAAAGACCGTTCCAGTGCGGATGGTAAGGTGCGCGAAGAAGATCCTGCTAGCCTTGCGCAGTCATCTGTGAATGACGAGGAGAGTACTACGGGCATGGAACGTGACGGCAGAGGAGACGACCAAGGAATGGTTCATGCGGTTGATGCAGAGAAGAGTATAGAATGGAGTGCGGCGAACATGGACACAGCCGACAGTATACATGAGAAGCGATCTTCGAGATCAGGGCACGACGATGTCGATACGATGTCCAAGCAATGATAATGATGATCAATTTGCATTCACGAAATAGCATGCCATCACGCCATCACTCCATACTCCCCCCCTATTCACGCTGTTTCGTGTCAAGTACAATGCGTGGGAAGAGATCAATTCTGATGGCAATGTGTGAGTGCTGCCTAAATTCTCCCTCTAGCCGGTTCTGTTCACTTCTTCACTGTCGTTCGCTTGAATCTGTGCATATAAGACCATCTGCCTTGACTGCAAAGAATCGTGGCCGCAACCATTCAGCCCACCACAGACGCGTGCCTTCCGCAGCAGGGAGTCATTCGACTACTACATCGTACTCCAAAGACACGCGCGTCGGACAATCCAGACGTCCCTTATTGATGTACTGCATTGCGTTGCCAGTCTGATATCACGCCACACCGACCGCACACCATCGTCACTGCCACAACACTCGCAACATGTGTCGCACCCAAACCTCCATCTACAGCTGCGGCCACAGCATGGAAGTTGAAGAGCACTGCCTGGCATACATTGGGTCCAATGGTCAACGCTGCAAATACCCGTCGAGCTCCGAGAATCGTGTCGAGAATTATTGTCCAGACTGCTCCCAGTGGAAGGGTGCCAAGAGGCGACCACCAAGACAGAAATCAGTCAACGAATTGGCGATTATGGTTCCGGAGCGAAAGCACGTCCAGCAGGATCCGAATTGCGGGAATCCCAAATCTGCCGAGGGAGGAGCGCGAGATCGATGTGATGCAATGTAGAGCTGGCGGCCAATCGCACGCCACTGGGAAGATGGCATAGCATGAGCATGGCAGCTTCTGCTCCTACAGAAGACTCTTCGCCGACACCTCATCGAGGACTCGCGCTCGTCGTGCTGCGAGTGCTAGTGCTCCAAGCGGCAGGCCTCAATTCAGTGTCGAGTGCAGTCTCCATCTTTTCGCCTCTCTTCTTGTGCAGCTCTTTCAGTTTCTTTTCTGTCCGCATAAATTCTCTGATGCCAATCGGTACACCGGCAAAAGGATCATCCTCCACCCCACCAGCACCTCCCTCTATCACTGCAGCAACTTGCTCAGGGATAGCGTCGTTCCATAACGTCTCGCTGCCTCCTCCATCATCGTCCATACTGATCGCCACATGGTTGGGTGCGTCTGATTCTGCAGACATGAGGCCTGTAGCCTGTCCTTGCAGCCGCTGAATATTTTGAGCCGTCTTGGCCTCCTTCATCTTCAGAGCATACTCTTCCAATTCCTCGCGAAAGCGTTCCCAGACGCAGTTCACGCAGCCGGACATGCAGCAATTATCGGGCTCCTCCGGTTTGGGCGGGATCAACACACCAGCAATCATGCGAGACTTGCTCTCCATGAGGCGTTTGCGTTCTAGAGCATCACGTTCGCGATCGCCAAAGACGCGCTTCGCTCGAGCCAGAGTGGAGTTTTCGTCATCTTGCTTCTCCACCTCTTTTGCCGTCATAGGATAGAGGTCTTCCGGCGAAGGGTCGGCGTATGGACGGTCGACATGTTGACGCTCGCCATGGAGAGGTGCATCGAGGGCATCGATCTCATAGCCGGGATATGGAGAAGAAGTATTTGCTTTGTCGTTGCGGCGAGTGGTGTGTGCGATGCGGCGCGTCTGGAGCCGTGGCCGTGGACATGAGGCTCGAGAGGCTGTGGTTCTGGCAGCGGAAGCAGGGAGATTTCGTCGTGTGAAAGCAGAGGATATGCGCAGCGCCGGTCGCATTGTTGTCCGTCAGCGTCAAGACATCGAGGAAGAACAGACTTCCAGTTGTCGTTCTCTGCACTGCCATGTGCCCATACCAATGACGTAGATCAAGATCCGATGTCGGTCTCCCTAGATTTCCCACGCTTGCTCAACCAAGGTACCTATACCTAAGGTACCTAATAAGGTACGTACATTACATCTTCATACAGGCTATCATCACATCCTATACCTTAGGGTTCCTCAAGGCAGCATAGGACGTGGTTAGCAAGTCCCAATCCAGGACGAAATTGTACTATAATCACTAGGGAAGAATACATAATTCACAGTCGATAACGACAAGGCAACCAGATTGATGGAGTAATGTAGGTTCCGAATCCCACCGAACAGCTGGCCACACTCCTATACAATCAAGACAACAAGCCAAAATGAAAGCCCTTTGCTGATCTTGGGGTTGAGTGCGTCGTCAGATCTTTCCTCGCAGGCAAAATTTGTTGCTGGAACGCCATGTACTGTACGAGCAGTGCCTTGCACTTCACTGCTACAATAAAAGCTGCTTGGGGCTTCACTGCTCTGGCAGTTGTGAATGCAAGATACTGCGCCCTGGGACTCCCTTCTGAACTTCGGGTCGTGCACTTTTTGCAATTATCAAAAATGAAATCAAGGCACTCGCTGCAGAAGGCTGTTTGCACGATCAGCACAACCTGTAAGCGCTTCTCTTGCATGGTCTTTACCTGGATACAATGCAACAACCTCCCATATCAACCAAACCATCCTTTCCCTGATTGTCTCTTCTGCTCGGCCCTCTCCTCCATCTGTTCCCACAAGGGTACTTGTCAGCTTACATCCCCCGTTACCACTACTATGACTTCAAACTTACCCATTGTTTCTTACAAGCTTTATACGCACTACAAAATTTCGCCATCACTTTGGTATCAGCCTTGCACAATAGTAGTTGTAGTACAAGAAGTGGGCAACGTGTGGTTGGATAGAGAGAGAGAGAGAGAGAAAGAGAGAGACCAACTCAAAGTAATCCTGACACATCATCCTATCCCCCCCATTCCTCCTCAGACATTTCAAACTTCGATTCGCAGCATCTTGGCAAGGATCAAAGTATTCACTGTAGCGTTTACTGTATCGGCGGGAAAGAAATAGAGAAAAAAAAAGCGAGTTAGCAAGCGCAAAAGAAGACCAGAGGTAAAGAGATCTGCTAGAGAACGAACGAAGAATGCGAACAGGGTTCGCTTTCAGGGCCCGCCTCTGTAGTGGTGGCGGCGAATTACATTACTTACTTACCTTTCAAATCGGGAGGAGCTTTTATTCCATTCGGTCTTTTCTTCGTTGGGACTTGTTTCGTCGCCGGCGGGGGTGCCTCCTGAGAGATTTGACATGGTTGGGTCGTTTCGATCAGAGTGGATGAATTCGAGAGTGTGATGAGTGGCGGAGATGGATGGAAGTGAAGAATACGGAGCGGAGCGAGGTTGTGGTGATGCATGGTTCTACAAGAGGTCTAGCGCCGGCAAGGCCCGAGAGACGCCCCATATAAACTTTTGCTCCAAACAACAACACATGTGGCCAACTGCCAGAGCGAAAAGAATACAAGGTGGCACCACTTTTGCCGCAAAGGTGCTGGACGACCACTCCGAGGAAAATCGAGTCGAAGCAAACGAACCTTCAATCCTTACTTACCCTTACCACAAGAGCTTCCCGACACCGTTCTTATAAGAAATGCTAGTGCCAAAAGGCGCGCATCATGCCGAACAGATCATCGACACCTGGCGCTCAAAACGTTGAGAGGCGTCTGTTAATGACTGCATCGCCGGCCAATGGAAAGACAGTCGTTGCTTCAGCACCAGCGGCCGACTCCCACCCTCCTGTTGGCGGGGAGAACGACGACGTCGTGTTCGTGGCTTGCCCCTGTGCCAAAGCAACCAGCAAAGCTACGGCGAGGTGAGCTCCGAGTCGAGAGCTTGTTTGTCTCAGCATCGTCTTGAAATATGTATCCAAAACTGACGATATCAATCTTTCTGTGGGTCTTGGGTGTCTTATGACCTCTTCACGGCGAAACTCCAGCAGCTGCATGTACCGCAACTCCGGGCTATAAGTTCTGTAGTCACGCCTGTCATCCGGATCCCGTGCTACATTACAGCCTGTGTAATAGCCCAATGAGGATATCGATCTACGCTACGGTAGGTCGCATTGATTGCAACGAATGGCGAGCGGCTTACGACAACAACAACGACCGCCCAAATTCGCATGCCAAGGGAGTTACTGCTGAAGCATTGCATTATTTTCGATGGTTGGTCAAGCCGAATTGCGATGTGAAAGCAGGTGCAGATAGTTCGTACTTCAGTCTTGATATTGCTCTATAGTACATAATCGTCTTATTGCATCCATCTGCACTGTATCCAGCTGTGTTGGGGACAATCTACTTATCGAAATACAACCAGGTACTTCTTACCCTGGAGGAAAAAATTTCTTACTTAGATTACTCGATCCCAGCCAATGAGTCTGGCAATGCTAAAGGTGCATGGTTTTGAGTGTTTGATGGCTGAATTGGCGATACATCGTGTTGAGAGGTGATGTTCGCCTATATATCCACCATTGATTACTAAGCATCATCTCTTGGCAAGGTGCAAGTTCAACCTCCAGCGTCGGAGGTTAAACAACATTCTTCTCATCAGAAACATCCATGGCCGACACCAACACCACCAACACCGATGTCTTCGAAGACATACTCAATCTCGAAGACCAATACTATCGCGAGGGCTACGCTCTCGGTGTAGCAGATGGTTCCCAGTCCGGACGCATCGAAGGCCGCATTTTCGGGCTCCAAAAAGGGTTCGAAAAGTTCTTGGAAATGGGCAAGCTGAATGGCAGAGCTGCGGTGTGGGAAGCACGACTCCCTGGCAACATGTCTTCTGCGACCACCAGCAGCTCCGAGGTGCGCCCGTTGAGTGGCAACGAACGTCTTCGAAAACATGTCGAACGACTCGCTGCGCTGAGTGATCCAAATGATTTGAGTACGAAGAATAATGAAGATGATGTCAGCGAGTTTGATGATCGCTTGAAGGACGCGAAAGCCAAGGCGACGTTGATTGCGAGAATTGTGGGCGAGGACGAGGTTTCAATTGCTACTGCCACGGCTGCTGCTGATACGGATGCTAGAGGCAAGGCGCTGAGAGTGCGGAGGAACGTCACTGCAGAGGGCGTCGCGGGACGCAATACGGGAGAAATGGAGGATTTTCTGGGATTGCCGACTCGAAGTTGATCTGCTCGATCAACCCTTTTGCCTAAAAGTACACTGGCAATATGGACGACTATCCGGGTTCAAGATGATTACATATTACTCCTCAAGAGCATTCAACACGACCAACTGGGCTCCCATCGGAGATTCTGCATCGATAGATAGTCATCGACGTCCAGCGTCCGTCGAGCAATCTTGATCATGGGCCGATATGAGCAGAAACATTCCAGCATTCCGATATCGGCCTCAGCTGGTTTACAGAGCGTGATATACGACAATAGCACCCCAGGCGCATCACGTGATCCCTCCATGGTCTGGTTGATTGATGTAGTGGTTATCATTCCAGATTTTGAGAAGTTCAGCAGTGAAACTGTGAACGAGATTAAAAAATTCTGGCAACCCCGTAAGTGATGACTTGCACAGATATGCACATAGCCTGAGTGTGTTCTGACCAATCACAGGGTTCGAATCCGGGATCGACCTCGCTTGTCCCATGCTCCTCTCGCGTGCAGAATTGCCACTGGGCCCGGGGTAGCTTTTTTGCCCTTTGATTCAAGGTTCCATCCAATGCTTCATCCTTGTGGATCTGGTCAGCAATTTCGATCCATCCTGGTCACTCGTTTTGGTCCAACTTCCGTGAAGATGGAGGACGTCTTTCGAAAAGACGCTCTGTGTCGTCGCCAGACACCGCGTGAATATACCATTTGAGCAGCCTACACACTCGTGGCGGCCATGGCTCGTTTTACGCTGCTGGCCCTGCTTCTTCCTAGTATTCATGCTTACATACCGAGTCTGCCTCGCAATGTCGTCCGGGCGGATGGAGATAAGCTGCCCTCTGGGATCCCGCGACCTCCGGAGCCGCCGCTCACCTACAATGCGACTGCGGAGTCTCTCAACACGTTGATGGACGGGCTGACTGAAAGGGAGACATCTGTTGTGGATGAAATCGTCGCCAGCGTGGACGCAAGTAACGCCACATTCGACAATGTCTTGCTGCCATATCTCTTGTGGGAGAACGAGAGGATTCGACAGGCCAGGCCGTTCGGGGCTTACGGCATGTTTAGCACTGATGAAGACCTCCAGGCCGCTGCAGAGAACAACACCGGCAGAATCTCGAGTGCGATACGAACAACGCTCGCTCGACAGGACTTCTTCACGCTCGTCGATGCAGTGAACTCGCAATACGGCAACGATTCTTCCTTGGGCCTTGAGAACTTGAGAGCACTCAATGGTCCGACTGTTGACAGTACGGGTCCTGGCCTGTGGACAACCTTCAAGAACAACGGGCAAGATCTCAAGGACGACTCAGAGCGGAAAGCGTTGCTGGATCTGCAGGACCGACTGCAAGACGCTGTGTCAAATTTTGGAGATACTGTTGACAATGATAACACCACAATCTTCTTCACTGCCGGAGAGCTGGATGGGGTGGACACAGACGTCGTGAGCAGGCTCAAACCGGGAGAGGGAGACAAGCTCATAGTGCCGGTGACCGATGGCAACTTCGCTGCCGTCATGGCCAAAGCCAAGAACGCCACGACCCGATATGAGATGTACATGGCGTACGGGAGCAAAGCGCCCAGCAACGTCGACACTCTGAAGGATATCATTACACTTCGCGATCAGATTGCTCGACTGCTTGGATTCCCCGACTATGCTACATACAAGACCAACAATCAAATGGCAAAGACTCCTGAAGCCGTCGATGGCTTCCTCGCAGATCTTGCTAAACGACTTACTCCAGCCTCACAGAAGATCATTGATTATGAAAAAGAGCTGAAGAAGAAAGAAGAGGGCAATGCGGATCACTTTTTCGCGTGGGATGCGTATGTATTCTAGCTTCTCGATGATGTACCTGTACGTGCTCTAACATGTACTGTAGGGCCTACTATGAGGAGAAGACAGACGAGGACAACAGCGTGAACTTTACGTTGATTTCGGAGTGGTTCGAGGTCAACACGACAGTCTCGCGAGTGCTCGACATCTACTCGGTGCTTTTCGGGCTCCGTTTCGACAGGATCGACGGCGAGGACGCAGATCAGCTGTCCAGCACAGGCAAGGGCAGTGATCTTCTATTGCATCCCGATCAGCAGCTCTATGCAGTGTGGGATTCCGCCCCGAGCTCATCGTCTGACGACAGTATGACTGGGTACGGGGATTTCAAAGGCTACGTGTGCCTTGATTTGTTTGTTCGGGTGCGTGCAACGAGAGGATGGCCCCTCAAAGATATCAACTAACAAACACTCTAGGATAGTAAAGGAGGCGGCTCCTTTCAGATGCTAGTCACTCCCAGTTATACGAGGCAAGACGGCACGAGAGCGTACTCGCACTCCACGATGAGTCTCGATGTGGTATGTCTTGCACCCATCTCACCAGTCACACGTCTGGGACTATCTTCTAACTCCTGTCTCAGGTCAAATCCGAGTCGGAAAAGCCATCACTACTGACGCAAGACCAGCTTTCCGGTCTCTTCCACGAGTTAGGCCATTGTATGCACCAAATTCTGTCGGAGACCAAGTACGCCAGAATCAATGGTCCCATCGCTACTCCCATCGATTTTGTCGAAACGCCATCTCAGCTGATGGAGCAGTGGGCTTATATACCGGAAGTTCTCAAGCGCGTCAGCCGGCACTACTCATACATCTCACCAACGTACGCGGACATCTGGAGGAAGACGCAAGGTGGTGATATGAATGCCCAACAACCCGAGGAGACATTGCCCGCATCGCAAATTGAGAGTATCAACAACGACAAAAACGCTTACAGTGCTCTGTCGGCGCTGAAACAAGTCTATTATGCGACCTACGACATGCGGATCAACGAAGCAGATTATGTACAGAAACAGATCAACGATCTCGACATGACGACTCTCTTCAATCAATTGAAAACAAACATGACTCTCACAGAAGGAGCAGAAGCCATTGGAAAAGGCTGGACATCAACTCATATGCAGAGCACCTTTACCCATATTTCGACTTCCAGTTACGGCGTGGGCTATTACGGCTACCAGTATGCTCTGGTCAATTGCCTCGACGTACTCTACACGGCTTTCTTGCAGGACCCATTCAGCAGTGAGGCTGGAGGGAGGTGGCGACGCATCGTGCTGGAGCCCGGTGCCATCAAGGATCCGGAGGCGATGCTGGAGGAGTTTTTGGGACACAAGCCGAGTGATGAAGCATATTTCAAGGATTTGAACATGACCACTCCTGCTCCATAGTACATCCACGGCTGATTATGGTGCTAGCAGCCTTCAATACTACATCTAAGGACCTCCTTTTTTCCCCCTTGCTCTCATCAGCCGGTAGAAGTCGTCGTATTCAAGCACGTCCCCGCAGCCAAACATTGCACCGCACACTCCTCACATTTTTCCTCAATATACTCCACCCTGACCCCCGTCTCCCCCTCCACCACCTGCGCATTCGAATACAACATTTCCGAATCCACCCAAAAATTCTCAAACATCTGCAATCCATTCGTCCTCGCATCCCCCGCCCTCACCACCGTCCCATCGCGTCGAAACGCTTTCGCATCATAAAACTCCACCGTCCCAAAATCCGGCAAAACCTGTTTCGTATAATTCTCATACGTCCCCGACTCCGCAATCCACTCCGCCGACGTCCCGGGAATCGAATAACTCGGTCCACGCCATTTCGTCGGCGCCGAACGCGTATGCGTAATAACTTTCGACGAATTCCGATTTTCCATATACACCGTCGCGAGCATTCCATTTGATGAAACATTCAATCTCACATATACATGTTCTCCTTCCAAGACGGGAAAATCATTTACAGGGACAAATTCATACGGATCGGGAATCCATTCCCAAAATCCCACGTATTTTCGAGTGTTGTTGTGAGGGAAAATGTGGCCGACTACGCCGGCTTGCCAGAGACCGCTTCCGCCGGGGCTTTGGTAGCCGTCTAGTCCGATCCAGTAGCTGAAGGAGTATTGGTCGACGGTGTTTTGGGGGTTGGAGGGGAGTGAGAGGCGAGGTAGGATTAGAGTGCCTTCGATGGAGGAGAAGGGTGAGGTGTTGTTTTGCCGGACTTGGGCGGCTCCGGCCCAGGTGTTGGAGTAGAATCGGGGTGAGGGAGAGGGAGAGGCTGTTGTTGCTGGGGCTGCTGGTGTTGCTGCTGGTGTTGCTGTTGCTGCTGTGGTGAGGCTGGAGAGCAGTAGTAGCAGCCAGGAGGTTGAGAGGAGTGGGAGTTGCATTGTGAAATGCTGCGGTTCTTTGTCCCTCAAAAAAAGAAGAAAGAAAATCGCTCCAGATGAGAAGGGCAGAAGAGAGATATGCGGGAAAAAAAGCTCTACAATATCGAAACGGTCTCCTCTCCCCAGAGATAATAAAATCCTTTCTACAAAGCAACCATGAAAAGGCTGGAGAACCTCCCTCCCCAAGGAACCCCAAGAAAAATAAAATAAAAGATCGACATCACTCGCCTCGCCCCCAAAAAAATAGCTATTAATACATCCAATCCACTATCGACAAAAAAAAACCGAAAAAGTTACTATTCTGAGCCACAATCAAGCCAACCCGTTACCTCCGGAGGTAGTTAGTATACGTCGATCGTCGCGCTACTACCGAAGCGACTTATACAGTACATATTGATACTAAGTGCTAGCTAATATATGTACATATGTACCGACCGACAGCCGAGCGATCATCTATCTACCGCTAGATCTATCTCGGGAATTCTTCTCGTACAAAATCGACCCGTTTTTTTTTTTTTTTTTAAGAAGAAAAAGAAAAAAAGAAAAGCGAGGCGGTTCGTTACTACTGTAAGGAGGGATATATATATATATATACTTTCGATATGAATAGCGACACAAAGACATTGTGTAAAAAGGTAGATATACCTACCTACCTACCTACCTACCCTATATAAGTAAGTACAGGAGGTAGTACGTATCTTGCTAAGAACTTGGCATTTATAGTACAGACTAAAGTAGGTTAGGTAGTTAATACATGTGACGTTGGGCACAGCCAATCATGCCTATAGACGTACTTATATACATATTGAGAGATTCGGATTAATATATTGTATGATTTAAATATAGAACTCGTGTCGGAACTAAGGAAGTACTTCGGTCGGAGTCACGGAGGGGCGATTTATTTTACTAAGGAACTAATAAATCTGTAGAATATGGCTTCTTTTGGTACTGGATAGGTACAGTGTGAGATAGGGATAGGGGAGGGGAGGGATGATAACAGTATTCTTTTTTTTTTTTTTTTTGAAAAAAAGGGGGGGCGATAAGAAGCAAATATAAGTCTAAGCGATGATATACAATGTATACCTACTACTTAAGAGGTAGATTCTGAAGATAATTGAATCCACGTCTCCGAGCCCTTCATCGGAACCACATCAACCACTTGTCTTCTAATCACCTTCTTCATCGCATTTCGAGGAATTTCCTCACAAAAAATTACTCCGCCGGTGGGGACTTTGTGCTGGGATAATCTCGCAGCGACAAACTGTGCAAGTTCTTGCGCTGTCACTGTAGATTCCGCGTCGTCCTTCTTCTTCTTCAACACGACATACGCTCGCACCTCGAATTCATTCGCATCATATCGAGCCGGAATCGGTCCAATCACCGCATCTTCAACAGCAGGATGCGCGAGTAAAACTCTCTCCACCTCCTCGGGCGAAACCATATTATTCGCGACTTTGAAAATTCCTTTATAGCGCCCCGTAATCGCCAATTGACCCGTTTGCGCATCCACATATCCCCTATCACCCGTTCGAAACCAATCGCCCTCGGGGTCTGGCAACATGGACGCTCGAGTCGCGTCGGGAGAATTATGATATCCGCTGAATAGCTGCGGACCTCGAACACAGATTTCCCCATTTTCGAACTGCGATGTGAAGGGGATTTTCTGTAAAGTTTCTGGATTGATGAATTTCATTTCGACGTCGGAGGCGAGATGGCCTACGAAGCCCGGGAGGAAATCTTGTGGACCGGGTTGGCGGACTACGAAGCCTAGCTCGGTGGTGCCGTAGGAGACGCGAAAGGCAATGTGGGGAAATGTCTCTCGAAAGCGGGCTGCGGCAAGAGGATCGGTGGCGGAGCCGGCGATGCGGACGCTTGAGAGGGCTGAGAGGGCTGAGAGGGGTCTGGTGCCGGAGTGGATGACTTGGACGATGGGGTCGAGGAATCGAGGGGGGAGTAATATGTTGGCGATTTGGTACTGTTGGATTAAATCTATAATGGTGACGACGTCGGCGGAGTCTTTCGCTGCGGTGATGAATGTCTTTTGGAGACCGATGATGGCGCGGTGGCATGTCATGAGGCTTGTGAGGTGGTAGACGGGAATCACGATGAGGTTGTTTAGTGGTGTGATGCGCATGTCGGCTGTGAGTTCAGGCCGGTCTAGTCTGACGGTATGTGCTGCATGTGATATGTTGACAGCTTTGGGGAATCCCTGGGCATGTCCATGTCAGCTCCAAGAAGTCTCTCTCTCTCTCCATACTCGTATGTGATGTGGTGATGTGTGCCGCAGAGCTGATACGATGGCAGTCACGGACGTAAAACACAGCAATAGGGATAATCAAAGAGGAGGATATGAACAAAACATACCGTTGTGCCACTGCTGAACATGCGATACGCCATAATGCTGTGAGGATCTTTACCCACATTGGGGTTAAGCCAACCTTTCCCATCCGTCTCCAGCAAGCGACTCATACAATTCCTTGGTCCAGCATATTTCTGCGTTCCAGGAGGGTCAAAAACGATAATATTAGCCTCACTCAAACCGGCCTCTTTCGCAGTCTCCAAAGCAAGACTCAAGTAGCGAGGCGAGACAAACAACCACTTGACCGCGGCAACTTGCAGCTGGTGCTGAATTTCTGCGGGTTTCACAGACGTCTGCATGGCACCGAATACGCCACCGGCAGCGATTACGGCGTCTCCGAGGACATAGAAGTAGATGTCGTTGTCTGAGAGAAGAGCGGCACAGTCTTGATATTGGAAACCTGCTTGACGAAGTCCGGTTGCCACGCTTTTGACGGTTGTTGCGTACTGATTCCAGGTAATGGTTCGGCCATGGATATCGACATCGGTCAGAATCTGCAAAGAGTTAGTAACTCAGTAGTTGTATATAAGCAAAAACGGATACAGTTCCCTACCGGTGCGTCTGGATCAATAGGCGGCCGGGAGAAGATCAATGTAGTCAAGTCCATTGTAGGAGCCATCGTTGCTTCTTCGATACCACTATCTTGCTCGTCGTGACTAGAGGATGTCTTCTGTCCCAGTATCAAGGAAGGATAAGATCAAGCAAGGATAATGGATATGCCTCTCCAAGTGAATCTATCGTAAAAAATAAAAGCACCCCTCTGCCTTTCCAGAATGATACAAATATGTGCATCAAGATGATGGATTAATATTGAAAAGCAGGCGGTGTGGGAAGGTAGGTAGGTAGATAACAATTCATGAATTGTAAGCATGTACATACATAGATGGCGTCAATACGTCAGGTGTTGTGAAGGTTGGTGGCCGAAGGTTGTCGGCACCAGAGAGTTTGGAGCTGGCATGTCTGCGATTCAGGATATTCCTAGCACGTGTGAGCTCAAGATCTGCATGGCTCTCGGGCCGTCGTCTACTATAAGCTGCCTATAGACAGAGTATAAGTAGACTTTGGTGAAAGATGAGGCTCGACATGGGTCAGCGGGGAAAAAACCCCATCTTTTATATGTTGTGCCGTTGGTGATAGGAGACAGCACCCCCGGCCAGGAAAGGAGAGAAAAAGGAGCTAGAGATATTCGCCAAGACATCCGATATCGGTTGAAAAAAAAAATAACTTCAGATGAACGTGACATTATTATACCTCCTAGAGATAGATGTATTATAGATCACTACACCGCAGCAGTGATTCCAGTTTTAACTACATCCATCCACTTCAAACGCATCACCAACTCCAAATCACAACACCGCACAACAATCCTTCAACCGCACCTCTCGCCTCCTCCCCTGATATGGAATTTTACCTCCTCCCTCACAACACCCAGAAGAAGAATTACCCACCCCCACCCTCTCTCCTCCATGCCCACCACCACCAGTAGAGGAAATAGTAGGATCACAATCATAAACAATCACAAACAACTGTCTTGCCCTCCCACTCCCCAACACCGTCTCCTCCCTTACCAATTTCTCCAATTCGTCAAGTGACACCTCGGGCATATCCACTCTCGCTTCGTCGTTGAGCAGTACGACTCGCGTCGGCGAAGTGGATAGTGAGTCTAATTTTGAGGCGATGATGCTTCGGGCTGTGGAGAGATTGTCGAGAGGGATGATGGTGAATTCTTTGATTTCGCTGCGGCGGATGTGGAAGTTGAGGACTGTTGGGGTGGTGGTGGTGGTGGTGGAGTTGTTGTTGTTGGGGTTGGTGACGGGGTCGGACGTCGAGGGGTACATGTAGTCGTATTCGGCGTAAGAGATGCGCTTGGTGTGCGATGTTGCTAGCTCGGGGTCTGCCATTTGGGGTGATTGTTGTTGTTGTTTTGTTACTGTTGTGTGAAAGACTGCTCGTGTGTGTGTGTGTGTTGAAGTGGCAAGGCAGCTGATATCCGTAAATGTATAATTGAAGTGACCTAGACTGACTGCCTACTGTATACCATACAGTCTGATGCTGTAGTTTGCTAGTCAACCTATCTCATCTGACTTTTACGCATACGCAAGCAAAATTTACGACAATGGCAAATAGGCATCGATCTTCACATCGACTAGTAAATTATTGTAGATGGTTGATGTTCAGATGTTGACGATCGTGATGCGAGCCCCATCTTAGCGGACGGATGACACTATCTCACTGAAGAACGATTGCTATTTGAGCTGCCTAGCATTAACATCATTGAGATTATCGCTTCGCCAGCAAACTCGATAGACGCAAAACCTCGGGCTTCTTGGGAACGATCAGTCACATTTGTCTCTGTAGCACGGTCACCAATTGATGTAATCGCAGAGGTAAAGAAATGGCGAGGGCTCAGTACTGAGGACCGCAACGAGAGAGTGAGAATAGAAAGCTTACGAGGCAGGAGCAGAAAATACAAGAAGCAAAGCTGTACATATTCCATAGCCGTGTCTTACTAAAACGACACACCGGCAACCACGAATGAATACGGGGCTATTGCACATCGCCAAGATGGTATTGAGAGCACATGAAACCTCGCTTTAACCAACCCATCTATCGTGTTACTCGATATAACTCGAATACGCATTCAGAGCCGGCTGGCCGCCCAAATGCACATACAACACATGACTCCCTTCCTTAATCGCCCCCTCGCGAATCAGTTGCATCATTCCCGCCATACTCTTCCCCTCATACACGGGGTCGGTAATCAGGGCATCCGTCCTCGCAGCCAACTTCATCGCGTCAATCGTGCTCGGCCCCGGAATTCCATAGATGCCCTCGTGAAACCTTTCATCGAGCACAACCGCCTCGTCGGGAATCTCCAGCTTTTCATCGAGGAGCTTCGCCGTATTTCTCGCAATTCTCGCCACTTGAGCCTTGGTCTCGGCCGGTTTGCCACTGGCGTCGATGCCGATGATTTTCCGTCCCCGACCTTCTGCTACAGCGCCAACAATGAGACCGGCGTGGGAGGAGCCGGTGACGGAACACACCACCAATGTGTCGAAGAAGGGGAGATTGAGAGCCTTTTCCTGCTCTGCAATCTCTACTACAAAGTTCGTGAAACCCAACCCTCCCAGTTCATGGTCGCTCGCTCCCGCAGGGATGTAGTAAGGCTTTCCACCAGCCTTCTCAATCTCGGCGAAAGCTTCTTGCGTGGCGGTCTTGTGGCCAATGTGGAAGCCTTCGTTGTTGAGTCTCACGTCGCCACCCATCAGTCTCGATAGCAGGATGTTGCCGGTCTTGTCGTACAACGGTGGGTCGATGGGAACCCATTTTTCCTGGATGGTCACCGCTTTGAGGCCGGAGGCTGTTGCTGTTGCTGTGACGGCTCGCGTGTGGTTGGACTGCACTCCTCCAACGGATACGAGATGCGTGCTGTTCTTGGACAAGGCATCTGCGACCAGGTATTCGAGTTTGCGGACTTTGTTCCCGCCGTATGCCAGACCAGAGTTGCAGTCGTCGCGTTTGGCGTATACCTTGACTTTGGACCCCAATTCTGCTGTCAGACGGGGAAGGTATTGAATGGGAGATGGTCCGAAGAGGAACGACTCTTTGGGAATGGATCTGAGCTTCTCGAGGTATGGAGGTGTTGAGGCCATGGTGATGATGACAATGTCAATATCAATGTAACGATCGATTTTCTTGGCCTATACAGTAGTGTAATACGATGAGAGGGCGGCGGAGGAGAAAATATAGGTATGTAGTGGCCATGGGAGGGGATTATATGAGCTGATGTCGACATGCTACCTAGTGAATACCTTGCCGCATACCGGAGGTCCACCCGGCAAGTGGAGTCGCCGAATCATCGGCAGGGCGTGAAAACAGGCAGGGAGTCCGGTCGCCTATCGCGCAAGTGCCGCCGTACCAATGACATTTGCACCTGGTCATATACAACAACATTGCACGTGGGTGTGTGGTGATGGTAGGGCGTGATGGCGGCAGGTGTGTGTCAAATTGTGTGTACATGTACTTGGCGCATGTTTCCAGGGTGGCAGGGTCCACAGTAGGAGGTACCTTAGGTCGGGTACCTTGGGGAGGACACCGGCCCGTCCACATGTACCTCTTGGCACCATCTCCCGTAGAAAATACAAACGTCGTAGTACCTCCTAGTGTCCACAACATCTTTCCTGACTCACCGCAACGGCAGAACATCCTGCCCAGCCGGCGCAGTGTCGCCAGGAGGTAGTAGTCTCTGCATCGGACGCAAGAAAGCCCAACTCCGCGCCCACACCGCCGACGGCTTCATCTTTCACCATGGCTTCGTCTACTCATCGACTAAAGTAGCTGGCCGACTGATGGACCGACGACGATGGTGCCCGCAATTCGCCACCCTCACGAGCAAACACTGAACCGACCGCGCCCTTCCCCCGATCTCCCAATCTGCCGCCTTCCTCTCCACTGCCAAATGGCCGACCTGCCCCAACATTCCTCCTCGCCTGCCTCCCGATAACGAGCCCCGGTTTCACAATATAGGAAGCAAGAGTGGCTGACAGAAATGAAGAGCAGCGTTAAATGGGTAGGTCAGAGGCTGCGAGGGTCAACCGGCGGGCGCGCGTGAATCCGGCGTGGGAGAAGCGTGAGGAGTAGGAGGAGGAGGAGCAGGTAGAAAGCTGCAAAATATGACTGCAATACTTCTCTCCTTCTGGCTACTTCCTCTCTCGTATGATCCCGACGCGGCTACTGCATTGAATCAATCCAGCTCTCAACCCTCTTGTGGTAGCATTCCACCTCGCCAAGTCCACTGCGGTGGTGGTGATTCCAAAGGAAAGCAGCTTTGGCAGCAGTAGCAGAGTCGGCCTAGAGGAGAGTCGTCGGATTTGATGACAGACACCCAGAGGTAGCGTACCGAGACAGACTTTGATGGGCTCACAGACATCTGCAGCCGACACAAGGCTTGCACTCCGTCTTCCGAACGAGCACGCGCTTGTCATAGTAGTAGCAACACATGCTCCTGCGAGCGCAATATTGAAATTGGTGAGGCTCTTCTATCTTCGTTCTTGTAGATCCTCCGAGGTCTGTAGACCACAGATGGCGCATCATAACTCATCTTTGTAAAATTCCTCCTCACTACCAAGCTGATCATCTTTTTCGTCGTCGTCTTGCTTCCGGACATGGCTGGCCTTCTTCTCCTCCTCCTCGGTCTTCTTCTTCTGCTTCTTCTTCGTGTCTTGCTGACTCCCGGTTGCTTTCCCGGCCTGCCCCTGATTCCCTTGTTGAGTGCCGGCTAGCTTCTTATTGCCATGCTGAGCACCGACCGTCTTTCCACCCTGCTTCTTCTCCCCTTGCTGGGCCTTGACGCCGTCTCCCTTTGCAGTACCCGAACTATCCTCCTGTGTACTATCTTGCTCCATGGCGCCCTCCTCCTCACCTTCTCCTATGATTCCACGATACTCTCTCCCACGCGGTGTGTCAATGACGTCGAGCTTCCAGGCCTGGCCCTGCGCAAGCTGTTCCATCTCTTTCTTCAGCTTTTCGACCGCCTTGGGGTCGCTGACACCGAGCCGTTCCAACTCCTCTTTGCTGATGATTTTGCCCTCCGAGTCCGCAAGTGTGTCGATGTACGTCTCCTTCCCGCCTCCTACTATCGCACTTTTCTCTATCTTGACGCCTTCTGGCACGAGTCGATGCCCGCCAACGAAGACATCACCCACGGGAAGCACAGCGCCCTCGGAAACCGCTCCTGTAATTCCTGCAACAATGGCCTCTGGAATCCCTGCCATGGCTGCTGCAGTGGCCACCCGGTTTTCTGAATTAGCCAGCCATTCTTTGACCTCTCGCTCTTCAGCTTTCAAGGCTTCAATATCCTGCTCGTAGGCCGCGACCTGTTCATCTCGAAGGATCGGCGAACATGCGATCGAGTTGGGATGATCCTTTTGTGGTGGGAGAAAGGCAACGTCGTTACACAGACGTGGTGTCTGGATCACCATGAGGTACGCACAGGTACTGGTCTCCTTGATCAAAGCGATGCGATCCACTGCTTGCGGGCTGCAGTGGAACTGTACTTCAATCTTGCGCTCCTTGCCTGTCAGGTCGCAAACAGTGCCGCCACCAAGTTTCTGCACGAGATATCTGCTTTCGCCACGCTGGACTAGCTCACCATGCTTACTGTGGAACCTCTTTGCGCCTTCGCTCTTCTCCAGTGCACTTTCTCCATCCCAGTCCCGTGTATGGCCTGTGTCATCCGCATCAAGTCGTTTCGCGTACGTGCCGAGCATAAAGCCAGGAACACCAGCATCCTCGACGGGCGGATACACGGGCACGCCTCGACTCGGCGAGAGCTGGTGAAACTGCTTGATGCCTTGGTTGTAGCAGAAGCGGTAGCTCCACCAGCCACTGATGAAGAAGACGCAGTTGCCCTCCATGCCTGATAGCAACTCCCATCCCCGATCAAGGGCGCGCGTCAACTCCTTGTCTTGTTCGGCCTGCGACACGGTCTCGTTGGCGGAGCCTGCCGTAGCAGCAGTCTTCACCTTGGGAATGCGGCACAGCCATGGCTGACCATCGAGCACCATGCGCTCATGCTCGTATTCGGTATCATCGTGTGCTATCGTGGTGTCGTGACCGCCACCGACCAGCGGCTGTTGTTGTCTGTATTGCCCGACCTGTGTATAAGTTCGCGCCTGCTCCTCGCTCCTCTCGCTCGTTCGAGAAGTGCTTCCTTTTGCATTGCTGGCGAGTCGCGCCGGCACCTGATCGGCCGGTATCCATTCATCTGCAAAGCGGACTTCGTATTGAGGAAAGGCGAAGATGTCGTCTTGCACGCTGAAGCTGTGCTGAGAGGCCAATGCCAGAAGGACGGAGCCTCGGAGAAGCGCTGGGAGGGCGAGGAAGTGCTTCATGTTGTGTATTGCGGGTGGGTATAACTGTGCTTTACCGAGTTCCCGTAGCGGTATAGACGACTTGTCATCATGGTAGAGGATGGATCAGAGAGAGTTGAATGATCAGTTGTCAGAAGCCAGATCTACAAGTACAAGTACCTAACCAACAGCTGGTCTTAGCGTACCCGAGGCGAGGCCCCAAGGCCAGGCCAGACCAGGCCACCGGATCAATGTTCCTCCTTCTTCCTTCTCCACTCCAGACACTCACTCACTCACTCACTCACTCACTCACTACATGTCCAGGTAGGAAGTAGTAGGCACTAGGAGGTACTATGTCTGAGCAGGATGATATGCTTCCGAAGCCCTCATCACCCGCGCTAAAGTTCGATTTGCTGGCGCGATGCTCGGTACGCGGTCTTTGCCCGTCTGGGACACACTGGTGGTAGTAGGTATATGCCATGGTTCTGATTCTTTTTTCCTCCCAGACCACGAAAGCCCGCGCGGCAACACTGCATCTCCCTCATGGCTCCGTCCAACTGCCCTTGTTCATGCCAGTTGCCACTCAGGCCTCGCTCAAAGGCCTCACGCCCAAGCAACTGGAAGAGACGGGCTGCCGCCTCTGTCTGAACAATACCTACCATTTGTACGATTCCTCTGGGACAGCCTGCTTTGGCACGCGGTATACATAGTAGGTAGGCTAAGCTAGTTTGAATAGAGGCCTCAAGCCTGGTCAGCAGACACTCGATACCATCGGCGGAGCACATAAGCTACAGTCATGGCCGCACAATATTCTGACAGGTATATCATGAAACGAACGAAAACGAGAGAATTGGGGACAGTTCATGCTAACAGATGGCAGATAGTGGCGGGTATGTGCTTGAATCCACGCAGAAACTCCTTGTGCGATGACTTCCATTATTCATGCAAAATCACAGCTTTCAAATGGTCTCCCTCCTCCAGCTGGCCAAAGTCACTGAAGAAGGCGTACGCTTTCTGAGCCCGCACGACGGCACACCAATGTGAGTGCCCCCTGCTCACCACAACCGTATACTATTCTTGCCTGCTCCTGACAGCGTGCAGGCTTCTCACGCCCGAGCATTCCATATCGCTCCAGAATTCGATCGGTTCCGATATCATGATGCAGCTAGACGATGTCATCGCCACCACCTCGCCCGACCACGCTCGTATCAAGGAGGCGATGCATCGCTCCGTCCGCTGGCTCGATCGTTGCATTGCTGCGCACAAACGGCCTGAATCGCAGAATCTTTTCTGTATCATCCAAGGAGGTCTCGACTTGGAACTCCGCAAAGAATGCTGCAGAGAGATGGTGGCCCGCAACACGCCTGGTGTGGCGATTGGAGGTCTCAGCGGCGGCGAAGCGAAGTCGGAGTTCTGCAAAGTCGTAGACACATGCACTGACATGTTGCCTATTCACAAACCACGCTATGTCATGGGAGTGGGATATCCCGAGGACATCCTCGTCTCTGTCGCACTCGGTGCTGACATGTTCGACTGTGTCTGGCCCACGCGCACCGCTCGTTTCGGCAACGCGATTACGAATCAGGGTGTCTTCAACTTGCGACACAACTCGTACGCAAACGACTTCGGTCCCATCGCGGACGGCTGCCAGTGCATCTGCTGCCGACAGCCTGTGGATGGTGGTCTGGGTATCACCCGGGCGTACATTTATCATACTGCTGCCAAGGAGACTGCGGGCTCGCATCTACTGAGTATGCACAATGTGCATTATATGCTCGACCTGGTACGGCGCATGCGGGCTGCCATTGTCGAAGACCGATATCCCGACTTCCTCAAGGAGTACTTTGGCACGCTCTATTCTGATGACAAGGAAAAGTTTCCGGCTTGGGTGGTGGAGGCTCTCCAAGGTGTTGGTGTGGACTTGCTAGAGGACTGAAGTCAAAGAGGTACTCTGCCAAGATACAATGCATTTTCGGACTTTTTGAGCATCAACTCTAGCCATCCCCCGCGACTTAGTGCAATCGCGCAGAGAGTCGTCGATCAGCTGGCGAATGTACGCTCCATTTCCAATGTCAGCACTGTGCTACTGGAAGCGCCTGTGAATACGGCGAGGATCGGGCTTGACTCATAGGTGAATGTTGCCCGAGCGTGGACGAAGGTCACACTTGAACGATGATCCGGGGGCGACTCTTTATACTATGAAGCATATAAAGCTTGGGGGAAGGGCACTGTACAATGGTGCTAACCGCCAATCGACTGACTACATTAGTTTTCATTCCCCAATGGTAAGAAAAGAAGCACGGTCTCGATCTTGATACTCACTCACTACTGTTGAGATTACATCCTATCAGTACATCATCATCCAACCAGTCCATTCCCTCCGACACAACATCTACTACATCCTACCTGCCCCTTCACCCTTTCCAAAAAGAAAACAAAAAAGATGTTATATTCTTCCGTCTCCATAATCTCCAGCACAACAATCCTCCTCGCCCTCCTCATCTTCTTCCTCACCACCCGCTTTCTCGCCCGTTATCGCTCCTCTCATCATCTCCACAATAACAGGAGCAACAACAGCCATCATACAACACCATCAACACCACCAGGCCCCTCATCCGACATTGGCGCCGACGACTGGGTTGCCCTCGCAGCAGCCCTCGGCTCCACAATCGGCTGTCTCCTGATCCTCATCTCCGCCAACCAAGCCCTGGGTCGACACACCTCCTACGCCACACCAGCACAAGTCGAAAGTGTCCTCTTACTCATCTGGCTCGATCAAATCAACTACTTGATCGTCATGGCCCTAGCCAAGACAAGTACATTATTACTCTACACGAGAATTTTCCACGGCGAGCAACAACGGCGGTTTCGGCTCGTGTGTTGGTTCACAATGGCGGTGGTGGGGTTGACGAGTGTGCTGCTGATGATCTTTTCCGTCATCATGTGTCGTCCCGTGGAGTATTTTTGGACAAGAGTACATCTCCTTGTGGTGCCGGGTATTGACGAAACAGCAGCAGCAGCAGCGGGAGGAAAGTGTAAAGATAATCGACCGTATTTGTATGCGAATACGGTGATTAGTATTGTGACGGATATGGTGATTGTGGTGTTGCCGATTCGGCAAATTGTGGGGCTTCAGATGGCGAGGAAGAAGAAGGTGACGGTGTGTGCATTATTTGGATTGGGGATGATGTGAGTATCTTCTTCTTCTTCTTCTTCTTCTTCTTCTTCTTCTTCTTACTTTCTAGATCGAGGTCAACGGACAATGATCCAGGTTTTTCCTTGCTCGTGCTTGACTGACTCCCTCTACTCTACTCTACCTACTTCTCAACAGTGTCATAGTCTGCTCCATCATGAGGGCAACGAAAGTCGAAGATGCGGCGAACGCCACAGATCCAATGGTCAATCTTTCGGGGCTCTGCGTCTGGTCATTGGTCGAGTCGGCGGTGAGTGTGATATGCTGCTGTGTCCCCGCTAGTCATCGATTGATCAGAGACTTCTTTGTCGATCTCTTCGGGCGAGAGCAGGAAGGGGAGGAGAAGACGAAGCAACAGGGTGGTATTCCACAGGCATTACAGCCCGACAGCAAGCCCATTACTCGGACGTGGGAGGACGATTCGGAAGCAGGTGACATGAGTGGAGCTGTGGATCCGAGGTGGTGAGGTGAAGTCAAAAATCTTGAGTGCCTTAGGCTACCATCCATATCCTGGCACAGCCCAAGCTACGAGAAGCTGCACAAGTCGCTGCAAAGGTTTCATGATGCATATAATCTACAACTTGCTCTTGCTCACAATACACGAGTTGTTTCTCGAGATCCACTCGACGGCGCCACCAACAAGTTCGTCCACAATCTGTCGTGCTGGCTTCTTGTCATTCACTACAGCAGCGGCCTTGCCCATTAAGAAAGGTCGTGCATTGTCCATCGTTTCATCGTCAATGTCATCACCCAGACGCTCCATGTCCCATTCTACGGGAATTGTCCCCTTGCTTGTAAGCTCCTTGATCTCGTTCTGTCGGTTCACCTCCCAGTTGTTAATGTATGGGTTGTTGCGCACGCGGAGGGGTCGGCCGGTGAAGATGATAGTGCGGATGTTGTCGTCGAAGCCCGACGTTCGGACAGCTTCTTGGTGTGCTTTTGGTGCTCCGGCTTCCTATAGTAGTAGAAGAAAAAGAAGACATGTGGTCAGTACGTGGTCTTGCAGGAGAGGAGTCGATGGGCTTACTTCTGCAAGAATGAATCGTGTTCCGACCCACACAGCGCTAGCGCCAAGAGCAAGAGCAGCTGCGAGAGACTGTCCGTTGAAGATACCACCTGCTGCAATCACCTGAACGGGCTTGCCGGTCATAGGGCTCTTGTGCCCTTCGCAGAGCTTAGCAACTGCAGGGATCAGGATAGTAGTTGGGACATCTCCCGTGTGGCCTCCACCTTCTCCTCCCTGTGCGCAAATCATATCCACGCCCAGATCAAGGCACTTCTTGACGTGCTTAGGATGTCCGATCATGTTCATGTAGAGCACTCCAGCCTTGTGGAGCTTCTCCACAACGTGCTTTGGTGGGACACCGACAGCAGAGACGAAGAGACGGGCGCCGGACTCGATTGTAATGTCAATCAACTCGTCGAGCTTGCCCTTGGTGTAGTCGTAGCTATGGAGGGTTAGGAGAAATTACAAGATCGATATAGATGATGTCTCACTTGGTCTTTCGTGCGCTGCCACCAACCTGTGGGAGCAGGAGATCAACGCCGAAGGGAGCATTCTTGTCGTCCAGGAAGCTCTTGAGCTCTGCAATCTGCTCTCGCAGCATGTCTGGAGTGTAGCCGACACCACCAATAACACCAATACCGCCTGCGTTGGTGACTGCGGCGGCGAGCTTGGGACCAGCGGCGACGTTCATACCGGCGAGCATCACGGGGTGGTTGATCTTGAGCAGATCGGTCGTCACCGTGCGGAGTTGCTCTGCATACCATCATGTTAGCTTCTGTTCAATCAGCCTCCCGAAGTCGTCGTGGCAGCTTACGTGGAGAGGCCATGATTGCGGCTGGAGGTCGATGATGTGCTGAGAAGGACGGAGAGAGAGATATGGGGAACAATGAAGTGTATGAAGTGTATGAGGAGTAGGAGGTATGAAATGTATGAAGTGTATAAAAGAGAAGAGAAGCGGAGAGCGTGGGCGGGTGCGTCCACTTGTCTGATCACAAGCCTCGACATCGTACTTTTGCCTCGGTCTTTTGGATGCGGCTGAGGCGGACGCGGAACGTCTTTCGGCCCGGCCCAGAGTCGTGGCCAAGCGGTCCGGATCAAGGTACCTCCGAGATACGCATACACCGCATTGCCATGCTCTGCTTTTGGCAACACATCTCCAAACATACAGCCACCTACACACCGTTGTACATACTCAGCATTGTGGACGTCCCAAATACGTAACATGTTCCAGAAATCCTCCTCGCCGTCAGGTCAGCGCTTTCAGCTTACTGTACCGGCATACGAAAATGAGGGACTGCTATATGCCTGACCATAAGCCATGCAGTCGATGAATCAATGTATCAGAACAATTCGCAACACTTCAAGTCCGATCATTCTGTCAGCAACGCGAGAGTCACAGAAGCGCTGATCTCTGATCGCAATGCCACAAGAATATACTCGAGCCAGTATGCTTACCATTAACAACCTGGACTTACGCACTCCGCCTCCGCTTCACAAGGAGGATTGCGGTTGGTGCAACTGTCTAAACTTCCACCGATCTCACCAACATACACAGCCCAGCTATTTCCGCCCATAGAAGACCGAAATATCGTTGCTCACCACATTGGTTGTCTCGCCTGATGAAGCGTGCGATGGTATAAAGGAGAGAGCATCGCAAGGCGAATGGGACTCCATACAAGCACGGCAGCAATACTGAGCATCTCTCCTACACTACACTCAAACTTCATTCTACAAGCAGCAGAATTCAAACACAGTCACATTTCTCATCATGCATCAATCCAACATTCTCAGCACTATTCTTTTCAGCAGTCTTGCTCTTGCCGCACCCGCATCTCATGATTCTCAGTCGGGATACGCCGGCTACGGTCCCCCAGGAAATGGCTCTTCCTCTTCCGGTCTGAGTCTGATCCAGCAACTCGAGCTTGCACCTACAGCTGTCGACCGCATCGCTCTCCTCTCCCCAGCGGACTTCTTATACGACTTCCAGAACCCTCCAGCAAACACAGACGCCAAAACCACCGGCAAAGGCGGCTTCACCGTTAAGGCAGATCGCAAAGTCTTCCCCGCTCTCATCGGCACAGGCGTAGCCATGACAGTAGGCTTTCTCGGACCTTGCGGCTTCAACACGCCCCATATCCACCCACGGAGCTCGGAAATCAACATCATCATCGAAGGTCGACTAGGAACAGAGTTCGTAGCCGAGAATGGAGTTCCTCCCATCGCAAACATACTGGAGAAGTTCCAAATGACTGTTTTCCCTAAGGGAGCAGTCCACACAGAGGTGAGTCATCCCTTTGGAGGCTCCGCCGTCTGATAGCATTGTACTGACTGCTTCTGCACACTACCAGTTCAACCCCGACTGCACCAACGCCACTTTCGTTGCTGGATTCGGATCAGAAGACCCTGGAGTCCAGCAGAGCGCTCAGACACTCTTCAGCCTTGATCCAGAGATTGTGAAAGCCGTTCTGGACGTCGAGACGATCAATGGCGAGAGCATCGAACAGTTCCGCAGCATGATTCCTGCCAATGTTGCTAATGGTGTTGATGCATGCTTGAAGAAGTGCGGCATTCCGAAGAGGAACTGAGGCTTTGATCTGCAATTATAGGGTGTTGATAGCGCGTGTTTCGAGGATTTGAGGAAAGGAGAAAGTTGCCTTTGTGACCACGACGGATTTCAATTGTACTAACGACTTAATGAACCCTGATTGTTTTGGCAAGAATTCCAGTCCGTTCTCTAAATGGCCCCAGCATTCATTCCAACAGTCTCTTGACGCTCCTACAGTATCACTTGTACAGGTAGGTGGAAGCACTCGTGAGCTTTCAGTGTCTCCTGACTCCTTGTCCTGTCGGCGTAACGACGCATCGGACGGGAAGAGCCGCCTCAGCTTTCCATAGACCTGGCAACAAGACAGGTCTCCTTCAACAACAGACTTGACAATAACAATGACACAATAACATCACCTACCCACTTACAAACGAATCCGTACCCATGCCCACTCTCCGTCGCCGCCGTCCACCCCGTCCAGGCGCCCTCGCCGACCTCTCCCCGCTCCGCATTCTCACTCAGATCCTCTTCCTCCAGCTCTTCTACTACGGAATCGCCATAGTCCTCATAGTCTTCATCACCCTTGTCGAAGGCGAACATGTCCAACCCGGTATGATCTTCGATTGGAGTTACCTACGAGGAGACGTGACGACCGGATGGACGTTGGGGCTATGTTGGATGTTGGACAGTTTGGGAATGTACGTGTAGAAATCACCATCTCCTCCATAAACTGCATCGTCGCGCAGTAAGCAGGATATACATGATACTAATTTTGTCGTTGGTGGTCAATAATAGGGTCATCCCCATCCTCCTCCTCATCGCGCGTTCGAAATTGGTCCCGGACTTTGCCTTGACCATCCACTTCATCAACCTCGTCATAACAGCTTTGTACACGCGCTCTATACCCTCCACATTGGCTTGGTGGGTCTTGCAGATTTTCTCCGCGGGATTGATGATCAGTCTGGGCATGTGGGCCTGTCAGTGGAGGGAGTTGAGACCCATGGCTTTTGGCGGGAGATCCAAGGATACGACTTCTGGCGCCGCGAGCGCAAATGTTGCGCCGGAATTGGAAGCTGGAGAAGGGTATGAGATGGGTGAGAGGCGAGGCGGAGGGAAAGATGGCGCTGGGACGTATGAGATGGTTGGTCTTGCTTCCAAGGATCATGGAGGGTGAAATATGGGTGGCCACCAACGAAACTTGGGACTCGCGACTACTGGCATTCGGCATCAAGGACACACCGCGATCGCATTGCCGACCAGGAGCCGGTCAAGCAATGTGTTCAAACTCGAAACGCGATGGAACGACGACCACGTGGAGACTCGCTGCGAGCCACGGGACGCCTCGGCAATTTAAGGCGATATGCGATAAATTGAAGCCGAGAGACGCGTGGAGACGCGTGGAGACGCGCTTATACGTATTGGCAAGATATTGGACGATTGTCACAGGATTCTGAACTCGGTAAGGGCACCAGGTCCCTAGGATGCTCTGCTCAAGCTCTTCTCTATCTGACCTTGAGGGCCCGACAAGAACCAAAATCTCTCATCTCTCTCAGAGAGAGGTAGCAAAGTGCACTGAGGTCTCCCTCCTCGACAACCTCACCTTTCGGCTGTCCCGAGCATCCGAGATCGAACCCGTCCAAAGCCAACATCGATCTTCCCAGTCTGACTAGGCGCAGCTAGCACAGGAGTATAAATGATCAACGTTGTGGTCCTCGCTGGTAGAGGATGTAAGATTGATAGAAAGATTATAACGAACAACGAGTGCAGCCAGATTGAGTGGAAGAGCGCAATACGCATGATTGGACACTTTTCTGCCTAGGAGCGACGAAAGATGCAATGTTTCTATCTCCCAGTTCTCGCAATACGCGAGATCGAAAGGGAGAAGAAGAAGAAGAAGGAGTTGTGGTGGTTGAAGAAATGTATCCCTTTACATTGTTGATTTCTTGGAAATGCCAACAGGCCAGTCTCAAGCGTCTCGAAGTCTCATCTGACCCCTTCCTTCAACGCTCCATCCTATGGGTATTTGTTGACGAGTTCTCCTCTGCAAAAGGGACTGCTGCTTCGTGAACCTGTTCTATGTACATATACTTTATTCACTAGCCAAGATTAGCTAGAGCGTTATGTACTTGTGTTGACCGAGAATAGTATAGGCCTAGGTTTCGTTGGCATACAAGCAATCGTTATGATATGGTTGTGCGTAGCCTTCAACTCCAGATCTATCTTCAACTACATGTACATAGTAGCTAAGGGATACAGCGTTCATACGTGAGAGAAGAGCCGAGTGGATACGCTCTTATAGGGGTGGCCTGTGATTGGCTGAGGTAGGGGAAGCTAGATCTACTTCTCCCTCCGTACCTCACTCAGGTAAAACAACATTGGAAGATACTCGTATGACACAGACTCGCAATGGGGCAAGGTCAGTCATCTTCCAGTGAAGGCGGAGGTTCTGCCGCGCCGGTGCAGGCCAAGACAAGTTACTATACACTCCTGGGCATCGAAAGAACAGCCACCGAAGACGAAATCAAGAAAGCATACCGAAGAAAAGCCCTCGAGCTGCATCCCGACCGAAACTACGGAAATGTCGAAGATGCGACAAAACTCTTTGCTGAAGTGCAATCGGCGTACGAAGTGTTGTCGGACCCGCAAGAACGAGCGTGGTACGACAGTCATGAATCCTCCATTCTCAGTGGCCAAGATGCCCACGATCAAGGAGCTGTGCCGACGTATCAGAATGTCAAGATCACGACGGCGAATGACATCAACCAGATCGTTGGCAAGTTCAACAGAAATGTCGACTTCACTGATTCTCCTTCGGGCTTCTTTGGCTTCTTGCGCGAACTGTTCGACCACTTGGCCCAAGAAGAAGACATTGCAGGACAAATGGAAAATGTCGATAATCCAGAGTATCCTACCTTTGGCCACAAAGATGATGACTACCCGGATGTGGTCAAGAAATTCTATGCTGCATGGTCAGGCTTCTCAACAGTAAAGTCATACTCCTGGTGTGATCGATGGCGACTATCAGAAGCACCAGACCGCTTCATACGGCGAAGAATGGAACAAGAAAATGCCAAGTGTCGGAAGGACGGGCGAGATGAGTTCAACGAGGCAGTGCGTACTTTGGTCCAATTTGTAAAAAAGCGCGACCCTCGAGTTGTGGTGGACACGCGGACGGAAGAAGAACGCAGCAAGGCTTTACGTGACGCAGCAGATTCGCAAAGACGACGGGCTATGGAAATGAACGCGGCAAAGCTCAATGAGGCTGCACCTGAGTGGACCAAATCGAGGGATCCGGACGAGTATGCAGAGTTCGAGGGCACATTCGATAGTGATACGGAGGAGGAAGAAGTATTTGAGTGTGTGGCCTGCAACAAGATTTTCAAGAGTGAGAAGCAGATGGACGCCCATGAGAAGAGCAAGAAACATCAAAAAGCCGTCAAAGACTTACAGTGGAGGATGAGGAAGCAGGATGCGAATCTCGATTTGAACGGGAGTGGTGCTGCTACGCCCGACATTGAGGAAGATGAAGTAGAGGTCGCAGAGAACTCGGCAGAGACATCCAGTGAACTTGATCATGATCTGGAAGTAGATGATGAACAAGTCAAAGACGAAGAACTCGAGTCCAGCCACGAAGAAGAAGAAAAAGAAGAAGAAGCATCCTCATCCCCAAAGGAGAAGCAAGAACTAGCCGCAACAAATCATAGCCCAACGGAGGTAGCCTCAGACTCCGAAGACGAAGACGAAGACTACGCCACTCGCGAAACAGTCGAAGCACGAATAGCCGCCACAACACTCCACGACTCCACCACACTTCCCAGCACTCCTGCCCTCAGTGATGACGAAGAACACAACGACGACTGGTCTGCTCAGCCCAAAAAGAAACTTGGAGCAGCGGCCAAGAAACGCGCAAAGAAAGCCGCAGCGGCTGCAGCAGAAACTTCTGGCGCTCAGACAGCCGCGGGCGAGCATCGATGTACGAATTGTAGTGCGCAATTTGAGTCCAAGACGAAATTATTTGAGCATTTGAAGCAGAATCCGAAACATGCTGCTCTCAAGACTGTGAGCGGGGAAGGTGGGACGAAGGGGAAAAACAAGAAGAAAGGGGGAAAGAAGTAGATGAAGCATTGTGAATAAATAGCAAGCGTGATTAGGGTGTGGGTTTTACCATCCGCTTGAGTAGGAGATACCCCCTTTTCTCGAGATATTCGAGCATTCCAGTCTGTCATCTATCCCTATTGGTGCTTAATGAATCCTAAGACACTTGTTGCGAGTCGAAATATGTCCCGCCGGCTGCTGCAATGTTCTGCGGTCAAAGATGGGAGCCTAGGCGGGCGTGTGACTTAATGTGCGTTCACCTGGGCTGGTGAAGGAGAAGACTACCTTATATGTATCCGTACGCAGAGAGAGAGAGAGGAGGAAAATGGTTACGGCTTGGCATTGAGAATTCTGACTCAGCAGTTACAAGGGTGCGCGTCTCAATCGCGTGAAACGAGCTCGACCAGGGTCTTGTTCTTGATTGCTGCCATGCGCTCGAAGTTCATCCACGCCAAGAGGATATGATCATCACCACCACTCGGCATCATGCCTCTCGGCTTTGAGCGCTTGAACGAGCGTACGCAGCGCCCCAACGCAAACATCAACTTCATCAAAACCGTTTCTACAGGTGCCGACAAAGCCATCGCCGAGGAGTTTCTGTCGCGAATCGCAGCACAATGCTATCCCGTCATGAAGAAGCACTACATTACCGTCATGTCACTTGAAGAATACCCTTCCAATCCCGAGTTCCTGGGCCGAAATTTCAATGCCGGCGAAGTCATCCAGTTGGTTCTCAAGGACAAGCAGGGACGATGGCTGAGCTTCAAATTCGTGCAAATGGTCATGATGCATGAATTGGCACATTGCAAGCAGATGAATCACAGTAGGTCCTTCTGGAGTGTGCGGAATGAGTATGCCAAGCACATGGAGGATCTATGGAAAGACAGGTACGAAGGCGAAGGACTGTGGGGACGCGGGCGTGGGCTCGCACATGGAGCATTTGTGCATGCCCAGCCGCCGGACAATACACAGATACCCGAACATCTCTGTGGTGGAAGTTATCGGAGGAGAGGGCAAAAGAGAAAGCGAGTGGGCCAACATGAGCAGGGGGCCGGGGAGAAACTGAGTTATGCAGAGAGGCAACAGAAGCGAATACGGAGGAAGCTAGGGAAGCATGGTGTCAGTATGAAGAGCGAAGTTCTCGGGGACGACGAACTGACCAGAGGTGCTCTCGAGAGAATGAACGGCGGCAAGAGAGCGGCGGGCAAGCCAAAAGTGGCCAACAGCAAGCGAGGCAGAGATCTACGAGCAAATGCTGCTTTGGCCCGCGTCGAAGCGCTGAAGCAGTTGACATCGGTGAAGACTCCGGAGCTCGATAACGATGTGGAAAGTGAGACAGAATCAGAATGGGAAGACGGCTCAGCTTTGGGATCTCAAGGCAATGCCATAATCAAGGACGAGCACGGGCATGACATGGTTAACGTATGTGGTGAAGGCGAGGACGACGAGGAAGGTGCTGGCAAGGAAATGAACGAGCTTCGAATGCTCAGTCGTGGACTCAGCCAGAACTGCAGCGCAAGCACATCCGGCAAGCCATCATCAAGACGACCTGTCGATGCGGAGTCCCGAACGCAAAGCGAAGCAGATGCCGAGTCCAGTTCCCAGCCGCGAGAGGCTGTATTGAAGCAGGAACTGGGTTGTTCCAGTAGCGAGAGAACTGCTGGCGCAATTCTGCAATCCAAGGACCAGCACAACCCGCTCCTGATCGAGCTTTCGGAGACTGAGGGTGCTCTGGCAGGCCAAAGCGGGAAGATATCATCATCGGCTCCCAGAACCGCTCCGTCGACTGCGCCCGGAAGCACAATCACAGACTCTTTGAGGAGGTCGCCACATCCAGTGGATCACCAGCCTATCAAAAATGCTATCTCGCCAGAGACCACAGAGGCGCCAGTATCACTCGCAGGGAGCGTTCCCGATACGATGGTCACCTGTTCAATGTGCTCTACCAACAACGAGCCGGACGCCCCAACGTGCGTACTCTGCTCACATGTCCTGTGGGCTCGATTAATGAAGGGTGCCTGGTCTTGTGTATCAGGAATGTGTAAAAACAGCTCATATCTCAATCCTGGAGATGCTGGCAGATGTGGCGCTTGCGGATGCTCACGTCCGCAAATAGAATCTATGTCTACCGTTGGACAACAATAACCTGGTGATACTGTGTCAAGTACAGAAGCGCCGTCTGCTGGACTGACGGGCGCTGATGTGTTGTGATGGGACTGGAGACCTCGGTATAAGGCAATACCTAGGTACCTAGGTATCGGGAAGTAAGATGTAATATGTATAGTTATATGTATAATTATCAGATACATGTATGTATAGTGTTGTATACATGTAGTTACCTTACCTGAGACAGCACATCGTAGCATCTCTATAATTCACAACATCCTCGTGCTGCCCCTCGGTCGCACTTGCCTCACATCGCCCACCGAGAATGACGATCACATTGCGGGGTGTGCCAGCAGGGAAGCTGTCACGCGAATTCGTGACAAACCCACTCCCTCCGCCTTCACCTGAACTTCCACTCAACGACAACAACAATCAGTTCACACCCTGACGACACTCGCACACACACACACATAGCAAATTACCGATCATGGCACCAGCGACAAAATCCGCAGAATTCACGACGGCCGTCGAGGACAGCCGCAAGCTCAAGGAGAAGCCAACCAACGACCAACTACTCGAGGTGGGATATACACATGTCGTGAATCGGGAAGTTGTCCAGTGCTAACTGGGCCTAGTTGTACGCACTGTACAAGGTCGGAACCAACGAGACCGAGTTCGAGAAGGCTGAGAAGCCGGGCATGTTTGACTTGAAGGTTGGTATCATTCTTCTGGACTTCCCCGAGCAGTGGAGCAGCTGTGGCGCCTCTGTTCCTGAAAGGTCGAATGCTACGCCGAACATGATATGCTGACACGAGGTTTTCCACTCACACATAGGGCAAGGCCAAGTACAACGCCTGGAAGAAGGAGGTTGATGCTGGCACCACGCCAGAGGCTGCGCAGAAAAAGTACGTGGAGCTGGTGGAGAAGCTGAAGAACGAGCTTGGATACAATGCTTAGGTCAAGCATGAAGTGCGAGGGGAAGACGGCAGCGTTGATGGCATAACGACGGCACGCGGACATGAAGCTCAGCATCTTTATACTTTCTACAGCGTGGTATGAGAATGCCGCTCGACTCGACCAGTCTTGGCGGACGATCCAAATTTTTGACCATCGTCTCTGGGAGCAAGCTGCCGAACATGCGTGCGTGATGATTGAGCTCGCAGTCGACCATCCATGCCCTGTAAAGACGAGACCCTCAACAATGGCCAAAGTTGGGAAAGTATAGACGACGGCTTGGACGGGTCAAATGCTAACACTGCACAAGCTGCATTTATGTGCTTCTTCGCCGAATTCCTCCGCAGGCTGTTGAATGGACGCAGCAGCACGTCTTTCTTAGAGTCTGTTTGCAGGCAGGACCTATGCTCACAGGTACCTTCTACTTCGGCTGTCAGTGCTAATTGCAGAGGTTGCACAGAATACGAGGGGTCCGTTCTAGATACCAAGGGACTTGCCCAACGGCGTTCCCGAATAATTGTCCGAGTTTCTTGCGACGGAAGAGGAATGAATCATACCTCCGTATATGATATATCTATGGAGAAGCGATGATCTAGCCAACTATCACCTTTACTGCACTCTTGCGCTGAGCTAGCTATCTATACCTCCAGGAGGTAGGTGGTGTCTGTTCTCATGATGGTCTAGACTGTAGACAATTTGTCTTGGCATTGTTGCCGTGGCTGGAAGTATATGCACTATGCACCTTACTGTAGTGTAGCTGAGAAGCATGTCGATGATGCTGTTTATTGTTGCTTGAGACTAATAAAGTACCTCCTAGGTCGTCCCAGTTTAACTTGGTGATGAGCGGAAAACGGCACAACTCTACGTCAACAGGAATGAAGTTGTAGTGCTCGCGCAGGTCCAAGGATGGCATTAGATGCCTTAGGCTGAAATCGTGCGGTGACCTCGGCCCCAGGCTACAAGGCACGTGCCGAGTGCCGACCGACGGTTGAGATTAGACTTCCGCTCCTCTGGCGGTCTGGCGCCGTCCCTTGCGTCCCCATGGGGTAGTCCTTCAACTAGTGGCACGAGATAACGCCGTCGATCAGCAGACCGGAATGCTATTCTTCCTCCTCGGCCGCACCGGGCATCGGGAAAGTCGGCGAGTACTGCAGGTTGTTTGGAACATTGGTCAGGGTCAGGGCAAGAGAGCGGATGGTGCGTCCCACAAACCGACTTTGGCACAGCGCCGAGGCTATGGCGACGACGTCTTGAAATGGCCCGGCCAGCATGTCTTACGAGACGACGACGATGCACGCGACGCAGGAAGCAAGAGTACGTGGGGCTTATCATGGGATAACAATACCGGTCGCGACCGGCGAGAGCATCTCGGTCACCCCGAAGGAGAAGGCGATGAGGGCGATGAAGGCGATGCTATTCTCCCACAGAACCGCACTCGAGACGACTTGTTGGGTATAGAGAGCCAACTCGACTTGTGGGAGCGCTTCGAGAGCGAAACCGCCCAGGGCCCATACACACCTGCCCAGAAGCAGACTGAAGCCGACGAGGAGGCTCCAGAGCCCGCGATCCTGACAAATTCGCTCTTGGACGTGGATTATAAGAACGAATTGCAGCCAGCGTTGGACAAGAGGGCCTCGGATCTCGTGATACGATGCTTGTACGCTGCTGCTCAGGTACATGATCAGGACTTCCTCGCTTCCATATCTGCTCCAATGTTCAGCCAGATACTGGAGCTGTTAGAGCCCAATCAATTCGTGGCAAAACTTGGCACGGCGCACATTGAACTCAGTACCGCATTGGCGGCGTCGATGAACATCGCCCCTATGCGTGAGGTAGCATTTGAATACAATAAAACACTCCTACGGATCTTGAAGGATCGACGCTCGACAGGCCACATTCCCACGCTCGACGATTATGTATTGCTCCTTCGCAGTGCTCGGCTCTTAGGAAGCCATAAAATGGCCGGCATAGTATGGCGTAGTCTTCTGAAAGATGGAATCCAACCAGACACGCGCTGCTTTAATCATTATATGGCATCCCTGGTGTGGAATGGCATGCACTCGGCTGGCTCCAGGCACAAAGTGCGCGCAATACCGTTTTTCATGATGGCCAGGAGCGCAGCTCATCGCGACCGTCGCTTCTCAAACTACCGTGTCGGCGATCGTGGCGTCAAGGAAGAAACGATGAAAGCATTCGGGGAAATGTTAGCGTTTGGAGCGGTGGCCGATCATGAGAGCTTTCAAATCTTGATTACCGCTTGCGCACGAGATGGCGATATTGCTACTGTCAAGGCCATTCTCCAGCGTGTGTGGGGCATTGATGTGCAGAGCATTATGGAAGGCAAAGACGAGGCCACGATCGCGCCCAAGTCGTTCTCGGATGACTCGCCAATACGACCACAATCCAGCCTTCTGTTTGCCCTTGCTCATGCGTTCGGCATTAACAACGATGTGCCTTCAGCACTTCGGGTCGTGGATTTTGTGGCACGGCACTATGAATTGGAAATCACGTCGGAGATTTGGAACCAATTGTTCGAATGGACCTTTGTGCTCGCGCACCAACGCCGACCAGACGCTCCAGAAAATGCCGGGAAGCTACCTATAGGAAGCGTTCTGGGTCTATGGGAGACGATGACAGGTCCTCCGTACTTTATCAAACCAACCCTGGGCATGTACTCCCGACTCATTAGCAATCTAGTTGATCGAAAGTACACCTCAAAGATTATAGAGGTTATGCGCGAAGCAATGCCGCTACACCGTGCTGATGCCGATGCGGCCCACAAGGCACGGAGACGACTGGCGGCCGCTGTTCAAGAGGGCAAGCCGGTTGACGACATTGAAATGAGTCGAAAAGAGTGGGAGTATACTCGCATGATTCACGCTCGCAACGTCTTCTGGTTGCGACGCTGGGTCCGACAAATTTTGACGTCTTTGAACATACGGAATGTTTTTGACGGAGGCAAAGCCAAATTCCTGGACGAGCTTCCACGGGTCCTCTGGGAATGGCGACGATATGCGCCTCGCAAAGTGCAATATGAAATTGCATCCGGCTTCATCGACTTGGAGTTTCACGAAGAGCGAGATGCGAGCCGGCGGCGGTCTGCTGACCGACTGCATCCGTTGAAGGAGAAGAGTAGGAGATATGTCGGCAACGACTGGGCGGTGGAACATAAAATGTCAGACAAAAATCTCGAAGAACGAGAGCAACGCCGCTGCAGCAAAGCGGCAGCGCGAGAAGAGCAGAACTTCCGTAGACTCGTTGGCGGCCACCTTGCAAAGGAGTTTGGCAGCGCTCTGTGAGCACAGTAACCACGTTCGACAGTACCATGTCAGTGCTTGTATAGGTTCATAGGTACCTACTACTTACCTAGTCGTCAGCACGAATTAATTCTCTACCGCCGTGCCATGACGATATCATCATATCTCTATCCGGGAGCGCACTTTTTATTTATCACTCCTTCTCTTTCTACATGGAACGACATCCAAGTTGTTGATTACAGTGGAGTATTCCTAAGAATCCATTTTGACAGAACCTATCGATCCTTATAAATCACCAGCGAATTCCAGATTCTTGTGAACAGCTCATTCTTCTTTTCTCGTAAACTTGTGCCCAGTACCACCCCAGTGATAAGTAAGAAGTAGCACCGACCCAATCCCCCAAGCAATGAAGAGAGAAGAGAAGAGAAGAGAAGAGACAACAAAAAAGAATCTCTCTGCTGCCTTCTCTCTCATCACCCCCTTCCCTAATCACACATTGCTGCAGCTGTTCTCATCCTCACTTTTGGTCGGGTCGTACAAAGGACAACAATTCGCTCCATCAATACGATAGTCAGGCCGATTAAACTGCTTGCATCCGTCTTTAAACAAACTCCTCAAATCGTCCGACATGATATTCGGGTGTCGACACTATTATGGTAAGGTAAGTATCATTCAATACGATTAGCAAAAAGCAAAAGCAGAGCAAAAAAAAAAGAAAAAGAAAATATCGAACGTACATGCACCTCCTCCGCCTCCGTCCCAGGATGGCTCACATAAGTTTCATAAAGAGGATCTCCCGCGAAATTCTGCTCGGGAATTCCGTCGTGGAGCTGTTGACAGAGACTTCCTGTCGCGCCATCTTCGGGGATAATTTTACCGTCCGAGGTGGCTTTGTAGCAGAGGCAATGGGCTAGGTCGTCGGGGCCGGATGTTGAGTTGTCGGCTGCGAGGACGAGGTGGTGGTTTCTGTCGAGAGGGATTAGTTTTGTTTCTTTTTTCTTTTTTTTTGTTTTTCCCTTCGGTTCAAGTAGGGAGAGATTTTCTCTTCTTTTTTGTTTCGACTCGCCCCGTAATTGGAATTTTTACCTACTTGGACATCAATGCGCCCACGAGAGCGGAGACTAGCAACTGCGACCACATGGTTCTTTTCTTTTTATTCGGTGGGATCGAATTTGCGGCGTGACGACAAGTTTCAGTGGCGGGTACTAGGGAAAGGAAGAAGAGAAGAGATATGGACGTGGGCCGGTTCGTCTGATGTATATATATACATAATGCAAAAAGACCAACAGCGAGAGTACCTGGTTCGGGGGTACTTCTCAATTTCCACGGCTCGATGGAGGTTGTTTTCGTTGTTGTTTTTTTGTTGGTTGGGTTCCCCTTTTAAAATACAAGGATAGACCCCCGAGGGTTGGTGTTGGTAATTTCTTTCTTTCGGCGGGATGATATACATGTCACTTGGCAATAGCCGCACTGATTTCTGATGATGAACTTGACCCTGTGTTCTTGTTGGTCAGCTCTGCAGCATGCAAACACATGATCATACTGTTATACTGCTCCTACATAGGGCGAATTGTCAAGTATAGGGACGAGCCAGGATGAATTATTATGGATGAATGAATGAATGAATGGATGAATCAATCAATGAATCAATGAATCAATCAATCCATCAGTCAATCCATCAGTCAATCCATCAGTCAATCCATCAGTCAATCCATCAGTCAATCCATCAATCCATCAATCCATCAATCCATCCATCGATCCATCGATCCATCGATCCATCGATCCATCGATCCATCGATCAAAGTGATCAAAGTCATCAAAGTCATCAAAGTCATCAAAGTCATCAAAGTCATCAAAGTCATCAAAGTCATCAAAGCGATCAAAGTCATCAAAGTGATCAAAGTGATCAAAGTCATCAAAGTAGTCAAAGCAGTCGAAGCAATCGAAGCAGTCAAAGTGATCAAAGTAATCAAAATAAATAATCAAAGTAGTCAAAGTAGTCAAAGCAATCAATCAATCAATCAAAGTAGTCAAAGTAGTCAAAGCAACCAAAGCAATCGAAGCAATCGAAGCAATGGCTGCCGGGACTTCGTTGCTCCCCCCCGCAGTCAGTTGGTTCGCCCCTGCCCCTGTCTTTCTACTGTACACAGTGTACTGTAGCACTCAAAGCACAACTCGCTGATGTGATTCCCACAAATGGCCCTCACGACCAGGTATGTAGTTATAGATTCCATAAACTTCAATCATCATGAAAGAGTCAGTAAATCGTGATTGAAAGCAAGGACAAAAAGCAGTTACTTGGATGTCGGGTAATGGTATTGATCAGAATTCCAACAAAACGCCTCTTCTCCGCAACGTGGTCCAGACCTCACCTAGTAAGCGTCAGCCCCTGTGCATGGCCTTCACTCTGCCACGGGACTACCCTCTGCCGTGTTGGGCCCATTCCCTGTTGCTCCGGGCTGCCGCACACCAGCATCCTCCCACTTCTTCAACATCACGTTCATGCCAAACTCTTCGACTCGATTGCTCGCATTCACGTGTGGCATGCTCCAGTTGGGGTAACGAATCGAACGGAGCTTTCCTAGATCGGACGAGCGCCACGCAATACCGCCCATAATCTTCACCATCGTATTGACCGATTCCGGTAACCGGACGTGCAACTCTTCCGTCGCAGTGTGATATGCAGTCGCTGCCAGTCCGTGCGAGAGCGTCCAGCGTAGGCTTGTGGCCAGTGAGATGCGGAAGAATTCTTCGAGAGCGGCAATGGTGTCTTGTACTGGTCCGGCGTGTGCGGCTGCACGTTCGAAGCGTAGGTCAGGGTTCGCGTGCATGTCGTTCAGGCAGACGAACACACCCAGAACGGAGTGGTTGAGCAGGATGAAGGAGACGCACTTGAGGCCATATGTCTCGCGGAACGTCCGAATGAGCGTGGCGCCGTCGTAGCAGTTCTTCAAGGCCTTGAGGCGAAGATACTTCTCGAGTGTTTTACTTTCGATACTGGTCAGGTGCTCCACCTGGACGATCCTGCCGCCGAAGGTTCCAAACATTTGCGCATAGGTCCGCTCGTGAAGTGCCATCATGATACAGTGGAATTGTACGTGCAGGTCGTACAAGCTTGGCGGCATATTCGCTGTGAGGCGCAGTTCATCCGGCAGAGTGTTGTACCAGGTTTCCAGACGTTCTGTCAGGTTGATCAGCGTATCCGCATGCTCGCGCCGTCCATCCAGCTCGGTGGCGTTCCAGATTAGCATTCTGGTTGCTTCCCATAGGAGCCGTATGAAGACACATTGGTAGCGGAAAGCGAGATTGGCTCGAAGAGCGATGGGCTCGTCTTTGAAAGGATAGCCAATCTGGACGTGTGATTAGCATGCATCTCACGAGGGGGGGCTATTGGTTCTTGCATAAGTACCCAGTATATCTCTGTATCCGGCAAGACATCGTCGAGGTTGGGGGCAGATTCCCAATGAGTATCATCTCCCCCAACCATCATGCCTATTTTGTACGTCAGAGCGACATGCACGGCCATCCACCACACACAGGCTCGAGCAACATAGTACTCGGACTCCTGCTCCGTCATATCGGCACTCCGAACAGGCAGTGGAAGCCATCGGTTCAGAGTCGAAGCTGCACTTAGGTGGATTTCTCCTTGCAAGTCGTTGCCGCGGAGGAGGCATTCCAGCGCCAGGATGGCAAGTCCTTGTATATTGGTAATGCTCGGCTCCGACATTGCTGCGGTCGAGAGCCTTACAGCTTCGTCGTGGTAGCGCATTCCCTTCTCAAAGGAGTGTCCAGGTTGGAAGTGTTCTTCGCTCAGGTCCGAATTCAGGGATGCCAAGGCCATCATGGCATGGACCAATAGCGGTGAGCAGTATTGCGATGCGAGATTCCCACTACGCATGTCTCTCAGGAAGAGATCAGTCTCCACGAATCGCCATGTATGATTGAGGAAACAGAGAAAAAGCGAGATGAGGTGCGAGGCTTCCTGGTCGCTGGTGCCCGGGAGCCAGGGGCTAGCGGGCACCCAGTACAGTGGTCCACGGGCAGATCGTGAAATGATGGGCGAGTGGTGAGAGTTGGCGTGGATGGCAGCTGGTCGGTTCGCAGCAGTCAACAGATCACCCAGGTCGTCGAGCTGGACGATTCGGTCTCGGAAGGGGGTATATGCATCGTAAGAAGGAATATTGATGACGGTATTCGCCAGGAAGGCAGAGGCTGTTCCCTCGACTTGCAGCAATGTGGCAGTGGATTCGATGAGGCAGGAGATGAACTTGAATTGCAGACGCTGGCCTGCCGAGAGGAGCGGTGAGGATGGCGCGCCTCCGTGCTGCAAGTGGTCGACGAGCGATTCCAGATTCTCGCCCCGTCGGATGCGTCGAAAGATGGCCACTGCTCGGGCCTCATTGTCGCCGGCGAGCAGATCCCACAGCTGCTGGAAATTCGAGTTCCGGACTGTGGTTTCGTCGAATCGCCTCTTCCGTGCTTGCTGAGGAGTCTCACTCGGGACAGTGGTCTCAAAGATGCACTCGATATCCCGGCGGAGACAGTATGAGCATGGTCGAGCACCATTGCACTGGGCACGGTGGTGGTGTTAGCGCCGAAACGAGATGGAATGGCTTCTTTCGGACGTAGGATGAACTACGCTATGCCTTCTTACCTTGACTTTCTTGACCCGACAGTTGTCGCAAGCCGCAGCGACGGCCTGTCGCTTCAAGGACTGTAGCAGGCGGTCTGGCTCACTGTTATCTCGCGATTCTCTCGATTCTCGCGATCCGCGTCGGCTCACACTGGCGTTTGCCATCGAGTTGCGCCGGTCCCAGCGGCGGCCGCATAGAGCCTAGCTAGCCTAAGCACACGCAGACTTCGGTCAAGTGTTCTCCCGGTCCACGAAGGGAAGATAAACACGACGCGGTGATGGTGGTGAGGGGGCGGCTGGTCGAGGGAATGAATTGGGGAAGGGTAGATAAGCTGCTGAAGTGTTTCCAGTTGTTTGTCGTCGGAGGTCGGACGATAGCGCCGCAATATCATAGATGCACGAAATCCCTCGGAGACGTGTCCGCACAGATGAGCCACACGCACGTCAGTGACCCGAGTGAAGTCCCCCGATCAGTTATATGTAATTTAAGCGGGCCACATTTCAAATCGGTACCGCCATGGACATTGGACATTGGACACAGGGTCGGTGGGAGCGGGAACTTCAAACACTCGTGGACCCATTCTCAGGCTGGTTCCTGCTAAAAGGCGTCACTCCAAATGGAGGCTTCAATTCGTCCTTTGATGCTCTTTTCTGGAGACCGCTGAGATATGAGCAGCTTCTATTGCACGCCATGGCTCAGGTGGTGAGGGAGGCAGAAGAAGAAGAAAAAAGCAGACGAGGAGGTGGAGAAGGCGGAGAAGGAGAAGAGGGGGAGAAGGAGAAGGAGAAGAGGGGGAGAAAGGAGAAAGAGAAAGGAGAAAGAGAAAGAAGAAGCAGCAGCAGATGTATACTGTACCTCAGGAACAAGAAAGAAAAACAAGAAGTCATCTTTGAGTTTCACTCTTGAACCACGGACTACTGTACGTAAGCAGCGCTAAACTTTCTAGGTACATTTGGATAAGGTATAGCCATTGATTGCCCGTACCACTAACTTACTCCTTGCTTCAACGATCAGAGACACACCTCCTTCAGGTTCATGACTACAAATGTACCTACATGTACCTATATACTTTTGCCCCTACAGAACAACATTGCCAAGAACCAACGTGGATGTGATGGCGGATGGAGGCTTGCTGCCCAAGGCAATTGTCAATTCCTCCTTCACTGGACTAAGCCTTTCTATGACCATGCTCGCTGGTAATAATGTATGTAACGATAGGTTACAATCTGTGGGTGACCCCGTCTATATATTCTCGTTCCTCTCCTTCCTCTTCTCCCACTTCTTCTTCCCCTTCATCTATACATAGTCTATCTCGTTTCGACTAACAAGAAATGTATCGCCGCATATCCGAGTACCAAGAAGACTCCGCAGAATACTGCCAGACCAATCACATCATTCCACAGGGCAAGCACATCAAACCCAAAGCTGGAGAGAATGGCTGACCCGGGCACTTCGATGTTGAGACCATATTTCTTATCCACCAGAGAAAGATAACGAACTTCATTGACAATGAGTCCTTCGAAACCAAAGTGGAAGATGGAAAGCTACAGGGCACCCGTCAGTCAGCGTGTCGAACACGACAAAGAGGCACAGTGAAGAAAAAACCACTCACCGATTGCAGCCACAAAAGTGGTTTGGGTATCGTTTCTTGATTGAGCAAAAAGCCTCCAAAGAGAAGACTAAACAGCATGACCAGCACACCAAACAGATTCGCCACTCCTTGGTTGCGAACACAAATGCCGATCGTCAGGCACACCATCGCTGCAGCGAGGTTGAAGAGCACGATGAACAGCATGAACTTCAAGAATTCGCCCCAGCTGGGAATCAAGCCCGTCATCGGATACACGATGCATCCCATGATAATGGGTGGAATGAGTCGCAGAGGCACCACATCGAACACCACTTTCGACAAGTAGTATGCCAGGGGGCTGTAGTAGCCCTTCGATCGCTCGCGGAGGAAGAGCAACCGTTCGGGCGCGAAGACGGTGAGTGAGGTCAGAGTGCTGAAGCCAAAGAGCGCCAGCAGGAAGAAGAAGAATCCGAGTCGGTTTTGGAACCCTTTGAGGTCATCCGTGAGGCCATAAAAGAGGAAGCCGAGGAATACCGCCAACACAATAGCAATGGCGTAGTGGGTGAGCATGAGCATTGGATTGCGGTACAGGTTGCGCCAGGTCCGTCGTGATAGGATGACAAACTGAGTCGGTATCCATGGCTTGCGATACCCCTTGAAGTTGTTGCTGCTGGTCGTGCCGTTCGGAGAGCCCGGGCCATTTCCATTACTCTGCCCGGCCCCAGAAATCGCATTCTGAAGATCACTTCGCAATTCTGAAGCTACTTCGGATTGCTGGTACGATGATACGAGAAAGTCGAGGTTCGTACCAGTCGCGCCCTCCACAGGGGATGGTAGATTGACGGGGTCGTCTAGAATCTGTGGAGGTGGCGCTCCTTGTTGCTTCGAGAGCTTCAGCCACTGTTGTCGCGTGTGTTCATGATCGCCAAAGGTGCTGTCGCCTTCACTCGTCACACTGTGTGTGCTCGCAGGGACATCTGTGCTCTTTCTCGAGAACAGTTGCCGTTCCTGCTGCTGACGGATGCTCAAACTTCTCTTGCCTCGAGGCCGAGACGCACCGTCTTCTATCGATCCCCCAGTACTGATATTGCTGACACTGTGAATGCTTTTGACAGCCATGGTCGAGCTTGCACGAGTCACCCTGCCATCGTTATCGGAGTGATACTCGCCGTCAAGGTCGGCTGAGTCCTGCATCGTGCCAGCATGCATGGTCAGATCTACCAAGTAATCTGCAATGTTGAAGCCGGGCGGGCAAGAGTAACCTATGCTGGCAAAGTAGCTCTGGCACTCTCGGAAAGGTCCACTATAGACAGTGCGACCATACGATAGCAGGATGAGCTGGTCGAATAGCGCCACGATGTTTGAGCGCGGCTGATGGATCGTGAAGACGACAGTACGATTATAGCTCTTGACCAGAGTCACCAGGCATTCCACTACATTGAAAGCGTTGAAAGCGTCGAGGCCAGATGTAGGCTCGTCCAAGAAAAGGATACTGGGACTGGTCACCAATTCACATGCGATGCCAACTCGACGCTTCTCGCCGCCAGAGATGCCTCGCGCGCTCTCCTCCGAGCCGATAATTTGATGTCGAATGTGGTAGATGCCGAGCTGTCGTTCGACATCTTCGACCTTCTGTTCCTTTGCGGCGCGGCTCATCTCCTTCGGCAAACGAAGCAGGGCGGAGTCGAGGATAGTTTCGTGGACTGTCAAGGTGGGCAGCAGCGTGTCTTCTTGATCCACAAACCCTATCACATTCCTAAAGTCATCGTCAGGAATCTTCTCGCCATTGAGATAAAAGTCGCCAGTTGCCAGTCCGCGCTTCCTCTTGCGAGCCAGAATATCAAGGAACGATGTCTTGCCAGCCCCTGACGCCCCCATGATTGCCAAAAGCTCGCCAGGATGCACGGCGCCGAATACATTCGTCAAGACCTGCTTCCCCCTGATATTGTACGCAACGTTCTCGAAGAACAAAGATGCAGGCTTGTGGTCGGCGAGCAGTCTGGCGTTCTCCTCCTCTTCATCCTCCGAGAGATGAATGTAGCCCCACTTGTTGTCCTTCCGACGATTCATGAAGTAAACGAGGAGAACCACGGCCACTACAAAAAGTGCGACGCCAGAAATGACACCAGCAATGAGTGGCGTGTTGATGGTCTTGATGGGTCGAGTGTAGCCCGGGACCTCATTTTTGTACAAGCACTCGCCGCTGTGACACTTGAGCAAGATGCTTGGATCACCAAAGACACTCGATATCAGGCCATTCATAGCAGGCTCCGTGAACGTGCTTCCATCTTCCTTGCCATTGAGGGTGCTGACCGAAGTGAAGCCGGCAGGTCCCTTGATCTCCTGGTCGAGAAAGTCGCCAATGTCGATACTGCCCGACTCGCCACACAACATGCGACCTGGAATACAAGAGCACTTGATGTTCTCACATTTGTAGCTCGTGGTGTTCCTCGTGTCTGTAGCCTTCAGATCCCAGCTACACGTGTCCAGCGCGCAGTAGAAGCTCTCCCTCTGGTCCACCCAGAACTGAAAGTTGCATTCTGCTCTTTCCGCATTGCAGCTAAACGTCGCCTGGGGCTTCTTGTCTTTGAGAGTGTCCAAGATCTTGCGATTCGTGATGTCACATATCTGGTAATTCTCCTTCTGCACGACTCCCTCCCGGTAACAGACGCCATCTTTGCCCTCGGGCATCAGAGCGTTACAGGCATCGTTGGTCTGGCACACATTACAGTTGATGCCCGCCCAGCCGTCCTTGCACTGGCAGCGGTCGCCTTCTCGTGGCAGTCTGTCCTTGCCATCTGCCAGAGAGCCACACAGCGGCTGGCTACAGTCTTCGCCGCCAAAGCCCGAAGGACAAGAGCACTTGCCGCTGCTCTTGGTGCAGTTGCCATACTGCATACACTTGAAGTCACCCAAGTTGCAGTTAAAGCACGGCGGACAGTCCTCGGGTCGCTTCTCGCGGGCGAACAGCTGGAAGGGGTCGTTGCGGGCGAGGAGGTCATCGTTCGTGGTGGCGTAGTAGTGATTCGTGCTGGAGGCAGCAGTGGCGGCCCATGGTAGACACAGCAGCGTCAACGCAGACACAGTGCACATGGTACGCCACATGTCGGCGGAGGCGAGCTCAGTGGTCGGGTGGGATGGAAAGGGAGGCCAGAGCGGCGAGGTCGGTGTTATCGCATTGGTGCTCTCAGGACGAACAAGTCATATCACCCCGTGACTCCGGAAGCAGTGTGTGTTGTCGGATGGCACACAGTGGAGATAGTCGGCTGCATCGAAGGACAGAGACGCGGTTGACGCCTTGTTTGGAGTTGGTGGTCCCTCCTACCGCCTACTGTCACCTGTGGATACCTACCTAGGTACCTAGGTACATGTCTACCTACTGAACAGCTGATGGGTACTCCCGTCACTAATGTGAGGTAGCTTCATGAACTAGAACTACTTTAGCCGAAACCTCTGGGCCCCCTGTCCAAACACCAAATGGCACGTGGAGACGAGCATGTGAAAGGCGAGCCGAGGCCATCTCCCTCGCAGTGGTATCATTACGGTATATAGGTACCTACATGTACCTGACCTATTACGAAGGTATAAACACATGTAATACAGAGTATCCGTGTCGCTTACACTGAGTGATAACAATATCTTCCAGCTTCACGATCCTGTGGCCACAAGAATATTCACGCAAGGAGCCAATAGTCCATGCACAAGCAATGTCTCTGCAAATGTGCAAACCATGCTACTGTATCGCCACCTCTGAGCCGATCCGCGTTCACGTCCTCCATGTACGATCCGCACCTCCTGCACACCCGCCGTTGCATGTGCTTGGGCAATACGATCTTTCGAATGACATCGTACGCTCGGCCATCTTCAGCACGCCGACAGTTTCTCAGGTGTGTCAATGTCACATCCCAGAACATCAGATCGCTGAGATTCACATGCGCGGTCAACCGAGGCACCATGCTGTCAAGCAAGCTGTTTAACGGTTGCTCCAGTTCCGAGGGTACTGTGCCGTCGACAATCATGTCCGTCTCAAGCTGTCCTCGTTGTTCAACAGATATAGATGGCTGGTTGTAGGCGCCGCGGATAGCCACATCAAGCTCCGCTAGCATCTGTTCGAAATGCGGAAGCTTGAATGGCATAGCTTTGATGTGTTTCAGGATTGCGGTGAGTTCCTGTTGCTCTGCAATCGATCGAGCCCGCCCAAGGACAAGTTGGACAGCTTGCATGTATTTCACTATCCACATGGTCTGAAATCGAAGGACTACACGCGAGTAGCTGCACAACGCAAGGTGCAGGGCGATTGATCCAGACGACGTCACGAGGACCTCGAACGCTTGCTTGGCCGTGACACCAGACTCCAGGTTGCGCTTCACTTCGACAAGGGTGCGCACTACATACACCATCAGATCGATGCACCACTTGACGAGGCCTCGAAGCGAGTGGACCGCATCCGATGAAATGGATTTCATGTCTTGACGGCTGAGTGTTTGCGCGCATGCTGTGCTCGCCAGGCGAAGTGTGAGCATTGCAAAGGCATATTGCGCCGAAAAGTTGCGTTCGCCTGTCACCGAGTTGGTGCCAAGTGCAAGCTGTGCGCTCAAGCAGCGTGGCACGAATGGCTCCTTAAGTACAATCATCTGTTGTCTACTCTGATCTTGGCAGGAGATATCGGGTGTCCTTTGCAGCATGCGGAAAATCATCTTGACCACTCGGGAGCGAATTTCGACGCTGGCGTTGACCGGCAGCAGCGCCAAGACTTCGTCGTTGGACACGTTGTTGAAGCATAGGAAGGCGTACTGTCGAGCTATACACACCGTCGCAGCTTCGATGTATGCTCTATTGTCTCCCACGAGGGCATCTTCGGTTTCTTGCCAGCCGTGCGTGAATATCATGTTCTGCGTCGCAATTTCCCCATTGGCCCGTACTAATGCTAGAGCGCTCCCGTCAGAGGACATCGCAACGTGTACGTTCTGTGCACCAGAAGGGTGCCAGAAACCGGTCTGAGGGATGTTGGATACGATCTCTGTGTCGTTGAAAGAGCTTAACGTGTTCATGCTCACACGATCCCTGAAATCGAGACATCCGTCGCTGGTCGCAAAGGCTGAAATGGTATCAAATGCTTGCGACGCGAACGCCATGATAATCTTAGGAATCGTGGTGTCCGCTTGCCGCTTGAGAAGTGTGGCTTGGTGGAGTACATGGTTATTTGCGTCGCCAGAACCTTGCCTAAGCTTCTTAAAGCTTTCATGTAGCGTGGGTGAGTACGACTCGACCGTCCATCGTAGCACCGTGCTGGAGTAAGCTTGATTTTGCGAGCTATCCAACGACGCGGCCGAGTAGGTGAAGATAGCCTGTACGGTAGGCGTAGTGGGCGATAGTTGCGCAGCTTCAGGGACTGCAGGGATGATGTCCAGTTGTGACAGTTTTGCTCCGTCCATCTGCTGAGCGCGGACCATTTCCACTGCCGTCAAGTGATGAACATCCAATTCGGGTGATACCAGGGTATGTTGCTGGCTCCCTCGACTTTGCTGCGTGGCATTCCAGTGGATGGTGATGCGATAAAGTCGTAACTGCGAGCTCTGGTCTGCCGTAACAGCCAAAAGATCGGCACCATCTTCCCCCAAGGCGGCGTGCGTTAAGTACTCGTCCGACGATCGAACGGTGTGAAGCACTACACTGGTTGACTGCCAGCCCTGCCCTTCATTCTGGTAGAGCAGTGTAAGCTCAGTGGAGCGGCTAATGTGGAGCAATGCGTGGCGGCCTTCAGCCGGGTGATGCGCTTTCAAGGCGTGCTGATCACGGTGCTTGATCGGGGCTTCCCACTTGTCTCCGTTCTTGCGAGCCACATCGAGGTAAGGTCCCTGGAGCTGGTGTTAGTTATGCACTGGTCGAAGGCGCACGCCGCGCTCCGAGTACTCACTCTGAACTCCGCTGGGAAGAGTGCTAACCTACGTTCCGCCCAGCACTATCAGTAGATGTCTGGCATACATCTCATGCTCGGGGCCTACGTACCAATGCAGGCCGACTATGGCATTCATCGAGTGCTCATCGGTCTTCCGCGATAAGTCCCCACCGGCTGCCGGCACCATTCTGCTCAGCGCCCCTGTCAAAGTGTACATATGGACAACTCCGGCATCATCGACGACCGCAAGCTCTATGCCGATGCCATTAAACTGCAGATGGACAAAGACTCGTCCTTCTGGAGCTTGGATTGCATGCTTAGAGGGCTCACTGGCCGTCCATGCGCCTGTCTTGGGATGACGGACCATAGCACGAAAGGTGACCTGAGAGCCATCGCGGGCGATATAGGCTATGCTCCCAGTATTGGACCAAGCCAGCTTCCTGCAGCACCCTCGACTCTGCATATCGGCCAGGCGCACAAGCAATGCGGCTGGCACGGGAGGAGTTGGCATGGCAGTGACCAGATCACCCGTGGCCTCGCCAAAGAGGTCGTCCATGGTCGGGTCCATTATAGAGGTATCTGGCATACCACCTACCGGCCCTTCAATGCTGCCGATTTCCATAATACCTCAGCGGGGTTCTAGGATGCTCGTGCTGCACCTTATCCGTGAGGTTGCAGATAGGATGTTGGTGAGCAATTGGCATCGCGCAGCGTTCAAGTGGACGGTTCACTTGATAAGCTTCTTGAATCCAGCGTGTTGCAGCGGTCATTTGAGCCGTACTTCAGGTACCTACCTCAGGTAGGAGGTACCTAGTGTTGCAGCTTAATACCTGCCTGAGGTATAGTGCGCAACTCACCTCCGCGGAGCTGCTCTGCCGAGACCGAGCAGATTAAGTTCGGATTCGGTTTCCGTTCTGCATGTCCCCGGCCGCTGTGGAACCTTAAAGTCAGGTGAAGTGCATTGAGTGCCTCTACCAAAAGCTTAGCAACTTCATCGCAGTCTTTCGCAGACCAGGCCAGCTACCTAAGAGAGTTACGTAGTTCTACTGATTCTCGTATCCGATCGGAGAACAACACTCCCACATTACTGAGGTGCTAGACGGCAAGCACCAATAGGAAACATGGCAACATCCGAGCTTTCGACATCTGATGCACCAGAAAGCGTCAGCAACAGCACAAACAATGACAGCTCGCTACGACAACCGAGTCCGTGGGCTAGCAAATACAGAGGTGTACGTTGGGACAGACACCTTACTCTTTTCCCCCTTCTCCAATGCTCCCGATGCAAGCCTAACGAGAGACTGTCTAGGCCGTCGTAGAAGACCTCGACCCCTCACCGGCCTTCTCAACACACCCCACCTCCCCCATCGGCCACGCACTCATGTCCGCCCTCGAACGCGACTACACACACCTTACCGTCATCGACGAACACAAAACGCTCCTGGGCTACATGTCCGTACCGCGTCTCCGTGAATTGTTAGAACGAGGACAAGTCCGAGAATCGGATCCGGTGGAAAAGGCGATGCAGAAGTTTCAGAGAAAGGGCAGGAGGTATAAGCTGATTACTATGGAGACTCGGCTCGAGGAACTGGAAGACTTCTTCGATGGGGGCAAAGAGAAGCAAGAGTTTGCGGTTGTGACAGATCCAGCGAGGAGGTTTGTGCTGGGCGTCGCGACAAGGGAGGATTTGAAGAAGTTTGCGGAGAGGAGGCCGTTCTAGTCTGTTCCTCTTTCATTGCGCATGGTAAACGAGAAGGGAAGGTAAATCTGATGACTGGTCAAACTTTAGCAATGGCGCTGGAGGAGTTCAACACTTGACCCGGAGAAGCGGTACGACTTGCCTTCACACCGTGATTGATGGACTAGGTACGTTTGGGGATCAGCATCTGCGTACTCCAGCTTTTCACATATAGTCGTGTGAACAAGTTCCAGACTTCGGCCCTTTTTCAGTAGCACGCACCTAACCAACGACCCGAGTTTGCAATATCGGCAAACACCGCTGGCACGACCGCATGGAGATGTTACCTTACGCTCGCACATCGGGATTGTACGTGCTCTCAAAGATGTTGCATCGAATCTTTCGCCGAAAGACTGACGCCTTTCTACTAGAGCAACCAGCACTGGGGTCTTCAATGGGAGTTCAAGGAGAGTCCGTTCAGTGAGAGGCCGAAGTATGATCACGACCACCCTTCAACTTGCAAGTCTCTTTGGCGGGAGCAGATGAACAAAACAGCTATTGCACCCAGCTCCGAAGCGAAGACAGCAAGTCCCAAGCAATACTGACCAGGATGCGATGTAGCCCTGTACGACAAAACTCTTGCCTTGTCTCGTCCATTTTGAGTAGTCTATACTAGGGCTAAGAAACCAAAACTTTGTTAACTTCTTGTTGCCGATGCCATCTGCCTCTATATGGCTAGTATATGTACTTCTTTCTGTCTCGCAGTAGAAGAGAAGGTACAGGTATTCCACTGCATGAACCGCACCACACTTCACCCGTCTTGTTGTTATCTCGAGCGGCATATACATGTAGGTAGTCTACGACAATAAGGTAGCCTAGGTAGGTAGGTCCATATCAGTCCGATCGCTTTTCTGCGTTCTCCCGTATGCTCGACGTAGTCAATAGCATACCCGCTCCCCCAGAGCATATGAGACCCAATCCGTTCCCTCCGCGTGTCTTGGAGGTATGCGTAAGGTACCTGAGAAGTCTAAACTCGGCTGGCCTACTAGTTGACTCGATGTCCTTCTCCTCTCGTATCACGAATATGCCTTAACAGATTGAGTAGGAGTCGGAAAGATGATGCGGTATATACATGTAGGTAGCGGGAGTACCACCGGAAAGTACACCCGGATATTGCCGAGCAGTATGAACCCCTGCTAGCAGAAGATCCACCCGGGTTCCAACATTACTTACCATTGGCCTCTCATACAACCGGACCATGAACATCTTCAAGCGAAACAAAGGCAAGAAAGCGCCCCCAAAGTCCCTAGAACAAGATCGCTCGCTCGACGACGAAGATGATGACACGGTCGAGGAGAACAAGGAAGCGCCAAGCTCCAAGAAGGCCCTGATGAAACAGTACCTCAAGCAAGCACAGTCCTGGACGGCCAAAGAAGCGAACGAGGCGAAGAAAGAACTGCAAAAGGCCGCAGGTCTGGGCGCTCGACCGGATGTTGTTCCCGAAGGCGAAGCGCTCGTCAGTGGCGAGCCGAGGACGGTAGAGATCGGTTGGGTGAGCACTCGAGGTTCTAGGAGCCTCATATGAAGAGGATCCCAACTGTACTAAACCACCAACTCCTGGCTGATGATTGCGATGTGATCCTGCAGCACCCCGTAGCAGGCGCCACGGGAAAGTGGTTCGCCGAGAAGACGATCATCGGGAAACAAATCTCCCAGAAGATTGGCAACTACCCCGATCCGACACAGCACTGGGCAGTCATTGTGGGCGACTATGTACATCAGCTGTGGATGGTATGACTGGCGGACCACGCCCCTCTCTGGTACAACAACTTCACATCTTCCGGAGACAGGCTGACTCATTCCGTACAGGACGAGAATCTCGACATCATTTACATCAACGAGACGCTGAAACGAGACGAATGGCACATCTTCGAAGTGGGAAAGACAAGATTCAACGACCAAGCCGTACGCGAAGCCAGCCGTATGACCATTCATAACATGTGAGTGGACTGCTTGATACCGATGGGAATCTTGCGCCTCTGCCACTCCTGAACACGACGCTGATTGAGCTTCCCCTCCTCTCTGCTAGGCGCACAAAACGTCCCGCATACAACCTCATTAGCAACAACTGCCAGAACTTCGCCGTCGAGCTCCTCAAGGCCATTCAAGTAGGCGCGCATCGAGAGTTCGGCACCACCTTTGCCATTTACCAGCGTGCGACGGGAAAAGGCGCCATTATGGATTTATTCGCCGAGAAACCCGATGCAGATCCGCCTGAGTTACAGGACGATGAGGCCGAAATTCCGCCAGTGAAACGACAGGATACGTTGAGTTTTGCGCAGCAGGTGATGAATGATAACACGACGCAGTTGGATCGTCACGGAGAGCCGCAGAAAAAGTGAAATTCCTTGACACCTAAAAGATGCGCGAGAGAAAAATAAATGGAAAGATAGCCCCCTTGCCCTATGTGTTTGTCGTCGAAAGGACTGAAGCGTGCCTGATTCATTGTATTAGGTATCGGAATAATCTTGACATACAAGTGTCACTCGCTCGCGATGCCTTCCCCGGGCTTTCAATATCTACCTATCTACATAGCTAGGCAGTGCCTGCAGGACTGGAGTCCATTGTCCTCTCAATCATTACCTTATCATCGTCAAGCAAACTTCGCCTCCAGATTTGACAGAATAGCCTTCACTTCGTTAATTGATCTTGTCCACAAAGGTATCATATCCAGATGGAAAGCCCGAGAACTTCTCTGACTCTTCCAATTGACGACGAGGATGTTTTGCGTTGGCAGCAGCGGCAGGGGAAATCGCTGCGGCAGTGTTAAGAGGCTGCTATCGAGGATTCAAGATGAAACTAATATACAATATCGCGTGGTCATGTGTGAGTTATAGGGCCCTCCTTCCCCGCCGGGCCTTAGGGGAGCTACGTAGCACCTCCTTTGCTACTTCTATAATAAATGCCGGTCTCCTTTGAAGACACCCCCGTGCCCTCATCGTCCTTATTCGTACCTAGAACACATTATCCCTTAGGCTCGCTGCCCACGCCGTCCTCAGTAGGGTCGGTAAGGTTCTCCTTAAAGTCCCTCTTCAGCAGCGGTTTTCTGCTTCTTGGTTGAAGGCCTTGCTTATCCTCCGCGAGGTCGCAGAGGTGCTTTATTACGTCCCTCTTCGTTCCCGTTACTGTTACTGCCCCTCGTCGTCAATACCTATAAGAGCTACAGTGCTCTGAAGCGCCTCTCCCAGAGTAACTGTGAAGTTTCCAAGCTTCACAAATCATTGGTTCCATGGTCGGCTCAGATGAGGGTGTCACCAGAGTGTTTGCGTACGCCCTCGACAGTTACGAAGGGGTGTAGATCGTAGGCCTATGAGTAGGTAAGATAACGGGTATTGGTATACGTCGTATACTGATAGGATGTCGTCGGAAACAAATGAAAATATAGGTATATAGAATATAGCGGATGGCCGTAGCTTGTTAGGGAAAATTACCTGTACAAGCTACGCACGAGGACTTCTTCTGAGGTCAGATTCTAGTACAGTCTCTCTCTTATGTGGTCAGTCGTGTTTGCTGAGATCGGGTCCCGCTTGTCCGTATATAGAGTGAGCTTGGGGGCCAATGAAGGACTGTGCTGGTAGGCCACACTTTGCCACAAAGAAGGTGCTTGTCATGGAACAAACAAACATCGATTGTGGAGGCCATTGCACTGGGTTTGGCTGAAATTCGCGCTCATAGAGATTGTATACGCCGGTGCACTACCTTGATTGCGCTGTGTATGTCTGAAGTGATGAGAAGGAGAATCAACCGCTAAATGTCAAGGGGTATCAACATCGCCTCATGGACGGACAACCTCATGAGAGTCGTCGAACTCCTCTACTTCTTCCGTGCTATCACTGTGATGATCTGCACCCTCATATTCGGATTTTTGTGATTGCGGCTGCGGAGCGACGCCCTGTCCCCCGAAGAAATCTTCCGTTTGCAGACCTCTCACGGCATCTCCTTTGATCTTCGAATTCATATTCTGCCCGCTTGATCTCTGCGCCTTTATGTACTCCCGTATGGGCACCATGGCGGCATCTCGACAGGCCTCTTTGATATCCGATCCACTCATCTCGGCACTCGCGCGAACGAGGGCATCCAGATCAAAAGCTGGCGATCCGTTGGAGAATATGCGCCGATCGATCTTGGTGTCTTGCAGAGTCAATTCGAAGATTCGTCGTCGTTGCATAGCGTTGGGCAAGCTGACGGGGAATTTCTTAGGCAGCCGTCTCAGAATGGCCTCGTCAATGTCCTGTATCCGATTCGTCGCGCCGAGTATACATATCCTCTGACTTCCACCAGCTGCTGTTGATGACGCAAGACCGTCCCAATGTGTCATGAACTCCGCCTTTACCATTCCACTGGCCTCATGTTCTCCGCTTCGTCGCTGTCCGAGTACAGCATCAATCTCATCAATGAACACAATGGATGGCTGCAGTTTCCGAGCGAGGGAGAAGACGGCCGCGACTAGTTTGTTGCTATCACCATACCACTTTTCGGTCAACGTGGAGATGTGCAGATTGATAAAGCAGGCTCCACTTTCGCGCGCGAGTGCCTTTGCCAGCATCGTCTTTCCACATCCAGGTGGACCATACAACAAGACGCCCGACGGAGCACTCAGAAGTTTCGAGTGGCCGGAGTACAGATGAGGCATGGTCAGCGGATAGATGACGCTTTCGCGCAGTTCTTCGATGATTTGATCCAAGCCACCAATATCCTCGAATGTCACGGGAATCTCCATGGGTGCCACCACTTCCGAGGCAATGGTCTGCTCATAGGAGTTCAATGACAAGTCTCGCCGCCTCAGCCTCCCATGGTAATCCGACTCCTCACCCTCGCCCTCGCCCTCGCCATCTCCTTCCGCCTCGTCGTCGTCGTAGGAATCCTCGTCGGCGCGGCCGTGGTTGGAGAAGAGGGAGTAGAGGCGGGACTCGATCGCGGCCTTCTTTTTCTGGGCATCCTCCTTCGCTTTGTGGTCGGGATCGAGGAAGGCGATGGCCTGGCGGGCGAGAAGGAATCCCAGCCCCGCCTGTGCATGCACTCACATACACTCTCTTGTCAGCCCACTTCGGTGTCACGTGGTGTAAGTAGTTGACATACGAAGGCAATTCCCATGAGTATTTCTGGAGCATTTGACCACCAGCTGTTGTGTTGGACAGCCATGATGGTGATGATAGCAATCGGCGAGAGGAGGAGGAGGAGGAGGATGGACGATGGACGATGGACGCGGGAATGCGAGACTCGGCTTGGCTTCTTCCTCAGGCTCTCGCTTTCACATGACTGTAAGTGCTCGTGCACGGCTGCTGAAGTCATGATTAGTCATCCGTCATCGGGCTCGGCGGTTGCGGGAGGCTCGCTCCGTCGGAGCTTCCCGCTCATCGCTTGGCGCAGGTAGAATGCCAGAAGCTCGATTTTCCTCTGAATTACCTCCTACATCCTATAAAAACACGGTCTTGTCGCAGGCGGACCATGCTATTGCCCAGAGTGCCACCATAGAGGTATGTCTAGCCCATAACGATCACCACTGCTGGAACGGGAGGAGTGCCGCAATTGAAACCGAATGGGCGAATCAATGGACTGGAATCTGGACGAACGACCGCTTGATTACCTATGCTAACAGCACGCCAAGAACCCTCGTGGGTGGCCTAGGCCCTACCTCCTAGCATTCCTCCAGTGGACTCGGTGCAGGAATTGAAATGCCTCAGGCACCATACCTTTCGAAATCCTGCACCTTGCGTTTCCGGGCTGGGGCCTCTTCTGGACTGGGTCACTCACAGGGGTACAGCTGGCCCCAGTCGCTTCAGTTGGCCAGACTCCCAGACCTTCTCGAACTAGGTACAATTGCTAACTTCGACAGCTATATCTACGATACGGCATTGCGCGCCCAACGCCTGACCTACAGCTGGGATAGGCAATCTGAAATGGACTGGTGATGGTAGACTGGAAAAAAGAAAGTGACGCGTATCGAAGGCGTACTCGTGGTGAGGAGCCAGAAGGTGGACACGATGCGTCTGTAGGATTGGAGACACTCGGGCAGAAATGGCCACAAACAGCAGGAATTGGACACGGTAAAGAGGCAAGCAGATGGACGTGCACACCGCCAGCACATGCTCCTGGAATTGCCGAAGCGAAGTGGCGCAACCAGTCGAAGGCGGAGCAAGTCCGAGCATTGGAGGTTCAGAGACCTGCTGAAGCCGAAGACGCCTCTTTTCGACCTCTGATCGCCCGACCCGAACGATGCTGAGTGGCCGTTCCTGCATTGTACCCCTCGGATGATGCTGCATCGGTTCGTGAATCGTCCCACAATCTCACTATTGTAGTGCTATTCATGTCCCACGAACCGATCACCAAGACCCAAGAACCGAAAACCAAGACTTTCACTCCACAGCCAAGCATGCGTAATGCGGAGGGATGCAACCTCAGACTTTTCTCCTCAGACCTCCTCCTCTTCTCCCATCTTTTCGCACAAACACATGACAGTAGGTGGGTGCCGACCGCTCTGCCGACACGTGTAGTTGGTCTTAGAGCGTTCCGTTCGCGACTAGAAGCGGCGGTCGGTGTCACTTGGGCCTCGCGATGCTGTTGAACATTCCGCGTGGATATTAATGCGCGCCGTTTATACCCGTCTTGGCTAGCACTGCTCGTGGGAAGCATTCGATGGGATCTAAAGCGTCGTAGTGTGAACGAATGTCTCGCCGTAGAGGTATTATAAACGCCTTCTCCATGCATATCGCTGTGTTCACCTTGACAGATCTTCTCATAACGCTGTCACCTTCGCAAGATGCTGTCGAGAGCGATACTAGGCGCCTTTCTGGCAGCCATTGTCGGCAGCCATGCTCAGGAGGGCAATGATACTGCACCGGTAAGCCTGACCAAGACACAGACGAGAGAGCTTGTCATTTCTAATGTCGAGCAGTTCCCAAACACCACTTACCCGGACGCTCTGTCTCCCAACCCAGCTGCAGTAGCAGGTGCACAATCCAACCAGGCATCTCCTCCCAAGTATCCTTCTCCATGGAGCACTGGAGCTGGTGACTGGAAAGCAGCATGGCAGAGGGCCACGGAGGTCGTTGCTCAACTCACGTTGGATGAGAAGGTCAATCTAACGACAGGTTTGCCTTTTCCCTCTCTCCCTCCCTCCCTCCCTCCCTCCATCCACGAAAGGCGTGTCTGACAGATTGGACAGGCACAGGATGGTCAGAAGAACAGTGTGTAGGCAATACGGGATCCGTGCCGCGTCTAGGCATTCGCTCCCTGTGTTTCCAGGATTCGCCCAATGGTGCGCGGCTGACCGACTTCGCATCGGTCTTTCCCTCTGGCGTCAATGTCGCCGCGACGTGGAGCAAAAGCCTAGCGTATGCCAGAGCTGTTGCAATGGGCGAGGAGTTCCGCGGCAAAGGTACCAGCGGATTTCTCGGGCCAGTCGCAGGACCAATTGGACGCTCTCCGGCGGGAGGACGAAACTGGGTAAGTGAGACGGGAAGCACGCTTGCAAGGCCGCGGATCTGACTATGTGCACAGGAAGGCTTCAGTCCCGATCCTTACTTGACAGGGCAGCTTTTTGCAGAAAGCATCAAAGGCATCCAGAGCACGGGACAGATCGCTGTGGGCAAGCACTTTGTCGGCAACGAGCAGGGTAAGGAGCGCTTCTTACATGCTCTTCAAATCCACACTGCTGACAGAATATGTAGAGCATTTCAGACGTGTTGTCGAAGTTCGGGATTTTGCCCTCGGCAACGTTGTAAGTTAGCGCACTTCCTTCATCATTCTCACGCTCTACTGTTGAGCCCAGTGCGGCGAAAACAATAGAGAGGTCGACGAATGGTGACCATGGTGCCATATTGTCAAGGATACTAGCTTACTTGGGCCCAATTCTATCTAGACCTATCCCGGATCCAGCAATATCGATGATGCCACGCTGCACGAGCTTTACGTATGGCCATTCGCAGATGGTATACGAGCCGGTCTTGCTTCAGTCATGTGCTCGGTATGTCACAGAGTCACAGGGGCGCTCTTGTGGAACCAACGCGACGTATGATTCCTAACATGATCTAGTATAACCGCGTTAACAACTCCGACCTCTGCCAAAACTCGTATCTTCAGAACTACGTCTTGAAGAATCAGCTCGGCTTCCAGGGCTTTATTCTGAGCGACTGGCAAGCAACAGCTTCCGGTGTATCCTCGGTCCTCGCAGGTTTGGACGTCACGATGCCTGGAGATGTCTTCTTCACAGATGGCAACTCCTTCTTCGGAGGCAACTTAACAATCGCCGTCCTCAACGGCACTGTTCCACAGTGGCGGTTGGATGATATGGCTGTTCGCATCCTCTCGGCTTGGTACTACGTCGGTGGAGATACCGAAGAGAACAACCGGCCGGTCAACTTCAACTCGTGGACCAAGGACACATATGGTTCGATCCATAGCTTTGCTGGCCCGGAGTTTGGCTATGGCTTGATCAACGAGCACGTCGATGTACGTGAGCAGCACGGTGCCTTGATCCGGGATATCGGGAGCGCTTCTATTGTCCTGCTCAAGAACGTGAACAAGAACGGCAAGAAGACGTTGCCTCTGAGCGGCACCGAGAAGCTGACTTCTGTGTTTGGAGACGATGCTGGGCCAAATCTTGCAGGGCCCAATGGATGCGTAGACCGGGCATGCGCACAAGGAACGCTTGCCATTGGCTGGGGCAGTGGAACTGCTGACTTCCCTTACCTGATCACTCCCGATGCTGCGATCCAGAGAGAAATTACGGATCAATATGGTGCGTACGAGTCGATTCTCAGCAATGGAGCCTTGCCCCAAATTCAAGCTCTTGCGAGACGAACCGGCCAGGTCGGAGGCGCGTGCATTGCCTTTGCCGCTGCCGACTCCGGTGAGGGCTATATTACAGGGGGTGACAACTTTGGCGATCGTAACAACCTCACGTTCTGGCAAGGCGCCAACGAGATGCTTCGCAATGTCACTTCGAACTGCAACAACACGATCCTTGTCGTTAATTCGGTGGGTGCGGTGGAATTGGACGAGTGGAAGGCCCACGAGAACGTCACCGCGATATTGTGGGCGGGATTGCCAGGCGAGCAGTCTGGAAACAGTCTGACCGATGTGCTCTACGGACGAGTCACTCCGGGAGCAAAGCTACCCTTCACGATTGGCCGCAACCGCAGCGATTATGGCACCGATGTGCTGTACTTTCAGAATGACCCGGATGTGCCACAGTTCAACTTCCAGGAAGGCGTCTTCGTCGATTACAGGACCTTCGACGAGAGGAACATCGAGCCGGTGTACGAATTCGGATTTGGCCTCTCCTACACCACTTTCAACTACAGCAACATCGAAGTGAAGAGCACGGGAGCGGGTCCATATACCTCTCAGTCCGGCATGACCACCGCAGCACCCACCTACGGCACCATCAACACCGACCCGGCCGCATATCTCTTCCCCAATGAGAGTTTCGTCCGAGTCCCCTCCTTCATCTACCCGTGGCTCAACAGCTCCGACCTCGCCACCGCATACGGCCACACCGACTTTGGCGACAACAGCTTCATCCCCGAAGGCGCTCTCGACAGCTCTCCCCAACCCATTCTCTCGGTCGGCGGTGCCCCCGGCGGAAATCCCGCCTTGTGGGACGTCCTCTACACCGTCACCGCGGACATCACCAACACAGGCGACTGCGCCGGCGACGAGGTCGCGCAGCTCTACGTTTCCCTGGGAGGACCGTACGATCCCAAAATTGTCCTGCGAGGCTTCGACCGCGTACCCATCGCCGCTGGCGAAACTGCCACGGCGAGCTTTAATGTCACGAGACGGGATATCTCGAATTGGGATACTGTCGCGCAGGATTGGGTCGTGCGTACGGAATTTGCCAAGAAGGTATATGTGGGGAGTAGCTCGAGACAGTTGTTGCTCGAGGCGGATTTGGAGATGTGAAAATGAGAGAGAGAGCCTGAGAGGTCTGTGCGAGTGGGGGGGGGGGGGTAATACATACAATGTATATATTGTATATATGACGGACATGTTAATGTGACACACGATCTGCTGCCCGCGTGAAGGAGAGAGAGTAGAATCTTGGGGAGAAATCTCCCATCAATCGCCTCATTTGTTCTCGCGGCAGATGAATAATAACATCACTCTCGACGCGTAGGAATTAATTCAATGGAAAATCATATCAACATGCAACAACATGTAAAAAGTTGAGATGGTCGATTGCAATGTAATCCTCTGGTACTGTTGAGCCATTACCCCCTTCCTACCCTGTCCATCTATCCTGCCGTTGCCAGCCTGTGTCCGTCTATTCTATACACGCTCATGCAAGCCTTCCATGTTCTTCCATATGGATGCAACGTCAACTCTTCAATCGGAGTCTTGTTCGTTTTTCTATTCCCTCTTCATCCTCCTCGTCTTCCTCGTCTTCCTCTTCCTCTTCCTCTTCCTCTTCCTCCCCTTCTTCCTCCCCTTCTTCCTCATCATATTCTTCCTCCTCCTCCTCCGCCCGACAATCCCAAGTCTGCCGCCCTTGTCGACCATCTGCCATAAAGGACGGTGACACACTCTCCGCATCCAAGTGACTGCGCTCCACCATGCAGCCCAAGGCGGGAGACTCTTGATCACAGCACGTCCAGATCATCAGTTCAGGCCAGCTGTCGGTCGAGCTGGACTCGGCTTCCGATGCCGAAGAGCTTGCAGATTCGGATTCGAGCATTCCTTCAACAATAAGCCAATCAGAAACCAGACGAGGCTGGAGGGAGCAGCAAGACCTCAATGGTTTATGAAGAACTTACCTGGATGGAATAAGCAAAGGCTCTTGCTACAGTCATCGACACAACAGCTGCACAGTTGGCAGTGTATGATATGCGCGGGTGGTGTGGATTGCATGTCCCCCACGGTCAGGTCGCCTTCCGGTAGCTTGACAAAGTGGATGGCGTCGGGTCCCCAGGGGTGTACTATCAGGAGGTATCGAGCGTGATCTAGAGGCCTCGAGTGGGTGTGCTCATTCTCTATCAGAGGCTCGCCCCAAACCTCAGGGTTCAAAGGAACGCTGCGCCAACTGCTGAATTCGCAAAGGCCCAACATTCTCCGTGCTACACAGCCAGTCCACAATGGGGGAAGATCACCTTCCGGAGGTCGTCGCCGCCATTCGCTCCCTGCAATAATCTCCTCGATTTTGAATTCACGGGCTGTGGCATTCGGCACTTGCAGGATTTCCAGGACCGCCCCGAGGAACCCCGTCGCACCATCCATTCTCGTTGAGTCACATGGTTGCCTTGTGAGGCGCAGGCACAGCACCTGTTCAAGTCTGCGTAACGGTTCGATGCAGTTCACGATATGGAGGCGATGGCGGATGTCGTCGAAGGTCACGGAAGCTATCGTCTTGACTCGGCCCGCCATTCGTGGCGTCGGGGTAGCGGTCTCGGAACGAAGTGATCTTGCCATGGGTGGAAGCCGGGACTAGTAATGTGGCTACTGTTTCCGTGCATGCCTGGAGTGAAGGGGAATCGACTCTACTTATATGGACTCTCCTCCCATCAGGTGGGGAGGGAAATGAGCCAGCCCGGTGATGGGAGTGGCTGCTCATTCGCCGCTCATCACCCCAAACCTTGCGTTGTTGCGAGGTGCACTTCTACCTTGCTGTTTGAGACATTTGGACTGATGAGTGAAAGTAGCACAGCATGATGTCTTTCCTGGCTACGACGCCAAGTCGCTCCCGTGGTACAGTGCATTCTTTGAGGATGAGGATGCGGTGTCGACAACCACAGAGATTGTCATCCATGTACTACAGCCCTCGAGACGTGGCCAAGTGACCCACTTGGACTGGAGGTGGGAGAGCAACACTACAGTCAAATGGGACGTTGGGTCGCCTTATTGATCCCAGGATTCACTCGCGCAAAGGAGGGACGGTCCGGCTTCCGCACTAGCCGCGCAGATGGCGCGAGTCCGCTTGCGAGGGTGGTCGATCGATGGGAAGCCAGTCCATGGCGCTCCAAAGGGTCACTGCACGGCACGGCACGTCCTCGCGAATGCCATGCGCAGATTGTAGCCGACTAAACGCAGAGTTGGCAAATCGCAGGTGCACAACAGCAGAACTCCGGTGAGAGAGCATCCCTGGCGGCGGCTGATCGAGTTCATTGGCGCGTCCTCGGGCAGCTTTTGGCGCCGTGCCGGAGCAGTCCCGGCGCGACGGGCGACTGCTAAGTGACGGTGAGCGCTTTGGATGGGCTATAGTCCGGGAGAACGATTTTTGGGCTCCTGGCGGCTACACTGCGTCGTGACCGCTTGGGTAGTGGGTGGGCCTGTGTGACGAACCTTCGTGCCCACTACCCGTATCCCGGACAGATCTGATTTTCCCTAATGTAGACAGACGGGTACTGGCGCTGACAGCGTGGTCACACAAGGCTCCTGCTGCTGCCTGGGACGCATCACGAGGTGACATCCCATGCTTCCGTCATAAGCGGAGCGCGCTGCGTTGGCATTTCCATCTTCTGCCACGTTGGCTTGGAAACTTGTCTGGAGAGTGGCTTTGCGAGTTCCAGCATTCTTCGCTCCTCATCCAAGTGCCCCTTACCAGATCGAAGGCACTCGACGTCCGCACTACACAAAAATGAGCTTTGTCAGAACACCTTCCTATCAGGATGTGGGTCTGTCGATAATGTGGTGCATGAAAAGTATGGAGATGGCACATCCGAGGGTGTCAGTGCCGTGACAGTTCCGGGATCAAGGCGCGCGCGGTCGTTGACTGCGGCTGTTGGTTGGCTGGTGTCTGCCCCAGACACAGCCAGCAGAATTCGCAAGCTGGTTGCAGCAAGTCCATTGGAACATAGCATCGCCACTCTGTGCGTATGCGGATCCGTACGAGATGGACGTCTTGTGACCTGAAGAGGGAAGTTAGCGACATGCATCCAATTTCACCGCGCGAGACACTCCCACTGACCAGGATGATAGCTGCAACGCTCTTCACGATTGTTTCCCGGTTCGAACTCTGCACGGCAGTGCTGGCAAGTCTCATACATTCTTCGCTTTCGAGAGGCCTTGATCGCAAGCGACGAGTCCGAGTGCGCAGGAACGAGAGGTGGTATCAGATAGGCAGTCGCCAGGTCCATGGACGTCTGCTGAGAGTATACCATCATGCGCAGCAGCTTCCGCAAGGCGCGAGGAGAGGCCAGCTCGATGGCCTCGTCGATGCTGGCGGGCTCTCGACGGGCCATGGTGGCACAATCTACGCCATGTCGGTGAGGCACGGCGGCGGCGGCGACGGCGTTCGTGCCAACAGCTGCACGAGTGGGTTCATGATCGAGGTCCATGGCGACATCCTCTGCGCCCCCATCCTGTTGTTGTTGGTATTGTTGTTCTTCTGCTTCTTGCTCTTTCTGGTCCAACCGGCGAAGCCATTGCGAGGCTGGGGATGGGGGGTCTGCGTTGCGAAATCCCATGCTTGCGAAGTGTGCGAGTCTGTCTGGATAACTGCTTGTTGCTACACCCGACGTACATGTATCCCGATGTCCAGTCCACTCGTAAGAGGTGCAGTAAGGTATTGTAGGTAAGGTCAGGTATTGTTGGTTTTGGTCTTATTGATGAACTCCGCGCTTCCAATGGACGCCGTCGCGAGGTCAACGCCGAACTTAAAGCCGACGCGTCTGTCTGGCTCACTTCATTAGACGGGATGCATGCACGCCAATTCCGCGGACCAAAGTGTCTCCGGCTCCGGCATCTCTTTCGGACGCATGTCGGTCCATATACGTCGTACCTCCTACCTGACATGTGAAAGCTGCCCGTTTCCAGCAGACGGTGAAGTTGTGAAAAGCCCCAGATGAAGTGATTTGTAGAGAGATGGAAGAGGAAAATAAAAAGAAGAAATTGCCGCTCTCGTAATACTAATAACACTGTCAAGACAGTATCTCAATCATTTCACGAGAATATGTCTGGACATATCATGAGATTTGAAGTTTTGAACCAGCTTTTCAGATGATGGCGATCATGATGACCATGTGCCCAATCGAGATGATCCCGTTACCGCCCCGTCATGAACGGTAAGAGACGAATAGCGGTTGAGATGTCCCCATCATAATCAATCCAGGTAATAATGTACATGTACCTCAGGTAAGGAATAAGTGTGATGATTGGTGAAGAGAAATGTACGAAATTTCATTTTTCAGCTGGTCCGCAGTCCCGCCAAGACTTGCAATGTTGTACAATCGACGGGACGGACACCTCACAAAGCTCGCTCGCATCCTGTCGCATCCTCGGCTGAAAGGTTCCAACCAACCTACCTAAACGTAACTTTATGACGACTTCTTCGGAGGTACCAAATAACGGTAATCCAAGGTACATGTATCCCATGCTACAGCTACATCACACACTTCTTCATGGAATCGCATCAAATGGTTCTCCAGCTCGCTCGCCTGCAATATGAGCGGGGTCCCTGTCTGGTTCGTGGCACGCGAGACGCCGACTTTGTATCTGTATTCGACGGCCGAGTCACCATCCGCATCTGAGAAGGAGCACAGGAAGAAGACGAAGAAGAAGACGAAAACGAATCAAAACCAACAACACAAATGCCGTCTCGTGTATCTCGACGAAGGCGGTGCCAATTTCGTGTTCAAGATCCTGCCCGATGGGAATGAGAATGAGAATGGGAATGATGAAGCACTACTACCGCGACTGCTGCAGAGAAAGTTGCTGCGCCTAGGCAAAGATCTCTCCCACGTGCAGACGGCCGAAGAGCAGCTCAAAGCACTCGACGTCAATTTCACGACGCTGTTCCCCGCCGAACATCTCATCGAACACGAGCTCATCGTCCTGCATCACGACCTGACCACGTCCCTCAATGCCATGTTGGAAGCCTGGATCCGGCCCCATCATCGCTTGCCCCATCTGCTGCCGAACCGCGCCATGTCGGGCATGCTAGTAACAGACATGACGCCCGCCGCAGGCGAAGTCCTGCTCGAGCTCAAACCCAAATGGTTAGCCCCTTCGCCCAACGCGCCTCCCAATGCCAAACGATGTCGCACGTGTGCGGTGCGAGCCCATCGCGCGTCCGAGCGAATTTGCACCGCGACCGACGCGCAAGCCAGCTGTCCGTTAGACCTCATCAATCCCGATCCGGGGCATCGGAGGCGTTGCGTGCATGCAATTACCACGGATCCGCAAATCCGCGACTATTTGCTCACGCAGGCACAGCCTTTGCTGCAACAACTGCGAACCTGCCAAGCGGAATTTGATCGGGTGGGCGTCTTGAACATTTCAGGGAATCATCATGCCTCCTCCTCCGCCTCTTCCTCCTCCTCATCATCATCATCATCTCTCCTGTCGCTGTGCAAAGCCATGACGCTGAGAGATTGCACCTTGTTCGTCAAGCGCTCGGGCGACGTGATTGATGCGCGATTGGGTGATCTCGACCTCAAACATCCAGAAAAGATCTCGCGGTGGAAGAAGGTGGAAGCCAATCTGATTAGCGGCGGCTGGTATACCAATTCCGAATCTCCAGAGCATTATCATCACGAGAAAATATGCATGCTCGCGCGCTGACCATGGTCCTTTTCTTCTTCTTCTTCTTCTTCTTCTTCTTCTCCTCCTTCCAGTTGTGCGTCGTGTGTCCAAGTGTTGGGCAGTGTTAAAAAAAAGGAGAGCGCAGCGATGGGACTACCATACCTTACCTTATGTAGCTAATTGAACAATAATATACATAAGGTATGTATGTACCTGACCATCTTCAATTTATCTTCGACAATGGAGGTCATCATCTTGCGTCATGATTCGGCACTCGACCCCTAGTCTCGCGTGAAGCGGTTGCCGAGACAGCATGAGCTGATGAGCAGCATGTGGAATTAATGAATGACGGATATTAATAATATGGACCGCCAGCCAGGGTCACGGAAGGGTGCATTGACAAGTCCGGCAAATACAGGTAGTTTATTACCTAGGTAGGTAGGTAGTAATACGACCACCACCGAGAGTCTGCCGAAATCAACGTCCGTGATGCATCGCTCCTCCGCTCCGTACTCGATACATCCTTTCATACCTAGGTATATACAGGTATGTATGGTTCCAGCATCGGCTATCTCCTAATCCTATATCGTGGAAGCTGTCCAAGTTCCTCTAGATTGTTTTGAAGTTTGAGGAGACCTGAAATAGAGGCTGTATCTCTGCAGGAGCGAACCCGACTTCTGCAGCGAAGCCTGTCATGTCCTCGTGTGCTGAGATCGATGTGACATACATGTCGGCCACAAAAGTGTGCTGGTCAGACCATGTCCTACGCGCTCCAATCGACGTGGAGACCTGATGTATACTGTCGTTCATGTGCATCGTGCAGACCAGGCGCCAGCTGTCAAGCGTCATGAGTGCACCCAGGCAAGCTTGCCGCTCCTTGCGATGGCTGTCTTCGCCTCACTCTCCTCGCCTAGTCATTTCGTGTCTGTAGTGGTTGTGTGATACTACTCGCTGAAGCGTGAACAGAGCAGATGCACATCCCACCCTCTGGTCGTCACCCGATTCTTCTCGCTCCCATGATAAAGCCGCAGTGCTCTCGTCAGCGGAGTACATGTGCCCGGTGTTCAGCCGCCAACCTCATTCAGGGGCCACAGCATCAGACCCTGCCACTCCTGCGACAGCACTCCTCTGATTGCGTATATCTCTCTTTTCGCAGTCGTAATGTCACCGGTATTACCAAGATATTGCAAAGCATCCGTCAGTCCAACCACTGCGAAAAAGTACGCGAGAGTGACCAGGGCCCGCGGTCGGCCCTCGCCAACAAAGTCTATGAACTTTCTTGGAACCATAAACGGGAACATGCAGATCCAGCGGAGGTTGATGTCGGCGGCCTCTCCCGAGAGAACCGCTCTCCGAAACGATCCAATATAGCTCAGGGTGTGCTCGTAACATTCACAAGTTTCTTGGTCCCAAACATCGATGGAAGGGATATCCCTATTGAGAATGGCCCCAAATTCTCGCTGCATCTCCTCGTCAAACGTTGCCTGGGCCTGCCAGATATTGGCGGTAGTGTCCATGAGAATTTTCAGCCCCGTCCCTTCGGGTACAGCTTCGGGAGGCGGTAAGACAGTGAATGCGCCTCTCCCTACCTCGAGCCATTCCATAGGTGGCGTGTACGGCTCCAGGCTGCGTTCCTGCAGCATGGCAAGCGAGTTCATGGTGATTAACAGTGCAGCAAAGGCGACGGCATCCGTGTTGCAGTTGTCGAGGTCGACGATTGCAGCTCGCTGCTCGCGCAGTGCCCAGACCCAGTAGTTTTCTCGCGCCTGGTACAATGGCAGATCGGTGGGACAGGTACCAAGTAAGTGCGTCGCCGTCATAGTGAACATGGCATACAAGACGTTCTTGTTGCTGAGCGCCACCTGCGGAACCTCTCCATACCATAACTCCTTCCAACTCGGTGGCGATGTCATACCAAACGGTCTCGACACGGCAAGCATCCAGTGATGTAGCAGACGGAGCTCCAGGTATCGCCTTTGTTCCGACTCTTCGGTCAGAGGATCCGGCGTCTGTCGGGTGATCATCGTTTGGTCTCCTGGTTCGTCGTTGCCGGGCGGCGGACTTCCTTGCGAATTGGATTGTGCTGGAGAGAGAAGAGATGGCTGTCCTGGCACGCGCTCGGTACTCGCAGACTTGGTGCGTGGTTTGGGAGGATCCGGCGTGACATATGTACACTCGAGGCCCAAACGAAGACAAATGCTGCATTCTGGCGTCTTTTCATCACACCTACTTGCCACCCTCGACGATCAGAGCGTGCGGGAGAGAAGTCGAAGTCGAAGTCGAAGGGGGAGGGAGAAGGGGAGGAAGGGAATTGGGGGCGGGGGGTGTCTGGACATACTTCACTCGTCGTGCTTTGCAAGTCTGGCAGCCATTTCGGGATTTCTTGTGGCCAACCTTGGGGGCGCGGATGCTGGTTTGACGGGCTGCTTTCGACAGAGGCCCTGTCAGTGACATTTTTCGGTCAGCCATAGGGCAGCAGGCGGCAGCGGGCCCAGCTGGTCAAAGTTCCGTGTTGAGGGCACGCGTGCAGAGGTGGTCGCGCCAGGTCAGCTGCAGCATGTTGTCGCAGTCGTACTCTGCGAATATGGTGGTGGGCGACGATGGAATATCGACTTCTTGGCGAGCATTTGATGAGAATCCGATCTTTTGTGTCTTCTCTCCTCCTCCCTGGCCAGTCTTCGAGGTTCCGCTCCAGGTGGTGCTAAAGGTGGTCGCCGCGTGCGTGCCGAGCGGTACGGCCCGTCGAGGCTACTCCCGGATGGACCGCAATTGCCATCGTCCCTTCCCCCTTCCTCGATTGCAGCCAGGGAAGGCACGCAGGCACCAAAAGTCTATCAGCACTTTCCCCCGTGGGCCATATCTGCCGAGATGACAGGTCTTGCCTCATGAATGGCTGAGTTTCATCGACGATGGCCAGTCGCGCCTCCCTCATCAGCCCTGTCCATTCAACTTTCTTATCACCCGAAGCGAATTTACGAGACGATGTGATCCCCAGTGCCCCCAGTGCCCCCAGTGCCCCCAGTGCCCCCACTACCTCCCCTCCATACCTGACCTCTCCTTCCCTGATGGCAGGTCTGTCAGGTACATGGAGGCAAGTACCGTAGGTAAGGAATGGAAGGTACATGTATCTTATGTCTCACAGGGTGTATGTTACATAGTACCCAGTTCCATTACAGTAGTACATGGCTACATGCATGATGCACCATATAAATACAATCGACCAGCCGCCTCGGCATCATGGGCCTGAGCCTGGGCCATACCTGAAGGCTGATGATGGTGGCTTCCTCCTCCTCCTCCTCATCATCATCGGGAGTCCCCCTCTGATATCTACCTGGGCCGAGTACATCAGTACATGTCACCTCATCCCACCACACCACCCTCCGAACCCTCTTCATCTCCCGTCGTCAATGCAGTAACCGTCTCCCAAGGAGCGAGAAAGCACGTCATTCTGTAATCAAAGGAGACACCCGTCATCGTGGCCACCACCCGCCGCCCGCCCTGTTCGACACCGCCGTCGCCGCCGCCCCATGGCAGTCATCAGCGACACCAATTCCTCCCGAGGAGTCTTCGTCGTCGGAGGTGATGCGACATCCATCACATTGTCCCTCGTGGCCATTCCGGCCATTGTCGTCTTCATCTGGCAACGCTATCAAGACACCCAAGCGAAACATCTCTCCGTGGCGAGTGTATCGTGCTTTGCGGTAGGATGACTTTTGGTTTTTTTTTTCTCACTTGTCCTTTTTGTTTTTGATTTTTCTTTTTACCATGGTGGAGAGAAGAAGGAGAAGATGAAAGAAGAAGTCGGTGCTGCAATCACGTCAGTCATAATAATGAGAGCCCACAGTGTTACATTTCCTCCCTCGCCTTCATCGTCGCAGTCACCATGCTGTTACATATCCGCGCACCAGTGACACGGACACTGTGTGATGCCACCTTGATGGTTTGTCAGTTTCTTCTTTTTCCTTGCCTCTCTCCCCCCTCCCCCCACCACCCTGACAGCGGAACATCATCTGGTAGGGGGACGAAGAGGGGAAAGTATAAACCCCAATCGCAACATGTACGCTGATTGAGGATATTCTACTACTAGGCATCGTACTGCACAAGTTCGCCAAAGGATCCGAGTTCCTCTTCCTGATCGAGCGAATCTACGTGATATCCTGGACCACCAAACCGCGCTATCGTTCGACGCAATATATCCTCGGCATCATCTTGATCATGCTTCCATATACAGCCTTCACCGCTGCTACCATCTTCTTGTTCGTGCTCCAGACCTTTCTCCCCCAAGACTGACGTCGCGCACGTGCATGTATGCTGAGTCAAACCATCCTTCTATAGCCGATACACCATAGACAAGGGCCACGACCTCTGTGTCATCGGCATCCGACTACCAGCGACTATAGCGTTATTGTCATTGGAAGTATCCGCGCAAGTCTACTTCACCATCAGATTCCTATGGCCACTCTTCACCGTGCATCGGAACATCAAAGGACTGGTGCAGCCTCTGCGACAATTGATCGTCCGAACGTGCATTGGAAGCGCCGTCTCTTCGCTGGCGAACATTGCCTCCAGTATTTCGGTAGCCGTCTGGGTGGGACAGGGACCGGCCTGGCTGTGTTGCCTGGTCTGTAAGGCGAGTGGTAAGAATCTTCCCAAACATCTTCCCCAAGCTCCGAAATCTACATTGTTGACCCCTCATTCTTGTGTGCGTGTAGTCTTCATATCAGCCTGTGCCCTGCACTGGATCACAAGACCGATACAATCCGTGTCACAACATGGCAGTGGGCCACATGCGTTTGGAGATCTTGCCGTGGGTTTTAGTGGAAGTCCGGGTGCTGCACCTCATGCTTTGTCTTTTTCGCAGCCTCCCTCGTCGAAGAAAGACCTTGCTGCGATGGACGGGCAATCCATCTCCAAGTATCCCTCGAGTGTGATGGAGGAGATGGGAGAAAGGTCGCCGCAGAAGCTTGCAATGTCCAAATTGGAGTCCCTGGCATGATTCAGCTCTCAATGAAAAAAGCAGTCTTTCACAACCACGGCCCACGGGTCTTCATTCACATCCACAGATGCACATTTACTCCAAAGGCACGTCATTCCTGGATTGGGATATTGACTGCGTCGAGTGCGTTTTGCACACTTGTTTTGGGACCATCAAGCGCAATATCCCTCCAGACCTGCTCGACAACCCTCTTTTCAGGGGCCAGCATGCTCCAGTGCGGACTCTGTTCACCTCTCAGCCATTTGAAGTCGTCCACATCACTCCACTTGTTATCCACCTGCTTGTCGCTCTCCAACATGTACGCCTGTGGAAGAGGAGCAAAGCATATGGCATCACAATTCTCGATGATGGGTCGACCTGTCGCCAAAAGATAGACATTGCAATTCGTGGAGTCGTGCATGCGGAATTGGCGTGTGGCGACGAGGATGACAGAGTCTGTGATGTTGTGCATCATGATTGCTCCCGAGACATGGCCGCAAATGATCAGCGAGGAAGCGATATTCTTGAGGTAGAGGGCTGCCAATGGTTTGTCCGCTGTGGCTTGAGATAGGTCCACCACGCACTGACGAATATTCGAGACCGTTCCAGAGGATATGGCGTGCGAAGCTGTAGTGGGTAACACGACATGCATACCCTTGTGGTCCGAGACGTCTAGTGATTTTGATTGTGAGTAAATGCCTGTGGCTGGGGGAAATCCGTCCATGGCCGCGGCTCCTTCCACAGCTGATTCATGTGCAGGTGTGCTTGAGCCCACTGGCGTTGTAGGCATGCTGGAGCCGCTCGATACGTCGTGAAGATGCGGTGGGGCTTTCAGCTGTTCCTGGTGGGCAAGCTCAGCAGCATCATTCACACTGATCGCAGATGCGTTCTTTCCAGCAGTGAAGAAGGCTCCTGACTTGGACTTGAATGAGAACTTTGGCTTTGGGGCGTGCGACTGTCGGACTTCCTGTAGCTTGTGATTGAGCGCCTTGATTGCCTCGCCATATGTTCTCTGGTCGTAGGCAGGTACATACGAAGATGCGTCTTGCACTTCGCTTGACAATCTCGCGATGCCGGAGAGACAGTGGTCGATGGCATCCGATCGTTCGCCCCCGGTCAGGCTGTGTTTGCTGATACGAGCCATTTGCTCTTGGAGATCTTCGGCAGTGTCAGTCAGGCTGGGCAATCACAATATGGCCTGCTGCTGAGGCATGCGAACCTGTCACTTCAAGTTGAAAGTATCGGAAGAATTTCTCGCTTGGAGAGAGCTGCACGGCTGGCGCGGCGCGGCCATCGGTACTAGTGCTCTTCTGCTCTGAGGACGCCATAGTGTCGTCGGTTGTTTGCATTTTTCGGTATTTTGCAGCCACCTCCGCCTGTTGTGTATTCTGGCACTGCTTGCGGAGAGGAAGGAGTTGATCGTGGAGACGTCAAGCCGGGTCAGATGTCAGCTGGCGGTGCTGGGCTTCATGTTCTCGAACAGCTCATCATGTGCTACGACCCTGATCATCACTTCGCGGAGACGATGATGATGACGATGATGACTGCTGGCGTGGTAGTTGGACCAGGTTGGAGAAGCGAGCGTGTCGGTCGGAGGGTCCATGGACTGTCGCGTGTGCTGCAGCCCCGCATCTGCAGAGCGGTCCGGTCCGCAGGACTCACCCGATCCGGTCGACCTTCTCAGACTCCACTTTGATCGGCTTGGCACTCGCGTCACTCGTGTACACCTCATGTATACTGTATGTGTGTGTGGGGAAACAGACGGCCGACCTGAGGACAGCACGCACAATGCATAAGGTAGGTGTTGATGTGAGACAGAGGGCAAGGTCAAGTATCATATTAACTGGGCACCTGTGATATGTCTAGCTAGAGCTCCCCTCTCGTCCCGCAGCATCAAGGGAGTGTAGCATTTCCCGTCATTTGGTACACAGCAGGAAGAGCTAGGTACCCATCAATCACCTATCTCACCGTCATCCCACCAAGACGCAGAGCCTCCAAGATTCTGCTCCTCGTACTGTGCCCTGGCTCCTGCTTTCCCGCCTTCCCACTGATTGCGTTGCGCCTGTCTCTCCACCTGCAGGCAGCAAGAACACGCATACCATCCACGTGCCTGATCCAGATGCGGTGCGAGCAATGGCGGCGGGGGCGGAGAGCATGAGGTGGATGCAGTAGATGTCGATTGATGCATTGGCCACGCATATTGCTTGGCAACAGAGAAGCCTCTCCAGCTGGCGACGGTGGAGTGATGCGGATGCTTGGAACAACAATGGCATCTTGAGCCTTCAGGGTGGCGTGGCGACACCTGGGAGATAGTTCTATAATTGCTTGTCTGTCCCGTAAACGTCGGCGCGGGAAAGCCTCGAGGTCCGTGCAATGTGAATGTCTTCGTGAGATCATCGCTGCTTGCTTGCTTGCTATGACTCGTGCGTGATCGGGTCGAGCAGGTACCTAACCGTTAGGAGAACAAAAACAGAAATCTTTTGTACCTTGTGCTTGGGAATGGAGCAGAAGTGCCGAGCTCGTTACTGCGTGAGACATTTGTACAGTGAGTGACAATGTGGAACGACTGGATAACACTACAAAGGAGGGGAAGCGTGCGCAAGACGCGTTGTTCACTTGCCTGAAGCACCATGAAGCATCTTCGCGTGAGAAGCAGCTGGAGTCGATGATTAGCTTCGACTCCTTGAGGCAGGGCTCCTCACTTCGGCTATTGGCAACGGCTCTGATCTGGAACAAGCGTTGGATATACCCTTGACCATCGCATCGCGCGTGGCAGCATCAGGAATTGGACCATATATGCTGAGTCTGCCAGTAGAGGAGGCCGCGAAGCTCATGATCCCGATGGAAGCTCGCTCGTTGGAGCCTGTATGGGTATGATTCGACTCAGATGCCCATGCTAGCAACGCCCCGGTCACCTGTCATGTCGCTGGTGACATGATGTTCTGCAGCGTCAACTGGATCACGAGCGTAAGACCAGGAGCGTAAAGGGACGTGAGAGAGCTGGAGAAGTCCATTACTGGATTAACGATGTCTTCCTCATCGTCGATAGCGAATAGGATGCAGAGTCGGACGTCGCATCACTTCGTTGTGGTGACATCGCGCCTGTAGTCGGAGAAGCTTCATTCATGCCATGCTTATTCCCTACTCTTGATGCTCTTGTCTGCATATCGTATGTGTCGTATCTGCCAATCCTTTGGTCCTCCTCCTCCTCCTCTTTCTCCTCCTGCTCCTCCTTGGTGATCCAGACCGGATTTCCAGTACGCGCGCCGTCCGCCATCATGCTGATATCGGTTGTCGCGTAGGTCCAAGACCTCAAGAGATGAGTGATCTCGTAGTGAACGAGGGAGCAGTTCAGACACCTCGGAAACATCAGGTAGGGTCAATGGAGCAATTGGAATGCCTTAGGCCGAAGTCCCGGCTCCACATGGAATCAACTGTCCCTTCACACTCTCCTTCCCACGAGTAGTCGAGTACAACAGCATCGCCAACACCGCCACCGGCTCGGCGATATCCTCTACCAACAAGACATCATTCAACTCTCAAACATGTCGGGCGGAGCCATCAGGGAATACCTGCTGTTCTCCCAGATTCCTCATGCCCGAAGGGAGCAAGTTTTGGGCATTTTAGCGGGCATCACCGGAAATCAACCCACAGCCTTCACCCAGCAGGTCGTCATATATGCACAATTAACGGCTCCGGATACGGCCGCTTCGAAGAAAGTGTGTGCATGAATCTCGATGGCGGAAGAAAACAGAAAAGGAGACGAGTGGAAATAATAGCTAATACTCCCCAGACGAAGCCGACCGTGGCCCAGCCGCTGAGCTATCATAAACTTGTACGCGACTACGATGTTCAAAATGACAGTGCTGTGAACATCCAACCTTGGGCATTTAGAGCCGAAGCAGGTATGTCTCTCTATCCATAGCCTCGAAAACGAGCGCACGCAACTTAGTCAGATCATCAGCACCTAATTCATGTCACGCCAGAGATGCTGACATCTCGTAGTCCCTGAGCCCGGCCTCACTGCCCACATCTCGCGTTCGGTGATGGAACATTCTGCCACCGAGGTTGATCTGGCGCGTCTGAAGTCTCCTGCCTATAAGCTGAAACGTCAATACCTTCAGTCCGGCTACTTCTTTGTCAATAACAACGTGGTCATCAGAGTGCTTCGACTCCACGGCAGCCTGCAGAGTGACTTGACCGAGGATCCCACAGATCTTCCACCACCGACTCCGTCACATCACAAGCTGATAGATGCGAGCGGCTCATGGTAGGTCTCCCTTGCCTCGAACCGGTTGTGGACACAAGCTTCGAGCCACACACATCAAACCAAGTCCTCATTCCTAGAGATATTCGCTGACCTCACGTTTCAGGATGATAGAGGCATATGTCAAAGTAGGAGATCCTGCCAACGCTTCACTATGTGAACAGGCCGTGAAGGAGTTAGCGGCCTTCCGATCCACTACGGAGGGTTCACTGGACTTCATAGTTCCCAATCGCTTCTCGCTGGACACTCGTGTCAAGAATGCTGCTGGGTAGGGACCTGCGAGCTCGAGACACGGAAAAGATACGGTAGAGACAGAAGCACACTCCGCGCGGTCCCCACTGGAGGACGATTCTGTCACCGATCCCGAACATAACGTGATCGCAAGTGTCGAGTCTCCCGAACCATCGACACACTCTGATGCCAACATGAGAGTGATCCCTGCTGAGCAGCAATAGGCAGTTGATCTAGAGGAGGGGTCAACAAGGGAGCAAAGTGACCAGCTGATTCCATAGATCAGCTCCATTTGCAAGCCAACACGTCCTTCTTATAAGATTACGGCCGGAGCGATAAACCACGACTCGTAGAGACCACAGCGCGAGGGTCGAAGGCGTTCCAGGCGGGCATGCAGGACGTGGTGATGCTTCAGAAGGCTATTGGAAGATCAGCAAGGTTGTCGAACACGCCATGAATGGAGAGACGTTGCGAAAATGGAGGTGCAGGTGAACTCTGTCATTTAGCAAGACAGTCATACCCCCTTGCGACCTCGAAATTTTTTCCAGATCGCCTTCCACTTCTCGGCCAACTATTCCACCATTCCAGGCCGCGTGTAACTCAGTGGAAGTGCGTGACTAGATAGACGATGGATCGGCATGGCGGTCGGATCAAAGGATTGATTATTACCGTCTCGATGTGAGTTCATCAAGTTGCAGGCTGGCATGGAGCATTCAAACATGCAGGTATCTGGGGCTCGCGCTATGGTATTGGTACCGATATCGAGGGCTCGCACCTGAGCCATTGACTGTCGCTGCACTTGGACCTTGCTTTCATCGGGCTTCCAAAATAGTGTACGAAGTCTTTCTGCACACATTTATACCTACCTTATTCTGGGACAACCCTTGGCACAAGCTGGCAATGACTCTGGCGTACTTTGCCCATCGAGCGAAAGTCACCACACTTCCTTATCGTAAAACAGTGTTGCACTCGATCATTCATAGCCTTAGCCTAAACCTCCGGCTGACTACTACTATGCTGCTTGGACTCACCACCGCCCTGCGTACCGAGTGTCAAGAAAGGAACGAGACACATGCTCAATGCCGAGAAAGCCATGCAGATCCAGAAGACGGCCGCATAAGGCTGCGTGGCAGTATCCCAGAATCCGGACAAGCTGGGACTTGCCTTGACTGCATTGAACACGGCCGTAGCAATCCCGAATCCAATGACTGCGGTCAGACGCACAGCAGTCTGAAATATTCCCCCGGCGACACTCTGGTGCGATGTGGGTAGACTCGTCATGACCAGCATATTGCACACATTGAATTGGAGATCTGCCGCAATCACAATGAGCATTTGCGCGGGGAATGCCAATGCCCAGTAGCTGGTGGTCTGACGATTGAGGGCCAGCAGTAGAAATGCAATGGTATAACAGGCGGTACTGAGCCACATCAGGATCGTATTGGAGACTCGGTGCAAGATCAGTCCGGCAACCGCATTCGCGATCAGTCCGACGATGAACATGGGAATGAGGTACGCGGCGACGATGATTGGGGAAGAGTGCTTCACATTCTGCAAGTAGAGAGCATAGAAGAATGTTCCGGGAGCGAAGGCCAAGAAGCCTAGAGAAAGGATTGATAGCGCGACGGTGAAGTTGCGATCTTTCCAGATGCTCATCGGCACGAGCGCATATTCGTCGCCGATCCACATGTCCCAGAGGACGAAAGCGAGCAGGAGCAACGCCCCCACAATCAGCAGTGCGAGAACATAGCCCGTCCTCCAGCCTTGCGGTGCCGTGTCGCCCAGACTCAAGGACGCGCTGAACATGCCGATACCAAAGACGACGCAGAAAACTCCCACAAGATCCAGTCGCTTCAACGTCTCCTTATTCAGCGGCTCCTTGGGAGCCGAATCCTGCGGAATCGTCGCTGCACCAATCACGGCGAAAGCAAAGAAGATGATAGCCATCAACCAAAACCCGGCTCTCCAGTCAAACAGCTCGGCAGCGCCACCACCGAGAAAAGCGCCCAACGCAAACCCCATAGGATTCCCGGCGGAGAAGCACGCAAACGCATAATTTCTCCGCTTCGTCGCATGGGCCGGATACGAGAGACTCAGCAGTCCCTGTGCAGCCGGCACGCCACTCGCATTGAACAATCCCAGCACTCCCGTGAGCACATCCAGCGTAATGGCTTGTTTGGCAAATCCCGCGGCGAGAGCTACTATGGAGAAGAGGAAGAGGGAGGCGAGGAAGAGCGTTCGACGGCCGAGGATGAGGTCGGAGAGTTTCCCGAAGAGGAGTAAGAAGGCTCCTGCGCTGAGGGAGGTCGAGGCGGTAAGCCAGGTGATTTCTGCTGTGCTGGCGCCGAGATCCCCGCCGATGAGGGACGATGTCACCGTGATGGAGCCGGTGAGGAGGGAAGACATGGCAATTGCCATTGTGCTGTGGCGTAGTCAGTCGAAATGAGATTAGTTTTGGAGTTAGGGATGGATTGATGATATATGTATAGTAGTAGGTAGGTAGGTAGGTAGGAATTCCCGAGAATACTCACGCGCAAAGCACAAAAAGAATCTCTTGTGCAGTGGATTTGAAGCACGCCGGTCTGCCATGATTTCGTTGATCATCCTGGTGACTGGTAGATTCGTTCTTTTCTTCCACGGCCCTTCCATCAGAGGCCGAGTTCTCATCCACCTGCTTTTGTGCATTTTCGATTTCCAAGGGACTTTCGTCAGAGGGCGAGTCATCACCTAGCGGCTTTTTTGGACTTTTGGTCTCGATTGTGGTAGTGTCATCCGAGGACGAGGGATGATGAGTGTCATTACCAGTAGTAGTCGTCGTAGTAGTAGTAGTCGTAGTAGCAGCAGTAGTCTTCTCGGGAGGAATGCTGGTGGTACTGCTAGACATGTCTCATGTCTAGAAATCTAGCTCGTAGAAGACATTCAAGTTGGCCCCCTTCTTGATAGTGTATGTATGTATGAATACCTTGGCGAGTATTGTGCGTAAAAAGAGAATCGATCTCGGGAGACTACATTACTGGAGTAATCAGATTATCCGATCGTAGATTCGTAGTCGGGAAGATAGATGTCCGAGCAAGGTATCTGTCTTCTACCAGGTACATGTATCTGATTCGACCAGGGACCCAATGACCCACGTCCACGTGCAAGCACTGAGGAGAAGATAAAACACATGTGGGATGATCCGATGATGGTGCAAAGTCCCCGGGACGTCGTTTTCCCCTGTTCCTGGTCAGTACATATGTACATACATGTACCTCCTACCGGGCACTTGTATACCTGTTGCCAATACCTGTATACCTGACAGTTATAGTCAAGCGTGGCGTGAGGCTCAGATGCTGTGAGTGCGATCAGATCGCCGAGTCTAATATGTATGTCAAAAGCAGCTCCGATCCTGAGTCATCAAAGTAAATGACCACATGCAAATAAGGTGTAATTTCCGGATGTGTTTTATTTCTTATCCAACGGACCATCATCCTCTCTGCGTGTTAATATAGCTGGCAAGATTGTTGCTGGCTGATTCAAGTTCGATCTGGTTGTTATTCGTGCATCACTTCATAGTATCATCTAACCTCGTTACATCTTCACCTCGGCCGGCACACTGATTTCCATAATGTCGACGCCCTTGGTGATCTCGCTCTTGCTCGGCATTTTGCCTCTTCGCATCAACTCCCCACTTTGTGTCATGTATGGATCCTGGAAAGAAGCGGTGGGTCAGTATGAGACGTGCGAGTTACGCGTACATGTAAAGTGTGCCACTTACCTTCATCATGCTAGCCACGGCAACAACGTTCTCACCCTTGGTGTAGTAGGCCACGAAGCTTTGCTTTCCCTCGCTCACATCGGTGTTGCCCTGCACAATCACATCATCGTAACCATTTGCAGTGTGCCCGCAGTACCTTAGTTGCGCACCGAGAGCAGACCAGAACACGGGGATGAATGGCTTGGGCTTCGCACCAGGGTTGTTGATGGAGTTGGCCACGCTGCGACCCATGTTTTGCGCCACGTTCCAGTGCTCAATTCGCACAGGTTTGCCATCGCCACCAGGTCCGTTGTACGGGTAGGTTGCAATGTCGCCAATGGCCCACACATCCTTGAGGCCTTTCACCGCGAAGCTGGAGTCGACAGCCACGGAGCCGTCCTTTTCGAGCTTGATGTCGCCATCCTGGAGATATTTTGTGGATGGCTTCACGCCGACACCCTCAATGACCAGATCGGCTTCTAATGTGGTGCCATCCTTGAGCTGAACACTCCCGATGGAGCCACTCTTCGAGCTCGACTCTGTTCCCTTCTCGACTTGAGCATTCATGTAGAATTTGACCCCGTTCTTTTCCAGCAGCTTGCGGAAGATATTGCCGACTTTGGATCCGAAGACCGCCTCCGTCGGCTCGCTCTCCATGCCGACAATAGACACATGGTGCTTCTTGCCCGCAAGTGCGTTCCCGACCTCCATGCCAATGAATGAACTGCCGATCACCACAACCTTCTTGCCGCCATCCTGGCCTGCGGCGCCGAGAATGCCCTGCACGTCTTTGAGGGTGCGCAGCAAAAAGACATTCTTCAAGTCTCCCTTCAAACCCGGCAGAGGGAGCTGGTTGGGGGTACCACCAGATGCAAGGATGAGCTTGGTGTATTCCGTCGTGCTGTTGTTTCCCTTGACCTGTTTGTTCTTGAAGTCGATCGAAGTGACGGTGTCCTGAACGAATTCGACGTCTCCCTCCTTGTAGAATTCCGGTGATCGCCACTGCACCTTGTCTGCAGTGTCCATCAGAGCCTTGGAAAGTTTGGTCCGGTCAATTGGCGGATGGTCCTCGTTTGAAATAGATGTGATATGACCCTTGTAGCCACCAGATCTCAGCTCTTCAATGGCACCCATCGCACCGCTTCCTCGCCCGACAATCACCACCTTGTCTGGGCCTTGAGCCTTGCATTTGATGTTGGCCGTTCTCCTCGCGGACTTGATGTCGGCCTCATTACCCTTGATGTAGACGGCGCCATCCTGTTGCACAATCTCAAACTTGTGCAGTGGGTCTGGGGCGGGAGCATCTTCAATGTCACCCGTCTTCACGTTGAAACACGCACCATGCCACGGACACGTCAGACGGCCATCAGCCGTCAAGACACCCTTGGCCAGAGGAGCACCGTAATGGGTACACTTGGGGGAGAGGGCGTGCACTTCGTCCTTGACCTTTGCCAACAGCACCGTGGCCAGCTTGTCCTCGCTCGCCTGCACGCCTTCCACTTCGACTTCCTGTGTCTGACCATTCTTCAGGTCGATGCTGGTCAAGCCCTTGAGCTTGAATTGTGTAGCCATGCTTCTTCTGGTGGTGGTGGTGGTGGTGGTGGTGGTGATTGTAGTGGTGAAGGTGGTGACGAAGGAGTGTTGGTGGTGGTGGAGGTGGTGGTGTGAGGGAGAGGCAAACAATCTTCTCAATGGTGGGACAAAGCTGGAGGTGCGTGTCGAGAACATGTAACTCGCAAGCAGTCCGTGAGAGAATGGAGAGGAACAGGTGAGAGGGTGGATGATGGGGGTGTGTTCTGATGTGAGCTGAGCAGGTGTGTAATCGAGCTTATCGGTCGGTATACTGTACAAGATCCATGTCGACCACCTCAGTCACTTTCCAATGGACTCGTCATGATTCTCCCGCTGTCCCGGCCTCAGGTTCAATGTTTGATGCTCACCTGGTGCTCACGATGATGACATCCCGGCCCAGCTGTGTCCAATCAGAGGACGTGCAATGGTCCGCCGGAGCTGTTGCCGAGTACACCCCTTTGTGGTTAGTCGTGTCGTGCGTCGCCAATTCATTGTTCAAGGTACATGGTCTTTATGTCGTTGAAGGGGACAACACGAACAACAACAAAGACACAATGCCATTGTCTGCTGTTGTATACCATTGTCTGCCATTGTCTGCCCTCGTGAAATGTGCTTCGCAAATCACATATACTGACAGTATCGAGCTCTTCACTGCCGCCTCTCCGCCCAACACACCACTCCACTCAAGGTTGATCCTTTTGGGAGTAAGTACTTATAGTCAACAGTCGCAACCCCGTTTACTGTATCAGCAAGTTTCTAACTCAAGTTCCACACGACCGACCATCAAGCAAAGATGTCGACTCCCGGCGACGGCGCATGCGCCTACCAGAGACTTAACCGAGCCTCCATGATACCAACTCCTTCGAGCCCCATGGGCGGCTCATACCAGCCAGCCAGTGCGTTTCGCAGACACACCTATGGCTATCCTGCCGATCTTCCTTCGTGTCTGATTCCGGGTCTCTGCCCGGATCCATTGCAAGTGCGTGGCCAGGAACCTCGAATGATGCAGACTCGCAGTGCCATGACTACGAGTGTCCCAACGTCCGCTGCCCAGCGCCGTCCAGAACCAGGACCTGTCCACCACATACGGCCGCGTCCTGCACGACGTGAGCCAAAGCCGGAAGACTTGTTCCTCCCGACAGCAGCACCACTTCCACCTGCCCCACCGGCGCACGGAATCAGACCTCGACCTCAACCGCGACCTCGTCCCGCAGATCTGTACGTGTGTCATGCCACTGGAACGAGCCGACCACCTCCTTCGGCTGGGCTCACCGTTGTGATGGAGCGCCGTCGAACGCATCAGCTTCCCGATTCAACGACGAAAGCGAAGGTTGAGTGTATCAACTACAAAGGGAAGAACCTGTTGAAGCGGACGAGGAACTTCATGTACCGACAATGTCAGACGCTGGTGTCACATTAGAATGTTGCAGTGGTGGGGGATGAGATGATTGGAATTTGGGAGCTTCTAGCTGGGTTGTGATGGATTGATGGATTGATGGATTGATGGATTGATGGATTGATGGATTGATGGATTGATGGATTGATGGATTGATGGATTGATGGATTGATGGATTGATGGATTGATGGATGGTAGAAGCGATCTTGTTGCGTAGGGGCTACTGGTGGTCCCCGAGCTGCATTATTCTGGGACAGTGGCAATCTTGAACTGTTATGGGAAGGCCGGTAATCTATCGTACAGCTATTAGCAGATTTATAGCAGTGCTGCTGCTACTCCTCTTTGGTAGTACTGCCATCGTGCAGTTTCTTGACTCCATGTATATCACCAAACCCGTCTCGGCCCAATTCGCCTTCCTCGCGATAACAGTCTGCGAGACTCCTCTTCGGATCTTCGTCGGGGAGACCGAATTGCCGCCTGAGTTTCAGCACTTCGTCTCGCAAAGCTAACGTCACTTCTATTCGGAGTTGTTGAGCTTCTCGGCCATATCGCAGCTCGTCATCAGCCAC